TCTTTTTAGACGACCCAACCGGCGAGTTCATCCAGGCGTTCTGCCTCCTTCTCCACCAACGCTTCGGCTGGGCGCCACTCTGGGACATCGACCCACGAGTAGACGCTCGCAACTTTCCGTGGAACGGATCTGAAAATGTCTTGGAGAAGTATTTCGTCTTCCAGAAAGAATGAACTGGCTCACGGAAAGGCTGATGGAGCCCAGGTAATGTTGTGAAATGAGAAACGCCGCACATGGTATCTACGCAGAATCGTAGGCCTATGTGGGCTGAGTCCCACTTCTGAGTGCACAGGGTCTCTGCAGGTCGTCATGCCTCTTCGAGGGTTAACTTATCACAGTTTCAAAATATATTGCGATAGACCTATTTGATTTCACGTTGCACCAGTCATCAGTACTCTCTAGTCTTTACATACACCACGTGCAGCTGGTTAATCCTCTCGGGCATGCAACCTAATCCCAAAGCCATAGGATTAGCCTTGCTGGGGTCATTCCCAACTCAAACTTCAACGAAATTGTTACTCCTAAAGAACAAGCTGTAACAGGCTACTTCGACGCTGAGTTCGCCCTGGCAACCTTGGATGTTGGAGGTGGGGCTTTGACAAGCAGGATGGAATTTTCTCGAGCACCTTGATGCTCATCTATCTCGTAAACAGAGAGTTTTTGGTTGGTAATCGATATTGATAGATAACGATTTACTCAAGCAATAGTTGCCTAGCCAGGTATCCCTCCGCTATTGGGCTCCACCATCACATCCACTACCACCTCTGCTAGATCTAACGCTTTCCAGGTAAGAAATACGCTGCACGTCATCGCTCGCAGCAGCTAACCATTAATGGTATTGAATTTCTCGACTAATGGATAAACTTCAATAAGAGCCCAGGGAGGTTTGAGTCGAGGCAGCAGTGAAGCTGCAGCACGGTAAAGATGATCGGACTGTGCTCACTGCTGGCAGTACTTTGAACCACATTCTACCTTTCTCATGTCTTGTATGAAATGAAGCTTCTTGGAGTGGAGGAGTCTGTGTAAGCAGCTGCGCCTTAACGTGAAAAGTTTTTTTTTTTTTTTTACAAAGCTTTGATTGCGCAGACACATATTCACGTTGGGACTTTTGGTTCTCGCTTATCATTGCTGACTGGCATCTAGTTATGAAAAAGCGTAAGTTGGGAACAGGGTCTAAGCGGAACATCTCGGGTAGGTACCTGAATCTACGTGAAGTCAAACCGCCGTCTGTAGACAAATGCTCACTGATATATTAACGACTGCAGTAGTGGAACCATCCGTTGGTGCAGAATATGGAATGCTAGAAACCACGGGTAACACTTAGAGCTCTATATTGCGTAATGCAGTGTCTTCGTAAATTCTCCCATCCAAGGAATAGCTTTAATGATGGACTGTGGTAATTCAAAGTTTGGATGAAAGGAGCAGTAACCCTTATTCGTGCCATGGCACCATTTGTGGAGTTGTTTCATAATATTTAGCAAATCGAAGTCTCGTGTCGGGCTCAACGATTTTCCGATATGTATGATAACATCATTACATCTGATATCATAAGACCACGTTTTAACAAAATGAAACGTATATATCCTTCACTCACTCACTGTGGATTCCACAACATCAGCAAGCTCTCTTGTGGACTATCGCCACTCCAAAAGTAATTCAGAACTGTCTACGTATCTGCAGTTTCTGCAATATCTACACCCGCTGTTTGCGTCAGCGATAGCTTCTACTTTCTTGTAGTGCCGTAGGAACGCGCTTTCTCAAATATCCTCAGAAAAATATTCAACCTATCCCCACAAATGGCCCCGCCTAGTACTGCTGCTGGTGCTCCAGCCGCCGCCGCGGACACGACTGACGTTAAGAAGCCACAGGAGCCGAAGCCAGACGAGGCACCTACGGCTAATGGGGAAACCTTTAGGGTGGGAGGCTCCGAAGGCTAACGGTATTCTAGAACATTTCCTATTCAAACTCGGGCATACTCCCCCATTTCACACCTCGCTGTTCCGTCTCCACGAAATCCATGCTACGGGATGATTCCCTCCGCAAGAAGAACATGGCTATTATGTTCCTGCAGGCCCTCCAGCCAGATATCGATGTACGGGATGCATACACGAACAAGGAAAATAAAGAGCATGGGATGTCTCTAAGCTACACGAGTGGTGGAGATCAAGAAATATCACTGCCGGGCCCGGCCTGTTCTTTCCCCTCGGTGTTCTCTTCACTTCACCGGTACTTCTCTCCACATGTGTCGCAGCTCAATTAAAGTGCTGAACAGATGCGGCGTGCACTTGCATCGCTGTTGCAGCACCCCTGCCAGCTAGGACGTCACTTTTGAGTTCGTGGTACCGTTACTGGCGTCCGTCTGACACTTCCCTGTTGTACATCACTCACAGCCAACCACACTTCTTGGCTACAAGAGCTGCCCGACCAGTCAAATAGAAAACAAACAAAAAAATAAAGGAGCGGTAGCAATAAAAAACTTTGACGGATCACACTCCCGTCCAAGCACTATCAAAGAACCAAAGTCGACGCCCACCATGCACAATCCTTCGGCCCTCGAAAAAAGCTTTTCCTCTGATCCCTGATCCCCGCCCTCCGACACTGCAAGCTACACCTGCATCCACGCCGTCAGCAAGCACCTAGCAGCAGCGCGTCACCCAGAAGCGCCGTGCCGCGAACCCGACCCCGACCCCGCGTTCCCTTCCCGCTGCAGGACGCCAACGCACAGCCTAACGCAGCCAGCCCTCACCACCAAGCCCACCATTACCAAACAAAATTCGCTTTTACGACACCTGCCACCCAACCACTGACAGAGAGACTGTAAAAAAAAAAATTAGCAGCTGCATGACAAGAGACCCGAGCCGCCGGAACGCAACTGCAACCCCCTCACCCCCACGACCCCGACCAGTCGGTGCGGCGCCAGCCCCGTACCCTAGCTTTCTGCACCCCCATCCCGCTCATACGTCAGCCGCCAGTCTGACAGCCTAGGCTTTCCCTGGACCCTCTTTGACGGGATCGTTAGCCTTTTTTGCTTTCACTCTGACCAGAGTTCTGGTATCCAATCACTACGCGAGGCCGAACATTGAGCTTCTTTTTATGCCTCATTTTTTATGATTTGCTTTTTCTTTATTTCCGCCGCTTCTGCCTACGTCACACGCGCTGCACGGCATACTTTAGTCCGGAGGAGCGGACAGAACTGCACACACACACACACAAACACGGATCACTTTTCTCTTTTGTTACCCGAAGCGGTAATCGCGCATCGACTAACTACATCAAGCAAAAGCAAAGAGAAAAACGAAATAAGAGAAGACAAGCGTTACCCCTATTCCCCCCAAGCCCCACTCCACCGTCCCAATTTTTTTTTTTTTTCAAAATAGCTTAAAGGTAGGTACGTACCTACAAGCGCCCAGTCCCATGATTCGTCGCATGTCGGCCCGCAACGCCACGCCCGCCACCTTATTCCCCTCCCCCCCTCCTCTCTCCTCTCTCTCCCCTCTCCCCTCTCTTCCCGCCCCCCCGACTTAACCCATTGTGTACGCATTCGGCGCCGACCGACATAGCACACACTACACATAGCACACACACACGGCACGGCACACATACACCAAAAATCTTTCACCCACTCACAAAACTTCCCGAGGCAGCCCCTGCATTCCCCCCCGGCATCCTTCTCCGACATCCTCACTGGACAGGCAGTCAATCCCGCAACAGCCATGTACGCAGATCAGGACCCTGTAGAAATTTAAGCGTAAACAGAAGAGAGTTCATCGCTCGGGTTTTGCGCAAGTGACCCGAGTACGTGCAGCGATGGACAACGCGCCGCCGCCGCCCCTGCCGCTGTGCTGTGTGCTGTTATTGCCGTGCCGTGCCCTGCCCCGTGATGTAACACATGCACACACAACACCAGCCTGATTTCGTCGCCTCATCATGAGAAAGAGAGGCAAAGGCAGGAGATAACTCCGAGGCGCGTGTGGCGAACAACCATATTTTTGGTCTTATGTCATCGTGCCTACTATTCGATTCAGGCCACCATTATCGGCGGCCGCACCGGGTAGAAATGATGGTGTGACGCGCGTGTTTGTAAAACATAAAACATGGCATAGGGCGAGCGAGAGCGGTGTCGGGCCGGGCGCGCGGGGCAAAGCAAACACCGAGACTAACCAAAAAACCCTGCCTTGTTTGTGCGGAACAAAGACAGGAGGACCCACCGGGGGCCGATTGTGGTCTGGAATTTTTGTTGGAACGGATGGAAATGAAAACAGGATTGTGGTGGATGAGGAGGAGGAGGAGCTGGGTTGGTGGTGAGAGAAGCACGTGTCTCGATGCAAAACGCCGGGTCCCAACGACCTACGTCACGACTAAGTCGGCCGCTACTACACGAGTCAATTAGACCAACAAACCAACGATATCAGGGGGAACGGCGGGTTGTGTAGAAGCTTTTGGAGGTGCGCGCTGGTGTCTCTAATTGGCTGCGCCTCCTCCTTTGTCTTTCGTCTAGTCTAATGCTGTGGCTTTTTAGACGAAGTATGTGTGTGTGTGTGTGTGTGTGTGTGGGCGTCTAAGGTGACATGCGGAACAAGTCAGATGATCTCTACCCTTCAACTCCGGAACCAAGGGAACAAAGGGAGAAAAAAACGAAAAATGTACAGAAATAATGAACAAAGCATCCAAAGGGATGTGAAAATGAAGATCCAAGTGATGCCCATTTGCCAATTGATGATGATGATGATGCAGATCCATCCGAGTTTGCGCCTTGTAGTCTTCCGTATGTGTGATGATGAATCCCAACCGTATATGTAAATGCATGCTTGCGTTGAACGTATAGACGTGATCTGCGTGGATCGGTGCAGTTAAGCAGGAGAAACGCCGAAGCCAGATGATCCAAAGGTGTCCAGGAAAAAGGGAACGTGCAAGAGCGGTAGCGAAGAGGGCCCGGCACGTTTTAGAGCGAATAGTCAAAAAAGGGAATCTGGGAAAGTCGATAGCCGCGACCCAGACAATTACGATGCAGAAGGCGGGATCTCGATGTTCGACCGTTTCAGGGCAAGGTTGAGCTCGTGTTGGGTGAAGGTGCTGCCGTTGCTGGTGGTGCCCGTGTGCGGCCGCGAGCTGGTCGACGAAGGATCGGAGCCCTGCTCGGAGCGCATGGCCACCGACTTGAGTCGTGTGTTCTCACGTGTGGTGCGCTGCTGCGGGGTAACGCCGACTGAAGGAGTCTCAGCATCAGGAGTCCAGCGACGAGGGCGACGAGGCGTCAACGCTCTCAGAGCCGGAGCGCGACGTACCATTGGCGACATCTCCAGCGTCGTTGATGTCCTCGATGACCTGCCTGCGCGGGGCGTTCATGCTCTTGCGGCTCGTCAAACTGTTCCTCCGGCTGGGGTAGCGGCTGCCCATGGGCGAGTAGAGGCTCTGATCGCTCCGCCGACGCCAGGCCTTCTCGAAGTTGAAGGCCTCGAGCTTCTCCTTGTGCTCTTTTGCGACAGGGCGGCGGTACTTGGGCGTGGGCAGCGGCTCCCCTGGCTGATACCAGACGGAGCTGTCGCTCTTCGAGTTGTTCTTGGAGAGAGTGGACGAGGTCGAGGTCGACTTGGCGGACGAGTTGCGGCCCAGGACCCGCTTGACGCGCTCGCGAAACGCCATGGTGGGTTCTTCGAAAGGAGGGAAGGAGCGTAGGGGGAGCGGAGCGAAAGTGAGGCGGGCGCAAAGGCTGCAGATCGGACGCGGCGAGCAATCAGGTGAGGTTGCTCGGGGTGGGCGGCGTCGGGGCGGTTGGGGTTAGCAGCGGAGTCGCATGGAGCAGAGAGGGCCGGACGGACGTTTTCGGCGCGGGCTGGGATCGGAGGGGAAGAGAGTGGGCGAAGTTGGGGCTGGGGAGTCGTTAGATGTCATCGGGAGGGACGGGTGCGCCGGGAGGCACGGCGTCTGGGCGCGGCGAGCGAAAATCCATCGGGTCTGGATGGCCAAGCCGCGCGGAGTGGCTGCGGCTCGATTGCGGCTCGCAAATGCGAGATGCTTGTTCGCTGGAAGCTGCCGTCGCCGCGTCGGCATCAGGACTGGCTTGAGCGGGGCCCTGGTGGAGGTGGTGAGACTGGGCTGGAGTTGAGTGTATTATTGGCATGCGAGTCACACATGCACCTGCAGCAGCTGCGACCGCCCCTGTGCCCGCGCCCCGACCGATGCTCCTCCGAGCTCCGCCGCCGCCTCCACTACGCTCCCGTACGCACAAGCAGCATGTCCTGAGATGGTAGCGGTCCCGAGGGCTGGGCCGGGGCGCTGCAGCGGGCGTTGGCGAGCTGTGGGCGGCGTCTGGGTCCCCGCCCGTCGGCGATCTGGATCTGCACAGGCTCTGGTGGGCAAACCTGCCGACTGTGGGCGAGTGGCGGTGCGCAATCTTCCCGCCACACTGTGGGGAACCCCAACCAAGCCCGATGATCCCGCTGTGCTCGACTGCGTCATGGGCGCAAAGAAAGCCTGCATCCTGCCTTCTAGCACGCCTGCATTTGGAGAAGCACGGCAGACCGCGTCGTCTGGCGGGCTGCACGACGCCAATGAGCTGTGTTTGCAGCCCCAGATGCAGTATGGTGTGCGCCCCGATCGAGCAATGACGCAGTGGGCGTGCCTGCCAGATGAGGTCACTCTCAGCTCAATCCATTGCTGAAAGCCCCTCATAAACTGCTTTGTCGCCCTCCACGACCTCGCGTCTGCGCCATATCCCGTCAATCACTTCTCGGCAGCCTTCTGATCCGCCGGTCCACCATGAACAAAATCAAGGACATCTTGTACGCCAAGTCCGGTGGATGCGCACCACCCGCAACACCCCTGCTACGATCTCCACCATATACTGACCTTGCCTATAGCTCTCCCGGCCACGCGCAGGATGCTGACCTGCTGTACGGCTCCCAGCAGTCTGCCAACACTGGCAGGCTTTCCGGCGAGGGCAGCCATTTCGGCAATGCCAGGGACGACACTGCCGGCATCGCTAGGTTCGCATCCCGTTCCACTTACATCATGGTAGCTCCTCTGACGTGATCCCCAGCACTGCCAAGGGCCACAACAGATCCGATACCATGGACCCAGCCGATCCTTCTTCGACGACAACTGCGTCTGATACTGCAGCCGAGAGAGGGCAAGGCTTCGCGAGACAAACGGTGAACCCCGACGAGGGGAGGGCAGAATCAGCCGGTGCGGCAGCAACTGCATTGCCTGATCGTACCGCTGGCGGTATCCACTCAACCCCAGTCGCTGAAAAGGACACTAGCCGCAGACAGCAAATTGTGTACGTTTGCTCGGGCCGACCCATGATTTGACCTGTTTAGACTTTTGCTGTGCCATCCGATCTGATTACGACTCCAGGAATCCCGAAGACTGCAAGTACGACAACAGCGGTACCCTCGAACCAACGCCCACTCGCTTCTCCAAAGAGAGCGGTCTGGAACCTGTCGGGGGCGTTTCTCGCAGTTCAGAGCACGGCCAGGGTATCGTTGGCGCTCAGTCTGCCACAGGTAATCTCAGACCATCCAAATTTGCCGACAAGGACGACGTTTCGGTCGCGAGTGTCAGATCCGGCGTCATTGGCGACACACCCCATGCCAAAGAGCTAACTGATACCGATCTACCAGTCGGAGCCCACGACACGTCGAAATCCGGCCATGGAATTGGCCCAGGCGCTGCTGCTGCTGCCGCGGGCACTGCTGCTGCACTGGGCTCTACCACTGAGCGTTCGTTCCCACTCTCTGGAGGGACCACCACTGAGACTTCTGGAACACGAGGTGACTATCCAAGCCGTGATGAGCCTTCTACCCTTGGGAGAAGTACTGAAGCACCCACCTTCGGTATGACCACTGGCACCCATAGATCTGGATATGACCGCAGTGGACTCGCAGCAGCCGCTGCATCTACTGCATTTGACAACCACAAGCATGGAGGCCGTTATCACGAGTATGAAGGCCCCAATACCGACACTACCACGAGCGGACCCACATTCACTTCTGGTCCTCACGCCACTGAGACTGCGAACAGGCTTGACCCTAACCTTCCTAGCCCTAACCTTCCCAGTTCCTCCATGCCAGGAGCTTATCCTGACTCGGCTGCTGCAACTCCTGCCAGCGAAGTACCAAGCACTACCACTACCACTGGACCTTCATCACACGAGCATCATTACGGACGTGATGCTGCCATGGCCGGAGCCGGTGCTGCCACAGCTGGAGCCCTGTACGAAGCTCGTTCAAGAGAGACCGCGGGGCCTGAACCGGTAAGAGCAGCAGACCGCACTCAGAGGATCTCTTCTCAAGACTATGGACAAGACACTGCAATGGCTGGGGCTGGCACAGCCGCTGCCAGAGGCATGCACGAAACTCACCACAGAGAACCTACCGAGGCCGTGTCTGCGCCAAAGTCTGAGACTGTCAGAGATGCGCCAAGTCAAGAGCATCACTACGGACGCGATGCTGCCATTGCTGGAGCTGGTGCCGCTGCCGCAGGAGGTCTCTACGAGGCACGCAGGAAAGGGTCCACCGAGACCGACCCAGCAACCAAGACTCACGGCCCTCACAAGAGCAACGTAGCGAACATTATGGACCCACGAGTATTGCCTGATCCTGACAAGATGAAAGGTCACCACGCTCAGTCTACCGAGACGGATCCTGCCTCAAAGACTGTTGGCCCTCACTCTAGCAATATTGCGAACGTCTTGGATCCAAGGGTCCTTCCTCAGCCGGAAAAGATGAAGCAGCACACGACCGCTGGTCCGCATCAGTCTGACTCTCTCAACCGCATGGATCCACGTGTGGACTCTGATCCTGCCAAGGAGGCAAATCAGCACCACTATGGTCGTGATGCTGCCATTGCGGGCGGTCTTGGAGCAGGGGCAGCTGGTGCCTACGCCGCCTCGCAACAGCATAGCGAGAAGAACCCATACACCTCTCATGCCGTGGATCCAAGGGTTCATAGCAGTTCAACCGCGTCAGAGACTCCGGCGAGGACAGCTTCGAAGAAAGGAGGCTGGTTCGCTGGCCCAGTTGGTTCCGCCGTTGACAACAATAAGACCCCGGCTACGACTACAGTTCCGACTGGAACAACAGGACATAATGGTTCTTCGACAGCTCAATCAGGCCAGCAACACCATTACGGACGTGATGCCGCTGTTGCTGGTGGCGCAGGTCTAGCTGGTGCAGGCATTGCTCACCAATACGGCGAACACAAGGCTGATCGTGCTACTGCTCAGGACCATGCGTCTGGCACCACTGGTACATCGGGGCCTTACTCCTCGTCCCATGCTCAGCAACCGCAGACTACTTCCACCAGTCAGTCTACAAGCCAGCACCACCATGGACGCGAACCTGCCGTGGCCGGTGCTGTTGGCGCGACAGCTTATGAATATCAGAGGGCCGAGGCCCAGAAGGCTGAGCAGGCACACCCTTATGGCACTACCACTTCTCCTACTGGCGAACAAGTGAGAAGCTCTACTGATCCGGCAAGGACCTCGGCAGATTCAGACAAGAAGCATCACTATGGTAGAGATGCTGCGGTTGCCGGAGCTGCTGGTGCCGCGGGTGTTGGTGCTGCACACGAGTTCAGCAAGCACGATGCCGAAAAAGCTGAGAAGGAGCATCTCAAGGAGCAGAAGGCGTTGGAGAAGGAGGAGAAGAAACACCAGAAGGAACTGGAAAAGGAGGAGAAGAAGGAGGAGAAGGAGCATGAGAAGGAGGAAAAGAAGCACCAGAAAGAACTCGAAAAGGAGCAGAAGAAGCATGAAAAGGAAGTCGAGAAGGAGCAGAAGGAGCTCGAGAAGGAAGAGAAGAAGAAACACCACGGTGGTCTCTTTGGCTTCCTTCATCGGGATAAGGACAAGGACGAGGAGAAGACGGCCGAGCACGATGACAAGCACCACCGGCATGGGAAGGAAGCTGGCGCGGTGGCTGCTGGTGCTGCTGGTGCTGCTGCTTACGACCATCATGAGCATGACAAGCACGAGCGTAACAGACTCCACAAGGATCCACCAGCGGACTATGTGGCCAAGGCTCACGAAGGAGAGTACTACGGCACTGAAGGTCGGACCGGAGAACCTGGTGCAGTTTCCAGCCTGCAGTAAGTTTCCTACTCTTACACGTTGGCCTCTTGACATATTCTAACCTTTCGAAAGGGAAACCCATCCTGACGAGTACGGCGCGGTCAGGTCTGGAGAACAAGAGGGCGTCGTCACCGAGCCGCACACCGGTCTGCCAATGAACGTCGGCAAGTACGGCTCCGGCGCCGGTGGCACCGATGGTAACGAGGCAATTCAGGGCTTCCGCGGTTATGATGCTGGTACGGAGGCGTCTGGCCCTAATGCCGCCTACCAGAGCGGTGCTCAGGGCGGCACTATGGGTCCCGATTGGCAGAATGTCAAGAAGTCGAACACGCCGTATTAGATGGAGGGTTTTGCTGAGAACTGGTAATCGACAGTGGATGAGGTAATGGAGATTGCTGGTAACATTCGGGTGGCTTTCATGGCTGTTATGAGATACCATGGTCACGACCTTTGCTTTGAGCCTTGCTTGAGCGTTGATTGCTTTTTTGTTGCAATGGTTTACGGTATCAGGAAACGAGTAATCAGTTAGTTAATTCAGATCATTTGGTAAGGTAGCTGGATGAATGGATGAAAGAATAACGATGAGCACAATAAATAGTCAGAATGAATCGTTGAAGAGCATATTCTTGCATTGGTTCGTAGGCCCACTCGTGCTACGCAACGTGACCTAGACTAGTGACTTTGCGCTCAACAGGGGTTGCTTGGCCAGGTGGGTCCTCACTTAGTATCATTGAGTGTTGGTTAATGGGTATGAGGTGAACCGCTACACACATTTTCTAGCATTATGAGAAGGGTATTGGTCCCAATAGGTCGTGGATTGTACTAAGATGTGTTCTTGGGCGTCACATTGACGTCGATTTGGATTTAGAACAAAGTTCCCACTGTATCATCTTCCAACCACGCATGTCCGCGAGGCAACAGTGTCAGTGTCTGAGCAGTTACTTTAGGTTTCCTTGGGAATCTATTTCCATCACGATCAAGGCGCACTTGGCTGCCAGCATGTGTCTCCACACTCAAACTCTTTCATAATTTGCCAGATTCTTAAAATGGTTCGGAGAAACCAGGCTTTAGATACCCAATACTTCATAAAAAAAGCGGGTGTAGAAGCTGAAAAGCGCCTCGTCTCTCTAAATCTTGCTCCACATTGAAAGTCTATGTCTCTCATGCAACTCGCCTGCGCCGGGTAAGCTGGAACACTGAAGCTCCACACTCGTGTTGTTTCACTTTCCGGAAACCTCACTCTCGGAACATCCCGAGCCACAGCCTGCCAACAATTTTACCACCCCCTAAGCCTTCACCACCGCCACCGCCGCCGCCACCACCATCGATGCCCAACTCCTCTTTTCCCCTCTGCAATCTCCCAACGCCAGGCATCAAGTGCAGGTCACTCATCTCCCCATACGCTCCACTCAAATCTCATCAATCCAATCAAACCTCCCCCTCCACCTCCCCCACCCACCCCACCCACTCCTCGACCTCCCCCTCGCTCCCCCTCACCCCCTGCACCCTCCCACTCGCCCAAACCGCACACTCCCCCACCACCCTCACCACCGCCTCCACCTCCCCCCTCTCCAACCCCAGCCTGCGCAGTCCGCGCAGGTGCCACAGCGTCGGCGCCTTCAGGCCGGAGCCAGCGAGGATGGCGCTGGCCGTCACCAGGCTCGTCTCGACGTCGGACAGGACGGAATGGTCGGACAGGAAGAGCCCGTAGATGACGGATTCTTCCAGCCAGCGGAAGTCGGCTTCGTGCGAGGCCCAGGTGCGCAGGATGGGCGGGAGGTGGTGCTGGTAGAGGCGGTGCAGGTGGGCGGCGCCGCGGGTGGTGGTTGGTGTGCCTGGGGCGAGGGAGAGGGTGGGGTCGGAGGGGTTGGAGGAGTAGCGGGGGGAGAGGGTGGTTTGGGGGCCGAGGACGGGGGCGTCTTGGGATGGTGGTGGGGGGGAGGAGGTAGCAGGAGGGGCGTTCCAATTGGGATTGTCGAAGGTCGTGGGCGCGTCGGAGGGGAAGAGGCCGGCTTCCTGCTCGGCGCGGCCGAGGGACGACACGGCTGTGACGACGGGCGGGATGCCGATTAGCGTCCATTCCTTCAGCAGCATGTCGCGCAGGTGCAGCGAGATGGTGCGGGTCTCGGCGGGGGGTAGCTGGGCGGCGGCGGCCGGCTGCTGTGACGACGGGGCATTGTGGCCGGTGACGTGGAGGAAGAGCGGGCCGAGGAGGTTAGGGTGGCCGAGGGCTGTCAGGGTGCAGGCTGGGAGGATGTATGCGGCGCTCTTCGGTAGGGAAGGTGGCAGCAGGTGGCGGACTCTTGATAGCAGAGCGGGCAATGCTTGTGCGGATGGCGGTGGCATCTTCCTTTTTTGTGGCGTCAAGATGGCTTGGGATGTGTTGACGACGTTGTGGGTGCTGACGCGACGAGAGGTGTTTTCATCTCACCTGCCCCACCTGCCTTGTTGAGATGACCTCGGTAGGATTGCCCATTTGGACCTCATCCTCTCATCCGCATTCCTCAGCATGCATTTCTGTGCGGCGAAAGAGAAGAGAATGAAGAGATGGAAACTCGATATCGAATAGCCAAATTGGTAATGGCGTTTCTCAGCCACGATGCGGGGTTGTTGAGGGTAGCCCGCTTCGGAAGGTCCGACAGCCTCCCGATCTCCTTCCCCCACCGGCCATCAATCCCGACTTCAGCTTACCGGCAGAGAGAGATCAGCTTGACACGTTTCGGTCCGGAGCTCGGCTTGCCATGCTTTCCGCCATGACGTCGGTTCAGCCCCAAGACCTGCGCCTTCTCGCTACGAAACACCACCGACCCCCCAGACTCACAGCCACTTCCTTCATCGAGTGCGATAAGCATTTTTGAACCGGGTACGGCGCTTCGAAAAGCTCAGCCTCAGGTAGCCGATCACGGCGGATCCCGATGAAGCGTCAGCTGGGTCTAGCCTGTGCTCCGGTCGAGTTCGCGTGTCGTCTGTACGACAAGCCTTTGCCTAGCTTTCGGTAGTGTAGGCGAAAGCGGAATCCTTTCGGGAAGAGTCTGGGCCCGGCATCCGGATGCGGGGAGATGCACAGCTGAACACTGACTACCGAACCGACTAATCCTCCACACGTGCTGCACTTTCGCGTCCACATTCCTTCGACTTCAGCTGATATAGTACGCCACTACGCTACTATCGCCTCGCCTTTCTCCAATCGCTCCGGATCTGGCCTGGTGGATATTATATCGACTCCACTCCGTCCGCCGTCCAGACCCTGTCCGCTAGCATTGAGCCGGCACTCCTTCATCACGCGAGCCCAGTCAACAACACTGCCCCGCCATAATGACCGTATGCCATGTGGAAGCAAGGGGTTGATCTCACCGTCATGTGCAACCATCTGGCTTTATAGAACGCTAATGTACCCTCGCGCACCTGGATCATCCTGCCGCGACGGATATTTGTTTCGGAAGTAAACCCTCATGTCTTCGCTACCATCCGTCGACGACTATCATCTCAACGACTCGCAAAGGAACCTTCGCGCCTCGCTGATAATATGCTTAACCGTTTCCGCTGTCTTTGTCCTATTGAGAGCCCTGGTTAGGCTGCACATTCAGCGCCAGTTTGCCCTGGATGACTATCTCTTGCTGCTTGCACTAGTAAGTTGCCTTGGACAACCACGGCTCTAAGTAAAACATGGGCTCATGCTACACAGTGCGGCTTCTCCATGATGACAGCTTTCATGGTCCATGCCATTGACACCGGGGGTTTTGGCCGGCTGACAAAGGAACTCCCCTTGCCTGTCCTCCTACGCGGCATCAAGGTACGCCCCTTGTGGCGTGTAGCACCCTCGTACTTTTCTGACCGTCTGGCAGTTCCTCATCTGCACCCAAGTGTCTTACACTCTGACCCTGCTCACCACAAATCTGAGCATTGCATTCCTTCACCTGCGCATCACGGGCAGAGCGCATCCTCTTTTCAACCGTCTTCACTATGTGTCCATTGCCGTAAACGTCATCATCGGGCTTTACGAATGCTTCGCCTTGCTCTTTCAGTGCTATCCGGTAAGTGCGCCACGTCTCATGCAGAAGTTCCCATGGCCGACGATTAAGGTTTTATTTAGGTTTACAAAGCCTGGACTCCGACAATGCAAGAAGGGCACTGCGTGGATAAGCACGGGCTCACCATTGGCATCTACGTCTATTCTTGCGTCAATGTCGTGCTCTTCTGCTACTACGCTTTTGCTCCTGCCCCCTTGATCTGGAAGCTGCAGCTCAAGCCGGCTGTCAAATTGTCTGCAATCTTCGTTCTGGGCATCGGTATCTTGTAAGCGGAATCCGGCTCTCATTATAAGCTTGACTGAGTGTTTTCAGGGCAAGCATTGGGACCATCATCCGGTTCAGATACCTCTTCGGCTTCTCAAAGACGACAGATGAACTTAGTAAGTGATGAAACTCCTACCCAGGTTGCAAGTTATCAGAAGGCCCTCAGGCTAACACACCTCCGTGCGTTCAGAGTTCTTTGCGCCTTTTGCACGCTGGTGCTGGATTGAGTTGTGTCTCGCCATTTCCGCAGCATCAGTCTGCGCATTCCGTCCGCTCCTACGCCTCATTCCATGCTGCGCGATAGACGCAGCGGACAGAAAGGGCACCAAGCCCGGGTCAGACTCGAAGAAGAGAATCCCGCGTGGCTATACTTTCCAGCTTTCCGAGATCGATTCGATGAGTATAAAGGAACAGAGGATTCCAATCACCCAGGAGTTTGAACTCAGTACCGTGAGTACTTCTGCAGTAGCCACACCTGCTACTTTGTACGACAATGGTTGCGTGAGCTACTTCCCGATGGAGCCGGAGCCAATTGCGAATGTCAAGCGGGAATGGCGGCTACCAGACTTAGAGAGAGGGTCTTAGAGACAAAGAAGGAGATTCACAACTGTAGTATTTTTGATGATACCCCCGGGCAAGACGGACACGGTAGTCACGTGCATAGCACTGAACAGCCGCTATGAATAGTCTGCTTGCTCTATTATAAGCTTCATGTGTATAATTAGTTCACTATATACTTCTCATGAATTTCATGTGTGTAAATATTCTGCATTATTCATTGATCACTTGGATGACTAGAGATTACTGTACTTAGGTGTGAGTGGCAAGCGGTCTCGGAACGAAGTCCAACACTACAGTATTCCCGCTTTCTGACGTCGCCCTTACATCAGCGAACATCCAACGGGTATCGCAAAGAATGCTTTGGTCATGAAACACGGGAAGCGGGAACGCTGACGCCTGATCCCGTGACACACGCGTCAACATCTCAAGTGTCCAACGTCATGACTTCTCCATTCCACTCGAACTTCCCCACCTTAGCCGTGCGTACCTGCAGGGAAGATAAGCGCTAGGATCTTGCAACTGCGATCGCATCCTGCATTCTCTTCCCGCTGCAGCGAATCTCGACACGCCAGTCGCGCATGGATCGACAATCCGGGCCGCATGATTGACGTCAGTGTGCAACAATGCTCCCTGCACGCCGTCGACAATCGCGACGCATTGAGATTCCATTGGCATTCATGTGCGCTGCCCTACGCGCTTGTAGCACATGCATGGTCGTCTCCCAAACGATCACATCCCTCACATTGACCTCTTCGATTCTTGCGGGGTCTTCGAGAGATCTCCACCATGTTGCCAGCCGCTGACCTTCTAAAAATGAATATGTTCACCTACCAGACATTAGGACTCCACTGTACTCCGTAAACAGTGCTTCTAAGCAGGACAAGCTCATCCAGCCTTAGATCGAAAAGAAGCTTTCATTGACAGCTTTGTAGTGTCTGCCATGCGGGTAATCACCAGCCAGCGGTACGCTACTCCAAGGCCTTCCTGTCAGAGGATCGATAACGCCTTCGGCAATCTTCCATCACGCATTCCGAGATGCGCCTTTCCTCGACAGGGGAAAAACGTCATGAACTCAATGCAGAGCGTGCGGCACCGACGTCTACGATGAGAAGAAACGGGTATGGGGCTCCACAACACCAACACCAACGCGGGGCACAATCGGCGATCGCAGGTCTGGACCGGAATGCAGCCCCTCCTACTCAGCCAGAGGTGTATATAAAGGACGTACTGTGCCGCGCTGCTCAAACCACCAGCATCGACCACCTTTCATATCCCGCGCCGTCCCCAAGCAGAGCAACACAGCGCCCTCACTTTCCAACCAAATCTCACCACCGCAACACACACCATGTCCAACCCCGGCAACGTCATCGGCGGCCACAAGGCCAACCTCAACAACCCCAACACCTCGGACGAGGCCAAGCAGCACAGCAAGCAGGTCATCGACGAGCACATGCAGAGCGGCGAGATGCCCCAGGCCGACCAGCACAAGAACCCTGGCAACGTGTATGTTCTCTCAGTCACTTCAACAACCATCATCCCTCGTTCGTCTTTTTTCACCACAGCGTTGGGTTCGGATGCTGATGTTCTGGGTTGTGGAATAGTGCTGGCGGTTTGAAGGCGACGCTTAATAATCCGAATGTCTCTGATGAGGCGAAGCAGAGTGCGCAGGAGAGGCTTCATGATTTTTAGGGGATGGTGGTGGGCATCATTAAGAGCTTTGAATGCCCTACAACTAATGATGTGTAATGACATGCAAGGAAACGAATACATGTTAAATTATGAATTTCTTGCCCATGCGGAGGTAGCTCTGTGAGCTGATGTATATGTCAATATAGGCTTGCTGTATTCAAAATCATGGGGAGGATTGGGTAGTGAGCTCTCTACTCTTGCTGGGTGTACTCAACATTGCAACCGATATGGTGCAGCCCTTCAGCAACATTTCTTAAAGTTGATCCGTTTTGAATATTGAAGGCAAGTGAGACGACGGCGTTGGTTAGGTTTTCTATGAATGATAACCGGGAGCAATGAGCAACGCAATCCTTGTTACACCCAGTTTTCAACAACAGTCCCATCTCGCAGCCGATGGCTAGCGTGGATTTGTTTTTTGGTCATGTTATGGATAGTTGAAACCATCGTCCGGACGTGTATGTAAAATTTTTAATTCGACATTCTTGTCCGGACGATAGCTTCAACTGCCCACATATGTTATTTTTCTGAAGCAAAGCTGGGGGCATAGTTACGCTATGTTCTAGAGCCCTGCTATCCATCGCGCTAGCCATCGGCTGCAGCACCCCTCTGTAAAGCATATCGTATCCGTAGTTGGAAGACTTTTCATATTCAATGCCTTGAAGACATGTTCCATAGAGAGTAAGATTGACTCCGCAAGGTCGAGTAATTTATACTATTGTTGAATGTTGTCCGCAGTGCCAGTAGCTGCACGAGGAAGCCGAGGGACGGACATCTGCGCAATCCGCTGGCCGTCGCTCACCACGGGACGGGCGCGAGCTGCAGGGCGGCATACGTCAGATGTATGAAAGAGAAAAGCTTATCCCTTCTATCATGTGAGCTCTGCTCGACGGACCTAGAGAAGTAGAGAGATTAAAAACAGCGTCGTATGCGATGTGCACCCCGAGGATAAGGCACCGATTGAATATACCGGATTCTGCAGAAATAAAGGAAACGACTTGCTGCGTTCGGAGAACATATGGATAACCTTGACTTTGGTCAGCAAATCACCGAAGGTATCCAGGAGGCCCACGATGCCAACAATAGAAGACGTACAATTAGGCTCGCCCTCGTGAACTACACATACCGATCACCTGCAACATATGTTAAATGCTGCGGCTCATCATCATTTGTTGCGCATCATGTTGTTTCCAACAAGCATACTTTTACAACCGCTGCGTTCAGAAGAGTTTCTTTTCTGGAAATCATGCGCCCGAAACCCCAAACCAGACGCAGTCGGACTTTCCCACGTCTCCGTTCTCATTTCCCTTGAGCGAGGGTGATGTCGAAAGTTAGAGAACAACGGCTTGAAGGCAGTCAGTTTAAACTACGTCAAGGTTATCCATGGACCATGAAAGGTTAGGTGACGAAGCTCAAAAGCAGCAGCCAAGGCACACCGTGCATTTCTTGAAACCACATGATTTTTAGGTACAGCAGCATGGAAGCCACGTCCACCATGTGGTACAACAATTTCTTGCTGGGCAACCACCTTCGTTTGCCTATAATCCGCCATTTACTCCAGCTGGGTATTCACACCTTCTCCCCTCTTCTCGATCTGCCAACGACCAAGCATTCGCCTTGAAACCACGTTGATGCCTTGTCTCGGTCGATTGGTATCACTCCCCCAGCCGTTCCATACTGGACCCTGAACCAAGGCGGGGATATGCAGCCACGAGTCCGCGAGCTCACAACCTCACTTCCACCTTCAACAATTTCTCTTCACGTATACTCCGAACAATTCCACCACCCCGTCTCTCACACTCCAGCAGCAGCAGCAGCCTGATCCGCCTTCTTCACTTCCTCCACCACGACCTCGACCACCCGCGCCAAGCCCTCCATCTCCTCCTCGACGTTCCCGCCAGCGCCCGCGCTCGCAAACGACGTCGAGTTGCCAACGTAGGTCGGGCGGCCGGTCCGCCTCGCCAGGATCTTCGCCAACCGCGTTGCTAGGTCCAGCGTCGGTGTCTGCGGGTAGAGCGGCGTGCTCAGCGGTTGTGCGGTGGGGTTGGCGAGCTGTATCCAGAGCAATTGCGTGTCAGCCTTGTGGCCTCCTAATTTTTTCCCCCTTCGGGAAATGAATCTGCTTGAGCTGTTGTGAAGCTTACATTCGGCATGGCGTAGACGAAGCTGCCCACGGGCGCGGTGACGCCGGAGTCATGCTCGGCAGAGGTCGTCGTGACGAAGAGGAGCAGCGATTTCGAATGCACGGTCAGGTGCAGGTTGACGCGGGCATTCGGGGCGCGCGGAAGCGGAAAGGAGATCTGGAGGGGTTTCTGCTGCTGCTGTTTGGCAGGCTCGCTGTTCGACAGGGCCGTCGTCGGCGGAGGTGCGGCGGCGGCGGCGGTCCCGGCGTCCATTGCGGGTCGGGACTAAAGCGGGGTCGGTACGTGTGAACGGCGTCCGTGACTAGGCGTGTCTCGGACCTCAAGGGCGAGATAGGGTGTGCGGGCGGGAAGCTTGGGCGTATGCAGTAGTAGTGGGAAAGTATGGAGGATGTAGCGGGCGGGTGCGCGTGCGTTACGCCATGATCTGCACTAGGAAAAGACGCGGCCGGTCTGCGGGGCAGCGGCGCACGCGAAACCAAACGGCCGACGGCTGACCAAAACTTCCCTGGCGTCACGCTCCACAAAGCACCACACCCATTCGGCAAACGGCTTGTCGGGTGACACGCTCAACCAAACACTCCTTGCCGGTGCATGTCTTGCAAAAAACGGTCCTCCTGGCGCAGCGCCTTTGTTCATCCAGGTTAAGACGATCTGCTCCGTTCGACAACCTTTTTTGGCTCGAGCCGTCCCTTCGCTGGTACCAGCTGATGTGTCTGTGAGACCTACTGCTACATCCTTCAACTAGCTTCAGACATGACCTCCGAGACGCATTCCGTTGCCCTTGAGGGCGAGTGGCAGGGAGAATTAGACCCGGAAGACGACCTTGAGGAGCAGAGAGTCATCTATGCCACTCTAGACTCTTTCCAGTAAGTGGGACTTTACCTCTTCTTTCCTCTATACGAATTTCCCTTTTCGGACATCAAGTATGCTCCCCCGTCTATCCTCCCCGTAGCACCCTCTCTGACCGAACCACCTATTCATAGCAATCCCCAAAGTTAGCCTTTTCTTATCTTGTCTCTTCAAAATGAAAAAAGGTCCTACCGCCGCGTCGCCCACTACAACGTGACACACGTCCGCCGCCAGAACTTCTACGCCATGCCCTCTGCGCACTGGAACCTGCTCGCCGGCCCGCCGTTCAACATCCTCGACGTCTTCGACCGCGTCGACGACGCCATCGACGCCAACGCCGACCTGGCCGAAGCCATCTTCCGCGCCGGCGCCCCCAACTTCGGCGTCAACCCGGCCATCACCTCCCCCATCCGCGACCCGGACGACCCCTCCCGCACCATCGCCCCCGTCTGGCGCGGCGCCGCCGCGGCCTCCGACCTCGAGAAGGCCCGCAGCACCATCCGGCAGATGTACCGCGACTGGAGCGCCGCGGGCGCCTCTGAGCGCGCCGCCTGCTACGGCCCCGTCCTGCGCGCGCTCTCTGCCGAGCACGCCTCGACGCCTCCCACCGACCGCGACGAGCTGCGCGTGCTAGTCCCGGGCGCGGGACTGGGCCGCCTCGTGCTCGAGGTGTGCCGGCTAGGCTTCAGCGTCGAGGGCAACGAGATCTCGTACCACCAGCTGCTCGCCTCGTCCTTCATCCTCAACCACAGCGCGCAGGCCGAGCAGTTCGCCGTCTACCCGTGGGCGCACGCCTTCTCCAACCACCGCGACCGCGAGGCGCAGCTGCGCAGCGTGCGCGTGCCCGACGTGCACCCCGCGACGGCGCTGACGGAGGCGAGCGCGGGTTGCAGGGTGCACGCGTTCGAGCGCATGGGCATGGCGGCGGCGGACTTTTGCGTCAGCTACAAGGGCGAGGAGGCGCGCGACTCGTTCGACGCGGTGGCGACGGTTTTCTTCATCGACACGGCGCCGAATCTGATCAATTATATCGAGGCGATTGCGAATTGCTTGAAGGCCGGCGGCTTGTGGATCAACTTGGGCCCGCTGCTGTGGCACTTTGAGAACGACCCGCCCGGCGCGAAGAACAAGCGAGGTGGTGGGGACGGTGGGAATGATGAAGGCGATGCGAGCGGTGCTGGTGGTGCTGGCAGCAAGGATCTCGGCATTGCGGAAAACGGATCCGTCGAGCTGACGGACGAAGAGGTGGTAGCGTTGGTGGAGCGGTTCGGCTTCAAGATTGAGCAGAGGGAGCTGCCTGGCGGTGGCGAGGAAGGAGTGGGTACGGGCATCGAGACTGGTTACATCTCGGATCCGAAGAGCATGATGCAGCACGTTTACAAGCCCTCATTCTGGGTCGCGAGGAAGCTGTGAAGAAAAGCGGGGGGAAAACGAGAAAAGGAAAAAAAGGCCACCAATGAGGTTTGCAGTATTTTCTACATGGAATAACTAGTAGGGCCGATTTACTGTAAGTAGAGTATAGTGATTACAGAATTCGGAAGTTTTTCTACGCGAGGGTTACGGCTTGATGGTTGTTGGTTGGCGCTAGCGAGTGTATAACGATCGGAAGCAGCCGAATACGGAAGGTTGAGAGGAACAGGAAGGCGGCTAGAACAACGTGCAGCTTCCTTCGCCCTTCCTTTCTCAACGCTTACGTAGCGACGAGCCCTAATAGACGAGCAATCGATCAATCGGTCATCGAAAAAGCCAAGCCGCAGAAATTAGCGCATGCGCCCACTGGGTATCTCAGTGTCGCTCTCCAAGCAGGGAGAAAGAAGCAACATCATGAACATCCTCATCGCTTCGGCGCACGGGACACACACGCATCTACGGGAGAGTCAAAATAGTCAGAGCCCACGATGACGGAAGAAGTGCGGTAAAAGAAGGATCGTCGGGATCGGTTTGTAGATCCGAATCATGCAGACGTCTTTAGTTGGCGCTCATCACACACTTAAAACCACACGGACCACCAGAATTATAGCTCCGGAAGACACAGCAGCCGAGACCTCTCGTAGGAGTAGGCGAGAAGAAGAAACAGAGAGCAGAGAGAAGAAACAGCGCCACCCTTTAGCGAGGCAGCCAGGAGAAAAAGCGGAAACAGAAAAAGCCGCATGCATGACGATGGGCTTAGCGAAGGCCAATATGCATCTTTTACCCCTGGACTACCCGGCTGCGTGGTTCCGCCCCATTACGCACGCCTTTTTTTTTTGCCTGCCCTCATATGCGTGAAAGCGACGACTCTCATCAGAGCTGAAAGTCCAATCGGCCCGTTTTCTTCTTGTTTCTTGTCTACTTCATCAACGCTCGATGCTCGGGCGACCGGGGAAGGAAGTGGTTCCGGTGCAGAAGAAGGGGAGAGAATCAGAAGCGGAGCGTTAATCTCCGGGGAGCTCGGGGATCTTGCGTGGGTGCGGAGATGCGAATGGGCGAATGGGCGAATGGGCCCCTGGCGTGAACAGCGCGCGTCCAAAGTATGTACGTAAGATGCTTATGCTGCACCATGTCGAGGTCTGGAGAGGGTGGCAAGAGATGAACACGCCGGTGGGAAGAGGCGCAATATTTCCTCTCCATAAAACTTCAATGCCCGTACCGCTGAATCGGGACAGGAGGGGCAAGGGTGGTGTTGTGAACACATTCCACGAATGATGAGCGACTTTGCGTTTTGCAACTGTGGACTTCCTCGCATACCGTTTGCACTCAACAGAAGGGGACTCATGTGGGCGCGGAGAAAGGTAGAATGTATTGGATCGTATCCTGCGCCGCTTTGTGTGCATCTGATGCTATGGGATGCTACGCTCACCGCAAAACTATGCTCTTGGAATAACTCCCATATGTACCAGTGAGAACTCATCGAAATGCAACAGAAGCAAGGAATCAGTCAGTCCCTCAAAAGGCTTACGGCCGCCGAGATTTTTCTATCCACCCGATGTACCTGTATGAACCAGATGCTAGAAAAGAAAATCGTAATCCATCAATCGAACTTGTGTCCTCCTCCCCGTTTGGGTATCTAACATCGGGAAGGGTATTGAAGAGAATTGAAATCAAACACTAGAGCCAGCTCCACGCCAAAGAGTGATGCTCTCCAAAAGCAGGAGAGCAGAAGAATGTTGCATAAATCTGTACAGGTGGGGTAGGATACTGAATCGGTCATCAGGAAATGACAGTATCCTCAACTGGTCGGAACGTCGGCTCTCTTCACCATGCGCGATCAAACTGTCTACGACTCAGCAAAGTGGCCGATAGTAGCGCAGAAGTTGCTGCGGTTGTCGGCATCCTTGACGACGCCGTTGCCCTGAACGGTGACCATGTTGACCGACGCCTTGGTCGAGAGACCGAAGAGCTGGACGTTGGAGTTCGTTTCCTCGTACGAGACCATGTTGTTCTGGCAGTTGTTGGCAGAAACGCACTCCTGGCCGTAGTTCTCAAAGAACGAGTACAGACCAGCACCCATGATGACCACATCCTGGGAGTTGATGAAGCGGACACCCCAAGCCTTCTTGCCGCCGTCGGCAGAAGCGCTGCTGAAGTCAGGGTCGGCCCACGAAGTCTGCACAGAGAACGGCTTGGTAGCGTCAGGGTTCGACTGGTAGTAGGGCGTCTCGGTCTGAATGGCACCCAGGAAGGTGTTCTTGGCGCCATTGAGCTCGTAGTTGTACATGACGCTGTGCTCCGAAGCAGTACCCCAAAGCCACACAGCGTTGGTAGACTCGATGAGGACACCACGAGCGTTGTAGATGTCGATCTGGTTGTGGTCCGAAAGGTCAAGCTCGTGGTCAGCAACCCAGAACCAGCAGTTCTCAATGTAAACACTGGCGGCCTCGGTGGCGTGGAACATCAAGAAAGCACCCTCGCACTCGGGGTTGGCGTCGTGGGTGGCGTTAGGGTTCTTGGCGCACTTGTCGGACTGGAGCTCAGAACCGGCGTAGCCACCGACACGGAAGTGCACGTCCCAAAGCCCACCTTTACCTGCGTCGGATTTCATGTTCCACTGCATAAGGATGGCTCCAGGGGCAGGGCCGTGAACTCCGATGATGAAGTCGCTCATCTCAACGTTACCAGTCGAGTTCTCCTCGCCAACCTTGATGGCAGGAATGGGGTTGCTCTCGTCGCTGAACTTGTCACCGGTGGCGAGGATCATGGGCAAGATTTCGCCGGTGATCTTGAGGTTCTTGTCACCGGGAATGGTAACGGTGTCACTGATCAAGTAAGCGCCGTGGTCGAAGTACAGGATCTGGTCATCAGTGAGAGCATCGATAGCCTTCTGAATGGCAGCCGTGTCGTCAGTAGTGCCGTCACCCTTGGCACCAGCGTCCTTGATGCTGACGAAAGAGCTGGAGGCGTAGCCAGCGTACTGCGGCTTCGAACGAGTGAAGATCTCACCAGCGTCGTTGAGGAGAGGAGTGGGCCTAGTGAAGTCGACCTCCTTCTGGATGCGAGTTCCAGTGCTGGAAATGTACTCCTTACCCTGAACCCAAGACTCGACCTTGCTACCGCCAGCAAGAGCAGCAGCGCCAGCAGAGAGGACAGCGGTCTCGCTGCCAGAGAAGTCAACATTGTTGAGGACCAGAGTACCACCGGTGGCAGGAACGCTGTTCTCGGAAAAGGAAGTGTTGACACCGAGCGGGGTGTTGGTGAAGGTGCTGTCAAGGACAATGACCGAGCCGACAGTCTGGTTGGACGGAGAGTTGGCCATATCAATTCCGACGTCGCAGTTGTTGATGTTGACGCCGTGGAAGGTCCAGAGCCAGTTCCAGTTCATGAAGATGGCAGTGTTGCAGCCGTTGAAGGTCAGGTTGCGGGTGGTGAACTGCTGGCTGCCGAGGAAAGCACCGTAGTTGCCGCCGTTGAAAGTGAGATCCGTCATGAAGCCACCGGAGCCGTTGTCCATGAAGATACCCTGCTGCTTGTTGGTGGCGCTCTTGGGAAGCATCTCGAAGCGGATGTTCTGGAGACTGGTGGCCTGGGCGACCTGCCAGTGGATACCGGCACCGGTGCTCTCAGGCATGCCAGTAAGGTCGATGACAAAGTTGCGAATCTGGCGGAAGAAGTTGTTCTGGTTGGTGTACCAGTTGGAGCCATCGTCGTTGTAGGGATCAGCGTCAATGAGAGCCATGCCGGCGAAGCTGGCAGAGCCCTTGATGACAGGGAGGTCATTGATGTCACCAACGAGCTGCGTGTAGTAGTACTGGACAATAGGCTTGCTGACCACGTAGGTTCTGTGCGCGCTTTAGAAGAGCTTTGGGTAATATCAGATCAGGAGGCTTACCCAGGGGGGAAGTAGACGAGCGCAGGGGTGACGGTGGAGGAGTCACAGTTGTTGCCGCAGCGGTTGCCGTCGCTGATGGCCTGGTTAATGGCAGCAGTGTCGTCGGTGGAGCCATCGCCAGTGGCGCCGTAGTCCTTGACGTTGCGGAAGATCTTGAAGTCGGAGTTGCCATAGGCCACGGTGCCCTGGCGCTTGATGTCGGCAAGCCAGTAGGACGAAGCGGCGGCAGCGGCCGAGGTATCAACGCTCAGGTCGAGCCCAACGCCAGCCACGTCGACGCCGATGTCGAGGGGCATGGGCACGGCTTGGGCAGGACCGGCGCTGAGGAGGAAGCGCAGCCCGAGGGCAAGCGCAGCGGTGCTGAAAGCGATCATGATGAAGAACCTGCTTCGGAAGGGAGTGAGGAAGGAGAGTGTCGAATGCTGGTAAATAAAGCCTTGTCAGTGCACAGCACTTGAGCTTGGGCCGGGTATTGCGCGGCCGCGAGGCTGGTGGCAGAATGTAGAAGTCGAAATGGAATGTGCGCGTTCAGGTCAGGGAAGGTTGGCGCGTCGTATTTAGGCGCGTGGGTGTGGTCAGAATGAAAGAGTGACGGAGGACAAGAAGAAAAACAGTGTAGCCGGGGAAAGCCACAGAAGAAACGCTGTGCTCGCACAGCTCTTGAGAAAGGCAGGTGGTGGGAGGCGAGGGGAGGGCGGTGGCCGCGTATGTTTTATAAGCGCAAGCCGGCGGGCGAGAAACATGAAACATAGATTTTGCACTCACTTCTTGGTCTGGCGGCTCCGTGCCAAAGACTCCTGGTTTCAAGTGGGCCGCTGCCGTCTCCGCACCCGCTGCGGCGGCCTGATTTATAGGTCGATAGCTAACGCTGCGCTCGCCTAGCCAAGCCTCGCGCTCGCCAGCGGACTCCGCGGCGGGCACTGCCTGCCTCGTCGCGAGGGGCAGCTGCTCGCCGCGGCGGTCACGGCCGTTCGCCGCGTGGCCATTGTCACGCCCGCGGCCAGCTTCCTGCTCGGGGGGCGGCATGCTGCGCGGCATCGAGGCCAGCGGCAAGGGGAAGGCGGGCACCCAAGTTCAGGCTCGGCGGGGTGCGCTGTGCGGGCGGGCCTGTGGTTCGGCGCGCCGAGCAGCCGCGTTGTCAAATCGAGCAGCAGGCCTGGATTGGCAGTGAAACATTCCACGAGTGGGCCGGTGACCAGTTGTTGGATGTCGATGTGCAGAGGTCGGCGCAGCGGCCTGTCCCTGAGGCAACTTAGGGCGGTCGGAGTGGTCGTGCCCCGGCCAGTCAAGCCACGCGCCTGCCCTGATCGGCCTGCGTTTGAAACCGCGGCGCCGCATCTGTCCAAGCTGCGTCTCAGGAACACGCCCCCCGCGCGCGCTCATAGGCTCGCCTGGTCATCTGCGCGGCCGCTGCCCTGCCGCCACGCAGAGCGCAATCTTTGCGGCGGTCAATCAGCGCGCGCACCCGCCCGGCCCACACCGGCCTGCAGGCCGGCCCGTAGAGTTTACAGAGGCTTGGCCAAACTTTGTTGGCTGCCGTGTGGCTGTTATTGTCCTGCTAATGCTGCACTATGCAGTACCGCCCTATAGCCGCTGGGCTGGCCGCCTATGCGCGGGCGCGCCCAATGTACCTGTAACGTCGTCATAATGAAGGACCTGCGTTGCTGCTGGCGCCTGCCTTTTCCAGTGGTGCTGCCCTGTTCGGGACGTTGCACGAGCGCGTCTGCCAGACGACGACGGCGCTGTTTGGTGGAGCATGACCGGTCACAGCAGAAAAAAGCCTTCACGAGAACGCGGCGACCAAAAAAGAAGCGCCTGGGGTTTGCGCGACCGTGACCCCTCCATTGCCCCGCACCCTGCACGTCGCACATGCTTCCAGAAGCCGGGGTCGTGGTCGATCTGCATGCGATGGTCATAGGGCCGTCTTGTGCTTGCTGTGGTTCGCTGGCAAAATGCTGCTCTATAGTGCTTATTCTAGCTTCGACAACTTTCTTCACAAAGACTTTGATCGCCCCGTCAACCCGCGTCGAGACATCACCAGTAATTTCCACTGCCGCCCTGCCCCAGCTTCCCGCTTTGGTCTCCTTCCGTCTCGGGTAACATTTCGCCTGGGTTCTCCGCATCGCCTATTTGCAGCTGACCGATGACCCGGGCCAGTCGTTCGATGCCTTCGCCGAGTCGGTCCACCTCTTCCCAGCTAAAGCACAGCCGAATGTCACATGGAAAATTCACCTCAGCCGAGTCACCGGGAACTTCGAACAGACGACCTTCCGCAACGATCAAGTTCTCTTTCTCTTGGGCCAATCGCGCAACGTCGGCGCTCTTCAGCGGTGAAGGAAGCGTAAGCCACACGAAATACCCTCCGACTACTTCTCTGCCGGGCTGCGGCAGCTTGACGCCCAGCGGGACGAGGTGCTTTTCGATTGCCAGCATGATTGCACGGTAGCGCGCCGCATATGCAGGCTGCAGCGTCCCGTAAATGTGCTCCTGTAGCCGGCCGGATTCAAGAAGCTGCGCAACATACGTCGAAGTAAGCTGCGAAGGAGCCCCGCCGGACCTTGAGGTACCAGTCTGCGAAACCCCGTAAGCAAATTTTGCACTCCCTTCCAGGTACCCTACTCTAAGACCGGGCCCGAGGATTTTACTGAAGCTGCCGTTGCTAGCGACGTTACCAAACCCGTCCGCGCCGTCTCGTTCGGCGCCGTCGTCCAGGAAACGGTCAATATCCACCAGTCTAGGCAGCAGCGCTTTGTTTAAACCCCGCTGGTCGGTGTCAGTTGCTGCGGGCCATTGCAGAAAGTCGTAGACGTCGTCGCAAATGACGAGGGCATCGTATTCCCGGGCTAGTTTCACCAACTCCTTCCGTCGCTCCAGTGGCATCGTGACGGACGAGGGGTTTGCAAAAGAAGGGACGACATATATGACGTGCGGGTAGATTTTGCTCCAGGGCCGCTCGGGTTTGACGGTCTACGTTGCGTCAACTAACACGCAAGCAGCAATCGTCGATTGAGGTCATACCGGCCGTGTGTTTCCATCTTTCCTCGCTTTCTCCTCGCTCTTTGTTATCTCACGTCGCAGGAAGTCGATGTCGATGCCACCATCGTCCTCGGGCACGGAACGCAATCTCCCGGAAAAGCCAGAGTCCTCAAAGATGCGGAACGCCAAAAAGTAGGCGGGCGAGCTGATCCATATGTTCCGGGTGTAGATCGGATCGGTAAAGGTCTGCAGGATGCAGCCCAGGTTCTGCGACGCTCCCCCGGTGATTGTAATCCTCTCGTCGGTAACCGGTTCGCCCGGACGAAAGAAGTCCGTCAGCCAAGCAGCAATTGCTTTGCGTGCTCCCGGGTCTCCCGGGTCAGGGCCATACAGCAGGCCCGGAGTGGCGACGTCAGGCCGCGTCAGGACATTGTCTACCGCCTGTTTAATGAGGGCGGTCGGAAGCAGCGACGTGTTTGGCCAGCCACGAAGGAGGTTGATGAGGGGTTTCGCGGTCATGGCTTGGGCGTTTGTTGACGGCTGCGCCACCAACGCGAATTTGCGATGCGTTCGTCAGCCAACGACGCCCACGCGCTGCTCCACACTCGCTAACTCTAACGTGCTGTCTTCCGCCAGTTAGCGAGGGCTGCCGTCGACAACCGGGTCTGACGCACATGTGCGTTTGCAGAGGGCCAAGACAACGGATCTGCGCCTGGACGGCAGTGCTCCGACTCCGGACCAAACAACATCAACATCACGCAGTGGCTGGGTACGTACACGGCAGTTCTTCGTCAGCAATCCCGCGCGCTGCTTTGTCCTGGCCCCGGCACGTCCCGTAAGCGAAGGTCAGTGTGCGACTTTAGGGGTCTTTAGTGATGAGGGGCGATCGTGGATATTGTCTAAGATGAGGTTGCTGAGCAAAATAATGGGCCGGCGTGGGGCGCGGAGCCCGGTGGCCAAGGGGGCGATCTCCTGTTGCACAGAGCGGGAGCACGGCAGGGTCGCAACGAATGCCCAGGCTGGACACGCAGGTGTGCGGGCGCCGGCTCGGGAGTCGGGAGACAACTCGGAGCGCAGCGGCGGGGTGCTGGCAGCCAGCGCACTCGATCGCTCGGCGTTCGGGCTGTTGCGTGTCTAGGCCCTGCCCTGCGAAATATGTCCCGCACGCGCGCAACCACGACGTCAAATTGCGCTATGCTGGGTGAGCTGGGCACGACAGTACGCTGCATGAAATCGGTGAGGCTCTCGTCGGGTTTTATCGATAGGGCGCGATATAAATAATCTCAGCCCCGACGTGCCGGGCCCGGATATGGCCAGGCGAACGACGCCCCTGGCGGGTGGTCGGCCGGTGGTGGGCGCCTCCGCCGTCTCCTCGCCGCCCACGGATGATGTCAGCCCTCGCCAGGGCAACAGTGCGCGCGCGCCGGCGTAGGATTGGATGCGCAACCAGCCGCACCCAAGTCCGCCGCCGCCGCCGCAAAAGGCCTGGTAACAGCAGATCGGTATACGGCTGCAGGAATACGGCGACTCGTGATTGATGACGGCAAGGCCAATGGCCGCCTGAGCTGCGCCCACTCGCCCACGCTGTCCAAGCCACCCCAGACGACGCAACAGATCGCCCGTGCTGCCGAAGCTTGTCACATCGCCCTGACGGTCCCTTAAAATTTACGTTACGTGTTGCGCCCCCGAGCTCCCGAATCTGCCGCTCCTATTCAACTGTGCTTCTCTTTCTGTTTCCTCCACTAGCCTGCGCAACCCTTCTCCTTATCCCAAAATCTTTTCTATTGCGTTGCGCGGCGCGCGGGCAGGCCCTCCGATCACGCAAAATGTCATCTGCCGCGAAACGCCTCACCTCAATCTTCAGCCTGTCCTCCGTGAATCTGGCGGAGGCGGCCAAGCAGGAGCCGCCTGCCGCAGAGTCAGAGTCTGGTTCGAGAGGCAGACGCCGCTCCATTTCCGCTAGGCTCAGCAGATCTCAGAGCCGCGATCGCTCGTCGTCAGCTCAGCCGCCTCTCCCGTCAGCAGAAGACCCGCCTGTGCCTCCCATTCCCCAGGGTATCGACCGCCAGTCTACAATCCGCAGCTACACCGACGATGGTGGCGACCTTCTTCCTCCTCCGCCCGTCCGCGTCGATTCCGCCTCGCGCTCGTCCTCGAGGAACTCGTCGCGACCCGGCAGCGACTTCCGTCCAGGCAGCGTAGCCTCCCTCCGTCCCGAGTCCGCTTTGCTCCAGGTCACCGCAGACGGCCACCTGGATCCCGGGAACGCCGCTCAGGCGAACAAGTTGAAGAGAAAATCATTTTTCGGAAGACAGAGAAAGAGCGAGGTCGAGCCGACGGGGCCGCAAGCCTGGGTCGTAGGCCACGAAGGCAAGCCTCCATACAATGTCGCCTTGCTCCAAGGCGGCGAGAAGGTGCCCGAGTTGTGGGATGAGCAGGGAGACACATACATCTACGTCTACCCGCGGACATCTGGCCGGGGCCCCAGTTTCAAGGTCGATTCCACCATCTACGCCTCGTCGACAGTCCTCACGCAGCTTGCCTATGGCGGAATTTACAGCAATGCAGCCGTTATGGGCGGCGAGCGGAGAGGGACCCTCGACACGCAGGTCCAGAACATGGACATCAACGGCCAGAGCTCATCGCCGATCTCGCCGAATACCCCGCGCGCCTCGGACATTGAGAGCGAAGAAGCCAGCTCCAAGGCCTCCAGGGAGCTGATGAATGACTCCCTCGAATTGCCGAGTACCGAGATCCACCTTTACCTCCCTCTGAAGCTCAGCAGCGATGGCCAGGTTCCGTCGCCAGGTGGAACCCCGCCACCCATGACCCCCGACGATCTCGAGACCCTAGTCGCTACGCGAAACCTGTTTGCCTTTTTGGTCGGCCAGTCGTTGGTCGCAACCCCCTCACGCCAGTCCATCTTTGCCATTTTCATACAAATTTCTGAAATGTTGAAGCACTACGAGTTCTCCAACCTGGATGGGTCGACTTTCGGTGAGATCGCCGCATCCAGTTTCGACAGCTATGTGGACGAGCTGCATTTAGCCGACGTTAGGGCTAGCCGCGACAAGACCATCGAAGGCATCGTGCTGGGCGAGCGCATGCGCTCTGTCATGCTCTACAACGAGGCCTTTGTGCACGCTGTGGGCAAGTATGAGCAGATCAAGACCCTCGGAAACCCCAAGTTCGAAATGATTTCGCGGAACACTCGGGACCGCATGGAGAGAGCTTCTATGGACTTGGAGATCCGATTCAGGAACTTCACCACCAGGCTGGTCGATTTCGACTTCCCTGGTGTCTTCTCTGGTATCATGAACAGCAAGACTTCGGAGGAGCGCAAATATATCAGATTCGATGCTTGGCGCGCAGCCTTCATGGCTACCCGGAAGCACATGCTCAGCTACTACAAATCCAAGTACGGCGCGTGGCCACCGAAGGCCAACTCGAAGAAGAACAGCCTAGAGACGGACGGCTTGAACAGAATTGTCCTTCAGGATCTTTACCACGATTTCTCTTGCCTCTACGATCTCCTTGTTGACCGCGAGAACCTGACGACCCGCACGATGGACTCTCCCCCGACGGACGAAGAAGCAGGCGAGCCAATGGTCCGCGCTCTGCGCTTGGTTCTCAGTGAATACGATCGCAGTGTGCCGCCTTTCCAGCCCCCTATTCCATTTGATTGCCCCCTGCTACCCGACCTCCGCTTGACCCGTCCTGACTTCGGCACTGGAGACGAGAAGAAGGACACCAAGGCCCGGAAGAAGGATCTCAAGGACGATGAGCTTGCCCAACTGATGAAGAAGACGCACAACGAGGATGCTGACATTTCCAACCCTTTCCTGGACTCTTTCCGTCACCTGGAGAAATCGTCCATGCACCGGAAGAACATCGAGGAGATTCGGGACCTCCGTATTGGCCACTGGCTCTTCATGTACGCCGTCATGCAGTCGCTTCCCATGCTTGTCATCGACGCGCCCGGCGTCAAGTGGAACAAGGGTGTCGAGTACTTCCTGTGCGAGCCGCCGCGTTCCGGAGTACCGTGGGCCAAAGATGTCCACAATCAGGGCCGCGCGTGGTACGGCATTGCGGGCGGCTCTGGTGTAGTGTCTCTGCCATCCGATCTGGTCGAGCACGGTGTCGAAGGTGTGTACCGCCGCAGCCACTGCTGGCAGATGGCGGAGAAATGGAGCATGGACCAGCCCGGTATGATTGCCGGCGCGGTTCAAGAAGACATCCACGAGCCTCTTCCGGAGCCGGGTGTGCCGAGACTCAGAGCGGGCTCGAGGGCCAGCAGTATCGATCGCCGAAGCCACGTGCGTGAGAGTGTGATGCTCGGCCTGGAAGCCTTGCCGCTCCCCACGGGAGTGTCTCCGACGGGTGAGATACCCCGTCCGGTTAGCAGCCACAGCAACGATCCCACGAAGACATTTGACGCGATTATCGGCGCGACGCCGACGAAGGGGAAGAAGAGGGAGAAGTCGAAGCTGGCGTCTTGAGCGCAAGTGCTATGATGCTACGGCAATCAATCGAAAAGCGCGGTTTACCTTATTTTTATTGTGCATTCTTGATATTCAACATCTCCTAAAATACCACATGGCTGTGGCAGCATCTGGAAGGCGTTGGGTTTAATTGCTAATGGTTTTGGCTTTTGGAGATGGTTGGCTTGGAGAGCGGGTGGTGCTGATTGGAGCGTGTAATACTGTCGAAAATTTGGACATATATACCGGAAAAGGCAATTGGTACAGAGCAGTCTATAGCGATAAAGGTGATCTGCAAAAATGCATAATTCAGACCCTGGACCGGAAACTCTATCGTGACCTCGTAATCGTTTGGACCCTGATTAGTGGAAGGGTCCCGACCGTGGAAGCTTGGGCCGAAGTCGGCACGCCTCCCGGTCCACAAACGCCGCGGATAAGCTAGCTCAGGTCCCTCACACCAGAATTCCGGTCACACAGCCGGCCGCATTTCTTTCCCCTCTTCGCCGCAACAAGCTCAGCTACGCGCAGAAGCCCGCGCAGACCTGCCACCGCGTACAATTGACACCCGGCACGCCTCACACTCACTCTACCCCGCCTCTTCTACTGTAACCTTATAAACATCTCCGATTCAAAACCCACACGACGCCCGAGACGACACGTTCTTGAATCAACTACCGCAACCCCTTCAATTAATCCTTCCGCTCGAAGGCCGGCGCCCGACTCTCGTAGTCCCTTCTTTTCGAAACCTTTGCACCACCGCGAAATTACACATACGAGATGTCGGCATCTCTGCCGGGCAGCCGCGACCTGCCTGCGTCGCAGTATGACCTGAGCACGTACTGGGGCCGCGTGCGCCACGCAGCGGACATTTCAGACCCGAGGTGAGGAACAAAAAGGTGTTTTGCTATGGGGATAGAGCGGATACGGACGATATTTTTGGCATCTCCGGGCTACCCGCTCGGGTTGGTTTCCAAGCTATACGCCGGCAGGCGCGATCGCGAGGTGCTCGTCGGAATCATTCCCGGTCTCACGTTCGGCTTCGAGGGATGTACGAGGAAAATACCAAAGACACGTTGCATGCGCCAAGGGGGGTAGGCTTAGCTACCGCAATTGGGAGCGGTGTTGCGCTACTGGATATACGGGGAGAAGCATTGGGAGAGAATTTGTGAGGGCTAACATGGCTGCTTGGTGCAAACAGGACATTGTTGGCAGGCTCCACGGGGCTGGCGCATGCGAAAGAGTTGGTGTCGGCGTATAAGCAGGGCAAGATCGCAAACATGACGCCTGATTTGTGGAAGGCGAAGAAGGTCGTCGACTCGACGCTTCATCCCGGTGCGTACACTTGTGTCCTGCAGGAGAGGAGAACCCCGGGGGTGTTGATTGTGTTCAAAACTGATTGCGCATGACAGACACGGGCGAACCGGTCTTCCTTCCTTTCCGCATGTCCTGCTACGTGATATCCAACCTGGTGGTCACGGTGGGCATGCTGACTCCTAACTTGGGGGTACGTATACTCTGGGACAACGAGGGGTACATCGGAACTAACAATGGCAATTTTGCAGACTGCTGGAACTTTGGGCTGGCAAATCGCCAACCAGTCCCTTAACGTCGCCGTGAACAACGCCAACGCCAACAAGTCCACCCCGCTCTCCACCAGCCAGATAGCCAAGTCGTACTTCATGGCGGTCGGCGCATCCTGCGGTGTGGCCTACGGGCTCAACTCGATCGTGCCCCGCCTCAAGCGCGTGTCGCCGACGACCCGCACCGTGCTCTCGCGCCTGGTTCCCTTTGCGGCCGTCGTGTCGGCCGGTGTGGTCAACGTCTTCCTCATGCGCGGCGAGGAGATCCGCCGAGGCATCGACGTCTACCCCGTGCTCAGCGACGAGGAGAAGAAGAAGGCGGAGGAGGCGGGCAACGACGAGGACGCGGCGCCGAAGAGCCTGGGCAAGAGCAAGACGGCGGCGAAGCTGGCGGTCGGCGAGACGGCCCTCAGCCGTGTCATCAACGCGACGCCCATCATGGTGGTGCCGCCGCTCATCCTGGTCAAGTTGCAGCGCACTGAGTGGCTGAAGCAGCGGCCGCGCATGGTGCTGCCTATCAACCTCGGCCTGATCTTGACCACCTCGCTGGTTGCTCTGCCATTCGCCCTCGCTGTGTTCCCTCAGAGACAGGCGATTAGCGCGAAGAAGCTTGAGCCTGAGTTCTGGGAGAAGGGTGGCAAGGATGGAATGGTCGAGTTCAACCGGGGTATGTAAGCTGTGGGGAAAAGTGCGACATCTTTAAGAGAATAGAAAAGAGGAGAGGGAGAACAAGAGACTATTGCGGAGATAAGAATAATAGACATTTTAGGGCACAAAATCCACAGGGAATGGCAAATCAGGCAGCTGAGCCAAGTCGGAACGCATCCGACGTATGACAAAGAGAAACTATGCGTCATAGGAATAGAAGCCAGATGTCACGATCGCACGGATTTTCGAAGGCGGTAGAAGGCGATGATGTGCGCCCAAGCTTCCGGGCGGACGTGCCATTGGTGGTGAGCGGCGCCGGTGGTACCGTTTATGGCAGGCGGTCAGACGAGGATGTCTAGGTGTCCTCGAACTGACAATGTGGCCCTTGGCAGAACTCCAGCTGCCGCCGAAACATACAATAGAAACGCCCGCCGTGTCCTCAACCGCGCTGACCCCTTCTCTTCTCCATCCAATTCCCCGGCGGAGCTCGTGTATTCTGTTTCTGTTGCTCCTCCGCTTAATGTTCACACGTTTAATTTAGAGACAACCCCCCGCCCACCGGCTCTTTTTTCTTATCGAGGATTCGCTGATATCCCACCCCGTCTGGAGCTTCCGGACAGCTTCCCCTCCCCTAACCCACCCGCACAACATGGCACCCCCAGGTCGCCGGCGCTATGGCGCCCTCACTGTCGTCATCGCGCTCTTCTGCATTTTCGCCAGCACCGCACACGCCGCCTCAGCCGTCCTAGGAATCGATCTCGGAACCTCGTACCTCAAAGGCGCCCTCGTCAAGCCCGGCATCCCGCTCGAAATCGTCCTCTCGAAAGACTCAAAACGCAAGGAGGCGGCCGCCGTCGCTCTTAAGACTCCCCGCACACCCCTGCAAGCCGCCAGCGCAACCTTTCCCGAGCGCGCATACGGCGGCGACGCCCTCGCCCTGTCCGCCCGCTTCCCCGGCGATGTCTACCCGAACCTGAAGCCGCTCCTCGGCGAGCGCCTGGCCAGCAGCCGCGCGGCGGCGGAATACCAGCAGCTGCACCCGGCGGTGGAGATGGTGGGCGTCGAGGGCGGCCGGGTGGGCTTCCGCAGCCCGAGCTTCGAGGCGGACGCGGCGCCGTTCGCGGTCGAGGAGCTGCTGGCCATGGAGCTGAAGAACCTGCGCGAGAACGCCGAGGAGATGGCCGGCGGCGCGCGCATCACCGACGCCGTCATCACCGTGCCCGCCTTCTACACTGCGGCCGAGAAGCGCGCGGTCGAGCTGGCGGCTGAGCTGGCCGGCCTCAAGGTGCTGGCTCTTGTCAGCGACGGCGTCGCCGTCGGCCTCAACTATGCCACCAGCAGGACTTTCCCCAGCGTCAGCGAGGGTGGGAAGCCTGAGCACCACATGGTCTTCGACATGGGCGCCGGCTCGACCACGGCGACGGTTCTGCGTTTCCAGGGCCGCACGGTCAAGGACGTCGGCCGCTTCAACAAGACGATTCAGGAGGTGCAGGTTTTGGGCTCTGGTTGGGACATGTACCTCGGCGGTGACTCGCTCAACGAGCTGATCATCCAGGACATCATCGAGCAATTCGTCGAGAAGCCGGAGGCGAAGGCAGCCAGCGTGAAGATTGAGGACGTCAAGAAGCACGGCCGGACCATGGCGAAGCTGTGGAAGGACGTCGAGAAGGTCCGCCAGGTTCTCAGCGCCAACCAGGAGTCCAGCGGCAGCTGGGAGGGCCTGTACCAGGACGTGGATTTCAAGTACAAGATCTCCCGTGCGCGCTTCGAGGAGTTGGCTGCCGAGCATGCCATTCGCATCGCGGCCCCCGTTAAAGAGGCCCTTAGCGCGGCTAACCTCACTTTCGCTGACCTGGACTCCGTCATTCTCCACGGCGGTGCTGTGCGCACTCCTTTCGTTCAGAAGGCGCTGGAGGACCTGGCTGGTGACGCGTCGAAGCTTCGCAGCAACGTCAACGCCGACGAGGCGGCCGTTTTTGGCGCTGCCTTCAAGGGTGCTGGTCTTTCTCCCAGCTTCCGCGTCAAGGAGATCCGTGACAGTGACACTGCGAACTACGTTGTGAACATGAAGTACATGTGGAACCTGAAGGAGCGCAACCAGAAGCTCTTCTCCACCACTTCTCGCACCGGCACCGTCAAGGAGATGCCCTTCAAGATGCTCGGCGATTTCGAGTTCACCCTGTCCCAGGACACCGGGGACCACGAGGAGCCTGTCCTGAGCGTTCGCACCGGAAACCTCACGGCGGTTGTCACCGACCTGATTGACAAGGAGGGCTGCAACCGGGATGACATCAACACCAAGTTCTCCATCAAGCTCGACCCCACCACCGGCCTTCCTGAGATTGTCAAGGCCGAGGCCAGCTGCGAGGTTGACGAGACCGAGAAGAAGGGCGGCGTTGTCGACGGCGTTAAGGACTTCTTCGGCTTCGGCTCCAAGGACGGAAAGCAGGAGCCCCTCAAAGACGGCGAGGAGGCTGATGGGACCACTGAGACCGTTGAGCCCGAGACCTCTTCTTCTGCTTCTGCTTCTTCTACCTCCGAGAGTGCCAAGGCATCTGAATCCGCCGAGGCTAAGGTCCCCAAGAAGAAGACCGTCACGAGCAACATCCGCTTCAGCACCTCTCGCGAGGGCTTTGAGAAGGTCTCGAAGGAGGAGATGAAGCGCATGAAAGACCGGTAAGTTAATCAAACCTGGACGATATATGGTTGAATTTCTGACAAATGAATAGCCTGGCTGCTTTCGACGCTTCTGACAAGGCCCGTATCGCCCGCGAGACCGCCCTCAACGAGCTCGAGGCCTACACTTACCGTTCCCGCGACTTGCTCGAGGAGGAGGGATTCGTCGCCGCCTCCACCGAAGCTCAGCGCACCGAGATCCAGGCCAAGCTTTCCGAGGTCAGCGAATGGCTGTACGACGACGGTTCTGACGCCGACGAGAAGACGCTTAAGGCCAAGCACGCTGAGCTGAAGGCCCTCATCGTCCCCATCGTCACCCGCAGAGACGAGTCGCGCAAGCGGCCCGACGCCATCTCCGACGTCAAGAGGGCCCTCGACCAGACCCAGAGCATGATCAAGCTGATCAAGGAGAACATCGACAAGGCCGCTGAGGCCAGCTCTTCAGCCGAAGCCGCCGCTTCGGCATCATCTGCATCCGCCTCATCTTCCACCCCCGCCGCCGAGGCTTCCGGCGAAGCCGACCCGCTCGCCGACCTCGAGGAAGAAGAGAGCCCGAGTCCCTCCAGCGCCGCCGAAGACGCCCAGGCCACCGAACCCGCGTTCATGTCCCCTTACACGCAGGCGGATCTGGACGAGCTGAACAAGGCTTTCGACGACGCGAGCAAGTGGCTCGACGAGAAGCTGGCTGCGCAGGACAAGCTCACGGCCACCGACGACCCCGCCGTGTCGAGCAAGGAGCTCGAGCGCCGCGCCGAGGACCTGAACAGGATCTCGATCGAGATGCTACAGCGGAAGCTGCGGATGCCCGGCGCTGGCAGCGGTAAGAAGTCGGGGAGCAAGAAGACGAACGATAAGAAGAGCAAGAAGAGCAAGAGTAAGAAGGACAAGAAGGCTGAGAAGGCCGAGAAGGAGAAGGCGGCGGAGGAGACTAAGGACGAGAAGGAGACGCCTGAGCATGGGGAGTTGTGAGGTGGTGGTGACGATGATGTGAAAAGAAATTTCTTCTTTTTTTTCCCCTTATGAGGGATGGTGAGCTGGTCCTGTTGGGTTGGACCTGATGCATATGGGCTTTGGAGTTTGCTCTGCGTTTGTTTGTTCTCTATGCCTTTTTTTAAGCTTTTGATAAAAAAGAAATTAAATATTTCCTTTGATCTTTTGGGTGGTCGTTTGCTGCGTGAATGTTTCCAGTTCCAGCAATGCAGACTCATCACGCGGGTGGTATGCAGTCTAGATCAGTTGATATCATGGGTCACCTGCACTGTCGGATTTCCTGCTGAGAGATGTTGATAAAACTATCTCGTAGTCGCGTCTACAGTCCTATTGCTGATGAACACCATTGCATTCTCCTTTGGATTTGAAACACACACCTACGCATACACTTGCTCGTGTGCGTCTCTGCTACACACATCAATAATAGACCCTACGCTCCCTTACTCATATGCTCAGCTCCAGCAATACTCCCAAAGGATGAATCAGCGGTGGTGGTGAACTCCAGCATCATGTGTTGATGCTGTTGCAACCGAGCATACTTGGATGCTGGCAGCTTTCCGTTCTGTTTTGAATGATGGTGGACGGCCACCGAACACCCGCTCTGAAACGCGGTAAGAAGCGGAAAAGCCCTGCGTATGCCAGGGCACGCCGAAGAGGAACAGTCGATCCAATATGCAATCTCTCCCCTATTTTTGACCACTGTCAGAAGGGCTACTTGAAGACGAAGCTATTCTGTTGTAGAGATGTGCTGATTTTATACATCGACGCCCGACTGTGGAGTACCGGGCATGCGGAAAGTACGTGGTGCACCCGCGGAAGGTGCGCTGACGATCATCTGCGCGGTGGCGTTCTCGTGAGGATAAGGGTCTGAGCGAGCCAGGTGATTCGAAAGAAGCCATCATCCGTGCTGTTGTGTATCGGAATTTAAAAGAGGCATCCGGTCCGAAAGACGGACACTGCGTTACACCTTAATTGAAAGGGGATTCAAGGTATACCGAAGTCACAACTCCTTGGTACGACTGCCGTTTTCGCTGCTTGTTTGCCCGTCATTTCCCTCATACTCCAATCTTCAGTTGAAGTTCGCTGCGCAGATCACCAACCTGATGGTAATCATCATTATTCTTCCGTGCTGCTGGATTTTAGTATCAAGTCAACAGATTTCTCAGGGCCCCATTACGAGTTAATGATGGACAGTCGTTTCCAGCCGGTGCACATCCTGTGATCCCTTGACCACGTACGGATTGGAACCAAGGCAGAGAGAACCGCAGTTTTGATGCGTATGTTTAGTGTCCTTACCAGACCAGGCCCTGTGGAAATAATCAGGAAATGGACGGATAGAGAGAGTTGAGAGGACGCTAGAAAGTATTATTTATATACGCACTTCCGTTACCTGGCACGCCAGTGAAGCTGATGAGCTCGGTTCCCGTGCGCATATGTCATGATCACTTGCTCAGCACGATCTCATGGCGCTATTCTGCTGGACAAGGTGGCTAGATACAGCTGGGCATTTCGGTTGAGAATGTTAAGGCATGAAAGCGTGTCTAGTTCGGCCTCTGCAGAAATGGGGGCAGACAGATACAGTGGACATTTGTCACTTTGTAAACCAGGTATAGCAGTGAAGCCAGATCTTGTATTCTAGTCTACTTGCGTGATATCATTCATGGTTAGTTGAGCTACTTGAGATTAAGCCAGTTTTGACCACAGAGCATTTTTCAGAGAAACAATTCATCATCTGAACACCAGCAAACCAGAGCTAAAGAGTGCCCTTCAGGAAGTACCGACAACACTGAAACTTGTGAGCAAATACGCTCTGGTTGTTAAGCAGTTCGAGGATAAAGCTGGAAATTGAAAGCATTTGCACTGTCCGGATCAGTCATCCGCGCCTTAGGCGTCTTCCCCATCTTCTTCATCTTCCGAGCCGTCCGCGCCATCTGTGCCTTCCCACTCATACGAGTCGTCTGAGTCGTATGGATCAGCACCACCCATATCGCCCGGGGCTCTCGGGCAATCAAAGAATAGGACTTCCTCATTTTCAGGTGCAAACAAGCACCAATCTCCCCGAAACTCATTCCTCAGACCTTCATCCGCGTCGGTATACACCGGATCGTCTGGTTCGCCCTCCTCTTGATCTCCGGCAAACGTCCATTGATGTCCGACGAGCTTGAGAGCATGAATGGGCTTGTAGTAGGTGTAGTAGTCTTTACATCCTTCATCGATCTCGTTGATGTAGTCGTAGAGAAAAGAGGTCCACGTTGGATAAGTCTCTGACCTCTTGAAAGGGCCTAATCCGACATCGTGGGAATCCTTGCACGATGTCACAACAGACCAAGAATGCCTCTTGTCCTCATGCTCGAGGGCGAGCATAACATCCCTGCCATGACCATCATTATGCAGTCTCTTTAGAATGTGGATGGCATCGACCGAATCACGGCCGAAGAAAATCGGCTTTTCTAAAGTCAGACGACCGACAGTTGGACCACCGTCTTCGGCTGAGAGTCGATTGATGTGCGATGTCCTCCACCAGCACCAGCAATACTTTCCGAAGGATTTGCCGTCAAGTCCAGGCCAGATCCAGCCGATGACTGCTGACGAGGGCCACTCACGAATCCACATCTCGAAAGCAAGCGGAGTTCCAGTAGGTAACTTGCCGATGTAGGCCTCGCGGTCGAATGGTTTGAGGAGCGGAAGCGTATACCGACGAGACTTCAGGAAGCAAGGGCGGGAGATGAACGTCTCCCAGACGAAGAGCAGAGCACGACGGGTTGGATGAACGACATGAGGTTTATCGAGGTTAGCTTGGATGAGGGTTTTCCAGTACTTCGAGACGCCCCGCATCCTGATGAGCGCTGTCAACGGCAGCATGCCGATGAGTGTGAGCTGAAGCTCAACGGGGAGCGCCTCGAGTGGTTGGCTGAGCGACATGGTGAGAGGTGGTGAATCAGCGCGTTGCTGGTGCTTCCTGTTTCCACTCGAGTAAGCTCTGGCGCCTCATGCTTGTAATGGTTCTGAAGTTGTCGTGCAAATAGTAATGATGGTCACGGGCTTAAAGCTTTCAAGGTTACCTGATGTTGGGGGAATGGACAGGTGCTGCGCATGTCTTTGTCAGTGAAGGTCACTGTTGCGGTGGAGAAGCTGGGTTGAGTGAGTGAGTTAGTGGAAGTAAGTTGAAAAGGCGTGGGTGACGGAAGTTAAGACGCGTCGAGAAGGAAAGCGCGACGCGGGGGAGTGACGGAAGGTGGGGCTCGCGTCGACATGCCAGGGCCGCTTACGTATCGATAGCGGTAGCGCGAAAAATTACCCTCCGCCTGCCTCGAAGATCCAGGGCCTGGCGCGTCACCTTCATTCGAAACAGGCCGCCGTTCTTCTTGCACTCTGCAAAACTCGCCCCGAGCAATGACAATGGCCGATCGCGAGCACGACGAAGCGGGTCGCCCCGTCAAGCGACTCAAGCTCTCTGGCGACGAGGGCGCCGCGCCCGACGCCGCGATGGCCGACGCGCCTGCGCCTGTCGCAGAGGTCGCCGCGAGCTCCAACGACAACGAACAGACCGAGAAGTCGGCGCTGAAGGAGCAGATTGACAAAGAGGAGCGCTTCGGTATCACCGCCTTCGTCAACACAGGCATTCCGGGATTTTCGGGCATTTTGAAGCAACGCTATGTCGACTTCATGGTCCACGAGATCCTCCCCAACGGCCAAGTCTGTCGCCTCGAGGACGACATTGGAATGACTGCCGCGGGTGCGCATAAGGATGGCGCAGACAATGGCGAGCAGGAGAAGCTATCCGGAGAGCAGGCTGAGGAGGCTGCGAAGATCTCGGACGAGAATCGCGATATCCTGCACGGAATTTTCGGCGAAGACAAGACGAAGAGCATAATGGGCCTGAACAAGGTCGTTCTCTTGAATCCTAACCGCAAGGCTTCTCAGTTCAAGCCCGTCTACTCCAACGCCGTTACCGATAAGATGGCCCGCCAGCGCGCCCACGAGTCCATTCGCGAAATCTTCTCCGGCCGCCTCGTTACCACGACTCAGGATGACAACGTCATAAAGGTCAGCGCAAGAGGGAAGGCCAACCAGGGTGGTGGTGGCGATCGGGACAGCCGTCCTCATCGCCAGACTTTCGAGGAAATGGGCGGGGACAATCTGCACTTTACGTTGTACAAGGAGAACAAGGACACCATGGAGGTCATTAGCCATCTGGCTTCGCAGCTCAAGACCGTTCCCAAGAAGTTCAGCTTCGCCGGAACCAAGGATCGCCGTGCAGTCACCGTTCAGAGGGTTAGTGTGAAGAGGATCCGTCAAGAACACATAGCCAATGTCGCACGCGGTCTGTTCAATGCTCGCATTGGCTCTCTTTCATACCAGCGCAGGGAGATCTCTCTCGGAGACCACAGCGGCAACCAGTTCACCATCACGCTCCGTGATTGCCACTTCCAGGGAGAGGATGGCATGGATTGCGCGCAACGCCTGGAACTTGCCAGGGATATCGTGGAGAAGTCCACTGCCGCATTCCAAAAGGAGGGCTTCATCAACTACTTTGGACTTCAACGCTTCGGTACCTACGAAGTGAGCACCGACAGCATCGGAAAGTACATGCTTTCTGGGGATCTCGGCAAGGCTGTCGATTTGATCCTCGCGTACAGTGATGAAGCTCTGGCCGCGGCACAGGACCCCGAGAGCAAGGCCCGCATTTCGGAGGACGACAAGAAGCGTGCCCTCGGACTGCACAAGTGGAAGACGGAGAAGAACGGCAAGGCGGCGTACGACTTAATACCGTTCCGTTTCTCCGGCGAGCGCGGTATTGTCAAGCATCTCGGCACGGTGAGGAAGAACGGCGAGTCTTACGCGAACGACTTCCAGGGCGCTCTCGGAACTCTGCCGAAAACCCTTCGTGGCATGTACGTTCACGCGTATCAGAGCATCGTCTGGAACGCTGCGGCAAGTGAGCGCTGGTCTCGTCACGGTGCGAAGGTCATCCCTGGAGATCTCGTCCTCGTTGCGGAGCACAAGGACAAGGAGACCAAGAAGGATGAGGAGGTTCTCGACGAGGTCGACGAGTTCGGCGAGGTTGTCATCAACCCGCAGGGAGACAACGCTGCCACTGCAGCTGACGACTTCGAGCGGGCTCGTGCGCTGACGGAGGAAGAGGCCAACAGCGGATTGTACTCCATCTTCGACGTTGTTCTGCCGCAGCCCGGCTGGGATGTCGAGTACCCGAAGAACGACATCGGCAAGTTCTACTCGGAGTACATGCTCGACCCCGAGCGCGGCGGTGGCGTCGACCCTTACAACATGCGCCGCAAGTGGCGTGACATCAGCTTGCCCGGCGGCTACAGGAAGCTCATGGCCAGGTCGCTCGGCCCGGTCAGCTTCGACGTCAAGACGTACAGGTCGGACGAGGAGGAGCTGGTCGAGACTGATCTCTCGAAGCTTGTTAAAGAGGGCAAGTCGGTTACGCTGGAGGAGACGAAGAAGAGGGTGATGCGCGCTTACAATGAGAGGCCAGCTACTACCCCTGCGAATGCGGAGGGCGAAGAGAAGATTGCTGCTGTCTTGACGTTCCAGCTGGGTAGCAGTACCTATGCCACGATGGCGTTGAGGGAGCTGATGAAGGGCGGCACGGAGGCTTACAAGCCTGACTTTACTCGCTGAGCGATGGTGCTCCACTTACTTGCACACGTGTTTCTTCAAATATCAGGGCATACATAGCGATGACGATATGCATACGGCATAGAAGTAGTTGCAGCCAATCTGCATTCTGAATGGAGATATGAAAATGTTCGTCCCAAACCACTTTCCACGAGTTGATCGAAGCACTGAGCCGTTGCTGACTTGTATTTTCCAAAAAGAAGCATTGCGCATACCTATGATGTTGCTGCCCCTCGCACTTGCCACTTGGCAGTTGCCTACAAGCCATCTCTGACTGTGCGTACGCAACCATCAACACCCACCACCCAAAAAAGCATGTCTGCATCAGCCTTCACTCGTCCAGCAGCTCAAAGTGCAAAAAGACAAAAAGATGAACCCGCCAGTGGTTTAACTGCCTCCACTGGGAGTTGAACCCAGGATCTTCGCATTGCATATGGTTGGAAAATACAAGTGCGACGCGTTACCACTGCGCCATAGAGGCCTGAGGAGCGTTGAGGACTGGTGAGAATCCCAACTCCCAGGATCAGGGCGAGCTGAGTTTGGGAGAGAGGTACTGCACTTAAGTACTGCAGAATACGTCTTTTCGAAGCCCTCAGCAGCTGTGGCGGCCGCTGCGTGCCCTGTTCGCTGAAGGATTTCGCGAAACGGAGGAATGTGCGACTCGAGCAGTGGTACAATTATGCAAGGGGGTGGTTTTTTGGGGGGTTTGGTGGGGTGGGTGTGCGCGCACCCCTCTGGCAGAGACTTGTCGGACGAGCCGAGAGGAGAAAAAAAAAAGAATTCAACTGGGGGGCCGCACCTCGCTTGCCTTCCTTCGTGCAGCGAGAGACTCGACAACGCATCTCGAAGGAGGCCTGGCTGTCGACAGGCCGCACCACGACGTCGCCTGTGTTGAGGGTGGGGGAGAAACGTCGCTCGGCCTCCGCTGCTGGGGAGAGGTGATCAAGACCGCGTTCGCCGCAGATTGATTGCCACACGGATGTGACGGCGCCTTTAACCGTGGCTGATCTCCATCGCTCGACAGCAATTTCGTTTGCTCACGGGGTATACAAGCATTGAGACGCAAATGACTTTATGATGCGCTTGACGTGCAGGCAGAGAATTTTTTTTTTTAATCTGGGAGTCACGCTAGCTAGCCCACCTGTGGCGTCTAGCTTTCCAGCACCAGAGACGGATTTTCCGCATTCATCTTTGGATGAGCCGCAACATGACATCACCAACGAGCGTTCGACATTCGAGCATGTGGGTATCAAGTTGTTGCTTTGTTGCTCGGTCAACTTGGCTACCAGACTGATCATGGTGCTGGACTTGAAGATCCATGGAGACGGCATGTCGTCGCCTTCGCCGAAGAACAATGTGTCACTTTCTTCGCTCCTGCTGTGGGCCTGCAGACCCGGAGAGATGATACATAGTACCTCTCAACTTGCTTGAATGCTGAGTTTCCTCTCCGATAGGATCTTCGAACGTAATACAGATAGCGCCTGATGCGTACACGCCGCCTGTCCACCTGTCATCTGCTCTATTATTGCTTCCTCAGCTTTCACAGCCGGTATTCGTTTTAGCGCTCACTTTAAATACAGATACCTTTTAGAATGCTCCCTCAGAGGTCGAATGCGTATCTCATGGATCGTTGCCCTCGGTAGCCCGAATAATGAGATGCTGCTCCATCACAACCGGCATGTCGAGCCATAGGCACTCCTACGCAGAGGGATGCATACCACCCTCAACTCGGAACTGCTGCCCTCTTTGAGAAGACGCCATAATTCCCGTACGCGCCGGATAATTGATCCGCTTATCACCTCGTCGGCATCACCGTCTTGGCTGTCATTCCAGTTCTACCATTGCATGCATTATCATTTTCTCCTCGCGGTAGAGAACTCCTGCTATAGCGCAGTCAGCCGTTCTACAGCGCTTCATTCGATTAGAAAAATGCAGAGAGAAGTCGAAGAATTGTAGCACGTGAAGAAGACGAATCAGCACAGGCCGAGCATGACTATATGCATTACGAAATGTGCCCTTCCGCTGCAAGTGCACGTTCGAGAGATGGAAGCGTACATGATGCATTGAGGTTGTGCGCGTGACCCGGAAGTGACCGCAGACTCTGGCTACAAAAGCAACTTCGACTGCTAGCTTTCTCGAAATCATCGGCATTTCTACATGCTCTCTTAAACCCAAAGAAAAGGCCTGTGATTTTTACTCGTGGGATGTGCCTTCTTCGCGTAGAACTCTTCCACTACATTTTATATACTCAGCAAGGAATCTAATACTCTTTTTAACGGAAGCTGATGATTACCTCCGCCAACGAATAATACTTCTCAACTTCATTTTCCTTACATGATGATGTACAGCGCCGAAGGATGATGATGCAAAGTTTGGCATGTGAGGTAGTGCATGCGAAGATGAATGATACGGTAATGAGGCTAAATGAGGCGAAATGTAAGTTGGTCGAACAAGACTCTAGCAAAAGTGAGTCTTTCCAGGAATCCTTCTGATCTGCTTTTGGAGGATGTGCCATGCTCCTTTTCGCAGGAGACGGGGCGGCGCATTTATGGCCGGGAAGGGCATCAGTCCGCATGTGCCCCGATAGGTGCTTTGTCCGTGCTCCTCAGCGGACGCGAGCCCGTGACATGGTTTGAATTCTTGTAATAAAGCTATTTCAATACAAATAGACGTTCCCGAATCTTCATTCCCTGCGCTCCTCTTCAACCCGATGGGATCGGGGTGCAGAAGAGATCATGAAAATCCTTACTTTCTGGGTGGGCTGTTTGGTTTTCCTTGCCCGCAGAAAAGTCCGAGGGTGAAGGTAAGCGTATCAATGATCTGCTCATCATTACTACAACTTGCTGCAGCCTGTCGTACAGGGTTTCTGCTGTGGAAAATAATTTTGAAATAATAATGTAAAGCAAGTTGGGGGTCATGCATCCTATAAAAAGACTGATCAGTATCTTGCCAGAAAAAGAATGCCACAGCAGCTGCCTGTTTTCCGGACACGTTGCGCTGCCAGGTAGGAACGATGGTGTTGCTTATCTATGATTCATCACCCCGGCTCCAAAAAGTCACCCAAACCTTATTTGAACTGCGCCGCCGTCGCCTCCACGATGCCCCACCTCCAGGAAACAGGCAAAAGTCCAAAAAGCAAAAGAGAGGTCGTGCTGGGGCTCGAACCCAGGTTGCCGGAAGACTCAATGCTGTGCATCAAAATCCGGAGTGATAACCACTACACTACACAACCGCAAGGGCTGTATGACTTCACTAGGAAATGTCGCTAACTCTACTGCGCGCAGGCAATATGTAGACAGGTTTTACCGTCCGATATTTAGCCGATTGGGTGGCGTGGTGCGAGTATTAGCGCATTTCTTGAGGCGAGCTCCCAACAACACCGGTTGTCCTCTTCAACCCCCATCAGAACTCAACAGCAACGCGAGTACCTGCCTCTACTTCAGTCTCGGACGCGATTTCAAACTCAAAGTCACTCGTTTCAGGCCGGCAGAGATGAGGACCCCCCTAAGAAAGCCACCGCTGAAGCCTCCCGCCATCCCCGCAGGATATCTCACCATGAACACATCGTCCAAGTCTTATAGCGCATTTAGCAGGTAAGAATAAGTTCATGAGGCATACGATCTACAGAGTTCTAGCTGCCCCGAGACATGGCCTAGGCCCTTCATGCACCAGCTCGTACCAGACCAGGTTGGATCTGGGGATGGTCGAGCAACTCCAAGCGGACGGTCTTGACAAATATGCCAATGTCGCGAGCTACTCCTAGAAATAGGAGCTACCACTGGTTCTCAGGGCTAGAAGTGGGAATGTTTTGGTGGTGAAATTTTCCCGGACCAAGCGTCATCAGGATCCTCTGAACAGGATGGAATTATCTACGTCCTCCCTGCAGCCGGTTTGAAGAATGGCCAGCGTTTTGCAGAGTCGCATCGGAGCACGTAGCATCTGCCAGGAGATTCCTTCGGGCCATCGTCGGAGCAGCCAAGCTCTCGGGTGAAGAAGATATCTAGACCATCCTCACTACAAATGGACAATAGACTTCCGGGGATTCGTCACCAACGTAAGATGCGGGACCCTGGCTTGAATTTGTTCATGTGCTCAGTCATTGAAGAAGTATCCTTTCAAGCTGGAAGCGAAGAAGAGTCAACCATTTGCGGAGACATTCGGTGCAATGCATGAGGGGTTTTTCGTGTGGGTCTGTTCGAAGAAGACAGCTTCGCCACGGAATCATTAACGTCGCCAACAGCTCCAATGGAAGGCTACGACGACACCGAGGAAACGCCTCCCTTCGTGATCCTCAAGGAACATTTTCTCACACATGCGACAACTTCGGCCAACGGAACACGGGGTACCACGCGACAACATGAATTTTTCAACTATGAAGCAACGCGTTGGGTGTCTCATCTTCTCGGATATGAAAGCAAAGCTTCACTGCGTGACGAGGTTGTGCGGATGACGACGGTAGGATTGCGCTTGCGCATGTTGCGAATCCTGCGTACCACTGCTACAATGAATCGAATCCGTGCTCGTCCAATTGCTTTTGCTTTTTCTGCATCCCCTCACAACTTCTTGGCAATCCCTAGCACGGAGTGGTATTACATCCGAAGGCTAGCGTTAACTTTTTTTCGTTCATGTCATGGGCAGCTGAAGCTATCGCCCGGACGAAATTGTCAAATTAAAAAGTCTACATGCACATCTAGACGATAGCTTCAACTACCCGTATTTTGTTTTACTTTTTTCTTTCTTCTGCTTTTCTTTCAGCTAAAAGAAAGTTAAGGCATAGGTACCCTAAATTCGAGGATCCTGCTATTCTTCACGCTAGCCTTCAGCTGCAATACCCCTCTGTACTAGTTTGACTGGCTCAAATACAACAGATTCATCAATAACTGTGCTAACAATTTGATCTATTCGATAGAGAACGAGCTCATTGGTTTTCCGATTTGCAAGAAACCCCCAATTTTCTATTCGGTCTCCAGAAGCTACTTGGTAGCACATGCCTCTTCAGCCTTCCACTCCCCTCGCGAAGAGGAGCTGAACAGCTGATGCAACTAATTAGGTTACAGGCCAGAGCGAGAAAGGAAACATCTGGTTACTCACATCAGGTCGCATAAAGTGACGTAAGTGCTGTAGGACAGTGTCTGACATGTGTGCGGGGGCCCGATGGGGGCCAAGACATTCGCGGCGTTTTCCAGCTCCCCCGCCAACTATAAGATACTATCCCACAGGGCCCAGCATCCGGTCGGAAACACTGTCTTCTCACGGCGCTATGGGTTCCTCTCGCGACCCCGAAAAAGTTGGCAGCCATGTGGACCCATGGGTCAACGCAAAGGACAATTTCAAGAAAAGCCTTCCTCCAGGGAGTCAACTAAACAATTTCACCTCATCGAGATCAGATGTGAATAAGGAAATCAAAAAATTGCAGGATGATAACAACAGTAAAACACAAGCTTGTTTGGAGAAATGCAAACCATTTTTCGACGGAGTGCGAAGCCTCGATGAGGTCATTTCACCGATTGCAGAGTTGGAACCGCACGGGATTGCTGCTGTGGTCTGGGGAAGCGTCAAGATATGTTTGAATGTAAGTTCGGACAACAATCTACGTATCCACAGGTGCTGAAATAGAAGGCAGCTCATCCAAAACTACGCCGAAATGTTCGGCAAGGTTGAAGATTTCCTCGAAAGCGTCGGGAAAGATCTCGGACGACTCGAGGTCTACAAGGACTTATACAAGTCCACGGCTTCGACGCGGTTCACCGATGCTCTTCAAAGGGTATTTGAGAAATATTTGGCTTTCTTTGTTCATGTCGAGGAATTCTTGACTGCATCAAAGCTCAAACACTGGAGAGATTCGGTCGGCCTCTCAAGTTCGGAAAGAAACAAACAGATGCTGCTCAACCTCTCTATGGATCTCGTCACGGCGGAGTGCAACAATGCAGTGGCAGAGGCGACACTTGCCGAAGCGCAAGCGCGTGCAAGGGCAGACCAAGCGCAGGCCGACACCCTCGATCAAATGAACGAGAGCATCGAGCAGGTCCACGGTTCAATCAAGCATGTCCATGACGACATGGAGCGTATGAGGAGAAGCGAAATCTTCGAAAACTACCTCGAGTGGCTGAAGCACGTAGACGTCGAAGGCAAACTCAAGGATCTCCTCATACCCAAGAAGAACGCTGAAAAAGGTACTGATGTTGCCACCAGCTCATGGATCCTCGAAGACGAGCACTTCAAGAAATGGATCACGCCGAGTAAAGGTCGCAGTCATGTCTTTTGGCTGACGGGAGAGCCTGGAGTTGGCAAGTCGACGCTGACTGCGTATATCATCACCGAGATGCAAAAGTGGCAGCCGACTGGAGTGGCGTATTTTTTCTGTAAGCAAAATTCCTTCTCATTCGTACGAGATAGCCGCTAATTACGGACGTGATCGACAGGCACCTACCAGGACGAAAGCACGCGCACTGTAGACGCAGTCCTGCGATCGTGGATCTGGCAACTACTCAGAAAGCCCCGACACCTCCAAAATGCCTCTTCCGGACACCTTGCCCTTCCAGAGAGCGAATACGGTTCCACGCAATCAGAAGAGCCAAGCTGCGATGTTTTGGTTGGTGTGATGCACCAACTTTACCGGCAAGGGCGACCTACAACGCTGATAGTGGATGGCCTGGACGAATGCCTGGAGCCTGAGAAGGATACAGCAGCAGAAGGAGACTGGGAAAAGTTCTTTGAGGTGCTCAAAGACGCACCGGAGGGATGGAACATCCTCATCGTGAGCAGAACTCGGACGTGGTTCAGAACGGCCCTTCTGAGAACGCTCCATCGAGAGAACCTCGAACGGGAGATGGTGCCCGAAGACAACAGCGACGACATTCATGCCGTTGTGACGCAGAAACTAGAGTCCTCCGCAAAGTCGAACGGATGGGATGACCAGCTTACGGGGGATGCTATCCGCGTACTAGTCAAAAATGCGGGCGGAATGTTTCTCTACGCCAGCCTGTCCTGCAAGGATCTCGCCAACAAGAGACCGGACAAGGTTCGGGCAGCTTTGGACAACCCACCAAATGGACTCAAAGGATTCTATGATTGGACGATGAAGGAAATCGACAATCAGCCCGGAGACCTTCCACACGAGTTTCGTACCGTGCTCAAATGGCTTGTTTGCGGATTTCGTACCTTCAAGCTCGAAGAGCTCGCCTGTGCCTTAGACTTGACCCCGAAAGTGAAGAACGAGCTGGATTCCGTGCTTGGATCCTTCATACGTATCGATCCGGAGACCAAAGAGATCCAGTTTGTGCATGCCTCTGTAAGAGATTACTTGTTATCGCCCGGTGCAGGCATTGTGGATGTTGCTCCCGAATCAGGCCAGGCGAAACTGACTACCATCCATGGCGAGATCCTGGCAAGATGCCTGGAATACATTACCACTGATGGCAGACACTTCATCCCTGTTGGCCCCAATAGAAACATGTCCGAGCAGAGGATACGCGATACTCTTGGTGACGAGCCTTTCCTTGAGTACGCTTCCATCTATTGGGTGCAGCACCTCGTTGAGCGGAAGCGCCTCAAAGCGTCCAAGGACCACCTTGACAGCCTTTTACCACTAGATCGTGCAGTGCTCAAATGGTTGCAAATATTCCATTTCCTCTTTCAGTTCAACTTTCCGGGCACCACTACTACCAGGCATCTTATCGGAGGCTTGGTATATCATCCACCAGAGAAGAACACTTGGCAGATGTTTGTCCACAAGAACTACCCCTCATTTGTTGACCACTTGGGCTGGTCGGACGGCAAACGGTTCACTCGATGGGACAGGTTCATGCACAGGAGGTAGGTTCTCTCGAATGCATCCCATACAAAAAAGGCAAAAGCTGATGCCCATTGATAGACGTAAGTTTGACAAGTACAACGAGAAAACGGGGTGGTATCAGTCTCCAACATACTTCTCTGGCCCACTGCTTGCGGCATTCTTCAACTACACCGAAGTATTGAAAAGAATGGCAAACAGAGGTGAGGACATGGACAAGAAAAGCGTACTCAATAGCACGCCGCTGTTGTGGGCAGCCACTGCCGATTCCTGTTCGGCTTTGCAGTGGCTCCTGGACGCTGGCGCAAACATGGAGGTTGAGTATCAGCACACGAAAGAAACGCCCATCTTCCGCGCAGTGCGAGTTCCGTATGCCGTTAACACCAGCAGTGGCCGGTATCCTGCGGCTTTGTTGCTCCACGAGAGGGGTGCGAGGCTGAAGGCGGTGCCAAATGACCATGGCTGGCGGGAGACGACAGTTTTGATCACTCTGATCGAAACGTGCAGGAACTTCCCAGGGGCCGTCCAACTTGCGCGAGCGATTCTCAAGGACGATCCCGCTCGAGTCGAGGATTACGCCGGGCGCGGAAGTCTGTTACAGACTGCCGCCTGGCGGCGGCGTCCCCTGATCCTGAAGGCGCTATTGCAAGATGAAGTCGTCAGGGGACGTATAAACGACCAGGCCCACTCCAAGTCTACTCCTTTGCACGATGCTTGTTGCACCAATGATCCCAGGACTGTGAAGGCTCTGATCGAGCACGGGGCTGATGTGAATCTCCGGAGCCGCTTGAACGAGTTCACGCCCCTCCACTCAGCGGTCCTCTCAGGCGGTGACACTGTCCAAGCTTTGCTGGAAGCAGGGGCAGATCCAAATCTTGGTGCATGCAACGGCGATACTGCAGTGCATTTTGCTGCGGTCTGCGATGTCAGATTTGACTTGCGGCCTTTTCTCGACCACGGTTTCACCATCGATCGTCCAAATGAACAAGGCATGACTGCGTTAGCTGTTGCAATCCAGCACTGCAACTACGCTGTTTCAAGTCAACTCTTGGACCTGGGTGCTGATCTTGAAAGAGTTCCAGCACATCTGCACCAGCAACATCCAGACAAAGTATCCGATGAGCGGCTCGACGCCTTGAGGCGGAAGCACTGGAGTCCTTGCTGGAGCCTCGAGCTATGCTGGAGACTGAGGAAAGCCAAGATGGACGTTTCTCTCTTCTCATCCTGCCCCCCTCCAGTTCAAGAGTCCCAAAAGGCCCTCAAAACTTTCCCCGTCCTACCAATCCCCATCATTGCAAGGATCTTCAAGCACGCGGACCTTTACGAGACACTCTCCATCCGGCGCGATGGCCGAATAACCGTCGACTCGGAAATCACGGGCCATGGAGGCCAAGATAGACCTTACGTCATGAGTCCACCCATCTTCGGAGCTGCTTCCATCCCCGTCCAACGCCTCGTTCTGACCGTCTGTGGGCGCTGCCAAAGCTCCGGAGAGGAGTATGAACGGTCCTACTATGAAGCCAAGATAGTTGAAGAGACGTCGAAACAATGTGTCAAATGGGAGCCTGAGGAAGTCGTCTTCGGCCACAATGGCCGCCAGCTGCAAGAGAAGGGGAAGGTGATGCGCCAAACCGTAAGTAATGCCGCTACATCAGCCGCACAGTCATGCAATTGCTGATCAATTCCTTGTAGGACAATACGAACTTCGGATGGATCAAAGTGGGTGATCGTGTAGCGATTGTGCCGCATGCTAGCTCTCCTGGCTGGGAAAACACAACAGACTGGGCAAGTATCCATGCGGAGATCTCGGTGCTGCGGGACGAACACACAACCAGAGAGAAAGACGAGATTTGGCCACACGAACGAAAGAAAAAGAAAAAGGGAGGGTGCGTCTTGGGTTGTTGCCCTCGGTGTGCTATTGAGAGACGCCCGGTCGAGAAGTAGCGGAGCGGGGCATATGAGGGAATGAGTGAGAGAGGTAAATAAATTGCTGGAAAAGGCCGTGGTGGCGCGCGAGGGGTTGAATTTGTAACACTTAAAAGTCTGTCAATTGAATTCAGGAGATCTACCGTAGGTGACTCGTGATGAAGCCTGTTCCATCAACTCGAGAAGAGGGGGGATGCAACGGTATGGATCTGGTTACGTGGGTAGTTGAAGCTATCGTCCGGACGTAAATGTTTAATTATTAATTCGACATTGCATCCAGATGATAGCTTCAATTGCAGATGTCACTAGCGAAAATCAATAAAAAGTTAGTCTTTAGCTGCAATATTTTCTTTTATAGTACCGGCAATAAGACGCAGCGTTAGCTAATGACAGAGTGGCACAATTAATACTGGCATTATTCCCGGCACGAAGGCTCTCAATGCCGATTGCTTATTCCTTGAATTTGCTTTTTAGCCTTCACACCCGGGAATAAGAACTTCAGCTGGACGGCGTTGACCGAAGTGGCTATTCCCCTAGGTTGCCACTTTGAGCCTTGTATGACTGCTGGCTTTCAGCCAGAGGATCCTTTGTACCCCAAGTCGCAGGCAGGAAGCCGTGACACGAAGGGAGTTCAACGTCTCCAGAGACTCAACAGCGTGAAAATCCTCGCCATGGGGAATGAAAAGCCGGGCCTCTTTGTCAGTTTGTTTAACTTTAAACGCAATGATTTAGCTGGGGTTTCTTACTGATAGCAGATGAACCGGGAGGATTGTGTCCTTCTACTGACACAACAAAAATTTGTTTTAGTATACTCGGGGCACCTGACCGGTGAGCAGCACGTCGTATTAAAGCTCTGCTCGATCATTCAATGTCAGATCCAGGGATCTCAGTTGCATCCTTCCTTGCTCAGGCTTGATCTCGCACCAATGAGAACTATAGTCGAGCTCACATGCTCCTCCCTTAAACTCAGGCCCAGCGATCGACAGTAAAGATTGTCTTTCTTGGAATTCACGAGAACTGATCTGAACGATATGACGTTAAGTGTTTATCGTGTACTACTCCAGGCGCGGGTTTCCACAGGGACAATATTCCAGATTCCAAGACCAGCATATGCGTATGGCAAGCTTGCATCTGTCATGGATGATCCGTCCAAGGGGCCAAAGGGCAGATATAAGAAGGCCACAGAGAAACGCTGCAGCCCCATATTTCAAACAACCAAACCATTCAACTCAACTTTTTGAAGTAAACACTCAACATGCACTTCTACGCCGTTGCCATCATCGCTGTTGCCTGCGCTGCCCCTGTGATGGGCAATTCCGAAACAACCATCCGAGCTTTTGGTTCGTGTCATCACCACCAAACCCAACTTACTCTCTTCCCTTCCCTTTGTTTTTTTTTTATTTTACTAACAGATCCGCACGTAGGCGATGTGGACAAGGGCTCCCTCAAATATTGTTTGAGCGTATACCGTAGCAACAACTGGGATGGTGGGGATTGCGGAGGCCGTGGTTGGTTCAAGGGCCACCTCAGCACTTACCACAGTCCTGAGTAGGTCACCAGTATTTCTTCCGTCTTGCGGAAAATTTGAATAACTGAGAATTGTTACGATAGGAACTGCTACGACGCCTGCTCGCAAGGCATCCGATCTGCCATCGACCAAGGGGCGTCCGACGTCATTTGCCACGACTATGAGGGCTTGACCAACTGCTGGATGGGTTACCACTAGTGGAGGAAGGAGATCGACTGGATAGAGCGGGGGCAAAGCAAGATGATGATGAGGAGAGTTATGCTAAATGGGACCGTAGAAGGCTTTGTAGTACAAGTACACGAACATGCTACATCCCCTGATCAACTTTTCTCGATTCATGCTTGGATTAGCACTTCTCGACTAGATCTACACGTTATCATCCGATCTCTAGGACTACCGCCTTGAACGTCGTCCCTTAGCAAGGCTTTGATTGGGTCGCACAAAGCAGGGCCGCTCACTGATGAACTCAAACAACCTCACCGTCCTCTATCTCTTGCGCTTAGATCACGCTCTGCAATTTTCATCATCTTGTTCATTCTCGAGCCCACACAGTCAGCAATGTTCATGCTTCACATGATTAAAGATGCTGGTCCAGCAAGATCGTGCCTACATCTTACGACAAGGCTGCGCCAGGCTCCAGCTGCATTGTTCTTATTCTTCTTCTGTTTCTTGTCCCTTCGGATTAGCCTTATTGTAGAAATCAATGCTACTATATTTCCGCGAGTGTACCGGATGCAAGCCCTTATAACGATGAGTATGCGCAGCCTCTGTCGCACCCATACTTGCCAAGACTGATCCCAATTGCAGTTACTGACCTGGTTCCGTTCCAAGCATAAATTCACAAGATCCCCCGCCTTCCGACTTATGACATGTCCAATCGTATGATAGCACCCTCATGCTCCACGACGGATAATAAGCGTGGCGTGAGATAAGCAGCTTGGCGAGACGTCCGAAAGGGTGAATCATTGACATGTCGCTTACGTTGGCCTCTCGAAGAAGTGATGCTAAGTGATGGCTAATGCGGGGTGCTTACACGACACCAAGATAAAAGGCCCACGGATGCGTTCCGAGTCGACTCGATCAAAAACTTCCACTAGCAGGCTTGACAATGACTGATTCAATTCTCATCCAGCATGGCACTGTCATCTCCATGGACCCCGCTCTCGGAATCATCCGTGACTGCGACATCCTGATCGAGGGCAACACCATAGTCAAAGTCTCGCCCAACATCACTGTCCCGGACGCATCCACCACACGCATCATCGACGCAACCAACTGCCTAGTCTCGCCAGGCTACGTCGACTGCCACCACCACCTGTGGCAGCAGCTGCTGCGGTCGATCGGCAGCGACTGGTCTTTGATGGACTACGCGCTGATCATGCGGACGTGCTTCGGCAGCCTGTACACGGCCGACGACGTCTACACGGCCAACTACGCCGGCGCCGTCGACCTGCTGCACAACGGCATCACGACCGTCGTCGACCACTGCCACATCCTCAACTCGCCCAGCCACGCCGACGCCGCCGTCCGCGCCCTCAAGCACGCCCGCATCCGCGGCGCCTTCTGCTACGGCCTCTACGCCAACCCGCCACTCAACACCACCCACCACCCCGATGCAGCCGCCATCAACACGGCTGACCCGGCCTTCACCCCCGCCGCCCGCCGCGACGACCTGCGCCGCGTCCTGGCCCAGCACTTCGCCACCACCAGCGACGGCGGCGCCAGCAACACGTGGGAATCCAGCCTCCTCGTCTGCGGCCTCGCGACCAACGAGCCCGAGACGGCGGGCGCCGCCGGCATCGCGGCCGAAATCGCCTTCGCGCGCTCTGCGGACCTGCGCCTGCCGCTCATCACGTCGCACGTCGCCATCGGGCACTACGACATCTCGCGCGCGCAGGTCGTCCAGCACCTCGGCGACAACCACGAGCTGGGACCGGACCTGCTCTTCTCGCACGGCGCGGCGTGGACGGATGCGGAGTGCGCGCTGCTGGCGCGGAGCGGCGCGGGGGTGGTGTCGACGCCCGAGACGGAGTTGCAGATGGGGATGGGGCATCCGGTTGCGTTTAGGGTGGGGGGTGAGCCATTTGGGTGCACGAAGGTGGGGTTGGGGGTGGATGTGACGTGCAGTCAGAATAACGATATGGTGGCGCAGGCGAGGTTGTTGCTGCAGGCGCAGCGGGCGAGGGATAGTGAGGAGAGGTTTAAGAAGGGCAAGAAGCCGCCGTTGAAGTGTCCGCGTAAGGCGGTCGATGTGCTGAGGTTGGCGACGCAGGGGGGCGCGGATGCGCTGGGGATTGGACATTTGGTGGGCAGTCTGACGCCGGGGAAGAGGGCGGATGTCGTGGTTACGGCGTGTGACGGCTTGGGCATGGTGCCGGCGGTGGATCCGGTGGGCATGCTGGTGTGCAATTCGAATGCGTCGGATATACGGACCGTGTTGGTGGATGGGAGGGTGGTTAAGGATGAGGGGAAGTTGGTTGGTGTCGACTGGGAGGCGTTGAGGGAAGACGTCAGGAAGAGGTCTGAGAGGCTGGTCAGAGCGAGTCAAGTCATTGTGCCGGAGTTGATGAAAGGCATCTCCAAGGAGGAAGACGACTTTGAAGAGACTGTGAAGAAGCTTACTGAGGCTCTGGCTATGGGCGCTAAGGGCAATCTTTAGTCCTTTGTGACGGGCTTGGTAGCTGTGACGTTTATTTAAACTCTCAATAGCATCGGTCAAACAATGACATGTACATCGACCCTGTACGACTCAAGGAAATTTTGCTCATGCGAGTCCGCGGGCTGGGGATGTTCGACAAGAGCAATGAGATCACTGTACCTGTTGTCGCAGGATGGGACAGGAGAGTACAGGGCTTTCCGTCCACCTCTACGACTTGCACATAGCCGGGCGACTGCTTGTCGACTGGGGATTATAAGTGCAGCTGACGGCCTGTTCTTTCACGTACGACCATAGGTCGCAGAATGCAGGGCTTCCCGTCCGCTCAGCCGTACTTAAGCTGCGAACCGGCCGATTAGTACTCAAGTGGGTGACCATTGGGGAATCCCGGCTGTTGTACGTTTTGCATTTTTGCGCACCCACTTTTTTTTTAGCCGAGCTGCAACAACACCTCTTCCCAGCTCGATAACAACGTCGAAGTATTTAGGCATTTAGCAGAACGGGTTCGATGGCGGTACCTTATTTTTTGGAGCTGCCGGACGATAGCTTCAACTGCCCACGGCATAAGCAAAAACAAATTAACGCTAGCCTTCGGATGCAATACCCCTCTGTAAATATTACTTTAAGCAACGTGCTCGAGCGCCTCTAACGTGCCTCTCGTGTGAAATCCAAGCCTGTTCTCTATGTCATCCAACAATGCCCACATTTTATTTCTTATCACGGCTGATGTAGTATGTTTGATGGCTAAGTGTATGTAATTAGTCATTCGCACGCGCAGTGGTGCATAGACTCGCTTACCGTAGGAAAGAGGATTGATGGCAACAACCAAGTTTCCATCGGATATACCTTTGGATAAACAGATGGATGCGATGGACCGGGCACTTTCACGAATTTGTTCCTCCATTCAGTGAGCCACTTGTATTTCTCTCCTGGGTGTACATGCACTTACTGGATACGCCGTTCCAACTGCCCGCCTGGTCCTTTCTTCAAGAAGGATAATTGTAGCCATGTGGTAGTACAACAGTGCAGTGGCTATGTGAGCACATCGTAGTCAGTGGTCAAGAAAATCCTCAAGGCTTTGCGGAGAAACAAAAAAAAACTTTGCACCGTACCTGCCGTATCTATCGGAAACCACACCTCATCCAACCCCTCCGCCAACGCGCCCTTCAACCTCAACCCCTCAAACGACCCCGGCAGCCCCTCATACCACTCCCCCAGCTCCCTCACCAACCCCTCCACCGGCTCCTCCCCTCTCCCACCCCCGTCCCCAAAAACGCACTCCACAACCCTCGCCAGCAACCACAGCACCTTCTTCCCCCACCAATCCTCCTCCTTCTCCACCCTCCCTCCCCCTTCCACCTCCCCCTCTCCCTCACCAGAATTCCACCTCATCTCCCCCCACCTCCCCACCTCCCACAACAACCCCCGCCTCCCGGCCACCGCCATCGCCACGTCCTGCCGCGCAAACACCCACAATCCCGCGTCTTCCAGCGCGGATGCAGTACCGAAGTCGATGCCGCCGGCGCGGATGAGCGTCTGCGCGCCGCGCAGGTGACGGGCGTAGTCGGCGCTGGGCGCGGCGAGCAGCTCGTAGCTGCCGAGGAGGATGGTTGCGGTGAGGGTTTCTTCCCTCCTCCTCTTTTTCCTGGTGCCTTGCGAGTCCTCGGTCGAGCCAGTCGTATCCTCAGCCAGCGCAGCGATCAGCAGGCGCAGGCTCTCGCCGTAGTACCGCGCGGCGAGCGGCTCCCAGAGGGACGGCGGCGGCGCGGCGGCCGCCGCGGACGGGGAAGCGTGGTAGTGGTGGCGGTGCGGGGAGACGAGGCTCATCTGCTTGGCGGCGAGGGCGCACAGGGCGTGCAGGATGAGTGGGGAGGAGAGGGCCAGGCGGAGGACGGCGCGCTGGTAGCGGTGCGAGTGGTCCATGACGTCCATCCAGGTGCCGATGCCGTGCTGGTAGATGCGGAGGAGGGTGGTGGTGGTGCAGTCGTCGTTCTGCTTGGTGGCGACAGCGGCGGTGGGCGAGGAAGGGGTGGTGGATGGCCAGGGGGCTGCGGGTGGTGGAAAGGTGGATTGCGATTGCTGGACTACTTCCCACGTTGAGCCCGGGGCTGGGGATGGTGGTGGTTGTATCGGTGGGGGCGGCGGTGGAGGTGGCGGTAGAGTCTTTGTTACTGTGGTGCTGCTGCGGGGTGGTAGACACGGCACGATGATTTCTGTTTGTTTGCAGTCAAGGTTCCTCTTTTCGCAGTTGTTGCATATCGGCTTCTTTTCGTCACATTTGATGTGGCGGACACGACAGGTAGCACTGGAGAGCAGCTTGTCAGATGGCAATCATTTCAATAATCAGTCAGCTCACCATCCTGAATAGTTGTCAGTATGAGTTTGAGATTCAATGTATTCTGAAGGGGTTGCAGTACCCGTCCTACGACGTTTGCTGGCTCTTCGCATTCTGTCCTCAGATAAACACCGGATGAGGGCACAGAATATGGCGCCTTTCACCTTCTTGGGTCAAGTTTTTTTGTTCCGATGGACTGCTACGCCACATGTTTGTGTAGAAAGAGCTTACATTCAACGTTCGAGATTATCGCTGAGGCCTTAGCGGAGACGTGCGGGGTAAGTAATGTGACGTCATTTTTATTTAGTCTTGCAGTTTCTTTCCAGCTCAGTCCGATCCTCGGCATGCAGCGATTAAGCATTTTACACGAACAGTTGACTGAATTACCACCAGAGCTTCGGTGTCAACAACAAGTGCTTGATATTGGTTTGACTGATCTGATCTACAAAGGTGAAACTACCTCCAGCGATATTTTGGAGATACGGAGCCACTGGCCTTCAACAACAAACTGATGACACTTCCAGGTCCGACCTAAGCTTGACTTTGAGAGGCATCGAGCCTGGCCACACGTTGAAAGCTTCTTCTCTTTCCAGCTCCCAATCAGGACTCGGCAGTTCAAAGTCGTACCTACGAACCAATGTAGCTATCATGACCGTCTGTTCCAAATACGTGATGTTCCTTCCGATGCAGCCTCTCGACCCGGTGCTAAACGGGATGAAGGCAGCTTGCATCTCGCTTGTCTTCTGACCAAGCCACCTATCCGGCCGATACTCCTCCGGCTGCGCGAATACAGACGGATTCCTGTGTGCCGTGTATGCAGCCACCGCAACCGATGTCCCGCCCGGAATCCAATGTCCGTCAATAGTCATGCCCTCAGGTGGAACGGTGCGTGACAGCCCAGCAGAGACTGGCGGAATGATGCGGAGAGACTCATCAAGGCATGCGCGGAGGTACGGCAGCTGCTTGATACTGTCGTAGGACGGTATGATTGTGTCGGCAGGAAGAGCTCTGTCCAATTCTTCTCGGAGCTTCGTGAAGCAGGTCGGGCTCTTGAGGAGGAAGTACATGACGTTCGCGAGAGCGATTGCAGTGGTATCGGATCCAGCGTCCACTATGGCGAAACACATCAGTATGTCACTGAGAGCAGCAGTTCCACCCAAACTTACGCATGGTATTCACCTCCACCTCAATCTCCTCGAGATAAAGATCCAGCGGATTTCCTCCACCATCTTCCAACAAGAACCGAACCATGTCATCCAACACCTCTCCATTCCGCCACCTCTCGATCCTCTCCCTCACCAACATCTTGACCAGGTCCCCATACCCCTCCCCCTCCCGCCACTGCTCCCGATACCACCCCGACCCCCACCACAACACCGGCCTCACCACCCCCCGAAACAACCTCGGCGCCCACACCACCGCCCGCGCCGTAGCCCTATTCCCCGCCCGCAAACTCTCCACGTACCTTACCTTCCGCCTGCTCCCCTCGTCCCCTCCCCCAACCACAACAACCTCATCATCCCCCCTCTCCAAGCACCCCAGCCGCCAACTCCCCACCAAATCCGCCACCGCCTCGACCGTGAACAAGTTCATCCACCTGGCAAAATCCAACACCTCGGGGCCGACGTTGTCGAACGCGGCAACCACCTCCCCCACCTTCGCCCCAACCTTCCCCTCCCAACTCCCCTCCGCCTTCCGCAGCGAAAACCCATGCGCCAGCCTCCGCCTCTTCGCCGCGTGCGCGCCGCGGTCGACGACGTGCAGGACACTCGCATGGGACGGCGACGACTGCTGCGGGGCCAGCGCGGCGTAGATGGCGCCTTTGGCGCACTGCGGCGAGCCGTGGCCGTATATGGCGGTGATGGCGGCGGGGGAGGAGAAGGAGAGGGAGAGGGGCCCGGTGCGGAGGATGGGGTGGTGGTGGCCTTGTTGGTGGTAGTGGGCGGCGTGGAGGAGGGCGGTGCGGGAGTTGCGGCGGGGGCAGAGGAAGGTGTGGTAGAAGGAGGAGGGGAGGAGGGAGGCGAGTGGGGTGGCGGCGGGGAAGCGGTGGAGGTGGGTGAGGGTGCGGAGGGGGTGGAGGAGGAGGCGGTGGAGGAAGGGTTTGAGGGTGGTGATGAGGAAGATGGTGAGGAGGAGGAGGAGGGTTGCTGGGGGTAGGGGCATGGTTTGGGAGGTGTTTGGGTTTTTGGTTGGAAGTCGTGGGTGGATGAGATGAGAGCTCTGGAGGGCTTTGCTGTGGTTTTGGTGGGGAGACTGGCGTGCCATTATATAGCCGCTGTCGTTGAGGATTTGGGGTCGTGAACATGTCTACGAGTAACCACTTTGCGTCACTTGAAGAGTTATTCACATCGTTTAGTTGGCTTTCTTTGGAAGTGTAGTCGAGTGACTTGGTGTCGCTCGTAATGCTTACCTGTTTAGGATACTTTTCCGAGATCTCTCGTCTACCATTCTTCGTTTGGCAGTCGACACGTTGACACTTTGCCGAATTGAGATATTTACACGGGTACGAGCCAACACTTTGCGCTCCCACGTAGGTGCCAAAAGAAATGATCGTCCGCAGTTATCTTCGCGAGCAAGGGCACCCGACTTACGTAGGTAGCTGAAGCTATCATCCGGACGTAAATGCAAAATTATCAAATGTACATCTACGTCCGGATGGTAGCTTCAGCCACCTACATAACGAGCTCAGATCTTTCGACATTCACTGTGCTCCGGTCTACCTCCACACGTTGCGGACCCACCCAAATTGCTCATCAGTCGCCGCATCAGCAGCATCAGCATCCCGCAGTCCAGTGCTCAAATTCACCGCTTCCTTTGGAGCGACCCATCACTTTCCTGTAGTAAAATGCTGGAATAGCGCCTACATATCTGGGTGAAATGATCCGCACTTCAACCTCGGCTGACCGTAATCAATGTAGAGACGGCGTCGGGGATCTTAATCTAAAATGACATATACTCCCGGCTGCATTTGAAAGCCTGAAGGGGTTTATGCTTACTTGCTGCTCCCATGAAGCTGTTGCTGGCATCTCGTACTTGTCTGACGGTTGATACATCATATTTCCATATCCATATGTATCGAAGATGGTCCTCTATGCGAAGGTCACTTCTTCATCTCCGCTGAGACAATAAATTTCCTCTTCAACGTCCTTCTCATCGATCCCCTCCTCACTTTGTCCCTCTTCATCGCTTCCATCGAGTAATTTTACAGTCTCAATGTCGCCGAAAGCTTGTGCATGATCAAGTGCCGTCCGACCGTTGTTGTCCTTAAGTGTGGTATCGATACCATCGAAGCCGAGAAGATATGTGACGACTTTCCTGAATCCATGCGCTGCAGCTTTCATGAGCGCGGTCTTTCCATTGCAGTCTTGGTAGTTTGGATCTCCCATCCTGGCTTTCGAAAGTTTTTCCACCATTCGCTCACGCCCTTCCGCGGCAGCGTTTGAAAGCAAAGCATTGGAAAGACAGCCCAGCAATTCCGAATCATGTGAAGTTTTCCAGTTATTAAAGGTTGCTTTGGCGCTCTCGACATCGGTCTCGTGGAAAGCCATGGCAAGCTGTTGAAGCCCAACAATATTTCCCGCGCGGAAAGGATTAGCCCCAAAATGTAGGAGAGGCTTCATAACTGAAATATTCCTGTTCGTCAACGCATGCGATGAAGGGGTTCTATATTCTTCGTCCAGAGAATTCACAATTCGGTTCAGCCCTCCCCGGCTGTGCTGCGTTTGGAGTATGATCTCGACTATCTCTGGATCTCCCATGCGGCATGCAACATGGATCGAATTCCGTTGTGTTACGCGAAATCCCTTTGATCTCTTGCAGTAGTAAGCTGTTGGACTGGCAATCTCTGCACCTCTTGAGAGCAATTCTGATACAATAATCTTGTCGCCAATCTGAATTGCATGGTCGAGTGGGGTACCACAGCCCGATATTTCTGTGTGCGAAGTGTTTAATATCGCTCCGTGGTCAAGAAGTATTCGGATAAGCTCCAGGTTGCCTGTGATAAGCGCCATGGTCAGAGTAGCAGTAGATGGCTTTGCATTTCCCCCATAACGGCGATTTATGTTCTTCAAAGAGCTCATGCCCTCTCGGACAAAATCATAGTGAAGTCCCAGCATAGCGGCTTCATCACAGGATGCAAGTAAAATATCGTGTACTTTTGGAGCAATCCGCCAGATTTCTTGGATAGCGCTTCGTATTCCAGCAAGTACCAAATAAACAAGGACATGGCAATCCGATTGAACGCATGTCCATGTATTATTGAACACCTTCCATGCATGATAGGAATGGCTTGACCAAAATTCAAAAGCGCGTTCTATTGTAGGCGCTTTGGAGGCGAGCATGGCGGTGAATGAGAGCTCCGGTCTCCAACCGTGCCATTGATCGTACATCTCCCAAGAAGGAATGAAGCTTGGACAGCAATGACCAAAGATGTTTGGGCCGATTATCCGATGGCCCTTCAGGATTCTCCTACCTCCTTCATCTTCTTCCAATATTGGCGAATTTCTTTTTGATATTTCCCATGGCAACAGATGTGCCAGATCTCTTTGATCTTGCCCGTGTTCCTCAACCTTGATAACGTGGAAAATCCAAAACGTGCGAGCATAATTGACCAGAGAAAACGGGTGCGGAGTGCTCCGAGTCTGATGCGCAGTCACATTTCGAATTTCCTGCAGAAGAAGGTATTTGATGCAAGATCGAGATAACTGGAAATGGGCGTCCGCCGTAACGGTATGCAAGCTTTCACCAACGAAGGTCTGAAGACCCCCATGAAGGAGATAATCCACAACTGATCCGTGAATGAACTGAACGATGTCCTTGTCGGTAATTTCGATGAGACCTTTTGAGAGGCTGCGTACCGCCGCCTGCATGTTATCTTTTGAATAGAAATCACCGCTTTGTTCCATCTCCGCGAAAGAAACGAATGTTGCGGCTGCATCAATCGCCAGAGCATCCCTCAATTCAATCGAAGTCAAAGGTTGGATCGCAAACAATACCCATTGAAGAAGTTTCAGGGTCTCCTGTTTTCCATGGCACTCCGGTGAGAGCAAGGACTCGTATAGTCCTTGCAAGGTTGTTGGTATTTCGTTTATTTTTGCTGTAAGCGCCGCCAACGGGTTTCCACGTCTAACCAAGGGCTCTAGCTGTTCCAGAATTAGAGCAGCCCACTGAAAGACCCCACGAGCTCTCTCAGAGATGAGATCCATGACAATGGCCCTGTCGCGTTCGCTCAATGGACGTAGCTCTCTACCTGTGCCTACCAGTCTGCGGATATCTCCAGAGTTTTCTTTCTCCACAGAGACTGATAAAGCTCCGGGTGCAACAAGTACAGGGTAGTGACGGCAAGAGAAGCAAATCCGAAGATCGTTTGAAGCGCGCGTAGAAAGATCTGAGTCGATGATACTTTCGAATTCAGAAATGATTCTTGTAGCATTCCTCTCGCCCATTTCATCCAAAGCATCGACCAGGATTGTCAAAGGGCATTCGCGGCTTGCTTGAAGAACAGCATGGATGAAGAACTCTCGAAGCTCGTCTTCGGTCCAGGACCATTTTTCTTCGAATTTTCCTTTGAGCTCATTGTTCTTGACGTATTCCTCGGTGAGTTCAGCCATTAATGTGGGTGAGTTTGGAAGAATCTGGTGAAGAAGAGAACGATAAAGACCGCGCGGAGATTTCTGGATCTCGCTTCCTCGCCCATGTATGAAGAACGTCGCAACAGTTTCTTTGCAGCTATTAGAAACTTGTCTGCGTTTCTCCTCGGCAATGCACCGCATCAAAGTAGATTTTCCAGCTCCGGGAATGCCGGTAATCCACAGAAGAGTCCGAGGGTTGTTCATCCAGTGGTGGAATTTTTCATGCTCAAAAATCCAGCCACAGGTGCCTTTCGCAGCCTTGATGCTCGTTTGTTTCTCACGCCAGTCCTGTTCTTGGTATGCCAATGTCTGAAGACACAATTTTTCTTCTAACGTCAGTCTTTTGTGGAATCGTCTTCTTGTTGCTGTCGTGGTCCGGGATAAGATGTTTGACAGGTACTGCGCAGTGAGAGTATACAGGCTGTCATGCTTGTTGTTGAACTTGACAAGGTCGCTGTGAGATCGGTTGGCTGGTATAACGCGATGTCTTTGCGAATTTCGGCAAACTCCTTGCATAGCGGAAGAGGGCGTGACGAGGAGATCAAGCGGGCCCTCCATGGCCCATCGGCCGTCAACACGTATGGCGGTAGGAGACTTCATGGTTTCATAGAAATAGCAAGCCTCACAATGCCCCAAGGACTGCATGATTTGCATGAAGCTTCCGCTCAACTCCATCAGTGTTGGCGAGTTGCCGTCATCGAGAGAATAGAGAAGAGAGCGCCTAGCGCTCTCATCTGTCATCTCAACCAGGGATTCGATCCTCATGCCCTGTCCTGGGACCCCAAAGAAAAGGACTCCAGTAAGGGATGCCAAATGCCGACGGTCTGTCATTTCGTCACTCTCGGCCATCAGCTTGAGGGCAGCTTTTGCAATGATGCCGCCAAGGCTATGACAGATGAGCACCAGCTTCCTCAGCGGACCTTCCGCGGGTCTGAGGCTGCCGAGAAGCAAAATGAAGGTACGAGCAATGTCGTAGATAGTTTGTACCGAGGGTATCCTCGTGTCGTAACCATATGTGAAAATTCTGGCGGTGGTGCAATCTGTGGGTAAGCTGTCCCTCAGCCACATGTGTGGACCTCCTTTTTGCTTGAAGGATCCGAACGCATGGCCGTTGAGACCACTTATAGCAACAATATCTGTGGTGCATCTCTCGTCGTCTGATGAATGCAATGGTGTGAAGCCCTCGAAATGTGTATCCAAGACGAGGGAGGGTCCGTCCGGATGTGCGATAGTTACCTCTCGTTGGCCTCGCAGCCCTGGTGGCAGCGTCGAGAAGCAGAGAGTACAGATTTGTTGTTCTTGACGTACGGGGTCAAGGGCCAGCGAGTTTATTTCGACATGTGAGCCTTCCTGAGTATGAAGAGCCTCCTCGACGACATGTTTGACTTGCGCTTTTGAGAGACCGCTTGGGACGCCCTGCAGCCTGAAAGCAATGTCATGATCGGCAACCATCGCTTCAAGAACCCATAGCGCTCCGGAGCGTAATTCTCAATTTGGGGGTATTTATTGAGGAAGGCTGTCGATTCTCGGCTGAAGGGAAACTGCCCTGGGGAGATCAGAACATGGTGCCTGTGAGACGTGACCGCTGTCAATCTTCTGAGTGTCCGAGAGGCCTTACATTGACATCGCATGGGGTCGACTTACCTCAAGGCAATAGCTGCAGCCGGGTCACAAAGATCGCAGAACGTTGTGTCAGGCTCGGGAGATGATCGAACATGAAATGTCCAGAGCGAGGCTGAGACAGCTGACCATGGGTGGCGGGGTTTGTGGGGGCCATGTATTCATGTTCTCCCCACATTAGCCGAAGCTGCAATGGACCCCAGCAGGCACAATTGGTGCCAAAAGATCTGAACCATCGTAACTAATAACACATTCTCGTCCAGATGATAGCTTCAGCTATCCATGACATGAGTGTAAAACAAATCCACGCTAGTCTTCGGCTGCGATGCCCTTCGACAGTCTTTCTTTCTTGATTCCTTTTATGAGACAGAACATATATGGGTAGTTGAAGCTATCATCCGGATGTTAATGTGGAATTAATAATTATACATTCATGTCAGGACGATGGCTTCAACTACCCATGGCATGATCGAAAAAAATTCACGGCAGCCGTCGGCGGCAATACCCACCTGTAAGAAATGCATAGCGTTCAGTTAATTCATCCTTTTCTTCGAACAGAACGTCGTCTTCAAACCAGACATTCCAACATCTCTCATATCCATAATCCTGTAGAAAGAAAGACATTAGAGCGAAACAACCCAACGCCAGCCCTCCAGAAATCTACATGCATATAGAGCCGCCGATTCTGTATCCGGTAATAAACAAGAAAGATTTTCCTTTCGCCTTCTTCTTCTTCTACTTTAAAACCCATCCTCCTCTCTCCTCCCCCTCCCATACATCGCCTCCCTCACCAACGCGATCGCATCCTCCAACACCGCCTTCCTGCCCGCCCCCCAACACATCGCAGCCTCGACCTTCGACACGCCCTCAGCCAACGCCTGGCTCGCGATGTCGCCATCGACGCGGCCGGGCCGCTCGACGTTCCACCTCGCCTCGACCTCCTCCGCCTCCCTCAGCACGGCACGAGCCCGGGCAATCCGCTCCCAGAAATCCCACACCTCCGCCGGTCCCGCGCCGTCCACGTTCGGGTCAGGCCGAGTGTACTTGTTCTCAGCGGACGCGGTTTTCGCGTCGACCAGCGCAGACGGGACCTCGACGTTATCATCGTCACCGGCGTTCCCACTCGACGAAGAAGAGGAAAAGAAAAACGACCTCCCCCACCCCTTCCTCGCCGCCGCAATCTTCGCGTCCTCCGCATACCCAAACGGATACGCCCGATCCATGCGGCCCTTCTCCACACCCGTCACCGCATCCTTCAACCCCTTCCACCTGCGGCCCCCCAAACTCGGCGGAAAATGCTCCGCCGCGCGCAACCACCACCCATCTTCTTCCGACGCCGTCCCCGCCGCCGCGGACCACGCGTACCAGCGCTCGGGCTGCAGCACGATGTGCGCGAAGCCCGCGGGGTCGAAATCATCGCCCAAGTCGTCATCGTCCGCGCCGCTTTTGGACGTCACGCCAACGTTACTCACATCAACCAGCGTTTTCGCGAGGGCAAAGTCCTCGTCGACGACGGCGGCGTCGACGAGCGGGGCGGCGAGCATGTGCTGCAGGAAGACGGCGGTCCACGGGTGCACGCGCAGGAAGAAGGCGGCCGAGCTGACTGCGGGAAAATCCGGGTTGGCCGTGACGGGCGAGGCGGCGTCGTAGGCGCCGAGGAAGTGGATGTCGTTGAGGGCGATGGCGCGGAGCTGCGAGCCCGGCGAGCGCGAGGACGTCATGTTGGTCGTGAGGCTGGTGGGGGGCAGGAAGAGGGAGAGCGGGATGGTGGGGTCGTTGAGGACGGCGGTGGGGGAGAGGAACCTGTGATTCCAAATGTCAGTCTCGTTTGGAGGAAGGGGGAAAGATGGGGTATGCCAGCAATACTCACATTATCCACTCCGCAGCGTCCGCTGGATCTTTGTTCAGCTCCATCGTCACCAACGCCTGCAGCCAACTCCACTTGCCCCACCACCCGTCGACCAACCTCTTCCTCAGCACCGTCGTCGCGTACCCCCACCTCTCGGCGTGCTTCTCGTGCGTCAGCAGCGCGCGCTCCAGCAGCTCGTTCGGCTCCGGCTGCTCGTACAGCACGCTCGCCAGGATGATCTTGGCCGGATCTTTCCGCCCCGACCACACGTCGGTGAGTTCACGCCACCGCGTCTTCGAGGCGGTGCTGTGCCATTGCGCCGGCGGTTGGTGCGTGAGGTAGTCTCGGATTCTAGAGGTGCGCGAGGGCCCGAAAGCATCGGTCAAGAAAGTTGCGCAGAGGACTAAAAAGGCGATTGCGCCGAAGATGAGGACGCGGGTCTGGTGGAAGTGCAAGAGCATGGTTTCCAAACGTCAGTTCGCGATTCTGCTGCTTTTCTTTCTAACAATGCAACGGTTTCTTTTTGTTTGAGATATGGGGAAACAGGGAAAGGAAACATCAATCAAGTCGCGGGAAGTGATGACGACGACTGCAGCTGATCTGTTACAGCGGCGCAAGGATGCAGCATCGCAGCCCGGCTGCAACGTGGGAAGAAAAAAAAAAAGGGGGGGAGAAGGAAAGGTGAAAGAGTTGCGAGCGAGTTTGCGAGAGAAAGTAACAAAAGAAAGAAATTCTAGGTTCAAAAGAAGCTTCAAACGACGCGTGGACGAGCATACGGCGTTAATGCGGAGGATTGAGGGTTGGGGAAACGTGTGACGCGTTGTGGGGTCGCGTGCGCGGATGATTGCGAAACAGGAGATCTTAAACGCACTGTTGCTGGAGACATTAGCCGCCTTGTTCTTGACGGCACAGCGCTGGCTGCACCTCTCTTGTGAACGATAGGATGCGAGGGAGAGTAAGAACAAGTTGCATGTGCAGTGCAGACGGTTTGTCAGAAATGCAGGGGAACGGAACGAACGGGTGGAGTTCGGTTGGCAGATAGATAAGGCACAGGCCGCCGTATCCATGCAGCCCTACATCACACGCGCAGCCGCGCGCTCTTCTGGCCGTTCGACCAACGAGCTGGAGCTCCCCAGAATGCGGGGACGGCACGGCAGCTGTGGTGGGGCTGACCTGATTGGGGAACGGGAGCTGGGCAAGAAAAATTGGGGAGCCGGTGATTCGACGGGCGAGAAAGTTCCCAAGGGAAAAAAAATGGACTCAACATACCCTTGTGTAATTGAGGCATGGGCAGGGCAGGAACGGCACTTGCAGTGGCGCAGACGCTGGCTGTCTCATATGCGAGAAAAGTCTAAAAGTTTAAATGGACATTGGTCCCGGTAAGAGGCCCCTTCAACGTCCGGGATGTTGCTTGTGCGGTGGAAAGTGCCGATCGCGAGCAGTGAGCAGGCACGACGACAGATAAAGGCTCCTGGGCAGGACAGGTGACAGACGACACGGCTATTTTCAGCGTTGCAGCGCGAGAGAAGTCGCGTGTTTGCTGACGGGCGCTCGTGTTCGTAGGAACGAGATGGAGGGTGTCAGTAGTCAGCGGAGCTTAGGCCGCCACCCCTGAGCTTTGCGTCTTGGCCCAGCGACACCACCTAATTGCCGACCGGATGGCAGCGGATCTCCGGCCCCTTCCGTCGCCTTGCCGTCAGTTCCCCAGATCTCGCCAATCAGCAACGGTTTTGCAGATCAAGATCGTCCGTCGGGCATCTATCGTGTGAATCGTATCTCATTTCGGAGCCTGTCGTAACCCATGTCGTCTACTCATGAATAGTCCTAATCATGCCCGGTACCGCCTCAGCTAAACCCAGGAAATCAAGGAAAGACACCTCCGTCCATCTTGCCACCGAGTCCAGCAAGTCTGCATGTCTCGCATCAACCTAACCTTGATTGGTCTCACCGAGTCACCCGCTGCAAGGGCATCCACCTTAGCACACAGCATGGGTCTTGCCCGTCTTGCCCTGCAGCGAATGATCCTCGTCCGTGTAGTGCGTGTTAGTCAGCGTCCACCGGCGAGCCAGCTTGGTCGTGTGCTGCTTCACGTGCCTGCGCGTGCCGTTAGCTTTTCTGCATCGAGTAATTTCCACCTCGCCATGACTTACTCCTTGTGCTCCTTGAGTCTCTTCGCATCCATCTTGTCCAACACCTGCAGAGCCAGCTTGAAGTCCGTGATCAAGGCATCACAACGGCTGCGCGAGAAGTCCTCGCGGACCACCACACGCATCATTTTGAGCCCCTCGCTGTGGGGCGCCATCGTGTACGCCGGAACAACCCAACCGCGCTCGCGGAGCTGGTGCGCGACAGCGAACTCGTCGTACTGCTTTCCTTGCTCAGGGTCAAGGCGGCAAGCCACCAGCGGAAGCCCCTTTCCGCCGCTTTGAGACATGATGATGAAACCCAGCGCCTTGAGGTTGAGTGCAAGGTAGTCGGCCGTGCGGGTGAGATTGCTGTTTCGCAATTAGTCAACGTGCAGCCATACGGGGGGTTCCGATCATTGTGTGTTTGGACTACTGCGAAACCTCGCAGTCATGGGTCTGGCCCGACAAATGGGGCCACACTCGTGTAATATACCAGCATAGCTTTGAGACAGGGATGGTGCTACGTGCACAGAAACGGGCTAACTTACTTCATGATGGACCTGTAACCATGCTTGCCCAGCCTGATCATCTGGTAGTACTGGCCAATGATCTGAGAAGCTCCACGTGAGAAGTTGAGGGTGAAAGAAGCTTGGTCAGCACCGAGGTAGTTGATGTTGAAGATCAGCTCCTTGGGCAGGTACTCGGGGTCACGCCAGACAACCCAGCCAACGCCGGGGTAGACAAGGCCGTACTTGTGGCCGGAAACGTTGATGCTGACAACCTTGGGCAAGCGGAAGTCCCAAACCAAGTCAGGGTTGACGAAGGGTGCGACGAAGCCACCGCTGGCGGCGTCGACGTGGATGGGGACGTCCATGTCGTTCTCCTCAAGCAGGTCATTGATCTCCTTGATATCCTCGTACTCGCCGGTGTAGGTGGTGCCGAGAATGGCACAGATGCCAATCGTGTTCTCGTCGCAGAGGTTGATGGCTTCGACCGGATCGATGACGTAGCGGTCCTTGGTGCAGTAGACGTACTTCTCCTCGACGTCGAAGTAGCGGGCTGCCTTCTCCCAGCACACCTGAACGGCCGAGTTCATGACAATGTTGGGCTTGTCGTAGGGCTTGCCCTCGGCCTTGCGCTGGTTGACCCAGCGCTTCTTCATGGCCAGCACAGCGAGCATGATGGCCTCGGAGGAGCCAATGGTGCTGGTGCCCATAGCATTGGTGTTCTCATCGTGCGAGGGGATGTTGAACAGGCGGGCGATCATGGACACGCAGCGGTTCTGGATGTCAGCCGAGACAGGGTACTCCTCGTAGTCGATGAAGTTCTTGGCGAAGCACTCGGTCATGAGCTTCTCAGCCTCCTCCTCCATGTAGGTGGTGACGAACGAGGCCAGGTTGAGGGTGGGGGTGCCATCGAGGGACAAGTCATCCTTGATCAGGCCTGGCAGCTGTCAGCAGGAGCGAGCGAGACTGGAGCCAATTGGAAGCGCACGGTAGGCAATTTCCTTGGGCATCTCCCGCTCGGGCATCTCGAGCCTGGGGATGTCCTCGACGGCGAAGCGGGAGCCATAGACGGACGCGGTGATGGTGTCGGGCTCGATGTACTCCTCGAGCTTGATCTTCTCGAGGCCTTCGACGAGGGGCCTCGAGGTGTCGAAGTCGGTGGGAATGCGGGCAAGGTGCACCATGGTGGCGATCACAACGTGTCAGGTGGGTATGGTAGGTCAATTGAAGAGGGTGGAGGCAGAGGAGACGGCTATGCGGCAGAGCAGGTGGTGTGGGAAGCAGATGAGGGCGGGGGACGAGCTCAGCTCGGGACGCGCGGGGAAGGCGGGTAGATCTTAGCACGGAGCTTGGTGAGCTTGTTTTGCAGCAGGCGCCAGCTTGGTGAGCGTTGCGTCAGCATCACGCACCAAACGGCGGCGAGCAATGGCACGCAGCTGGCATTGTCAGACAGCGGCCAGCCCGGCGGCCACCACTATCCTGACGTGGGCAGCGGTGGGTGGTGGGCGCGAAGCGCCGCGTACGTACGTGTGGCCCCTCACTGGAGCTCGATGGGCAAGCGAGATGGCGCAGATCCAATCGCGCGCAACCGCCGTTGCCTGCCGCTCGCGCGTTCCTGCGCTGCCCCTCATCGCAAAGCCTGCTGCCCGCCCAGCTCCTGCCGATCTCCATCATCTGCCAACCTCTCGTCGGCCGTCGCCCAGGCCAGTCTGCGACCGCCTCGCTGCTCTCCACCGATCAGCAATGCAGTCCGCGCACGCATCACGAGAGATCAACCGGTGCGACGCAGGCTGCGTCTGTTCAGGCTCCCGACCGGCCAGCCCGCAATTGAGGCTGTGTGCATGCTCCGAATTGGCGGTGAGGACGGCCTGGCCTCGCGGCTACGCACGGAAGAGCCTCGTGGGGATGTCAGATAATAAAGCTCTCGTGGCCGCGCCGAAGAGCTATTTTTCGCCAAGTTCCAGACGCGACCATTCTCCATGGGTCGCGTAGATCGTTGTTTGCTGGCCGGCCCGGCGACGCCTGCCTATTGGTTGCCTCGCCAATGCCCGCCCCTGCCGCTGCGAGCAAGCAGAGCCGAGACGAGCAAGGTATGTGAATAACTGCTTTGTGGCGACTCAGCACTCCGCCTACTCTCCGCCGGCCCTCGACTCGCACCAACGTCTTGTCCACTCTGTCGACCGCCAACTCACGACTTCCGCCAAGCACGGCGACCTCCGCTGCTCCATTTCCATTTACGAGTACACAAACGTCCATCTCCGTTTCACCGAGCTTACGGCCCCAGTTTCTCCGTGCCAAGCGGCGCGGACGCCGCTGTCTATGGTACATACAAGATGCGCAAACAGTTCCGTCGTCAATCGTAGTATCCTCTGATGTGTGCACCAAGCATCCCTCCAGCCCTGAAGTTTTGACAAGTAAAAAAGATGGCGGTATAGACAAAAACAAGCTGAAAGAAAGACAGCGGAATTAAAACGCAACTGTAGAGTATAACCGAAAGAATACCCATCCGAGAGAAGGAAATTAGTTCCGCTTAGACACTTCAGCTCCACTCGCTTCCCGCTCCATGAAGATAATAACAAAAATGCGAGAGTTTTTGTTTCTCTTTCCGACGCCTTGGAAATGCCAGATCGCTTACCCGGTTGGGCTCGGTGGTGAGGCCTGCAGATCATTCCACCCGCCGTTGCTGCTTCTCCGCATAAACCTCGTCAAATCCGCCTCAACGCGTGTCCTCATGGAGCAAAATGCCCCTTGACCCGACTGACGGAAAAGGCGGTCCCGGAAGCTGCACCCAAAACCCACTCTTCGGCCCATCCCGTTCTATTTCCTCGCCCTCTAAATGATGTTCGCAATGCTGATTCTGCTCGTTCCGCCCGCGCTTGCCGAACTACCCGAACTTCCTGGCGGCGCACCACCGCCTCCCTCTGCCCCTGGCGGTGGCAAGCTGCCGGCATCCGAAGCCAACTGGACCCTCTTGCCCGCGTTGTGCGGGCTGGGCTGGTAGAAGGCCGGCTGCTGCATTTGCGCGTGCGCCTGCGCATGGTGTCTGGACCGCTGCTCTTCAAGAAGTGCCGCGATTTGCCGCTCGACGCGCTCCCAACCGCCCCACTCGCGCGATTCCTTATCTGTGAGCATCGAGTTCATCCGAGGCGCCGGATACCGTTCGTCGTCTTCTTGCATTGGCTCGCCGTTCTCGCTGCTGCCGCCCGAAGCCTTGCGTGATTGGGCCGCATCCTTGGCGACTGCCGCGTTCAAAGAGTTCGGCGGCTGAGTTGATGTCGGCGTGTTGAGCTTGATGCCCGTGTCGCTGCCCACCCAGACCCAGCTGTTCTCCGTCGACCCTTGCAAGTCGCCACTCACGTAGGCCAGCATCTCCTCATCCACCTCTAGCATGCTCTGCGACCCGCTTCCGCTCTGTATGCGCTCTGTGAGCCGGTCCAGGAAAAACGCCAGGTTCCGTCCGCACGCAGTGTTGACTTTTCTCAACGACCCAATGGCCGCGCTGGCGCGCACGCATGTCAGCGCCGAAACGTAGTCTGCACGGAAGCACAGGACCAGTGTGCAGCGCCAAAGATGGGTGCACAGCATGTGCTTCGCGGTCGCCAGGATGCGTGTCTGCCAGCTGTCGCCACGGAAGCTCGGCTCGCCCGCCGCGTCGTGGAAGGCCGGCGGCGACAGCATGCTGCGTGAAATATATTTGGCTGTGTCCTGTGCGACTACAAGGCAGCGGTTGAGTGCGTCTACGCGCTCCGCGGGGTGGCACGCGGATGACAGGTTATGCCTGGCCAAATGGAAGCGCGCGAATGGCAACACGAGGACTGACATTAGGACGCTTGGGTCCACGTAGCTGTCGGGCGCGAGCTGGTATGTCTCGGGGAAGGAAGACATGATGGCCCGAAAGTAGTCCTCATACGTCTGTAATGTGGCAGGCGCGATCGCCCTCGCTTTCAGCGTCTTCTTTAGTTGACCTATGAAGCGCAGGACCGGGATAGTATTATGGAGCGTGACCATCATTGGCCGTCCTGGCGAAGGCCGCGAGATTCCGTGTGGTTGGATGTAGTTGTCATCAACCGCTGCCGGCCAGGGCACCTCGCAATCCTCGTCGTCAATAAGGACCGGTCTGCCAACCTCAAGCGAGAGGAGCCTAGGAAGCGATTAGCTACGACGAAACACGCTTAAAAATCAATAAATCTTACCTGTCCCACGAATAAATCGACCACCACACTCGCCTACGTAATTCTCCCTCGACTACAGGCCATGGTCCAGTCTCGCAATGCAATCCTAGGTCCTGAGCGATTCTGACGGCCGAACCAAGCCATACCCACCCAGCTGACTTGAGGTTGATTTCCGTGAGGAAAATACTGACGAGCAAAGTAGTCCGAGCGTGATCAATCGTCATATCGTCCGACCAGGTATTGATACTGCGCGATGCGATCTCCATGAATGTTTTTCCTTCCCCGTCTGGCGTCAACGCCCCAGGCGACGAATCGGTCGTCTGAAGAGTACCACAGGCCAAAACCGCAAAGAATACAGCCACCCAGATTTGCGGTGCCCCTTGAAACGATCCAGCCGAATAAATTTCTTCAACTTCAGCCCCGAAGGTAGGCCAGTGAATCAGCGGTGCCCAAGCGTGCGTAGATCCATAGTACTGAGCCAATAATTGATCCGTAATGTGCCTAGGCGGTAGCGCCAAGTTTGCCGATGGATAAGACGGCTGAGGAGCATTGTGCCGGTACGGAGGCGGTGCCTTAAAAATACCACGGCTGTAAATGCGAATGTTCTTCCGCACGTGGTCGAAGTTTCCCAGTGAGGGAGGGCCGTGCTTTCGTTCTGAGCTAGGAACTATGTCGGGCAGATTCAACGTCGGAACGTCCACCCGTTGCTTGTCAATGTCCATTGCGCCTCCATGGTGCAGCATGGAGCGCAGTTGCGAGATTTGATGCTTCGCTTCCGCCAGCTGGCTCTGTAGGTCCTGCACTTGCTTGATTGAAGACATGCGGCGGTTCGTCTCCTAGATTCTCCGTCAGCATAACGTGAAGCAGCCGTACGGCATTGCAAGGAGAGATTTGCCTTGGTGAACTGGCATCTCACACTCCTGCTGGAGCACTCTGAGCAGCTCGACGTCTCGGTGGCGTCGCATTTCACTTTGCGCTCGCGGCAGGCGTCACAAGATGGGTCCTTCCTGCGCTGTCGGTACGCTCGCTTGGTCGCAGACAAGCCTCCCGAAAGGTGTGTTGGTGAAATTCCCGAGGCTGACAGGGTGGCGTCTGGGAGTGTTTCATGGATGCTGCCTGGGAGGCTGCCAGCGGCAGTGCTCGGCGAAGTTGACGAGTTCCCGTAAGGGTAGCCATATGGAGTGGAGCTGTAGCTGCCGGGAGAGCGTGCTATCGTTTGGGGAGGCAGAGAGGGTGTCTGAAGGCCATGGGGACGGGCTGCGGAGCTCAGGCTGAACAGGCTCGAGGCTGGGGGGATGACGGTCTGGGGGGAGGCGTTGGAGGAGAGGGAGGAGGAATCGTGACTAGGGAGTGTGTGAGATTGCTGGCGCGTGTAGGAGCCGTCCATGGTGAAAAGTAGAGTGGCAGCGACGTGGCTGCTCTCGAGAGATGACGGGTCCCAAGGCACTCGGTTGCTGCCGAGATCTCTGCGGGTCGCCTCGCACTTGACAAGACTCGGGCCCTTTCTGAAAAAGGGAATTAGATGGACAAACCCTGGTCAGCACCATACAGCTCCAGTGGTGCTTTGATAGGACGATGGCGGGCTGGTCCGAGTCAAAAATAGCGTCGGGGGGTCTGCGTGGGCTTGGTCGTCTGCGTCAGGCAAGCAAGCACACGGACTGTGCGACCAGCTCGAAAGGATGCCGATTTGCTCGGAAGGCAGGCGTGCGCTGAAGTATCGACGGGAGGGCCAGCTGCATGCGCGGCGTCAGCACAGGTACATGAACGGCTGAAGCCGGGTCAGGCCGACCGGATAAGCAGTCAATTGACGGCGAGCAGCATGAATTGGGGCAGGCGGGAGGGCGGGTATCGCGCTGGATGCGGTGCGCGGTCGGGACGGGCGACTTTTTGCAGAGCTCCGCGCGTGACCAGCGCGAGGGTGTGTGGCGGGACAGAGGAGAAGAGAGAGAGGGATCAGGCCTACCTATCACGGCTGCTGCAAGTGCATAAGACCCCCGCTAGCAGATCGAGGAGGGGCCAGGCGAGGATGCTCCCGCCGGGGAAGGATCAACGGCAGGCACGCAGAGGGAGAGGGGGCCGGCGGAGAGGCTTGACGTCTGTTGAGTGCTCTGCCTCGGTCTCTGAATTTTCTGGCACGCCCCCCCTGGCGGCTGAGGCTGAAGCGCGCGGTCAAGGCTGGTCGTGGAGCAGCTTCTGGTGGCGCCACGGCACGTACATGGATGCGGGCAACGGTCAGCGGTCAGCGGTCCGCATATTTGATTGAGGGCCGGGAGCACAGCATGTTCGTATCGTTCTCGTGTGGTGCGGCCGGGTGGGACTGCGCTGGGAGAGGACATATAGCAGGCAGGCCCAGAGGCCGGCGATCAGTCGAGCGCGAGGCATCAGCGGCGGCGGCAGGCTCCATTAGGGAAGATGGTGATCTCGAGTTAGCTGGTAGGCGCGGGCGCGGAGACGACCCAGCGCGCAGGACATGGTCCAGGAGGCTAATCTGGCCAGGGTCCTGTATTTGCCGCCGCTTCGACGGCGGGATCTAGGATCCTAGTGGGTAGGCAAAAATCTTCACCACTCGCAATCCCTGCAGGGCCGTCCGTCCGGGGGCGCGCGCTGGCCTGCGTGTGCTTGTGCCTGCTTCCGCCCAAGGATCGCATCTGGCGCGGTGGTGATGTGCGCGCCGCCTGCTGGATGCGGCGCCTAGCCCTACCCACGCTGCCCTGTCACGCAATGCGGAGCAGCCTCGCCTGCCAGCCAACCACGAGGCCCGCCAGTCTGGAGAAGTGCGGCGGGTGGCTGGCCTGCTGCGCTGATGCTGTGGCGCGCGCCGGCGAGAACGTGGCCGCGGGCCCGCGCTGCTGGAAGGCCGTTGCACTGGCTGGGCCAGGCCTAGCGACGCTCGTGGCCTCGGCCGGGCGTGGCCTGAGGTGCTGGCAATTTCTGGCCGGGCGTGCGCCTGCTCCGGGCAGGTCGGCCGCGCGTGGTCGACGAGATGCCACAGCGCGCACTCTACGCGAGGTTGTTAGCGTCGGCGCTGTCTCACCCTGCGCTGCGCGAGGGAGCCGCACGGTAAATTTGGCAACGCGCGTGCTCGCTGCCCGGCGGGGTGGGATGGCATTGGGGCAAGGCGATCTGCTGTTTCAAGGTCGACAATACGGTGCAGATCATCGCGCGGGATCTCCGTGCTTTCGGCAGTCGGATTCCTCCGCCCTCTCCAGCGGCGAAAAGTAACCGCGATGACAGGCATTGGCAGGTTCCGAGCGCACATCATCCTCCGGCTTTTGCACCGCTTCCCGTTAGGATTTGCCGCGCATGCGCGCTCGGCCTGGCGCCAGCGCTCGAAGCGCGCTGCTCGGCCCGGCAGCAGCTTTCGGCCACGTCTACGGCGATCGTCTTGCGGCCGGCAGTCGCTGCGCTGCCAGAGCCGCTCCCAGAAATTGCCCCAGCAGATCGCGCCTAGCCGAAGCCGCCACTGCGCGGCCTTGAGCCCGCCCGCAGATCGTCGACAGCCTGTACCGAGATCGAGCCTGCCGCCTATTGCGCGGCGGCCTGCCTTCCTGCCCTCTCCATCATGCCGGCTGCCCGCCCGTACCTCCGGCTGCCTGCCCGACTGGCCGCGGCCCCAGCTCCCGCGTCGTGTTTTCGTGGGACGGCAGCGAAGGATTGCAAGCCCTGCCCCCTCCATTTGCCACGTGATGGCCCTGGGCCACGCTGTGGCAAACGCGTCACTCTAGAAAAGCGCAATTGATGACTCTCAAGGGCCTCCATCTCGGTCCCCGGACGCCGATTGCTGCCCGGCCGGACGACGTGCGCGTATACGAGCGCTGCGCTGCGGCAAAATTCCCTATCCGACGCTTGGCCTGGAATGCGCCCGCGCGGCCAAGCGTTCCAGACTCCTTCCATTGCGACACTTACGACTCCGGCGGGCGCCATCTGATGCAGCTGCCAGCCGCCGTCGCGCCCGTTGGAGGCTCATCCTCGCCGGGGCGGAGACGGCGCCGTTACCCCTTTCTTATCTTCACGTGTTCTCCCGCCGCTGTTCCAAAGTTCGGATCCGGCCGTCGCCCGCGTGCCGCAGGCCGCGATCCGCTCAAGCTCCATCTACTTTTGTCCAAATCTGTGACCGGCACCGCCCGGCGACTACTCCGCCGCCATCACTGAGCCCTACGGCGGCGCGCGATGCTGCTCTGCCATTGGCCGTGTTCCTGTCGGTCACCGGGCAATCCGCGGCCGTTTGAAGAGAGTTGTTGCAAAATTTCCAAAAATTTCCCTCCTCGACGCTGCATAAGACGTTAAGCTTTTCTGCCTCCTGCCCGAACTGCCGCCTACCCGCGCCCAGTTTCCCGAAAAGCCCAAAATGTGCAACGAGCAGGTCCACGCGTTCCTGAAGGCGCTCCCCAAGTGCGAGCAGCACATCCACTTGGAGGGCGCGCTGACGCCCGAGGTGCTGTTTGCCCTCGCCAAGAGCAACAGCATCGCCCTCCCGAGCGACGACCCCGCATTTGCCTCTCCGCAAGCTCTCCTTGCCCGCTATGAACGGTAGGCTTGTCTTACCACTCCCCCGGTTCCCGCGCCCGCCCCTGGCTCCACGTGATATCGGGAATTCCAGTCTCACACCCTGCTGATCCCGCCTGTTCTAGTTTCACCTCCCTTGACGACTTCCTGCACTACTATTACATTGGCATGTCCGTTTTGATCCACGCCTCGGACTTCGAGGCGCTGGCCTGGGACTACTTCCAGCATGCCGCCGCCGATGGCGTGGCGCATGCCGAAGTCTTCTTCGACCCGCAGGCGCATACTTCCCGCGGCATCTCGTACGATACGGTTTTGCAGGGCTTCAGCGCCGCCCGCGATCGCGCCACGCGCGAGCTCGGCATCTCAACCGAGCTGATCTGCTGCTTCCTGCGCCACCTCCCGCCGCAGGATTGCCTCGACACGTTCGAGCACGAGCAGGTGCAGGCTAGCTACATTGGCGGCAAGATTGCGGGTATCGGTCTGGACTCGTCCGAGGCGCCCTTCCCGCCGCAGCTGTTCGAGGAGCTGTACTCGCGCGCCGGCAAGCTGGGTCTGAAGCGCACCGCCCACGCCGGCGAAGAGGGCCCCGCCGGCTTCATCCAGGACTCGCTCGACCTGCTGGGCGTGCAGCGCATCGACCACGGCCGCCGCCTGACCGAGGACCCCGCACTGATGAAGCGCATCGCCGAGCAGAAGATCCTGCTGACGACGTGCCCGCTGAGCAACGTCGTGCTGCGCGGTATCAAGGAGGTCGCCGAGATGCCGATCCGTCAGTTCATCGACGCCGGCGTGCGCTTCAGCATCAACAGTGACGATCCCGCTTACTTTGGTGGTTACATCCTCGATAACTACGTGGCCGTGCAAAAGGCCTTTAACTTGTCCGTTAATGACTGGGACTGGATTTGCAGGGGCGCCATCGAGGGCAGTTGGTGCCAGCAGGAGCGCAAGGATGAACTGCTGAAGGCGCTGGACGCTGTGATCAGCGAGTACAAGGGGAAGCTGAGTGCCTAAAATAAATGATGTCTCAGCTGAGTAGGCATGTTTGGCGTACAAAAGATTTGTAAAAGAATTGCGTAGTAACTCGTAAATAGACTTGCGATACCAATTAGAGTTATGATTGCTGTTAGGTCTTGCTAGACCATCGAATCACGGATACCTGTTTTGCCGGTGAAACTGGTGTGTCTTCTTACTACTTCTATATCCATGCAGTCAGAGGACGAACCTGCAGTCTCAGCTGAGGTCATTGAACAGGCATTATCGACGTCAGACACATGGTTCGAGAGGGTACGAAGGCCGGGCCGCTGCGAGAACATGTCCAGCAGCTTCAGCCATGCACTTCGTTGCGCAACCCGAAGCATAAAGTTGGCTCAGCTCGGAGCCGACCTGCCAAGCAAAACGTCAGCCTTACAATTGTGAAACTTGGCTGTGGACGTCAAACTGAATCTTGGTTTGATAGGTGAAACCTAAGCGTAGGTAAACAGTCCCGCTTGGAACTGCCGGGGCTCAACAAGGGCTATCGCGCGTCGGATCGCTTCTTCCGAGTCATATCACGGTTCCTTCCCATTTCATATCCATTGCCATAAACGGCTTAGCGTAGGTACTACCAAATTCGACTCTGCTCTTTCCCCAGGGCAACCACCCGCTCAGAAAGGGATTAGCGTCGCTTGCTTAGCGCGTGATGCAGCTGCTCGTCCATCAACCGCAAGCATAAGAACCCTTCGCTGTTGATTCCCTCCGAACTTCTACAACCACCGCCGAGCAACATTCGCAGCCTCAGCGAAAGCTCTCCATGCCTTCGTCTTACCTGCCCGGTCGGCAAGCGAGCTATATCGCCGCGCTGACCGCGCTGCGCCTCACTCTCCGCAGAAGTAAGTCACCTCTCGACGTCACCATCACAGCCCCACCCACCTCCATGATGACCGACGCGCAAAGCGTCATAAGAACAGTTATCTGAGAGCTTCGACCGAACTCTCGTGTTTTGCCTACAAACCCTCTTCCGATGACGCCTTCCCCCTGTCTTGTCTGGTTTCACCTTCGCGGATGAAACCGCTGGCAGCGGCGGTCAAGGCTAGGTGAGGGCGCGAGGTACAGCAAGGGATCTAGGTCCAGAGACGAAAAAAAACTTTGAGCTACCCACTGACTTGGTGGAATCACATGTCATTCCTACCTATCATACATTTCGAAACGCTTGTGCTAACAAGTCGTAATCCTGAGCAGGTACCGAGCGCACTGAACAGATATTTGGTTGCATCGTCATACTACTGGAGGCCGGGCAGGAAATGGTGAAGGGGAGGGAGCTTGGACTACTTTCGCAGGTGGATAGTAGATACTTCATGATCAAATCCTTTCGAACCACTTGGCTTCTTTCCTCTGGCTACTGTGTTTTTGAAACTTTGCCTCCCGCTTCTGACGGTCTTGGGATATAGAAATGGTGCATGAGCTACGAGCCATCAATGGCACATGCAGACAGCCAGATAGCCACGACGATCACTCTGTTCCACGGCGTGAGCCGACACTCTACAAGCATGCTCTCGCTCACAATATCTCTAGACACAGTTTCTCAGCCTACTGCTCTCGATATCATCTTGTTCTTGACCGCTATCCCTCAAACAACAGTGGCTCTTCGTAGTCGAAGGGGCTACAAACGCTACAAGTCCACGTCAACACTGTTACTCACAAAACAATAGTAGAAGAGAGTCTCAATATTCGTTTCTATTAAAGCACGCCATCGTTTTTAAAAGATGCCGAATTCTCTAGAGAAGCATAGCAGGGAACCCACGACGGTTAACGACGCACAAGGGCGCGGAGAGAGTTCTTGATGTCGAATCTGCAGAAGAAGAAGTTTTTTTTCGCGAGCTCTTGGGACTCATCAATTGCCACAGTCTGCTACAGGTAAGAAATTTAACCTAAAGAGCTGTACTTATACTTATTTCATGGCAGTCCGTCCACCTGCAGCGTTTATTCCCGTACGCGCCCAGAGCTCGCGCAGCTGTCCGAAACGCGGTTTAATCGCACATGACAAGTTTCCGTCTTCTTCTACTCGGGCCCCAAGGTAAGCCTATAAAAAACGAGTTGACATGAGAGGGTAAAACGATTACCGACTTCACGTTCAAGGCAGGTCACTTCCGATCAAGCCTGTTATACTGTCCTTCGGGAGGAACAACACGTATCTACTACTATATTACTAGCTTTCCCTTTACATGGCGGTTTATGTATAAGTACGCCGTATCTACTAGTAATTTAGGTGAAGTTAATCTGCGTGTCTCGGTGCTTTGTTAGTGCGTAATATCTTAATGCGCATAGTCATCATTAAGATAGAATGGTACTACACAGCATAAGCTAGTAGTAATAGTATTTATAGATAGTAGAAAGGTGTAGTAGTAAATTTTACATAGAGATAAGTAGATAAAAAGTAGTTGTTATCAGGAAGTAAAAAGAGATAAAAAAAGAAATTGCTCCCGAAGACCACGCTAATGAAATCTTACGCACCTTGAAGTAACCAATTCTGAGATCCGCCATTGTCGAGTAAGAGGAGTGATGGGAATTAGTAGAGCTTTTACTGAGCTATTAACAAGAATCGCGAAGCCACAATGGGCCACGCCCTGCTATCGGGAAAGCCTGTCTCGTTCAATCGTTGAGGTGCGGTTTGCACCGATGGGTGGTAGGAAAGGCTCGAGAACTATTGCGAACATTAGCAACTTGCCTCACACGACAGCTAAGATTCGAACGCATGGTCTTCGGAAGCGGGATGGCGCGTTGGACGGCATCAGGGAAGATGTCATCAAATACGTCATCTGTCTTTGGATGGTAAAGTGTGCTTGCATTCAAGATTATGTCCGGAGTGGAGGACCGAATAACGATCCAGCCACGGCCGAGACTGACATTGGGTTTGACGGCGGCGGCCCCACGTTCATGCAGAAACACTACTGCCTACCATGTATCAGTGTCGGAATGATGTCTGGCAGGGGGTAATGCAGCCGACAGCTTGCGTGTATTTATTTTTCACCCATTCTATGAGTAGTTGAAGCTATCTTCCGAGTAGACTCGCTTAGATGCTTGGACTGGGCGCGTTCGAGTAGACTCACTCACAAAGTGTGTCCTAGTAGACTTGGACTAGGCCGACGCTGCTTCTAGGATACGGAGGGGACACCTGGAGACGCCCGGCTCAACCTGAAGTGCAAGTAGACTTGGACGCCATCCTCACATCCGCCACCAAGTAGACTTGCCGTGTGAGTTAAGTAGGCGGCAAGAATCAAAGGGGCGAAGGGCAAAATTTGGGGTAAAAGGAAGAAGAGGATGAAGAGGCGGAGGGGGAGAAGATCTTGTGATATGCACATGTGTCTAGCCCGCCATTCACCAACACCAAGTAGAAGAATATCACCGATGGCTGCATCATCCCAAGGCACAAGCTCATCCAGCGGATGGATACAGAGAATGTCACTGAGAAAGGCTTCGTTCGATTCATCACTGCACAGTGAGCAGCCATATTCCAAACAAAACGCTGATATACAAGAATTTCCGCTCTCCTATTCACTATACCCCTTGGCTTCCTCACTGCTTCGTAAAATCCTCCTTCGGTGCATCCCCCTCTTCCTCGCCGGTCCCGTACTTCCTCACATGCTCCTTCGCAGCATTCTTGTCCGCCTCGAACGCCTTCACTTCTTCACTGTCCATGTGCTGTGCGACCTGGTCAGCCTGCCACTTCTTGAAGCTGAAGCCCAGGCCCTCGTGGCTGTAGTCCTTGTCATTGGCCTGGTCCTTGTGGTACTTGATCTGGATGAAGTCCGAGTCGACCGTGTCTGGGTCGAGCGAGAGCGACACGAGGCCCGTCACGCGGGCCGTCTTGGGGATGACGCGGAAGGTCCATGACTGCATTGTGTACAAGCTCAGTTAGCCATGGTAATCCCCTGCACCGAAGATGACAGCAGCAAACGAGACGGATATGTCTCCTCACCTGATCATTCTTAAACTGAATCAACCCCCTCTCATTCTTCACAACCTGATAGCCATTATTGACGCTCGCCCGGAACAGCTTGGGCAGCGCGAACCACTGGCCGGCCATCTTGAAGCGGTCGTTGGCGTACACGAACTGGTCGTCGTACACGCAGTCGGCCGCGTAGCGTCGCACGCGCTCCACCGTCGGCGCGCAGCTGTACAGCGCGATGATGTCGTCGACCAGCGCCTGCCGCGCCGCGTCCAGCGGCAGCGACTTGGTCGGGTCAGGCGTGTAGTCTTCGTCCGTCGCCGTCTGCCGCGGCTCGAAGTGTTCGCCGGGCTTGCTGCTGCTGGCCGTGGCGGTGGTGGCTGCTGTAGTAGAGGTAGACATGGTAGCGGGGGTGGCAGCAGTGGTGTTGGGCTTGTTTGTGGTGTTTTGCTGCTGCGTCAAGCTGTCCCTTCGGACATCTTCGGGTTCTGGCTCATCAACGCTCAGTCTTCGCAGCGGCGGGTTCGCTCTCTGCTCAGCGGCTTTGAGCCTGGCGGTGTAGACCTGCTGCGGATGCAGTAATGACGCTTTGTTGAATATTTTCTTCGCGCCGGACACCAAAAGATGCGAATGCGTCGGATAGTCGTTCTTTGCTTTCCGATCGGACGCCGGCGGGTGTGCTGCAGGCGAGGATGTATTTGCCGGAATCATTTTATCGATACCTCCCTAATTTGGATATTGGTGTAGCCGTTGGTGTAATTCAATCTATGATTCGCGGATGACGTGCTGAATGACTTCACGAGGGAGCGAATTGGGGCGGAGGCGCAGTATATGTGTGAGGCCGGAACGGACGGCCTCTCAGGAGAAACACGGACGCGTCCATCGCCCAGCCGCATTGCCGAATGCGCATCATCTGGAGACGTCCTTGTCTGACTGCATCGCCTGGCGGGGAGATGAGCGCGGTCAAAAGACGTCAATGGTAGGACGCCCAATGGCTAATGACGTCACCATTGCTTGGCAGCAAATGATGAGCCCCGCTACCATCTCAGATAAGATCTGCCTTATCGATAAGCCCTCATTAGCTCACCAGCACCCACCCTGGCTCTTGGACTCCGTTCAAGATGTATATTTCAGCTGGAACTTGCTTTAAAATCCTGGACCCCTTGAGGCCCTCAAATCAACATCAATTACTGCAAGGCTATCTACATAGCCGCCACTCCCGGCAGCTATGGAAAACAGCATGGAATCAGATGGTGTAAGCAACCTGCCATGTATCTCGCGGATACTTCCGTTGACGCCTGGAGAAGAAGAAAACGCCTCCACCATGCTAAATATGCCCCCCTCGGCTCCTTGGAATCCCGATTTAGCCGTACTGAATACGAAAAGCAACCCACCCGTACTGATTACTGAAGCGTCTTTCAAACCCCTGTTGAGGTTATTTGTGGATTTTTTTGTTCTTTTGATGATTTTGCGAGAAGAAAGCAAGTGGTCCACCGATCTGGCGAATTTTTCGTTTTGTATCTTTCGAGTTAGTGCAAGGAGACGACACAAACCTGGAGTCCAGTCACAGGTCTTGACACTGGGGGGATGCTCAGCTCTCTATCGAGAGAGAACCGAGGCTCGGCGCGGGCGCTCTGGGGACTGCAAACTGCGTGCGACCTGCTCTCATCTTTCGATCAATCAGGCATCTGCTCCACTCCAGGCTCTGAAGCGGCGATCAACGCTCAAACTACACCTTGGTGCTGAGCTCAGCCGGCCGGAGCTGCCACCGCCTCTCCATTCGACGAGTGGCGGCGCTTTGCGGAATTCTGTGAACCGGGTTCCTGTAGCGTGTAAGCATTCCATCAGCAAACACCTGTGCGCTCGAAGCAACCTAGCCCGAGCAACTCAATCGGGGACTCTTCTCGGCGGAAGAGTTGTGCGGCTTTCACAGGCGGCGCGCCTCCAAGTTCGGGTTTTCTTCCATGACTGACCTCCATTCCGGCTTCGCGGTGAGAACGCTTCTTTGTCGCTTTAACCTTCTTGGTCTTGACCGGCTTTATCTCGCCCGCCTCAAAGCAATCATCTGGGAGATCGTAGCTGCATCACATCAGTATCTAGGGAGGGCTTGCCTATCTTGAGCCAGTCCTTGGGGCCTACCTCCTCGTGTGCACGATGCGCACGGAATGCAAGTTTTGGTCGTAGTTAGCCCATTCCTGGCACAGGCGTTTGAATTCCGAGACCGCGTAAGAGATGTCGAGCGACTTGGCACCTGCAAAAGTTGAGTGGCCAACTCTAGCTTATATGCATAATGCTCTTACCTGGCTTCAGTTCAATGCCAATGTAGAACGTAGTCGTGTAGACAGCGATGGGCGTGTCGCCATTGGTTTCCTTGCCGTTAGTGTCGCCGTTGGACAAGTCGAGTTTGTCTGCAGCCCCTCCGGCGCCAATGTCCTGAAGTATGCCGTTTGCCTCGTTCGTCATATCCGTCTTGACCGAATACTTCACACTACCCTGCAGAACTTCTTCCTTCTCCTCTTCCGTCTTGCAATGATGAACGCGCTTGAAGCCTTTGTTGAACGGTTGGGCCAGCTCAACGTCCTCCGCTGGAGACTGCTCAATCAAGCCGACGAGCTTGCGAACCTTGGACTCGACCGAGCTGCTCCAGTTGTCCTGCGCCTCCTTGTCATGGCTCGCTGCGACGATGCTGAGGTAGTACTTGAAGTCGCTGGTGAAGAAGCTGTGCTTATCGAACAGATCCCGCCAGCGTCGCTTCTCCGAAAGGATGTCGCTGGTGATCTGGCTTGCACGCAGCAGCTCGCGCTTGATAATCTTTTGCGTGGAGTGTGTGATGTTGTGGGTGGCACACATCGACGGGTAGGCGGGAGTGATGATGGGCATCAGATGGCGCTTGTCACCGGGGTAGATCTGAGGATTCCACACACGGACTTGCAGAGGACCATCCTCGATTTCCTTCAGCATGATTGGACGAGGCCAAGGCCATGTGCTCATGAGGTAGAAGAAGCGGCCCAAGACAACAGCAGCACAAGCCATGGGATATAGCTGGCAGATACGCGCAACCATCATAGCCCAAGCGATACCGCCCGGAAATCCAACAATATTCGCGTAAATGGCGCGGCCTGTTCATTACCGTATCAGCTTAGCACAACGGAAAAACCGGGGGTGTACACGTACGCTGCGCCCATAGCTTGACAGCTCTGGTAACCTGCCTGAAGATCTTAGGCTGAGGGACCAAAGAGAGCACCTCATCCGTGACACGAGTGCCGTTCACACTACGCAGATCCGTCTCATCCAAACCACGAAGCAAGCTGTTGTCCTTCAAATCGAGGTCCAAGGGCACCGAGGCAATGGCGAGACGAGCGAAGATCAAGTCGATGTCGATCCCCAGGAAATCCATCTTGATGATCGGGGTGAAGGCATCAGGCACGGGTGAGAACTTCTCGATGGCACCGGGGGGCGCAACGCGTTCGAGCACGTTGATGAAATGCGCAAAGAAGTCATCGCGAGTGACGTGCTTGGGTGCGAGAACGAGGGTATCGATATCGGAGCCTATTCGAAGAGTAGGGCGTCAGAGAGTGAATGTGGGCATGCGCAAATTTGAGGAGTATGTACCGGGACCGTAGACACCCAGGCGGTAGCTGCCAAAGGTGCAGATCTTGCCGCCAGCGTTCTCGATAACGGAGGGCGCAAGGCCCTTTACATGGCCAACGTGACGAACAAACTCCTCGACGGCCTTCTGCAGCGTCTGGAGAGCGGCTCCCCTGCAAAGCGTCAGCACGGCGCAGATGGTGGTGGCGATGGCGACAAACGAACCTCTTCTCCGTCTCCTCAGGCGCTTCAAAGGTATTCTGGCTGCGCAACTCGTCCAGAAGAGAAGCATCCAGCGCCAGCTCAGCATCGGTTGGGGGCGCGCGTGAAATGGGATCAGTCACGCCCCAGCGCCTGCCGGATTGGCCGGCCATTCTGCCTCAGGCGATATGGGTGCGAGCAAATGAGTGGCGGGTGTGCGGTTGCGGAGGTTCGGTGCGAGCGGCGCGCAGCGTTGATGCGGCGGGCGGGGGGTCGGGGAGGGTGGATTTAAGCGCAAAGCTGCATGCCGTCGCGCCGGGGACAGGCGACTGGGTGGATGGTCTCGGTTCAGAGTGTGGGGGAGGTGTTTGTTAGAGAAGGGCAGTGTCGTGCGAGGAAAGCGAGCGAGGAGCTTCGCGCCAAGGCACCCACACGGATCATCGCCGACCCTAGGGCTGACTCTCAATCTCCGCCGCACAGCCCGCCCGCCTGCCAGCGCGGCCAATATTAACGCCTAGTTTCAAGCATCGCAATTCATTTCGGTACAACACTGTCCCCTACAGCATATACGGCGCCCGGACCACGCATTTCCTCCCTACCCGCTTCCAAAAAAAGATGCCAGCTTCGCGTCCAGCCACTTCACGTCGTCCTTGCTCTGACCAGGTCCTGCAACGCTGTCTCAGCACAGACACATAACTGTCGCACGTTCGAACTCACCTCCGGCCCAGTGTCCCCAGATCGATGGAAATGCCTCCATCGTGCCTATGCCAGGGCGCATGTTGGCCACCTCGTTGGCCGAGTCGTCAGGACTGTGCTCTCAGTCAGCCTTTATCAGGACTCGGTTATGCTTGCATATATTACGGGAAGTAGAGGTCAGTTTTGCCAGGCAGGACCAGCGCTTTGGCCTTGATACCCTGCATAGCCTTCGCGAAGTCGCCGTTGTACGGCTCCTGGTCCGAGCAGTCGCCAGCCTGCCACGTATGGAGCATCACCATGAGGTTTTCCGGATCTACCCGCATCAGCACCCGCATCCACTTTTACACTATCAGAGACAAACCTTTGGAGCATGCCCAGGCTTCCCAGAAGTTCACCATGAAATCCTCCAGATTCTTGAACCCCAGTACTTTCTCGTAGAGCTTCTCCCTGTAGAAAGCCTGACTGAACCCCCAACCGGCGTATCCACGTCCAAACGCCTTGAGACCGACACTCTTCTCCTCGGCCGTCCAGGTCCGGTAATCGCTTACCTTTGCGAGGGCTTCGCCATTCGCCGAGCCAGCCGACGGCACGCCCTTTGCGGCAAGGAGGGCCGACTTGACTCCTTCAAGGAAGACTTGGTTGTGCAGGGAAGTCTTCGCGGCTCCGCAGAAGGGAACGATCAGATCCATGAAGTCGGGGTACTGGGTAGCCCATTGGTAGGTTTGACCCGCGCCCATGGACCAGCCAAGCACAGCTTTAGCATGTTTGATGCCCAGGTGCTTCGTCACCAACTCGTACTGAGCCCGTACGTTATCGTAGAACAAGACGTCAGGGAATGGCTTCAGGCCGGGCGTGTTTGACGGGGACGAGGACTGGCCATTTCCGAACAGCGCCGTGATGACGATGAAATACTTCTGTGGGTTCAATGTCTTATCCTCACCGATGAGCCACTCGTTGTCGGAGATCACTATCTGTCTCAGCTCAGATGATCACTGGAAGCGCACCGCTCAGCTGCAAACGTACATCCAGAATACCATGTAGGATAGATAACAGCAGGCAGGCTGGAATCGCCGAAAGTCTTGTAGGCGATGAAGGCGTCCGGGATGAGGCCGCCGGACTTCAGCTTGAAGTCGCCGAGCTTGTAGGTGTTGTAGTCCGCCATTATCATCTGAAGCAGAAGAGCATCGCGGCGACGCAGCTATATGCTTGCAGTGCCGCTGATAAGCGGAAGCTACCCCTCTCTCGCTGAACGGGGCGCCCGCCTTCCCCACTATAGCTACGTATCGTTCCTTAGCGGGGCAATGACGTGCACTGACTCTGTGCGCCCACCATTGACAGCCCACGTGAATCAGTGCAAAAAAGTTTCCCGCCGTCGGCTGTGAGCCCTGCCGATTTCCTTATCCGCGTCTTGCTGACAAGCCGATTACATGCCGCTCGCGCACGTACCACCATCTACCGCACCTGCATTTATAATCCAAGCACAACACCACTCCGCTTGCCCATAGAAGAAGACAAAAGATTCAAAGAAGGGAGACTTTCCTAAAAGAAACATCAGCAGCCATGGCCGACAACAAGATCCACTTTGGCCCTCCCGAGCCGATGATGGACAATGAGAAGCAGATCCAGCGGAACCCGCACCCGGACTTCAAGAGCGTCGAAGCCACCCGCCCGGACTGGGAAGACAAGCCAATTGCATGGTCCAAGACCAAGAACCCGGACTGGAAGCTCGGAGACGGCCCCAATGACGGCGGCGAGAGCCTGAAGAAGGAGCACATCGAGATTGACCCGTACGCCGAGGGCCGCCCCGCCGTCTTCAACTACAAGCTCCTGATCTCCGCCATAACCCCGCGTCCAATCGGATTCGTCGGCACAAGATCAAAAGATGGTGAGGGCATTTCGTTCACGCAGCTTTCCTCCCCAAAAATGTCATGACCATTAACACGGCGGGCCAGGCTCGTCGACCAACCTCGCCCCCTTCTCCTACTTCAACGTCATCAACCACGACCCGCCGCTCTTCATCATCGGCTTCGCCGGCGGCTGGCACCAGGCCAAGGACTCGCTGGCCAACCTGCGCGACAGCGGCGAGTGCACGCTCAACATGATCTCGGAGCACTACATCGAGGCCGCCAACGCCGCCAGCATCAACGCCCCCTTCGGCGTCTCCGAGTGGGCCCTGACCGGCCTGCACCCGGCGCCCTCGTCCGTCGTCAAGGCCTCGCGCGTCAAGGAGGCCGTCTTCTCCGTCGAGGCCAAGCTGTACAAGACCGAGGAGTTCGAGAGCCGCGCCACCCCCGGCAAGAAGACGGGCGTGCTCGCCATCGTCGAGGGCGTGCGCTTCTGGGCCCGCGAGGACGCGCTGAATGAGCAGCAGAACTTGATCGATCCGCAGGTGAGTTGTCCGTTGTTGTTCGCCCCGAGAGTAACGCAGGTGCTGATTGTTGGTGTATAGGTTCTGCGTCCTATGGCCAGGCTCGGAGGCATCTCTTATGGACGCGTTGTCGAGGCTCTGGAGCTGCCGCGGCCAGATTATGAACAGAAGATCAAGTCTGATGATGCGGAGAAGCTGAAGAAGCCGAAAGCCGACGGAGAGTTATGAGAGTTGTCGCCAATTTTCCGAGGTGCAAGTGCTAATTCCTTAGATCTAGATGTGGGAATACCACTGCAGTTATAAGAGTATAAACTGGAAAGAAATGTAGAGCATATATCTCCATGGAAATTTACTGAACAGTGCAGATGAATTGAATTGAACATTGTTGATCCCTGGTCCCCCTAATCAAGCAGTTAAACCACCAGCTTATATGTATTAAAAGTGGTGTGGTAGGTAAGGGGGTTGATCGCGTATTTGCTCTTTTGCGTATAGCAATGAGCTGGCATAAAACTTGGTGTTGCAAAAAAGGCGAAGATGAACAACAATTGAGCGCGGTCATGAAGATAAGCCGCAGTGAGGTTTAACAAAAAAATGAAAGCGAATGGAAAAGGCCAAACTAGCCCTGTGCATCTCCAGAGCCACCATCCTGTGTTTCATCTGAGGCCTCTTATTCTGGGCCCGGATTTGCTTTTGACTACGCGACGCAATGATCGCACTTCCTGACGCGCCAATCGCATTTCTTGGTGTCAGAAGCCGAGACCTAATGGCTGCAGGGCATTGAATTGCGGCGTCGTGTATTTGCAGCCAGCCATTCAGCCGACTGCTTTAATTGAAAATAGCAATCGAAAGAGGGCGTCAGCGGGGACGAGTTTGTGCGGCGTCTAGGCGTAATCAGCGGCGGTTGAGGAGTCGCATCAATCAGTCTCTCCAGGACGGTCGTGCCGTCGGTAGAGTCTTCCGTCGCCTCCTCCTTCTCCTCGCCATTCTCTCGAGCCTTCTCATCGTTTTGTGGCTCTTCTCCATTCGCTTCCCCCTCCTTCTCTTCGTTTTCTTCATGCAGCTCCTGCTCAGCACCCTGCCGCTGTTGCTGCTGCTGCTGCTGCTGCTGCTGCTGCTGCTGCTGCTGTTGTTGTTGTTGCTGCTGCTGCTGATCAGCCACCGAGTTCTCTACCAGCAGCCCATATCCCAGGTACGCTCCCTTACTGACCTCGTCCCGTTTACGTCGCTGTTTTTCGTGCTCGTCCGGACAATCATGGACAAAGTGGCGAGGCGAGGCGCAGTATAAGCAAAGGTTATTAATGAGGCGCCTCTGATACTCCGCATTACTCAGAGCGAGGCCATCGCGGCCGCGCCATTGTTCGCCGGGGGCTGGGGCGGAGGAGGAGGAGCTGATCGGCGCCGCTTGAACGGACGAGGCCTGAACCTGGGCCTGGGGCTGTAACGGAGATTGACGCCGAGTGGCCCACAGGTGATTGTTCGGCCGGCTCACGTATTGAGGAGCCGGCTGGTTGTACGGGCTGCAAGACCATCCGTACTTGGTTGAGTGGGACACCCGCCAATTTTGCTGGCATACTTGCTGCGTGTAGTACATAGATGGATTTTGCTGGAATCCTTGCTGTGTGTAGTACATTTGTGGATTCTGCTGGAAGCCGTGCTGCTGGTGGGACGCTGGCGGATATTGGGGCCTTTGGCATGGGCGGAACTCATCCACAGTCGGCCGGAGTCCCTGTTTAGCAGATCGTCGTTTATAATCCGAGCTGCGAACGATGACAGGTCCCTCGCTAGAGTCGGAAGGTTGCGGGGGATCCGGTCCTGGCTGAGTCTCCTGGGATGATTTTTTAGGGGGAGCTGCTATCATGGGCGTGTTCAGTGGTTCAAAAGCTTTCACCCCCACGTCGTCGTGGGCCAAGCCGCAGGCTGTAAGCTCGTAAGTGGTGCGCATGATGAAGTATCAAAGCTCTGAAGTTCCGAGAGTTCGAAGATCTGACGCTAGAGAGGTAAGTTTTGAGATTTCGAGGCCGAAGACCTAGCACTGGCGAGGTAAAATTTTCTATGTGTGGAGGACCCAGTCACTAATATATTGATATCACGGGTAGAAGTAAAACCAAAAAGGGCCGAAGTCTGCCTATATCCTTGGTTGAATCTATGGAGTACCGTAGTTCAAAGCCAAATTATTCCATTATTTACTCAGCTGTGCCTGCCGGATAAGATTTCGGCCACTCGGAGCTGGTACGGCTTAGGTAGTCACTCAAGTGAGCTATCATGCTACCAAACTATCGATGCAAGCGCCGGGGTCCTGGAGGGTAGATAGCCTCATCGAACCGCTGGCATTCGCACATACGGCTTTACCGTAACATGAAACTGAACGCGCGTATAATCTCCACTGCTCACTACCATGACTACCATAACCATGATTGTGATGGGGTGCTTGCCGCTTATGCATTTGTAACGGTCCAACTCGCAGTTGCTACGTCACGCTCCCACTTCAGACTTCATTCTTGTGTGGTTAGTTGATATACCATAGCACCGTAACACGTTCTCGACATCCGCGTGCTGATTGGGTATATAAGGAGCTCTCTCTTCTAATTCGGGTACTGGGCTTGCGGTACTGGGCCCACGCTGGCCTCCAGCTAGCCCCATGGTGCGGAGAGCTGTCGTGACACGTGCACGCAGGTCTTACGCCGGGAAAGTCAAACAAAGACTCAGGCAGGACTCTGAGAAAATGAAAACGTGCTAGATGGACGATCGAGACCCATGAGCAATTTGGCATTGTCTATATAAACAGCGAATGGACCCAGCAGTAATTGAAGAGGGAGAAACAGAAAGGAGGAACGGAACATACAACTTCCGTGGACCAAGGACTGCGAACGCGAAGCTGAGGTCATTATGCCGGATACTAAGGAAGCGATGAATGAAAACCCTCCAAAGTGCCTAAGCTGTAAGTAGCACATTCAAGGCGAGAGCAACCGCTAATAACGTGGATCCCAGACGTGGTTTTCAACGGCTCGGTAGCGATCCTGGAGGGGCCCACGCAGGATCAAGTAGCTGGGGAGCAAAAGATACCGCCGTTAGCTGCGTCGACGTCCGAGAGGGAAGCTGAGGACTTCAAGGTGCCGATGGGGCAAAGTTGTGGAGAAAAGAGGTGTTAAGAAAGGAGCGAAGCGAAAGTTTGTGCGGCGGCCACGACTTCATTTCGCGAACAACGCGCTAAGGACACGCGCTTCAACCGCGCGTTCCGCTCTCTCTTTCTCTTAATGTACCATCGAAGTCATCAAATGCATACCTGCTCTCTCACATGCGCATTTCTCTTTTACGCTGAGCCTCGTCAGTCATGTGTCTCGGTTAATCAACATCCCGGGTCGCCTCCGCATTCCACGGGCTTGAAGAAAACATTCAGCAGCAGCATCTGCGGCGCGTCGCATGTCTCCCTGTCAGCTATACTGGCCAGTAGATCTGGAACATGATGCTACAGCAAGGGCGTCGCTCTCAGCTTGGCTTCTCGCCTCCGCCGGATTCGGCCTCTTGGTGCATGAGACAACATGCAGCCACGTCGCAATGCAATTCACCTGGTGAAAGAGCCCGGGAAAGCTTGTCGTTTGCGTGAGCAAACCGTCCAAGAAGGAGGCATATCCGGCGATCATTTCTTGCTGTTTCAAAACATCTGCGCTGCCGATTCGTGCGGATACCCCCGCCTTCAAAAATCGCGACTTGTTACACAAACATCTAGTCTGTGCTCACCACCAAGCCCACTGAACTCGAAGCTCACATCACACAGCCATCGCACTGCTTCCTTTCCACATGCTGTTGGAGTATTTGTGCGAACTGTACGGTTGATGTCAGCACACAACAAAAACCTGCAGCTCTTGGCGAGCCTTCTCGCGTTTAGGACCCGTTCTTCCTGACTTGCCGCTGTCTCGAACAGAACCTTTTTTTAAGGCTTCCTCCTAAGCTAATGCGGAAAATGCAGCATTTCTTCGCTGGCATTGTCCCCAAACCTTCTTCGTCATACATTCGCAAATCACACCGGTCCTTCGTTCATGCTTGAACCACCCTGACGACTGCAGCGTGCTAGTCCTCGACACGCCCACTGACCAGCGGACTACTGCCCCTGTCCTTCAGTATGAGCCGGCGCTTGCGTTGAGCAACGATGAACTGCAATACTGCTCGGGACAGAGAGACTTACAGGTGATGTCACATATCACAATTCTTGTACTTCCAACTGACGACGTCGTTGAGCAGGTTCTACCAGGCTGCCATTAATGCCCTCGAGCTTCGCCTCGTTGAAGACGCCCCAGGCTGCGTCGTCCCTCCCGCGGGATTTATCCCACGGCCCTGCAAGGATACGGTTTTGACAGCTCTTGCGCAGCTCGGTGCCTTGCGTCTCAATGTCAACCGGGGCCTAATCTCCTTGCTGGACGGCAGGTACCAGTACATTCTCGCCGAGGCGACTCGCTCACTCTCGCTTCTCCCGGCTATAGAGTCGGACCCGAACGACGATCTATGGCTCGGAAGCGTCATTATACCGCGGAGCAAAGGTGTTTGTGAGCACGTCCTGAGTCTCGGCGATGTCATCCGAGAACCCACCCATGCTCACTCGGACATTCCGGCCGTGATCATCAACGACCTCGCCGAAGACCCACGCTTCGAAAACAGGTCATATGTCCTCGGTGAGCCAAAAGTCCGATTCTATGCCGGTGTTCCCTTACGTAGCCCTTGGGGAACAATCATTGGTGCCTACTGCGTTTTCGGTCACGAGCCTCGAAATGGCTTGCCGCAAGAGCAGCTTCTCGCTCTTCAAGGCATCGCAACATCAGTCATGGCATATTTAGAGACCAGTAAGGCCAAGGAGGGCCACCGAAGGTATGAACAGATGCTGCACGGCTTGACATCTTTCGTTACAGGAGAGACATCCATCCGATCGCACGATGATCTGCAATGCGCCCCTTCGGGACGACCACTTCCAGTCCAACATTATTCCAGCAGTAGCATAAATGCGGGCAGCAGTTCCGAAGATCCAGGAAACCCGACGTCAGATTCAAAAGACATGATGCCTCAGAGAATGCAGAGTCCAAAAGGCAAGAAAAGACCCCGAGTCCTCAGCACGTCTACCGGTACGGCTCGCAAAAAGTCGACAATCAGTCTTCAGGAAACCATGCTACCGTCAGGCTCCAAGGACATGTTCTCAAGAGCTGCCAACATCATGCGGGAAAGTACCGACGTGTGTGGCTGCGTCATATTTGATGCCTCGGTTGCTACTTACGGCGCAGCCATCAATTTGCCCCATGGAAGAGGCTCAGTCGAATCCCGGATAGGAAGTGCCAACAGCTTCTTGAGTGACGCCTCGTCGAACCACCCCCTCGGGAGCGACGAGCCTTCACCACGCGGAGAGCACTTGGGGGTTGGAGCACAAACGTCGGGTTCGGATGGGGATGGCTTGTCTGACAGAAAGATGTGTGAGGTCCTCGGGTTTTCCCTCAAGGATAATGCAAGTACGCCGGTCGACAGCCCCGAAACACTCTGTCCCGATCTTGCCGAAGCAGATCTGAAGAAACTACTAAAGAAGTTTCCGCTAGGACACATATTCAATGTGTCTTTAGCAGGAGACATATCTCCGTCTCATTCGTCCGACAGCCCACCAGAGATGGCTCCCAGCTCAGAAGCCATTGACTGTAACGATTCGACGGCGCGCACGCCAAGGAAACTTCTTGGAAACAAAGAGAGTGGTCTGCTTCAGAAGCTGCTCAGGATCACCCCGGGGGCGAGGAGCATAGCGGTTCTACCTCTTTGGGATTATCAGCGAAATAGATGGTTTGCTGGTTGTGTTTGCTGGACGACGGAACCGAACCGAGTTCTTTATCCAGATGTCGACCTCATCTATCTCCAGGCCTTCGGCAACAGCGTCATGATGGAGCTTTCTCGACTCGACGCCATTGGTTCCGATCGGGCAAAAACCACGTTTGTGGCCTCCATATCGCACGAACTTCGATGCCCGCTACATGGAATACTCGGTGGCGTCCAATTCTTGCAGGATACTCCTCTGGATTCCTACCAATCCGGAATGCTGGACTCCGTGGCTATGTGCGGAAAAACTTTGCTGGACACGATTGACCATGTGCTTGATTTCGCCAAAGTCAACACATTCACGAAGTTGCCTTTGAAAGCCTCTGGCAATCGTCGACAGGAACCAATAGATTTGACGGTGCGCAAAGGCAGCCAAAGCCTAAGTGAACCTGCGAATCTATTTGCGAATATCGACTTGGCAATGCTTACGGAAGAGGTTGTTGAAGCTGTGTTTGCTGGACAGGGCCATCGAGTAGCTCTTATCAGACTCGAGCAGACGAATGATCAGCCTAAGACAGTGAGTAGAACCTTTACATGCACACTTGAAGAAATTAGCTCGAATCTGGTGCTGACTGGGAGTAGTGGCCACCACGAGAAAACTCATTTCAGCCATTTTCTTCAGGGGCAATACCACAAGCAGATAACCTTGACAGAGAGAGCGATAAGGTTGTCCGCTTAGTCTTGGACATTCCACATCGTGAAAGCTGGACTGTTACCACGCAACCAGGCGCATGGAGAAGAGTTGTGATGAATCTCGTGGGTAACGCTCTCAAGTACACAGTGTCTGGGTACATCCGAATTTCGATGCGGTTCAAGCAAAATATGCCCAACTCCCGTCAAGAATCCCAGAACATTGACGTCACATTGACAGTATCGGACACTGGGAAGGGTATGTCAACGGAGTACTTGAAAGGTGGATTATGGCGGCCGTTTTCCCAGGAGGATTCATTCTCACCCGGTACCGGTCTCGGACTGAGCATTGTGCGCCAAATTGTCCAAGGTCTGAAAGGCACAATTGATCTGAAGAGTGAGGTGCAAGTAGGCACCGAAGTGAGGGTTAGCCTTAGCCTTCCGCTCGCGGAGAGCTCGCCAGAACCGGACGACGACGACCGTTATCTTCCGCTTGCTGTCTCTCGAATTCGGAATCGCCCAATATGTATTCTTGAAACAACGGACCCAGATGACCTTGAAGAGTCTATTCCCCCTGTGCGAAAAGGCCGGCACGAACTCGGTGTCGCTATATCAAGAACTTTGAAAGGATGGTTCGGAGCCGATGCGGTAGTCTCGAGTCTGTTGACAGCGCTCTCCGCAGATGTGGTCATTTGCCTCGAACCCCAGCTGGACTTCCTTTCGACTTTGAACGGTATCACATCGCCAGAGAAGAAGCCGCTGGTCATATTCATCGTTTTGCACGCTGCCGAGGCAACAAAGCTACGGTCCGATCCACGTATTCACAGCAGCGAGCTCACTGTTGATATAATTACTCAGCCGTAAGTACCACACCAAGAGCATACTGCACGGGCACTTCTGCAGGCAGGCTGAACTGGCTTCACTACAGGTGCGGACCACGCAAATTAGCAAAAGCGCTCACCCAAGATCTGGACCAGCGGGACCAGCAAATGCCTTTGACCATCACACCCTTGGCTTCTCCAACACAGGGTATGCCAGGGGAAAGCTCTCCATCCAGGGAGTGGAAGAGCCCGAACTGGCTTCCGACGCATCTTGGAAACACTCAATCCAGCTTTCGCACACGGTCAAATTCGTACGAAAAGCCGCCCTCGAACACACGTATTCCTCGCTAACGGAGAAAAAATGGCTCAGTATCCTCGATCCCGATACGATACCACGGACTCTTGTCGAGAGGCATGCCGCCAGCACATCCATACACGAGCCGCCGACCCCCAATCATCTGCGCATACTGCTGGCAGACGGTAAGATCCAGGCGGCCTTGACAGCTCCCCTTTCCGATCTCGACTAACCCGTCCGATAGACAACCGAATCAACCTCTCAGTAAGTAGAGCTACCAGAAGCGCAAGGATCGAGCTCCAAGAGCACCCCGGGGGTGATTTGGGGAATCATTCGTTAACGTCCGCACCAACAAACAGCTCCTCACTGCCTTCATGCGGCGCTACAACTTCGACTTCCAGGAAGCCATGAACGGCCTGCAGGCCGTCGAGACGTACAAGCGAGCAGGCGGGCAATTTGACTACGTGTTAATGGGTACGCGTACATCCACTTCCCCCCACCCCTCCCCCTCCCATTACATCTAACCACAATAACACAGACCTCACCATGCCAGTCATGGACGGCATGGCCGCGACGCGCGAAATCCGGCGCCACGAGCAGCGCGAGGGCTTGCCGCCGACGGTCGTCATCGCCCTGACGGGGCTGGCCTCGGCCGCGGCGCGCGTCGACGCCCTCAGCAGCGGCATCAACTTCTTCCTCACCAAACCGGTCAAGTTCCAGGCCCTGCACCAGATGCTCAAGGGCGCGGCGGCCGGCGGCGCCATGGGTCCGCTGCAACCGCCATCGTCGTTGTCGCCGCCGTCGTCGTCGTCGCCGCCATCGGCGCCCCCACCCCCGGCGCAACCGCAGAAGAGGGCGTCGGATCAGGGGATTGGGGATTGATTAGCGGGGGGAAAGGGGAAAGGGGAGAATGGGGTATGGGGATGTGGGGATGAGTATACTTTGGGAAGAGGGACAATAGTGGGCGAGTGAAAAACATGGAGCCATGGGGAAGGTAGTGGACTGGACCGGACCGTCTTTTTCGTTGGCTTTTCCAAGACCGGTACGCAGGCTTGCGTGGAGTAGGGGGAGTTTGCGGCGCGCATTGCAACACAAGGTAGGAAGCGCAGCATATGGTTTTGGCCCGGAGCGTGCGATAAACGCTAAGCTTCTTCGATTTTTGCTTTTTTTTCTTGTTGCCCTTCTCGTTTCACTATTCGGCATTTTCCTTTTCTCTCTCATGGGACCATTGTAGATGGTAGTCATCAGTCCAATCCGGTTCCTTTTAATGATACAGTCAGATTTTCGGCACTTGCGTGTGTGTGTGTGTGTGTGTGTGTGTGCTGACAGGGCAAAGTTTCATCGTTCCCTGGATCCCGGACCCATTGTTTCGGCCGTCCACGCAAAGCACGTACGTGGCTTTCTCCGATTTGTTTTTCTTTTCCCCCCATGGGTAGGAGAAAAGAAAAAAAGTAAGCTCTCGGGCCACGGGTACCGAAGTTCACCTCCTAGTAGAAGATTTTTCGAGAAGAAGAAAATCGCTCTCGTTTCAGCAAGGTGGATCCTCACCTTCCACCTAGGAACGGTACGGCTAGCTCGGTCCCAGCAAAGGTCACGTCACATGTGTGCGACGGGCGTGTGCACGCGCGAGTGGTACCAAGTACCAAAGCTTGAGGCTGACGTTCTCCTGTCTCCGGACGGGAATAACTTAAGGGAAAAACCAAAAACCTAAAAAGACGGACGTACGTGGCTGATGCTGGTTGCTTGCTGCTGATGTCTGATGCTGATTGCTGACGATGTCACTGTATCCCAATAAGAAAAAATGATGAGTAGTAGTAGTAGTAGTCCTGATGACGAGCCATGGCCAGCTACCTCGCAGTGCTTGACTGTTCAGGAATCCCCGTGTCTCATGTACCACCACTGTCCCAGGCACCAAGGCAGCCAAAGCAGGCAGGCAGGCACTAGCGGTGGTACTAGGAGCAATTAGAAATCTGACATCAAGGAGCCGAAATGCACACTTTTTTTTCAGCCTCAGGCAGCAACCGTGGTACAGGACCGTGGCGCGGGTCCCATGGCAACGAAACGACGACGACCACGACGAACAACAGCAGCGGCGCAGCAGCCGGCGCAGTCAAGGGACTCTCTTTTACCGTGGTGGTACGCAGGGACCTACCCACCTACCTCTTTGCTCCTTTCTGGGCAGAAATTTCCCCTTTCTGTGGGTTTGACACAGAGACATGAAAAATGCAAGCCGCCCACGGAAGCAGCAGCAGTGATGGTCAGGTACCAGGGTACATAGCCAGCCCTCTCTTCTCCATGGTACAACACGGCTACGCGCAGCTCACCGCCGAGGGTGGAAATGAGGAAAAGAGAGAGAAAGAGAGGGAGAGAAGACGTGGTTCAGGTACCGCGGCAGGGGTGCGACGTGACTTAGGGCTCGCACCTTTTTCTGTTTACACCGGCCCCGTCGGCGCCGCCGCCGCCGCCTGCCTGCGGCGCGCGCGGTCGTCCTTGATGCCTGAAAACCTGTGTGTCCTGTCTGTGATCGCTGCCTGGCTTGAGCCAACAAGCAGGGTACCAGTCGTGGTACATACCGATGCCGGTTCGGTAGCAGTGCGGCGCATCATGTAGTAGTAGCCCAGAACTCGCATCTGCTTTTCGTATCCTTTTTTTTTCTTTCCTTGCCTTCTTCCTTTCCGCAGGCGGGTGGGGTGATTGGGTAGTAGTAGATGCGCGTATGGGCGCGCGTGCGACACGAGAGCGAGAGCGAACGCTCGTTTCTTTTCCCTTTTTCCATGATTTTCGACGGCGCCATGTGGGTGACGGCGGGTAAGCGTAGTAGGCCCTACCGAGGGAGTGGGTTTGTGGAACGTCGAGGGGTCGCGGAGGCTTATTGGTTTGGACGAGATGAGGAATCTTGTCTCTGAGACGCTCTCGCTTCTGGAATCGTGAATGAACCACGTCGAGTGAAACGGTAAACATCTGAGGGAGCAGTGAGCGTCGAGGGTTTTGTAAAATCAGACCAGAAGGAAGTGAACTTGGCCTGAAGGAGGTTTACGTCGTGCGACACATTGCCGAATATGGGAGCGAAATTGTCCTGAAATTGAAAATTATACGTTATGTTATCCTACTAATCTACGGTATTTCGTACCTTTCGCGCGGCCGTTTATTCATCCGTTGCATCGAGTACGCTGCGCTTACGTGCGCCCATGTAATCGCAGGCCGCAAATGGCGGGATAGGCCTCTGTACAGAAGAAAGGAACGAGAGAAAAAGGACCGGGTCGCGGCTGGCGAAAACAGAGGAAGAATCAATCCATCGATATTGTGCACCAAACACCTCGTATCCCATCCAAACCCAGGAAACACCAATGAATGCCATCCCGAGAAACGTAACCGGCATGAACTCCGTCCGAGATTGCTTAGAAGAAATGACGCTCGCCTAGTAGCGTTTCATGCGTTTTAGCGAAACTGCCCCAGCTCGATCTCTTGCCGACGCTCTTCTCTGCTCTTCGCTCTCGGTTCGCCCCCGCCTGACCGATCATCCGTTCTCCCTCTTCTGCTGTCGGTTGAGTTTGAGTATCCGTGGCCGTAGCTTCCACTTCTCGTCCTGGTACTGGCATAGTATTCGTGCAGCGCTTGCGGCGGGCTCATCGGGATGCCGCGGCTGTTGGAATGGTGATGTTGATGTCTCATGGAGCGGTTACGACGGGCATTGGGGTTGTTCTCGCCATCGGATTCTTCACCATACGGCAATTGGATGCGGAAAGTGCTCTGGCTGGCATCTGGCGAAGGGCCGGGATCCTTGTTCATCAGGAGCATGGCCATCTGCTGGTTGACCAGATCGTCTTCAGTGAGCGGCATGTTGTGCTGCTCAGGCGGCGGAGCATAGAGGGGCGAAACGCGCTTGACACTTGGAAACATGTTCGCGATCCAGTTCTCGTAGTAGGTGCTGTTGTGCTGCCACATGTTGTTGGATTTGGAGCTCAGTTGGGTGCGCAGCTGCGCAATCCGACGGTTGGTGAGGACGAGGAAGACGCCGTAAAGGACCGTCATGCCGCCAGACAGCGCGACGGCTATCACGGAAGCGCGATTCCACGTGAAGTGCTCAAAGACCAGCCAGTTGTAGAAAACAGTCAGCAGACCGAGGGCTGAGGAGGCCAGCGCGGGCATGAATATGGACTCGGACTGGAAGATCATCGACTTCACGGCGAAGCAAAGGAGGACGGTAAACGAGTATCCGGCAACAAGCAGGGCGACGACGAGGATGGTCAGGACCTGGGGCTCGCATCGTAGCTGTGGTTGGGGCTTGTCTTCGGGATTTTCGATTTGGAAAAGCGGAGGTACGATAAGGTAACTATGCGACCGACAGCGTGAGCAAGCGAAGGCCAAACACACGAGCTTCGCGAAGCACTCACCCTCCCAGAATCATCCACGAGGCGAGGAGCGCAATAAGGCGCCAGTACCACTGGAAGCTGTCAGTACGGCGCAACGAGGCTACGGCGGGATACGCACGGCGATGGTGTAGTGCTCATTGTTCAGGTCGCTGACGGTCATGTACTGGGTCTGCTCCTTGCGCGCCATGATGGCGACCGGCGTTCCCGAGTTCGCAGGTGCTGGACGGTCGGGAGCGCAGTGCTCGCAGGTTTATGGCGCTATGCCCATGCAGCGCGAGGTTCGGCAGTTCGGCGACGATCGGGCAAGGCGGGAGGAGCAGTTTTAGCAGGAAGGATTCGCTAGGTCGAGGCTGAGCTTGGTAGGCGCACGTTGGCTCGGACGGATTGCTACGCGTGTTACGAGGCGGATGAAACGGAGAGGCCCAGGATGTGCGCGGCGGCGGGGGGTGATATGGAGGACGGGCGTGGCGCACGCAACGAGGGACGAGTAGTGAGGCGCAAAACGAAAGTCAGATGGCTGAGGGTGAGGGATGCTTGCGATGAAATACGACGCGCAGGCAGCGGCCGGCTGAGGCTGAGAGCGATCCTTCGAAGCGAACGGCTTAGCACATCAACGGGCGGCAATGGCCCACAGCAGGGCAGATCGATACTGCAGCGCGCGTGGAAAATTGCAGCGAGTCGTGCGAGATTGCGGATCTGGGCTGGGCCTGGTCTCGTGCCGCGCCGACTGTCGTGCCTCATCGACTCTGCTGCCAACTTCTCCACGATAACCGGCGGGAGGAACGCGCGGGTGGGCCGTAGCCGGGTTAGCGGACGGAGCTGCAGTTGGCCAGGCAGTCCAGCCACAACGGCGCAGCCAGATGATCGCGGCAGCGCGCAGAGTACAGCGCGGACGGGCCACTTTGGGGCCGCGGCTCAGCTGCGCGTCGGGCATTGTGCTGCGAGCGCGCGCCTGCGACTGCGACTGCGACGGCGACGGCGACGGCGGGCGCTGCGACGGCGACTGAAGCTGCAGCCGCGCGCGCTGAGACTCGGCTGCCTTGGCTCCCCCGCCTGCCACGCGCGCGTGGGCTGGGCCGAGTCGGTCGGTGTAAGCGGAGCTGCGGGTGGTGACCGCGCATACAAGCTGCGCCCCGCCGCCTCAGGACCCAGTGCCTATGACGACGCCGCGACGCAGGGACGGCTTCCAAAAATGGCTGCCACGACCCCACCAAGCAGCTCCTCCAGACACAGCCCGCGAGTGCACTACATCCTGCAGTGCCCGAATGTCTAAGGCAAACAAGTCGCCCGGCAGTGTCGTCGAGCTGCCATCACCGGCAGTAGTGCTGCGGCATCCATTCTTTGGGCAACCAAGATCCGGGTCAAGCCTAAGGCGCCGCCAGGCACCCCGCCCGCCCAAGCTCACCACCACAGAAGCTTCCGCCGGTGCTGATCTGCCCACCCGTCCACCTAATGCCGCCGTCGCTGCTAGCGCCCTCTGCCCTTTCTCAATCAGGACTCAGCAGCCCTCTCACATGCCTATACGCCTTCTTCGCTGCCCTCATTCGCCGTGTATGACGCAACGCGTCACTGTCGCTCTATTTTGTCGTGCGCTAACAACTTAAGGCAATGCATTTCAAATTCTGTCCATTTGCCATCGCCTCAGCCCTGTAGCTCTTGCCATGTCTCTGGCTTCTCCATTTCCGCTTTTCTGATTCATCTATTCTTGTCCCCTATTTCCGGCTCTCGCAGGATCGAGTTCTGACCTATTTTCTTCGATTGTGTGCGAGAGAGAGAGAGAGCCTTGCGGGACAAAGCTCGCCCATCGGAAGCCCCGAGCTTCTTGCACACCGTTTGTGCCACCTCCGCCCCATCGACCCATCCATACAAAGCCAATTGAAAGTCCAGCGAGTGCCGCGTCAACGAGGCTGGGCCGTCGGCCGAAGGATTTCGTGCGCAATATATCGTCATATCGATCGAAGCAGACTGCTGCTTCCTGCGAACTCGACCTTAAAGCCAACAAACCTCATAAGGCTGTGGCCCCATGGCCCCCGTCTATCTTTGAAAGAGCAGAAGGAAACAACGATTCAGTTCTCGCCGAAAAATATGAAGATAGGAGATGTAATAACATCGTCCCTTATCGGCTGCGGTACCGTCCTCTTCCCGTGCGTGCGCGAGCGCCGCCGCGCCCAGGCCGAACGCAGGCGTGAATACGCCGCCAACTTCACACTGTTGAAGTTGGAGAACGAGAAGCGCGTTAATCAGTTAAGTGCCTTCTCTGCCCAGCAGCAGAAACAACAACAACAGACACCGCCACCCAACTATCAGGAGACAGAGGCGATGAGAGAGAAGAGTATGGATGGTGATGACAATGATGGAGGGAGAATGGAAAGGGTCACGGAGGAGGAAGAGGAGGCTAGAACGGATGATGATGATGGTAAGCAGGCACGATATCGAGGGGTTAGGAGAAGCATGCCCGTTAGTCGGAGGGACTGGGCTGCTGTTACGACTGTGCCAACACCAGCATTGGGCTCGACAACAACCTCACCGGTCGTCACATGACACCGCAAGGTCCTCATTTCTCACAAGTGGTGCGGATGAGGGTGAGTGACGACGACAGTAAGTGAGGAGGCCATGGCGTGATCATGCTGTTCAGCAGAGCGGTGTATGCATTTTACTTTTCGCTTTTTCGGCGCCATTTGCGCATTTACAGTAAATCGTTCATTTTGTTGAGCTAATAGGGGAAGAGTGTCCGTGGAGAGGTGGAAAGAGATGGACAGGAGCTAACGCGTGATGTTCGCATGGACGTTTCACTTCACCTATTGTTGGAATACATGAAACACTTTACCACGCTTAGGCATTCGTGCCTAACTTTGGCGGAAAAGTCGCCAGTTGCTGTTGCACAAGTGGTATTCAGTTGCCTGATAACACGTGAATGTATATGTCCTTATTACATCTCCCATTTCCAAAAGCCATCTGTGCTTACATGTGGAGGATTCATGCGGTTCTGCATCACTGCCACCTTATAACATCCCTCAGTTATACAATAGCCGACCGATTCGCTCGAAGCGCTAACCCAGAAGAGAAATTCTGACCTCGTCCCCTCACTTGGCCACCTTGGCCAAAAATAAAGACCTTCCCGGTTCCCCACGCACGTGACGACATTGAGGTTGTGCAAACCCGCATATTTTTGGTGGGCTCGCGATATTCATCTTCCTTTTTTATTTCCGCCGAGGGATCCCCGTCTCCACACGACGGGTCTCGGGAGCGTTCCGAACGGGGACAGCCATGCACCGGAAAGAAAAAAGCCAGAGCCACTGGCTCGGTGCAAATGCGGTTCGGATCTCCACCTTCACACGGAAGGGGTAGGAGGAGGGGGGGAAAGAAAAATGGGGTGGGCCCGTCGTCGGGTTTAGCCTTGTGCCGACAGCCTTCGGGGAATAGATTAGTATTGATAACGATTGCGCCGCCCGTCTCCACCCCGCCCTCGTGCCAATCGTTATGCTTCTTGTGACTGTGGAAGTCCCGGCAAAAGACAAATTACGAAGCCGATTACGAACATTATTGTTTCCCCTTTTGACCGTGATGGTTGATAGGACTCCGTGCTCTTTTGGCCTGAGGATTCTCGCTTTCCACCGCGCTAGCGCTTTTCTTCCCGCCCACAGTGGCGAATCTAAAATTATAAGGTTGAAGCCCTCAGGGCTCTAACCAATGCACGAAGAGAGTGCATCGTGTCTGGTATTAGTATATGTGGTAGTAGTAGACGTATCGTGAGTTGTAATAAAACAAAGGAGAATAAGGCAAAAAAACAAACGAAGGAAAAAGGGAGGGGGAAGCACTTCTGGCGTGCTTTCCATGACCATTGGTATAAGAGCCCGCAAAAATGCAAAAAAAAAAAAGAAAAAATCCCATGAAATTCCACCTCTTGCTTCCCAGTTTCAAAACCCTCCCTGAAAGGACTACGCCGTGAAGCGCCGCGACTCCAGCATCTCTTTTTCCCAGAAAGAAGATCTTTCTCTTGTGGTCGTTTCTCTTTAAAAAGGGAGGCGTATTCGCGTTCAAACCAGGCTATCATCCGAATTTCTGCCCCCTGTGCTCCTCTCATCTATCTTCGACGGCTTCCGCCCGTGCGATTTCGAGCCTGCGTGCTGATGCCAGCTCGTGTGGGGGTAGTTGGCGTAGGCGTTCGGGCTCGGCTCGGCGGGCTCGCTGACATGCGTCACCTGGACGCTCTTGCTGATGTGGATGTCGCTGGCCGAGTGGGTGATGATGTGCTCGTCGCTGCCCTTGTCGCTGTCGTCACGCCACGTCTTGTTCGTCGCATCGCCGCCCGTCACGATGACCGTGGCGGTGCCGCCTGCGAGCGTGTCCGGCCGGAGCGTGTCCATGTGGTGCGAGTACGAGTCGGAGCGCAAGTAGCCTGCTCCCGATCGGTGCGAGCTGGGGCCTCCGAGGTTGTTGCCGTAGCTGCCGTAGTTGCTAGTCTTGTGGGGCGTCGACAGACCGGTGCGGTGAAGTACCTGTTGCAGCAGCGGCCGCAACGTGGCGATGCATGCGGCTATCATGCCGATGCCCGGTTCGATGGTAGACCAGATGGCAATGTCGGTAGATTCGTCTGTGGAGAAAGGAAGGAGTGGCGCTCAGGTTAGCGGAAAGGGTCCCGTGTGGGGAGTGGAGCTGTATGATGTAAGGTGGTGAGGGCATGCGTACAGAGGAAGTCGTGAGTGGCCTTGAAGCCCTTGATGTATGGCATGCGAATGAGCGTGGCCGTGCTGCCGACGGCTGCGAAGGCGAGAATGCCAACGACGACTAGTTTGGTTCTCTTGTTCATCTGGAGGTCGTAGACGATGAAGCCAGGAAGAATGCCTGCACGTGAAGTAGAAAGTCAGTTCAGATGATCACGCCATCCGCGTTGGTCTGTGGACTGACCGAAGACCCAGTCGGACAGCGATCCGAGGGCTGCAGCGCCGTAGGAGATGCCCTCAATTGCATGGATGGGGAGACAGTGCTCATTGTTCGGCTTGATGGTCCAAAACGAGGAGACGGGATTGCACTGAAAGATGAAGACGAAGAAGTAGGCAACACTCAGAAGGATGTTGGAGACGTTCATGACATAGATGGTGAGGATGTGGGCCCTTTTGACGGCGATGCGGAGAAGGAACAGACCCTGGCGATCAAGCGAAGGTTAGAATTCGCCACTGTGGTGTTGGGGTTCGCTTCAATTTTTTTCTGCTTACAACTGAACACTTCAACGTGCACGTCGCAGAGGTATAGAACAGTTCACAGAACCACCAGTACCTGGCAATGGAGTTAGCATAGGCGGCTGTGGAGACAGTGTGGGCTGGGTACCTCAAAGCCCGCATCCTGTTCTCTGCAGTAAGGTCCTTGTCGTAGCGACCAGTGCCATAGGCGACGCCTCCCAGCTGGCAGATCAGGTAGCCGGTGAAGAGCAGTAGGGCAGCAACCATGGACCAGTCATCGGTACCAAAGGATTTGATCAGGTATGCTCGCGTATAGACGCGCAGCATCATGAAGATCCATGTTAGCGAGAAGAAGGCGACGTTGACGGCCAGGACCTGCCCGCTTCGGTCCTCCATCAGTCGTTCGGGGGGCAGTTGTGCGGAGAGATGTTCGGGCGACAGACAGCTAGCTACATGCCTAAGGGTCAAGGCGGCGGCAGAGGGTAGTTATCGATCAGTCATCAGGAGGCAGGGATGGCGAATGGGGGCGCCGCCTGGTGAAGCAGAGTGGAGCGCAGGTTTACGTCCTGGTGGAGAGAGCACTCCTACGGGCCAGACCTAGAACGGTAAGACAGGCCGGAGGCGTTCGGGCTCACCGCGGAGGATGAAGATCGACAGCCAGCTCTTCCATGCGTCCGATGGCCCAGCTGTGGCCTGGGTTGCGCCATCACCCTTAGGCGAGCGCCAGGAGTGCGTCTGGCGGGCCCCATCTCGCAGGTACAGGTTTGCTGTGAGATCGATGGGACCGTGTACGTAAGGTGGGTGCGGTCTGTTGGCGACGGCGGGCGAAGGGTCGCAGTTGATGCAGATCGCCGTGGACGGGTTTCGAAGGGCGCCACACCCACACCCAAGGGGCGACCGAAGCCTTCCGGGACCACCGCTTGAACTTCGCTTCGTCGCAAAAGGAAGAGTGGCTTGGCGCGCCGATGCCGTTTGCGCACGTAGGGACTTGCTAGAGCTGTCAAATTCTTCGAACTAGGCCAGGTTCCCGCACGCTCGCCATCGTGCAGTCGGCCCATCGTCTGGAAACGCCGGAACAGCCGGGCGGGCGAGAGCCGGAGCGCCGTTACGCTAGAAGGCGTCGGTAGTTTGCGAAGAGAACCGCTGCCGGGGGAGCGGTGACGGCCGACGCGGCCCCGGTTGTTTCCCGCAGCTTCTTCTTCGCAGTGAGCTGGAGCAGGGGTCGTGCTTGGCGGCTGCCTCGGCCCGGGCGAGCACACGATCCACTTCCACGTGGAAGAGCCAGTCGAAGAACACCGAGAGAGAATGTGCTGACATCTCGATCGGCCGGAACCGCGCAGGTGCTGGGAAAAAGCACGCCGCTCCCAACTTCCGTCTCCGCCCGCCCCATCCCGGCGCCGGCCACGCCCGCCCGCCGCGTGCCTGGCCTAAAGTAGCCCGTCCTGTCAAGCACAGGCAACGACTCGTGCATCTCCGCAATACGACTCGCCGTGTCGGATCTGCACCTGCAATGCAAATCATGAGTTCACACTCTATTCGAGCTACGCTCTAGAACATATAAAGGGGCCTTCTCGATTCCTGGAAAAGCAGCCCAGTTCCCACTGCTTTTGATTGGCGCACGCCCGCCTACTAGACCAGCCCTCACCTTGTTTCCAATTACCCGATTGAGTCAAAAGCAAAAGCAAACCACCTTGAATGTCCGCTTTCGGAAGTCGCGGCGGTAATAAACCACCGAGTCTAGTCGCGCCACAGAATTTCCTTTCATAGCGCATAGATTTGCACACAACAGTTGCCTGTAACTGCCCTGGCACGGGCTCTGTTTTCCGACTCGACTTATGTTTCGACAACACGTGGTGGTCCGATGCAAATAGAAATTGCCTCATTAGCCCGAGGGGCTCACTGACGTGGCTGAGGCGTAATTATTATCTCCTATAGACTTCGCACCGCTGTTTTCAGATGCGCCCACCATTTGCATCTTGCCCATCTCGCACGCATCGATCTCTTCGTCCTGTGTGCCTTCGAGAAGCTAATTCCCCACAAGGGTCATGGTAGCGTCATCCGCTACGCCTACCGCGCACGGAGTCCCAATCGGCATCTCTGGGCCGAACCGACAGGGTGCGCCCATTAGCTTATGTCCAAAGGAGCTCCCTCCGTAACAACCCTTCGTCGCGCCTATTGCCGCCTTTGCTCCAGTCCGTGTCTGAGACGGACAGATGTCCGTTACATGTGTGATGTGGGGGCTGTTTGTGTCTTTTTGCTGGTGATTGTCACTCTAGACCCTCAATATTATGCCCGGGGTTGTCGGAGTGGTCGTGGTCCTCCACAGAAGAGTCCTGTCTGGCATGGATTCGACTGGCATTCTCATCGATGTCATCGAAGTCTTGAGACGCGCCACTAGCATTGTCGGCGAACGTAATGCCCTCCGCATTGCGAGTGGAGGGACTCGAGCCATCTGCGATCCCCGTAGTTACCGGTGTTTCGGAATCCGCCGAGTACAAGGTTGACTCGCTCCACTCACACAACTCGTCCCAATCCTCTTCATCCTCCACATCCTTCCTCTGCTCATCACAATCAAGGATGTCGACCTTCTGACTAGAAGAAGCATTGATATCGCCATCGTCCGGCCCAACTGCGATTCGCCCGTTCTCCTTATCATTCGCCACCTCCTCACCTTTTTCTCTTTCGTTCAGCCTTTGCTTCTTCCTCCGCAGGTCTGTCTGCTTCCTGCTCTCATGTCCCTCCACATCATCCTTCTCGTCTTTTCGCGCAAACGTGGTGAAATCTACGTCGGCGATATTGACCCATGACCGACGACGCTTAGGTGGACGTCCATACTGTACGAGCTTATCAGAACGGAGGCGTTTGGGAACAGTCCACGGGTCCGGCGTTTTAGACCTGAAGGTGCCCATCTCCTTCGCGGCTTCGACGTAGATGCTGTAAGTCGAGACCGCGCTTATGGTGCGACTATGAGGAGCCAGCGGAGGGCTACGAGGCGACGTTATTATGCTTTTCCGCCTCGTTGCGGATGCAACCATTGCAGAGGAAGAGCACATACCTTGAAGGCGGGCGTATGCGCGGAGACATTCTGCGAACGTGGAAGACCTCGAGGTGGACGTTGCCAGGAATCTGGCGAAGAAGTATTCCAGGCTATTCTTGTCGGCGTCGTGAAGAAGTATGTGCTCGTGCGCAGTTGTTTAGGGCCTCAGGTTGAAGAGCTATAATGGCCTGCTAGCGGATGCGACAGCTATTTTTACAGGGATGGCCAGTTGACAGTCGGAAATATATATGGTGCTAAGGTGAGTGACCTCGACCCTGACGATGTAGGGATGGAGAACACAAGACACAATGGAGTGGCGCGTAGAAGAGAATGGCCCAAAGAAAGGTTAGCAAAGTAATCTGCTGGGACGCGCCTGAGACGCGTCTTGGGTGAAGTCCATCGAAGGAAGCTACGGCAGAGCTGCACGTGTGGCTCTCCACATGGCAGCACCCATCTTATCACCTAGGCGACCCGGTCCAGAGCTGTCCCGGATAGATACGATCAAACTCACAGAGAGAACGACTGTGCCAGGACTTGCTGAGGTGGTATTGGGGTATCTAAAACCACGCTCTTGACCCATGTCCAAATTACTTCCAGAACGCCATGTATCGCTTTCCGTACCCGTCAGCTTTTCAAATACTGGCTGCAAGATTCCTTACCTTCTTCCCAACGCCGCAAATGCACTGAAATACGAAGCAGCCCTGACCCGCCTCGCGTTCGGAGGATAGACCAGATCCGCAGCTGTTCTGCCATCACTCTCACTATGAGTGGATCAAACATCACCGCATGACGGGCGGCCGGCCCTCCTTGTTCCATTTGACTCTGCTACACAGCCAGTCGACCGCCTCTTTGACGCCGGACCCTGTCAGCGCACTGCATGGTAGAACGCGGCTGTCCCTGACGCTCCCTCCCTTTTCACCCTCGAAGACCTTGCGCACCAAGCCCTCCTTAATTTTCACCGTCTCCACGCAATCCTCACGATCCTGTTTATTTGCCAACACCAGCAGCGGCACACCTTCCGTTTCCTCGTGTTGCAGGACATCTTCGAGCACTAGGCGGCACTCCTGCAAACGGCCGTCCGTGTCGTCTTCCTTGCCATCGACCAGGTTCGCGAGATCCGAGTCGCCAATATCGGTACTATCGATCACAAAAACAATGGCGTGGCAGGAGGAGTAGTAGCTCTGCCAGAGGCCGCGCAGCGAGTGCTGGCCGCCGACGTCCCAGATCTTGAGGTACATGTCGGGAAGGGTGATGGTCGAGACATTCTGGCCGACGGTCGGGACGGTCTTGAGCTTCGGATGGAGGTTGTTGGAGTGGATGGCTTTTATTTGTTCGAGGAGCGTGGTCTTGCCGGCATTATCGAGACCTAGCAGAAGGATGGAGTATTCTGTGGAGTACAGCTGTTAGTTTGTAGATCGCGGGGCATTGCAGCGAAGCCAGGGAGTGCGAGCACCTTCTTTGCTCGTCGCGTAGAGGTACAAGCCTTTCATCAGATGATACATGATGGGCGGGGGTTGTCGCTCAGGGTGTGCGGCGACAGCGTGGTGTATATGAGGTGCAAAAGTGGACGCGCGTGCCCTCCGCGGGAGCTCAGAGAGTGATGTGGTTAGATGGCGGGCCTAGGCACCCCCGGTCGGCGGGCGACATGAGTCAGGTCACGCGTGTGGCACGCACCCCGCTGAGCTTGCTTGAGGGTGCACGCCAGCACCTTTGCCAACGCGAACACCTACGCGACATCGACATGACCGCGTTGTGACGTGCACCTTCCAAGACTTCAGCGAGCGTCCGCGCCAAGCAGCGCAAGCCGATACAAATTCCTCACGTCGGACTGTACACAACTCGCGACTCCCATTCACTACGCGACTTTTCTAAATATATCGAATACCAGTTGCAGTTGCGTCATCACTAGCGACGCCCTCCACATTGCGACCGACGCGCGCACATACCGCCATGGCACCCGTGGAGGCGGATGCCCTCAACTCGAATCGCGAGCCTCTGTTTCAAATCACGGCTGCCGTCGCGTTCGTCGATCTCTCCCTCGTGACAGTCCTCAGGTATATCAGCCATGCTGATCGCGCCGTGCCCCCAGCGCAGAAGACGCGCTACCGCGAGGAGCAGCGCAAGAAAAACATTACCACCTTCGGCTCCCTAGCTGTCGCGAGCCTTCTGGTTCTGATCTATCACTGGAGCTGGGCGCTGCTTAGTTCCTACGAGGCCTGGGCGAATGAGCAGGGCGAAGCAACCCCGGGCGCGTTGTGGGATGGCTGGTACGCGGGTACGGACGATTTGGACTGGCAGCTCGGGAGATGGTGGCAGGACGTCAATCCCCTTTATGAATTCAAGCGGGCGGCTCTCGGCACGAGCAAGGCCCTCTGGTGGACTCAACAGCTTTTGATTGCTCGTCTCGCATTCAGCGCCTTTGTAGGAATTGAAGGTAATCTATCACGATGACGACGCATACATACGCGAGATTCCTCACTGACGATCATATTGCAGGCCGCAGACGCGACATTCCAGGTTGGGCAGCCGCCGCTCTCTGGGGCCTGGCTGAGTTCGCAAGCCTTGGTCTCGCTCAGAGCCTGTTCTTCGTCATACTTACACTTACTTCAATCCCTACTACGAGGACAGAGCGCGGTTCCAGATGGGCACCCCACGAACTCATCTATATTCTCCCAATCACGGCAGCTTCGGGCCTTATAGGGTTTCTACCCGGTCTTGCCTCTAATGACGCAGGCTGGATCGCAGAATACGGTGCTCGCCTGAGTGCCTTCTTCTTGGCAGCAGGGACAAGGGTGAGTGGCTTATCTTGAGTTTGGACTTGTGTTACCTTTCAAAGTTAGTAGCCGAGCATCGCTAAACCCAGTTTACAGTTTGTGCCAAAGACGTTTGGCAAGCAGCATGCAGATGTGCGTGTTGCACATCATGCAGAAGCAAGGGTCTACAGCGCGGTCTCGATCGTTGCGACCGCCTTCTTTCTGCGCAGTACTTTTTGGGGAGCTCTGTTGAACTCAGGTGCTTCATATCACAGACGCTACAACTTTGTCTGGTCGACACACGACGCTTACGACAGGCCTTGGTGGTCAAAGCTCGCTTCCGCGTCTGGCAAGATCCTGGGCGCCATCAGCGACGATCCCGTTATTGGTCTTATTGGCTGGGATGTCCTCCTTTCCGGCTTCAGTCTCTGCGTTTGGGCAGCTTCTCGAGGCCTAGACGTCACAGATATGCTCAACAGCATAGTCCCTCCATTGAGGAGACAGAGCACAGAGGCCAAGTCTTCTGTCAAGGAAGAAACCCCCGCAAGCCCTACTGAGTCCCACGGTTCTTCGCCCGCCAGGCGTCGCGGCAGACCGAAGAAAAACCAAGCTTCTGAGCCTCCTTCCCCTGTGACGAGGCGCAGCTTGCGTAAACGGGCGGCTACTCATGACTCCGACACCCATGGATCTGACGCTGGTGATGCCTCATACACGCCTCCACCCAACATTGCAGAACGAATTGCCGACTTGGAGCACGAGGAGGAGCGTGATGACACTGTGGCAGAGGATGCAGAGGCGTCTGCCTTGGCTTGGGGATTGTCCCTCATTGGCGGTCTTGGACTGATGAGCGCGGCAGTGATGGGTGCTGAAGTGCGTAGCGGATAAGAATCGGTGCTCCATGGCAAATTTGGGTATGACGGGAAGGCGCTCTTTTCGGTGCAATTGAAGTATGGTCGGGGCTTGTGGGTACTTGCTTTTGATTTTCAGTCATATCCTGACTGTGCTACTTTCTATTTGTTAACGGGGAGCTAACTGGCGTCACTGCGTCTCGTCGATCATGGACAGGGCGACTTCTGGTGGCTTCGTATCAGGTACGAGAACGGAAGGACGGGAGCAAGGACGGAGGCGGCTGTAACGAAGCAACGACTAGGGAGTGGACGAATGTCAAGACGGCGTTTCATTGTCAAGCACATGACGGTGCGAGCTGAGCAGTCAACAAGCAGAGCGAGGTTGTGGCATGTAATGCTGCATCAGGCGCCCTGCGGACGAATCGAGGAGGATGAGATGTGATAGAAGGCGGCGGGCCGGCGTCCGTATCCGCGCTGAGGTGAGGACCGCGGTGGCACGTCGCGTGGGCACATGGGTGTGAGATTATGCTTTCACCGCTCTCGAGCCGCGACAGGGATGGCGGCGGTTCCTTGCGTTAGGGCGAGGGCGTTGAGCGGAGGGCGAGTTGGCGGCGGGTGTGACGCAGCGAGGAGAGAAGGACAGGTCGAACGGCGCTGGTCGCACGCTTGCCACGCTGCGTCTTCCTTGCGCCGGAAGGCCGTCTGATCGGCCTCCCGCGCAGCCGAAACACACCTCCCATCTCATCCATCATCAGGCTCAGGCACAAGTCAGCGGCCAGGCACGCCCACGCGAGCGCCGCTCCGTCCCCGATCGCCCGTAGGCTCGCGCGCGCTATCAGCATCCCTGCCCTGCCCACTCCGCAGCCTGTGAGCTGGCCGCGACGCCTTGCTGGACGGTCTTCGCGCGCGCGACGCATCCCATCCAAGCTGTTTCGACCTTCCGCACCGCCCGCCCCGACCCGCTGCCAGCTGCCCTCTACCCGACGTCAGCGCCCGCCGTCCTGCTCCAACCACCCTGCCCCAGTCCGCATCCACGGGCCGCAAGGGAGACGTCTGTGCTTTGGGCACCAGGCCGCGACCAAGCAGCAAGAGCGCCGCCGCTCTTATACAGCCAGCCATGAAGGTGAGCTTTTCTTTTTCTCCTGCCTCCGCGCCGCCGCCCCTTCCTTCCTTCGAGCCCGTCTCCCTGCTGCTCCCGTTGCTCCGCGCTCAGCCCTACCGTTGCACACCCGGCTCCTGGCGACATTCCCCGAAAAGGCCGCCCTTCCCGTATTGGCATTCTTTTGCTGCGCTCGCACCGTTACTTCCTCCTTCCACTCCGTTGGGCGCATTTGACGTTGTGATCCTGCTGCCCCATCCGCCGTGTCGGGCGCATCATCTTGGCCGCTGCGTGGTCCACACGATCGTGTATCCACCGAGCTTAAGACATGATACCCAATCACACCCCTGCCGCCTCACTTCACCTCTGCCTGCCGGGGCTCAGCGTACCACTGCTGTAAGACCTCACGACCAGGACGTCCTCTCCAAGCCGAGCGCCGCCGGCCCTGACCTGGTCGCCCTCATGTACCCGGCTGCCTGAGCCGGAGCCACCTGAGATCCTGCAGCCTACCCCAGTCGGCCAAACACCCGGACGGACACCAGGCCTGCTGCTGCTATAAGACACCGCCGAGTCGGCGCATCGTGATGACGGGCTGAGCCTCAACAATTCACCGACGTTCTTCCTCTCCACACCCCACAACCAAATACATCATCGCACCCACCGGCCTCCAGCCCCCCGCCGCCTCTTCGCCAACTTCCTTCACTCCTTCACCCACCACTTTGTCATGACGTCCTCTTACCTATCCATGTCTACCGGTCACGGGCCGCCCGGACAGGAGATGGGAGAAAGCCACCATGCCGCGTTCGACCGCTTCAAGCCTGCAGCGAAGTTAACTTTGATGCGCTATTTCCAGGACCTCCAGAATGCTGAGATTCCACCGAGTCCTGTTGCCCCGCGCTACCACACCGGACGCCTTCCCAACAGCAAGGCCGGTGATGGTAAACCCAGACTGCTGTTAATGGGTCAGAGACGGTGAGTCACGCGCCCTGGTGATTTCTGACGTGGGATGGCGGTAGTAGTGGCTGTGGCGAGGAGGGTTGTACTGCAGGAGCACGATATTGATTAGTGTTGCAGGAGCGGCAAGTCATCGATATCTAGCGTCGTCTTCCATAAGCTCCCTCCGAGTGAGACGCTCTACCTCGAGACGACTACCCGTATCAAGAAGGAGTCGATGCAGTAAGTAGTCGGACTGTGGGGTGCACGTCGCGAAGTCGAATTGACCCCATGCAGCTCTTTCATGGACTTCCAAGTCTGGGACTTCCCCGGCCACCTGGATTACTTCGATCCCGCTTTTGACGTGGACAACATCTTTGACGAGATCGGTGCCTTGATATGGGTCATCGATGCACAGGACGAGTATCTGGATGCCATTACCCGCCTGAACACCACCATCCTCAATCTGCAGCACTCATACCCCAACATCAATGTTGAGGTTTTCGTCCACAAAGTCGACGGCCTCTCAGAGGACTACAAGAGCGACACGTACCGAGACATCATCCAGAGAGTGCAGGACGAACTGTCGGATGCCGGATACGAGAACGCGCCTGTCAGCTTCTACCAGACCAGCATCTACGACCACTCCATCTTCGAGGCCTTCAGCAAGGTCATCCAGAAGCTGATTCCCCAACTCCCCACGCTGGAATCTCTGCTCAACAGCCTCTGTTCCACTTGCCGCATCGAGAAGGCGTATCTGTTCGACGTCCTCAGCAAGATTTACATCGCCACGGACACCAGCCCGACGGATATCGGCAGCTACGAAATCTGCTCGGATTACATTGATGTGGTTGTTGATGTGAGCGAGATCTACGGATGGGATCGTCCGGATGAGAACGGACACACAGACGGAGACATCGACGAGACAGGCAACAATGATGCAGAGAGCTTGATTACCATGGAGAGGAAGGGCAACAACTACCTCTATCTGCGGGAGATCAACAAGTAAGTACCCTGCGACGTGGCAGTAAACAGCGCCAGTGGATTCTAACAGCAGTGCAGGTATCTTGCTCTCATCTGTCTGATGGGCGAAGACAGCCCAGCAGAGAAGAAGGCTCTGATTGATTACAATGTTGGAGTCTTCCAGGAAGCTCTTGCACAGGTCTTCCCCAGGTAGAGAGCCCATCTCAACCTGTCAGCTTCCTGTAGATGTCGCCTTTTTTCAATTATCCGGAAACATTCGACGAAAGCAACGATTGGAGTTGGAGGGAGGCCAAAAAAAAAAAAAGATGCACTACTTGATTCAAATACCAGAAAAGTCTAGGGTTGGAAGGGAGGGCAGCATAGAATTATGGGTGGGATTGATGAGTGTGAGCCGCACGTGAGAAGCGGCTCGCAAAATCTGGTACGATTACGAAGTGTACGATCTTTTTTAGCAGCGAAAGACGTCTGCCGTCGTGGGTGGGTGAGTGAGAACATTGGGGAATTATGTAGACAAGCGCAGGATTTCGCGGGGAGAGATTCCTCTCATTCAGCAAGCCCGCAAGGGGCGAAACCACAAGATGTGTATTCGAGTTAAAGCTTGCATATTACACACTATGATAACGACCAGGTGAGGTTGAGAAGAAGATACCAACAAAATAAAATTTCCCGAGCGCGCCTCGTGGATGGTACGGCCCGGCTGATGGGAAGCCCCGGGGTGGGCATCCCCCAGTGATCGCCAGACGCCAGAGATCCCATTACCATGGTTCGGACACAGCCGCCTTTTCTTCTTTTCTTTTTCCTGTGGCTTGCAGGATGGGGGTCAAGGGCGCTGGGATCTTCTTATCGGGAGCAAAACAAGGCGGTGCAAGGTGACAAAGAGACGACGGGGCGAAACAGGAGGGCGGAGCAGCAGCCTTACTTATCATCCAATTGGAGGCGAGCGATTAGGGCCTTGTTGACGATTTTGCGCACGACGCGAGTCAGCCCGCGTTTGGGAATCGATGGAAGCGAGATGGTCGCTATTTTTTCTAGAAGCCTCTTGTTTCTTTGGGGAGAGCTGTGCTGCCCCTCTCCCTCGGGATTTTCGGAGATAAAGGACTGCTGTTAGGGAGGACGGGGTGAAACAGACGAGGAGAAGAAATCGAAAGAAAGGGTGTGCGTAAGCGGGTTGCTGCTGCGGGACTGCCGAGATATCTGTCCACTCCCTCTTCTTTTTTTGGTTGCTATTCTGGTCTCCACGTCACCTTTTTCTTCACGAGCTCTTTTTTTGTACTCTTCGACTTCTTCATTGGTTTGTTGCGGCTTGGCGATTTGAGTTTCGTATTTGCTGTGCGCATTGAGGCGCTGCGGAAATCAAGCGTCATCATCCTGTGGGAAGCTCTCGGAGTCCGAAAAGCTCCATCCACGTAGCTCTCTACCTAGCTACGAGCTCCCCCATTCGCGATTCGAAGACGTCTTGTGACGACGACAATCACAGCAGGCCTCAGGCCTTGCATCTCCCGTTCCCTTTTTTCGACTAGAACGCGTGTAGCTCAAGGACTCCCGAGTGCCGGATGCTCGGGATTGGCAACGCAGCGCATATACGACGTGGTCTCCCCACCCGCCCGCCGCCGTCACCTCTGCCGACCAGATAAAAAGCCCCAGGCCGCGCAAAGACCGCTAACGGCGCTTCTTCCGTCCTCTACGACACGCACATAGACGCGCGCGCGCGTGTGTGTGTTCACCCGGCTAGTCGAGAACGGTCCAACCGCATAGCAACCTCCCGGAATCCACCCCGTGGTCGGATCGCACGATTGTACACGTATCCCCGCGCGATGACAGAAGTCAAGGGCTCCTCCCCTCCTCCACCAGGGGCAGCGGCGAGGAATAATAATAATACAAGCAACGAGAAGAAGGAACGAGGCAGGAGCAGCAGGAGGGCGTCGTCGCCGGAAGCGGACGACATCGGCAAGGTGACGGTGCTGGACGTGCTGCGGGTGCTGGGCGGCGTGCTGCTGCTCAACTTCGCGCTGAGCTGGTACATCACCGGCGAGTCGTTCCTGTGGGGGTGGCGGCCGTGGTTCTCGCGGCCGGACGGGTTGAGGGCTTGGCTGGTGAGTTTGTGTTCATCCCCCTCTGGTGGTTTCCTTGGGTCAATTCATGAGCGGGGGAAGGGGAAAAGAAGAGCGGGAGAGGAGGTTGTGAGCGGAGAGACTAGAGTGGGAATCATTTCCAGGAAGAAGAGAAAGAGTAGTTTTGAAGAGACACAGCCATCACTAACTGGAGGGACGCACAACAGAGAGGACCAGTCCTCCTCACAGACGATGAGCTCTCCGCCTACGACGGCTCCGACCCCTCGAAGCCCATCTACCTCGGCCTCAACGGCACCATCTACGACGTCACTCCCGGCAGGCATTTGTACGTAAACCCCCACTCCACCCTACTCATACACGCCCCCCGCACAAAGACAAAACCCCCACAGCTAACACCAAACAGCTACGGCCCCGGCGGCGGCTACCACTTCTTCGCGGGCCGCGACGCCGCGCGCGCCTTCGTGACGGGCTGCTTCGACACGGACCTGACGCCCGACCTGCGCGGCGCCGAGGAAATGTACATCCCCGTCGACGACCCGGAGGAAGAAGCCGCCCTCACGCCAGACGCCATCGCGGCCCGCAACGCCCGCGAGTGGGAGGAAGCCCGCAAGAAGGTCGACTCGGTCGTCGAAGGGTGGGCCCACGTCTTCGCCGGCGGCACCGGCAAGGAGTACCTGGCTGTGGGCAAGATTGTGCGGGAAGAGGGCTGGCTGGAGAAGCTGCCGCGCAGGGAGCTGTGCGATAAGGCGGCCGAGCTGCGGCCGAAGGGGAGGGTTAAGAAGAAGAAGAGTAAGGGTAAGAAGGAGGAGGGGGGTGGGGGTAAGTAGTGATTGGCGTGTTTGAGGTGAAGTTTAGCAGCTGTCAGGTGGTGTGGGTAGGAGATGGTATAAGGTTATTGAGTGTAAATATAGCATTTTGTATCCGCATGTAGCATATTTGAGTTATCAACCGGCACTGCAGAGTTAAGAGCTTAAGAAGTGGATCGTCCGGAATGCTTCAAGACTGAGGCATCAGGTGACCGGCTGGCTTGATGCAAGTCTTACAGTCCCCTCTTACAGCCGATAGCTAGCGTGGATTTGTTTTTTTGCTCATGTTATGGGTAGTTGAAGCTATCGTCCGGACGAGAATGTCGAATTTTTAACCCACATATGTTACTTTTCTAAGGCAGAGCTGAGGCATCTTTACGCTATGCTCTAGAGCCCTGCCATTCTTCGCGCTAGCCATCGGCTGCGAGAGGGGACTGCAGAGCATTGAGCTTGATGCAAATCATACGTCGATGCTGTCATCGCCATTCAACTTCTTAAAGCACACTTTACTGAAAGGGACGTGCAAGCGGGGAAGACCCCTCACGAATGCAGATCATCACGGGTACTAGGACGGGGCACATCATGATATTTTTTGGCGACGAAGAATTTCAGAGTCCCATTAAGCATCGCGGCCTTATGTAGAGTATTGACTGTTTGTCAAACTCAAGCGTGAATTCCCATCACGTTCTGGTATTTTCGTCCGTTCACATCCCATCGGAACTATTTATCACAGAAAGTAGTCCGAACTTTTTTGTCCCCAATTTTCGTTTGGTTCCTTCAAAAGTGATTTCCCGAAAGATTGGTAGACGCCCTCATAATGGAAAGACCCGCTTTGGATTCTGAACCGCAAAAGGAAACCCGTTCATCACGCCGCCATTTTCAGTCACACCGGTACATTTACTCGGAACCGACAGCACGAGCTGGGAGTCATGTTAGCGACAGCCCTTGCAATCCGCGGGACCTCGACCGCATCCCAACAGCGTCTGATTCGAGCGGAACCGAGCCTTTCGAACAACGACCGAATGGGAGGGGGCGGGTCGACCGAGCGGGCGTAGGAGGGGGTGCTACTCACTGTAGACCTGGAGCTTGCTGTGACCGACGACCTTCTTGATCTGGCCCTTCTCCTCAAGGTCGGCGAGCGCCTTCCTGGCGAGCGAGCCGTTGATCTTCAACCTATCGACAAGGGTGGCGACGGTGATCAGGCGGTACGACTGGACATCCTTCTGGAGCTTGTCGTTGGTGGTCTTGTCGAGGACAACGGCGTGCTGGGCCTTGTCCTTAACTGCAGTGCGGAAAAGTCTCGTCAGCGCTGGTTGTTCTTCATTTCTGGCCTCATCCGCCGCTCATTTTGGAATTTCGGCCGCGGTGCGTGTGCTTGGCGCGTGTGCGATATGGGGTGAAAACGGGGCTTGGGGACGAGCGGCTGCGCGGCTCGCGCGAGTGAAAGGGGTTTCGCGATGATTTTTCTGATTTCGTGCCGAGCGGGGGATGGGGTGAGCGGGCGGCGGTGGTGAACGTACCCTTTCCCTTAGACCACTTCTTCTTCTGCTTCTTGCCTCCGGTAGCAGCGGGAGCCTGTGGCAAAGGTGGTCAGCATGGCGAGGGCGGCAGCGGTGCTGGGCGGGCGTACCATTTTGATCGATGTCGAAAGTCGGAGGTTGTCGAGGTCAGGTTCGGACGGGCTGCGCGGGTGGTGCTAAAGTCGCTTGTCGAAATTCATTGTGGCTGACATAAGCGCGGAACAAGCGAGCCCCGGCCGCAGCCCTCGCCGACTCCTCGTCACCTGCCTGTGATGCAAGAAGCGACGATCTGATCGCACGCCCGCCTCGCAACCCCAGATGCACCCAGCCATTGCGCGCCGCTGCTGCGCCAATGCGGCGTCAGCCGGCTCAGCAACGCCGCCGCATTCTCTCCAGAATCCGGGAATCGCGTTTTGGGTGCCCCCGGCGAGGCCGCGCATCGCCAATTGGCCTGCCAATCGCGGAGATGCTGCCGCAGAATGCTCCCTGGCAACGACAACAAAGAAAAAGAGACGTCTCGCTCGCAGGCGGCTGGCAATCTGCCGGGATGCGACACAACCGTCCACGAGGCTCGCGCAGCTTGCAACCTCCCTGGCCGCCACGGGCCCTTATCGCTGCCGCACCGCACCCCATGACCCCAGAGCAACACGCATAGCTCCATGCAATCCGCATCCATCCTGCTTGCCAAAGCCGCCACAACGTGCGTTAGGCCGCCTGCAGCCTGCATCGTGTCGCTCGCATCGGCCTGGCCATCGATCTTACATGTCGGCCCTGTGCCGTGAGTTTGACTGCTGGCCGTCGTGAGCGCTGTCGAAACAATTGCCAATCGCCCCCCGAAGCATAGGTAAACAGAGCGTGCGTGCGCTACGCAATTGGCGTTGACAAAAAGGAAAAAAAGGGGAGAGACACCACGACATCGATCAGCTGCCCGATATGTCATGCGGTATGACTCCATCCGGTATGGGGGCAACGCCCAGAACGGTTATGAGGCAACCAAGGCGGCTGCGAATTGCATGCTTTCATGCCGTCCACACACCACAAGAGCCCATCCGCTCTCCACACCACTCCATAGCCGCCCACGCCACAACCCTCCCACCCCCCATGCACCGCGCCTAAACAGACACGCCCCTCACCAATCATCAAGCCACAGCATTACCGAATAAATGGCCGGGCAACCGTGGCGCCGGCAGCCACGCTGTATCAACGGGGTGGGAGACACTTTTTTAGTGTGGGCATCGAGTCCACGGCCTCGTGCCCTCGTCGCCCCCCTCCCCTTTGCGATGATAAGCATCCGTCTCGCTGCCCTCTGCCTTTCCCCTCTTCTTCTCTAGTATCTCAATATGATCCATGCGATATTGATGTCCGGTCGGCGCTCGAGCGGAAAGCGGTCTTCCCGGCTAGAGAAATGATGTTTTGCGTGGGCGGCCGCCCCTTGGTCGCTTGCAAGCGCGCGTGCGCGCGTATCGCATTGAAAGCATATTGAAAGATTAATGCTCATTCGCCGAGCGAAGCTAGTTCTCTGTTTGGCAGGACGGCCCGGCTATAATCATATTGTTCGAACGGCAATGATGAAAGAGGTCCATAGAATGAGATCCGTTCACCACCCCCCCTCTCCGATCATCGGCATTTCTGGGATCGTGGACCCTGGCTGATACATACGTATGCATGTGACTAATGGGTGCTGGATAAAAAAACCGAAACCAGCAGCAATTGTTGGCCGACCGGTCTGTGGTTGTTACTAGCCCTCTTCTTTGCTTGTGCTTACTACGTGCCACAATAATGTATGTGCGTTGGGCCTAAGTACGTACATATACATGCTGCATGTCTCTTCCACTTTAGCGTAACACAAAGAAGACCGGCGTGAGTTGTTGCTGGTCAATGCAAGATGCGGATGCTGAAACTTGTGAGACGCAAAAAAATCTCCACTCACCGATCAAGGCCCGGCGGAGTGGATAGCAGAGACGCACGATTAAGAGGAGGAAACATGAGAGAAAAAAAATTTAAATTCCCTTGCTGCTAGGTTCTGAGGCTTGCATATTGAAACCTGCGGCTAGCCTTTAGCCACGAGGACCGCTTCTCCACCCCGCTCCCGGTCAGAGACAAGGACCAATGGCACGCCTGACCTGACGAAAGTACACCAATGACGGCTACGCTTGTTGCTCCTGTTTGTGAGACCCTCGTTGAGCCGCTTCGAAGGGTGTGGTCCCTTGACCTATCCGGGATTCCGCTGCTGCATCGTGTACGAGGTCCGCCGACGCGACGGCCAGATGCAGGCGACACCACCCCCACTTACAATAAACACACACTATCACAGCGCATTTCGATTGACACCATCTTTTGGGTATTGTTGGCAAATTCGCTTTTTGATTCCTGCTAGAGCTCTCACAACAAAAAAAAAAAAAAAAACCAGAGTCCCACCCCGTAATTTCCAATGCCTGAGAATTAGAACGGTGTTCGACAAAAGGAATAGCAAACCGGAAAAGCACAGGAATGTGATGAACCCCCCCAAAAGAAAAACCAAACGAAAGGACACTGTGGCCAGCCTTGCCCTTGTTCTAATGCCTCCTCCTGTTGCCATATGAGCACACGATACGTTGAGATGAAAAGGGAAAACCAGTGAGGGAAGAATGAACACGAAAAGGAAAAAGGAAGAGTCAACCACGCGCCATCGCAAGGACGTTCAAGACTGCACCAACACCTACCGCAAACAAAAAATACCGCTGATGAAAATAGCGGGTGACTCTTAAATGAGAGGCATGTGGGGAGAAAGAGAGGATGAGGGAAAAGAAGACATTGCCCAGGATGTCTATCTAGAAGCCTTCCCCCCCAATCAAAACATCCTTCTTTCTGCAGCCCATCAATGTACTGCGTTCCTTCGCCCACTCCAACTTACACGCACGAAGAATTGCTAGAGAACTGTTTATCGAGAGACGCACTGAGAAAAAGGAAAGAAAAGAGACCCTCGCTTGCAGAAAACGACCCAGTGACACAAAGCAGACGCAATAAAAAGGGAGAGAAAACTTTCGTCGTACCCAGAAAACGAAAAAACGAGATTGCCACTCGTAAATGCAGCTGAAAAAGGTCCCCCGAACAAAGTAGAAAGAGGTTGTTTGTTTTCGCCAAAGACGCCCGAGTTCCTTGTGAGGATATGCGGTCATTAGAAGAAATGTGTGTGAGGCTTCGACATCTCATGAACTTCCATTTCCTGCAATGACGTTAGTGATCTATACTCGCTGATTGGACAGCAACAGTACGTACCATCTTGAAAGTGTTGAGTTCCTCCTTGATCTGTTGAGCGAGCAGCGGCGTGAGACGGTTGCAAGTCGCAATGTCTCCCCGCCTGTCATACTCGGAACTGGACCAGGCATCGTGGAATTGAATGCGAGGGCTGAAGCTGATGTTGCGAGGGCCACCGTGGGGCGTGTTGGGAAGGCTCCGGGAGCTCCCGGCCGCAAGACGAGAGGCGCCCACGAAGTAGTCGTCGCCTGACAGAGGCAGGTTACCGGGCCTGTTGTCGTCACCGGGCGTGCTGGGTGCACTGGAGTTTGGTGTGTCGTGGTTGTGCGTAAAGCCGGGAGCGCCATCCGCAGGGCGAACCTGAGGCGAAGGGCTGTCTGTACCGGTTCCTATATCTGTTAATATTACCACCAACTTTGCGGATGTCTTTGTCGACTCACTCTTCAAGATTCCCTTTCTGACAGCAGCCAAAACCTCAGCACGCTCCCTCTCGCCACCCATAATGCTTCTTCTCGAGTCACCGGCACCATTGACCGATGAGGGCCGCTCGGACACTGAAGAGACCTCGAGCGAGTTACGCTCAAGTCTAGGGTAGCCAGTGCCACCACCCGCCTGCTCCGCCGCGCTTGCATTAACATTCACCTTCTCCCTCTCAGCCTCCACATTAACCATCGACACCTGGCCCACAGAGGCTTGAACAGCCGAATCCGCGGCAGGAACACCGATGACGGATTTCGGCCTGAACAATCCCTTCAACGAGCGACCACCCTTCTTCATGCCCTTGCCCATCTTCCGGAGCATTACCGATGCAGAAGATGCAGTGGATGAGATAGACAAGTTGTCGGTAGAACTCGAGAAGACACCTCCCTGACCAGAGTAGATGCTGTTGCCAATACCAGCAGCTTCCTGCTTCGCGGCAATGGCTGCATCTTCCGGATCAATCTCTTCCTGCTGTTGACCCTTTTGGTGCATCCGTGCCGACGAGGCATTCTCTGCGGAGGCCTTACGAAGCTCAGCCGCGCTGCCGAAAGAGAATGCCCTCCTCAGGCGTGACTTGACGCCCTTCTCTTTCTCGTTCAGAGCTGCGAGATGTTGAGCAGCAGGGCTGTTGGCTCCCGCAGTAGCGTCGGTAACAGACGCTTTACCAGAGCTGCGTGGAGGTTCGGCGTCGGAGGCGGTTTTCGAGAGAGGTGACGGATTTGCTACACGCTTGGTTGCGTCCGTAGAAGAGCCACGGGCGGGTACGTTTGGTGAGCGAGAATCCTGTCCAACTTTGGGAGAAGCTGGGCGAGCAGAATTTTGTGCATTGTCGCGCTTCGACTAAAAATTCGTTAGCGCTCGAAGGCGTAGAAAATCATGGGTGCAACATCACTCACGGAAGAAGGTCTCGTCGAGTTGCTCGCCGAGGAGATGCTCTCCCCACTGTTGTTCTTGTGAGCGCCGAGCTTAGCGTCCTGGCGTTGTTGCGGAGGAGCCCAAGACGGGGTCCCTTGCTGGATTGTGACACCCTCGAAATTGTTCAAACTTCTCCTTCTATATCTCTTTGCCTGTTCCGAGTTTGACCTGGGTAATACGCTATCATCCATGCTGGACGTCCTGTTGTGACCCGGACGAGGGTTTGGAGCGTTGCTCTTGTAGAGGTGAGCGACGCCTGCCATGCCGGAGCCTGACGGGGCGGCCGACTTGGACTCTTGAGGCAATGACGGGCTGCTCGGTCCGGAGGTATTGCGAGAGCGACGGTATCGGTCGGGGGAGGTTTTGGCGGGGGCGTCGAAGGAAGTGAGCGTCAGGTCCGGGACCGACGTCGACAGGTTGATGGCCGACAGTTGCCGCGACGAGTCGGTGCTGGAGCTGGCCGACTTGGTTCGCTGGTGCGACAGCGAGGAGTCGTCTTTCGAGCCAGAGCGCTGGCGTGTGGACGATTGGTTGGAGGAGGACGAAGAGGCGGTCGAGCCCGAGGACGACGAGGGGTGGGTTGCGTGGCCCTGCTTGGTCGGGGCAAGGGTGGGCGAGAAGGCCTGGGCCTGCGAGTAGGGGTTCACAGGAGCAGAGGTCGAGCGGTTCTCCTGGCGCAGCTGGGGCGTCTGCTGGAAGGCATATGTCTGGACAGGCGTGGCCGAGGAGCCTCTGTACCCTATGCCGCCGCCGGAGGTGTTGTAGTACTGGGTGCGAGGCATGTTGGAGGACCGGGACGACGACGACTGATGGTGTGACTGCGCGTCGCCCGAGGACGAGGAGTGTAGCATAGCGATAGAGGAGTTCGGCTGGGTTATGGGCGCGAGTACCTCAGCCATCTGAGCGTGGAGGCCGGGCGTGGAGGCTGCAGGGCGGACTCTAGTCTTCCTGGCACGGTGCCTGGGGACGACAGTCGGGCAGGCCAAGGATCGACTGCGCAGCGGTCTGGTTTCGGCGGCGGCAACGTCAGCAGCGCACGCGACAGCGGGCAGGTAGGGCGGCGCGAGGTCGTGGGGAGGGCTGGCGTGAGGCGGACAGGGTGGGCGCAGGTGCAGGAGAGCGAGCGTGAGGCCGGAGGAAGTGAAGTTTACGTACCCCTTTCGCTAGAACGCAACGAGCACAGTCGGGCGGGGATTACTCCAATGGGCGCAAGGAAAGGTACGAGCAAGGTCTATTAAAACAGGTACAGAAGGCAAAGCGGCCGGCCGTGCTGAGGCGGCGGATTGGGGTGATCGGTCAACGAGAGCGAAGTGTGTAGCGCGTACGGGCCCCCGAAGAGGCAGCGATGGCTTGTCAGGCCTGCATTGGACGGCGGGAACTCGGGCGGGCAAACAGCACAACGGTAGTAAGAGAAAACACAACGACAATCCAAGACGGGGGAGACGTAGGGCGGTGCGTGGTGGACGGCGGCGGGTGGGTTTGGGTGAGGAGGCGGCCGTCGTTAGGTAGAAGGGGTGAGAGGCCGACTAGCGCAATTCGAGCGCCGGGCTGGCTAGGTATTCGCGTTCGGTGCGGGCATGGGCATCGCAATCCACGCAACGGCCGCCCTGCCCGGCCGTGCGCCCGCGGCCGCGAGCAGCAGAGCAGCTGTCCCGCCGGCCCAGCGTACCAGCACATGCATCCGCAGCCGCAGCCGCAGCCCGCCCGCGCAGCCCGCGCCCAGCGCCGCTGTCTCGCGCCGAGGCCAGGAACGCATGAGGCGCGCCTTTGCTGGCCGTCGTGCCACGGCGCTGCTGGCGCACTGGCGTGCGCAGAGGCCGCAGGGCCCCTGTCGCGGCACTTTCGCTGCCCGCAGAGTCCTGGCTGGCTCCGCTCCGCTCGCGCAACACTCGTCCTGCGCAGCGCGCGGTACAGCAGCTGCAGCCTGCCAGCGAACGCCTCCACGCCCGCTCACCGACACGCCGCCGTATTGTGCGCGCTAAGCATTTCGTACAGCGGTGACGAGGGCCACTCGAGCCTTGCACCGCTGCTCGCCTGCCCGCACGCAGTGGGGCGCATGCCCGCCAATACGAGCTGCGAAAAGGGTCGCCCGCCCGCACGTCAAACGCATCCCATCTTCATCCATCGACGAGCCGGTCAAGCTTTCCGCCGCGGAATGCTGGAGGCGTGTGGAACCGCCGCACCCTCCGCGCCTTCTGGAACGAGGGCGAATCTCGTCGACGGCCGACCGGCGGCCACGGACCAGCGAGAGCCGCGCTGCCCATGAGCGCAGTATCAGTCGACCGCCCAGCGATCAAACACATCGCAATTCGCGCGAGTCGCGGAGTGGATTCTCAATGCGCAATCTCAGAGGGGGGCGATTATTTCCTCCGCCTCATCTCCGCCTACCTGAGCGCCGGCCGGCGTCCTCATTGAAACAGGCGCACAGATAGGTCCACGCCCCCAGGTATATTGTGCCTGGCAGCGTGTGTGGTGGAGGATCAACCGGGCACTTTTCCCGCTCTGGCCGGCCGCTAATTATATCTTCGCCCTGGAGAGGTCCCTTCTTTCGCCGCGGCCTTGCGTCACTGGCATGCTGCGTCGACGAACCTCGCCGCTGCTGCATCGCGGCCCAGCGCGAGCCGGCTTTCATGTGAGGCTGTCTCTGAGCCAGCGACCCGTCTTCCAGACGCCGCCGGGCAAGCCACAAGGCCTGCGAGTCGCCTGTGAATACCCAAAGCCGCGCCGCAGCCAGGCCAATCAGCGGCCGCGCCGGGCTCCCCATGGCGGCACGCAGGTGTAACATGCCCAAAGAGGCATCTGTACGGGGACCCAGCTCCCGCGTCGGGGGAGCGCCGGCGTGGGGCGCGGCGAAGCATGTGCGGTGGCGAGCAAGAAGACGGACGGCCTGAGCAGCAGCACAGCGAAGGCGACAGAAGAACGGAGGGGAGTCTGGGCCTTGACACGTCGTTACGTACATGCCGGCTGGAGCCGAAAGCAGAAACAGAGCCAGACACGCAAGGTGTTCCTTGGCCGGCCGCTCGATTCCCGCCGTTCCACGAGTGTTCTGGCTGCGGAAGCAAATTGCGTCGGCCGTGAACGGGCACTCGCAGTCGCTGTGAAACCGATCGACCGGCCCTCCGCCGAGTCGCTGGGTCGCAGAGGCCAGGATGGCCATTGTTGGCCCCCGTCCTGAAATCTCCAGCTCTTCTTCTTCTCTTTCTTCGTCACCAAACCAGCGATCCGCCCTGGGGGCACACGACACAGGCTGACTGACAGCAGGCCGCCCGTTGACCCGGGTTTGTTCAGGGAAGACGGGCTCCCTTGCGCCGTCTGGCCGCGATCCGGCAGCGTGGATCTGCCCTAGCCTTCAGGATAACTTTCTCTCCGCCTCCACCCCTCCGCCATGGACCATTCGGCTGCCTTCTCGCCCAGCGCGACACGTAATGCTCATCGCGGGGATCGGTCGTCAGCCGCAGGCGCAGCGTCTCGAACGCGAAAAGAGCGCACTCTCCAAGAGCCGGCTGCAGCCCGTCAACAGTTCGCGCGGCTGGAGTGTGACAGCTGCCCGGCCTGAGTGGAGGAGGACGCCTGGCGACGACACCGTGTGCCGAACCGCAGGGATGTGTGCTGATGTCCCGCAGTAGCCTCGACGCCTCGCAGAGTCCGACCAGCAGCGCTTGGCGGCCCGCTGTCGACACGGCACTGGAGCGTCGGGAGAATCAGCTGCGGGACTCGGAATGTTTCTGAAACGACGCGAAAGTACGCTGATGACGACGGATCTGCGATTATCGCAATCAACGTTTGGCGCCGGCCGCGCGACGATTCTTTAGCCTAAGCTACCGTTGAGATGGCAGGACAACGCTCGATCGGCAATAAAGCCAGCGGCCTCCCCGCAGCGGCCTCCCTGCTTGCCAGCCTCTGGAGGATTGGCTCCTGCAATTCCCAGTCGCTTGGCACCTCAACTCTTGTTTACTTTTTGCTCCTTTGCCCGCGATCGTCGCACCACACTGAAGAGTCCCTGCAGCGGGCGCGGCGCACTCCACGAAAGCCATGGAAGAAGAGCGGGCAGCCAACCTCCGGGAATGCATGGCACAACGCACGTCTCCCCGTCGACTGAACAGCACTCGGAACGATGGTTTGCCGCGCTGCATCTTTGTATTCCCTGGAGTCCCGAAGCCCTGCCGGGCGTTGCTAACGTTTTGCGGCGCGGCAGGCATTCAGCTGCGCTTCGACGAAAGCGGCCCACCTTGAGTCGCGATGCCTGCCTTCACAGGCAACGCTTCTCGCGCCTGCACTGTTCCGAGTCAGGCTCCATCGGGAGCCAGGCCAGATCGTGACCCGGTCACCGCTTATCTTTGACATGGCGGGTACTATCCATGGCGCGGATCGAAGGACCCTTTTCCGTGGACGCCGTATCCAGCACATCCGCCTGACCATCGTGCGTTCCCGATGCCGCAGACCCGCGAGATGCGCCGCTGCCGGTTGGCCAGTTGTCCTACACGCTGGCAGGTCACGATCGATTGATTCTTTGCGAGGCACAGGGCCTGCTCGCAGCCGCATCGGAGATGGCTGTGCCGTGTTAGAGTGAAGCAATATCTCCCACGCGCACGCGGACATGCACGTTGTTTCCTCCGATACAATATTGACCGTACCAACACCCGCCTCCTCCATGCAGGAAAGCTTGCGCTGATCGCAGCAGGCATTGTGACTCGCCCGCCGCCGGATGAACGTTGTTGCTCTAACCAAGTCGCTTGGATACGTCACCTTCAACATCAAAGCGCCGCCAGCCTCGCTGCCGAACCACTCCTTCCCCCACTCCCAAAATGAGGCTGCGTCCTCAGGGTCCGGTGTCGCAATCGACGTCCAGTTGAGTCAGTGTCCGGTCTCCACCCCTCTCCACGCAGTTCTGCGATCCGCTTTGTGGACGGCCAAGCCGCAGCCCGCTGGAACTATTCCCCCCTAGCCGTTTTCATCGGCGCGACACACGTCCTTTTGGGTGTCGTCTCCGATGCCCGCACCTTAAGTGTAAAATCTATCTCCCGCATCGGCGTCGCTTCTCCTTTGAGCCGCGATGCTCAGACCGACAGGTAAACACACTCCCACGCTGCTAGCTGCAGTTGACCCTGCATCGAAGCTTCTGTCGCAGCTCATAGTTGAGCCGCGCCACGCGAATGCTGTCCCTACAGCCACACGGGAGCTCAATGGCACCCAGTGTTTCACACATGGCAGCGCCTTCGGTACCGCGCTTGCTCGTCTACTGCAAGGGTCGCGGGCCATTTCCAATGTTTCGCTTCGCCCGCCGATTTGATCTTAGGTCCGAATTTCGCTACATGTTCATCGGTGTCTATCCGATCGCCTTTCCTTCCGAACCTTAACACCTTGTCTGGTAAAGCTGATCCTGGTGGCTGTCCCTTAAGCTTATAATGGTGACACTACCGTCTACGTCACGCCACGTAACCGACTTTTGGGACCAGTGGTTTTCCGTGCATCTGAGCACGAGATCGCAGCATTGCGGGGGTGGTCGCCTCGAGCAACATCGCTTTGTCGCCAATTGATGGAGCATTTGCATGCTGGTGAAGGCGTGCTGCATGGCGACAATCCGGACCAATGAATGCTCGTGCCTTTGATGCAGGAGGACGCTGTCGGTGAGCCACATGGAACGAGCCGCGCGCCAATAGTTTCTGACCCGATGCTCTACTCTCATGCCCGCTACCAATAATCCGAGTTTTCCTTTCTTCACCGCGTCGTATCCCGCCTGTAAGGCTAGCAGCCAAGACCCGTATTCAGCTACCGAGACCCGCTGCCGCTGCGATCGCTCAGGGTGCTTGTTACTCTCCGATGCGACTTCGTCTCCGTCGCTCCATCTCCAATCGTGATCGCCGTGGGCCAGTGGTCGAACCTCAACACCGGTTCCGGTGACGTAAAGAGGCTATTCTTGGTAGCACAGCCTATAAGGAGGCGGAAGATCCTCACGAATACGAGCCTACCCCAGTGTTCAACATCGACTCAGATCTCCTGTGTCTTCATGCTATAAGACCTGCTAATGCTGTGTACGGTGTCGAGAAGCGAGATCGGCACCTTTCAGCCTGTGTTGACACGCCGCGTGGGAACAATCAAGATTCGTCAACTTCTTTCGGCGACAACAGACAACACACTCATACTATTCTTGGGAGCATATTCTCCACCGATGCTCTTTTTTGGAGTAGAATGCCAATGCGACAAATCAAAAATATCCTGATACATGCCATGCCCCTTGCACGGGCCTTTCTTCTCTACTCGCCAACAGGATTCATTGACAATAAGTATTTGCACTCAGCAATAGTAGACCTGACTGCAATCGTTCTATTTGCTCCACACCGCTCCTGTGGGCACAGAACTTTCGGCCATAGGAATTTACCGTGTCATGCCACTGGAGATATTTATCTCGCGATCGCGGAGGACTGCGGAGTCAAGGTGCCACTTGGATTGCCTAGCGCCCATAGAGCAAGGCGGATGACGACCGGATTCTGCACAGACGTCCATATTGCTCTCTCGCCATGGTGGATTCCCTCCTCGCCCCGAGTTGTTTTTGGTGGGCAAATCAAGGTCCAAGATAATGGAATCCGCATTGTGGGAAAGGCTCCGAACTATTGGCCATAGCGCCCGTCCCGGGACGCATTATCCATCCCGGATGACGCTCCGTAGGCCGGACGTTAGGTACCCACAGCTCGGCTACGCTTTTTCTTCAAAGCGAGCAATGTCTCGCAGGCGCACTCCTGCGTGGTCCCGAAGGCTGGAACCTGCGTACTACCGTAGCGAACGCGTCCAGCGGGGAATGTCAGCCGAGGAAAGAGAGTGTTTCCGCCCACGAGGCGCTTTTCTTCACTCACGTCTCGGTAAGCGTGCCGCAAAAGAGATGCAGGTCTTGCTGCCACCGACGACTGGACTCGAACGCTTCCGTTCCGTCTCACGCTCGTGCTGGTTACGCACCGGGAAACTGTCCCCTGCATGCGAACTCAAGAGAACCCGTTGTTTGAGACACAGCCTGCCGGCTCCTTCCCTTCGGCTGCACGCGTCCCCGCCACCTGTCGGGCTGTCCATCCTCCTTTGTGGCTGTTCTATTGTCTGCTGCGAGCTTATATCATGTGCCAGCTGATGCTGTCGCGTCTCAAATCCGACGCCCTCTGTCGGCATGCCCTTTAAATGGCTGCATTGCTGTTCCAGCAACCGCATGCATGCGCCATGTCAGAGTTCACCGGTCAGAGCCACGCTTCAAGCAACTTCAAACAGAAGAATGCCCTGCGGCTGCTAATTCGATCATGTCATGATGGTTTCGGAAAGTCTTAGTTTTATCATTACTGCCACAGACCGGTCACCCATTTCTGTTTCCAACCTCGCCCATCTTATTCATGACGCTATGCCTCATGTTCCACTGTAACTTCAGTCCATTCCTTGCGTCCTCTTCTGCCGTTTCGGCGCCTTCAATACCTGCCATCCTTTCACACTGATGCCAGCCTCGAGTTCTGCCCGTATCTCCCTCACGCGCAACCCTTTCTCAAAGAGCAGTTCCGACTTCGTGGAACAAGGCTGAACAGGTGTCAAGGGTTGGGGTAAGCACCGTTCCTAGCCCAGGCACTCCCGATGACTCTTTTCCCACTTCGGCGGAAAGAGACCATCTTTCCTCAACGTCGCACGCGTGCTTCGCAATAGGCTAATATACCTCTGGCAGCTTCACGCAAAGACTGTGCTCTTTGCTGTGCACGATGCTCGCGCATGTCCTCGATGTAGGTGGCACGCCATCCCATCTGAGTTGTGTAAAAAGCAACTCCGTCATACCAGTCATAGAAATCGTCAGCTGCAGCCTGTTCATCCATCACATGCTGCCAAGCCTGCTCGATCCCTTGCGTCTCGGCTGCTTCTCGCATTTGAGGAGTCTCTCCGGCATGATATTGTGCTGTTGGCATCTGCCTTGATTGACGCCGCCCTGTGGAAGCAGTGGCGGGCGGCTGATAAACAGGCGGGGCGGACTGATGAGGATGAGCGCTCGCAGACCGGGCATCAGCTGGAGGATACGTGGCCCGTCGATATTTGGCAAACCGATCCTCCCTCGATCGGGTTGCGTTGAAGAATCTCGCAGCCTGCTCGTCACCACGTCGATGGAATTCAGAAACATTATCCGAATCTGGCCTCAGGCGAAAGAAGAAGGGGGGTTCCTCTTGGTCGGTGGCCCCTTCTCCTCCCGTCTCCCGTTGAGTGTTCCCATTATCCTGGAAAGTAACATGTCGACGCGGCATTGTGTGTGAGGGCGGCGGCTGTTGAGGCGGCGGAGGTGGGTCCGGAGCGGTCGGGGGAACATAATGCTGAGTAGCAGGAGCAAAATGTTGCTGAGGAGCTTGGCTGACTTGAGCCCTCGAAGTACTGGCCTCTGGTGGTTGATCAGGTCTTTTGCGGTACCATCGATGCCGATGGGAAAGGATCCCTCGTAGCGGCGACTTTGAATACTTCTGGTTATCAGGCTCTCCGTGTTCGGCAGCGCCACTGTTCCCCACTGCTGGTCTGTGATAGTTCTGCTGCGCTGGCGCTTGGGCTGGTGCATTCTGTTCCGCTGTTTGATGCGCTACCTGTGGCTGTACTCCTTGTTGCTGTGTTTCGATCTCTTCTCTAGCCGGATGTTGTATGTTTGGATCCTGATGTTGCCATTCTTGTCCGGATGCGGTCCCTTCAGAAACTCCCTGTGGAGTGACCCCATTGTTGTCATGCGCTGCTGGCACATGCGTCGCTCGCGAAGCTTCAGCGCCAGTGTCCTGTCCTCCGGGAGCGGCTTCTCCAAGAACTTCAGTCTGTGGGACTTCTGCTGGCTCAGCAGCGGTTAACCCGACATCATGACCTGCAAAGGGATGTGGTATATTGTTGGGAGGACCTTGACCGCCGTTTGGGGTATTGTATTGTGATATGGTCGGTGATGGAGTCTCGAGCAATAGAATATTCTCAGGTCTTTTGCGATAACGCATCCAGCAGTAGAGGAGGATCCCGATGGTGATGAGCAGAAGCAAGGAACCAATGATTATACCAGCCTCCTGCTCATTTGATAGCCCTGGTGGGTTCTCAACAACTGGAATCCCCCCCACTGTTATCTCCACTGGAAGGGCGAGTGGAAAAGTGGGCGTATGCGCAGTGTTGTTTTGGGTTCGATTCACCTTCTCAACAACGAGGGTAAGCGGCGAGGCTGCATCGAGGTCTGCATTTGTGCTGCGCCAATTTACTGGCTCGCGAGCTGCAGCGTTGATCACAGGCATACGATCCGGGTTGGACGGACTGCTCGCAATGGGCATGTGAGCCCAACGCGTATCACTCCTTGGGTCATGATCCACTGGTGAAAGATGGGAAACAAAAGAAGGCTCTCATTCTCTTCCTGCAGCTCGTGGTTCCACGGCCCCAGCCTCGCCTTTCCCCTCTTTACATCTGCATAAGATTGCGCGAATGAGGTGGGGTGCATCGTCGCTTATGAGTGGACGTACATGATCCAGTTGTCATTGCCTTATCCTGCATAAGCGCTAGCTACTCCTGAGAAACACATGACAAGTGTTCTTTCCAAGGCTGAGTGGTGGGCCTCAATCCCGAGGCCTTCCCACGACAGCTCCATCCTCTCCATCCGTACACATACAATATCAAGCTGATTCCCCGCGTTTGCGTTTCTCCGTTTCCAGGTGGAAACACGAACAAACATGGCCCTCGAACGCACATTTGACAACGTCGCGGATCCGCAGTCGTCCGACTCACTCATCGAACTTGCAGAAGATGCGGCGGTCCGCTTCGGAGCAAATGCTCCACAGACTCTTACTGCACGCGATGAGGCGGCAAGTAAGCTTGCCAGTGAAGGCCGCCTTGGACTCGTTAAGATGTACGAAGAAGAGACACTAGGGCGACGCCTGAGCATGAAAAAATCAGAGAATGCTCGCGAGGATGAAGCCACTCTGGACAACCGGATGCGTCTGGCCCGCTACTATTCCGAAAGATATGATACCAAGAATGCCATCTCTCAGCTCCGCGCCGTACTCCGTACTCTCGAGGCACATGACCACTTGGATTGGGGCAGGATCGTTGAAGCCCGCAATGAGCTCATCTGCGAGTTGTGGATGGAAGACCAGACAGAGGTGACCTCTGAGGTGATCGAAATCAGCATGAAGACGCTTGACCAGGCTGTTCCAATATTAGGGGCGGATCACGAAAGAATGATCCATTGCCGTTATAACTTGGCCAAAGCACTTGCTGGTATCGGGCGTCTCGAAGAAGCTGTCAGTTATTTCCAAGAAAATATTGGAATCCTGGAACCTATGGGTGCTGAGGAAAGAGCATCAAGACAACTGGAAGAGGCTCTGAGCGATACGAGAGATGGTTTGGAGGATTGCCTGATGGAACTATCAAATCTGCACCGGCCGGAAAATATAACATCTGAAGCTCCACCGTCTGAAGCACTGTCGTCTGGAGTCCCATCAATCTTCCCCTTGGGGACAGTAGTGTCAGCATGGACCTCAGATACTCGCTATTCGAGAGCTGATGTAGCATCGGCTACTGAGCAACTGTGCGAAATTCTTTGCGCAGACGAAGTTTTAGTCCCTTTGTACAATGAAGCGATTCGAAGCGACGCCATAGGAGCAGAGCGATTTTGCCGCAACTTTGCCCGGCTTCTGCAGATCTGCTCAAAAGAGCTCAAAGAAGAATCTGGAGAAAATTCACAATACCTTGCAGCGAAACTTGTCGGCGCGAAGGCTAGCGAGGTGGCAGAAAAGGTGAAGTCAAGGTACACTATGGGGGATACTGGACCAAAGGTGTCGAGAAACCTTCATATACGAACACCCAACGCGAGAAGTGGCGTCTCTCTAGACAACCGTCCCAATGAGCACAATAGACCTGATGAGGTCTTCGAAGAAAATGAAATCGAGATACTTGGCCCAGTCAAAGAGTTCATAACGGATTCGATGGCTTTTCGCAATCTAAGGGCGAGTCTCGAGGCCTTTGCCAGACCGAAATCCAGTGAAGAAAACCTTGACACGTCGTCGAAATATCAGTCCCCTCCGGCTTTTTCAAATCTACATTTGGTCGGTCAAAAACAGCTCTCAGCATTGTCGGATTTTCTTGCTACCTTTGGATTTGTGAAGAAGCACTCAAGCGCTGGTACGCAAAGAATCCACTGGAGATGTGTAAGTATGAGTAAATTTCCAGAGTTTGAGTTGCTGTAAGAAAGTCACCAAGCTGACGTTTGACTAATCGAAGCGTTGTGGAACCGATATTTACGATGACTATGAAGAGCTCGCCTCAGGGGGCGAGGCTAGCTTGAAATATCTTCTCCAGGATTTGGCTTCACAGCCCATGGTAGATTCGTCTTACCTGAATACTGCCTCGAAACTGGGGAGGAGTATCTTAGAGATGGCAAGGAAGGCTTCCACCACATTGGTAAACATCACTCAGCGTTCAGAGGCTGACCAGACCATTCCCCTACATAACGACCCTTCAATTGCAAGCAGCTGTGCTGCCAGTACCCAAATACCGAAAATCGATCCGCTTTTTCTCATGCTTTGCATGAAAGACGGAAAGTTCGGAACAAGCCTGTATCAGAAAGATATTTCTGGTCTCGACAGCGACAGAAGACTCTTCGAATTTCTTCGAGATAACTACGCCCGTTATCGGGGCAACCGGGCATCTCCAATTTCTCTCAGTGCTCTTGAAGCCATCAACTTTGTCATGGTAAGCAGTCACTTCGTTTCATACTCGAGACAGCGACAGGGTCGGCGTTTGACATAATTTTCAGTTGAATATCATCACAGGCAAGACGGTCAACATTTCCCCGTGCGGCTTACATGGCTGCACTTGTCTTCCACCGCCAGAAAAGGTAGCGCCTGAGCCTGATGCAGAGTATCGTTGCGAGCCTCTTACTCCAAAACGTTGTCCCCCAATTGGTTCTAATACTCTGATGCATCTTTTCACCCATCCCGAGTGCTATGGCGAAGCCAAGAGCACACGGATACTGGTCCAATTCGCAAAGAAATTGGATGGTGAGCTTATTGGACCTGAGTTTGGCTGGGGTTTGTATTTCAAAGAAGGATGGAACTGGGAGGTGGTAAAAGTAGTGATTCTCGTGTATATGTTTGCAAGCCTAATGTTCGGCGTTGCGTGGTGGATAGGCAAAGATGACATACAGGGGGGATTTGGCGTTGCTGGGTATTTGGTCAATGTGGCAACTGCATTTTTGGCATTCATTGCGGTTAGAAACATCTAGTGTCGGCGTTATCGGTGGCTGCTGGGCCGCAGTTCGAGGCGCGCAATGACGGGAACACCAAAGTTGGGCCTGAGGATACGGATGATTTTTGTCGATATTTCGGAATGCACTTCATGGACACGGGTGTTACCAACGGTACCGTACAGGTATGTTGCTCATTAATGGCTACTGTGCGAAGATGTGTTCTTTCCTTTCCCTTTTTTTTTTTTAAAAAAAAAAAAAAGGTCACTGATGATTTCATCTTCCGCTGTCATTATGGAGAAACGTGAGAGAGATCTGAAGGCCGCCCGTCCCGAGGCTGACGCCCCCAAAACTGGCAACAATCAGCATGGCAGCTGTGACATCCTATTATCTTCCGCTCTCGTATCTAATTTTTTTACTGAAAAAAATAATTTAAAAAATACAATGAAGCTATCATTCTAATGCACATCATCGCAATAAACTCCCCTCTATACAAAAACCATATTACTCCATGAAATACAGAAAAAACTTATCCTTGGAATCCCATAAAATCATCAATGCTACGGTGAACACAGATTTTTTCATCTGCAAACGCTCTGTACCGATTCAGGATATCCGTCTTGCTCATCCCATCATACTGCACGCCGTAAGAGTAATGAGCAACTAAACCACGACCATCGACGACAGCATCTAGACGGCCAAGAGCTATTAGTCATTGGATAACGTAGTGAAAAGGGGAAATTAGAGGGAACACAAGTGTTTTTTTATATGGCTTCGGAATCAGGGACAAAGAACAGTGTGGCGATGAGAGCTCGACCGGAGAAATTTACTTACGTCTGCCTGTAATGAGAGGCATCTGAATGCTTAGATGAAACTCGTCATCAGCGGGAATAGGCTTGCTGGCTATGATGTCCGATCCCCAAATTGCAATGAACTGGATACCAAGCCTTTCGTTCTCGAAGTCCCAAGTACGGAACTTGTACCTCCAGAGAGAGCGGTCCTCGATTCGCGAAAGGAAGCTGTAGTGAAGCTGAGCGCCGGCCGGCCACCACCACCAACCACGCAAGTCCTCGTAGTTGATCGAGGTGATGGTGTACTGGACTGACTTCACGGGGGTGTGATCCACCAAAGGAGATCCTTGTGTGCCAGGCGCAAGTGGAAGCCATCTGTGCCCTTCGAACGGCGGAGAGAAAAAGTCATCCGGCGTCCATCCGAACAGCCCCATCTCCGGCGGAGCCTCCCAGTTTGGCAAGTGCGAGGCGCGCCATTGAGACTGGCTCATATTTTGGGAGAGAAATGGTGGGGTAAGCTCGGGGAGGTATGGAATGAGAGCGCCCAGGTGGCGGTGTACCCAGGAAAGCGGCGACTGGTTGATCATGTTGGCGGAGACGAGGAAGTATTCCGGATGCTCCAGCTTTGTCTCGACGATGGACGGAATGGCGGTGTCCTCGATGAAAACGATGTCATCGTCTATCTTGATGTAGAGAACGTCCGGCTCAATTTCGTCATACGCACCCGAGTAGTCCTTGTACTCAAAGGAAACCGTCTGCCGCCGGTATTGTGGGACACCTGCGACACGGGCATCCAGCCATAAGAGGTCTGCAAGGTCATTAGTGCGGGTGATGAAAACGACTTCATCCAGAAAGCCGCCGTTGATCGCGAGGTTCCTCTGTTGAAAGATAATCAGCTGCGTTGATTTCTGAGGGCTGTCATGATGTTCTACTCACCTGCAAGTAGCAATCCAATATTGAGACAGTCTCCCTTCGTCCATAAAAGACAAGACCCACAACTTTCAATCCGTCTGGCTTCTTGAAGCCTGGGGAAGGGCCTTCCAGTGGCGAGTTCTTTCCCAGGACAGACCAATTGTGCTCCAAGATTTCGTGTTTGCGTCGATCGAACAATGGTGATACAGAGGACTCCGAGAGAGTGAAAATCGCGCACAGAATAACGAGCCCAACACCGATGGGAATCAATACCCATGTGTTGAGCCGGAGAACTTTCATGCTCTTGTACTGAGCATCAGACATGGAGACGTGGCTGTGAATCAAGATTCGGATTGAAGTGTTGCAAAAGTGGAGGAAGTTTCGCTAAAAGTCACGGCATATTATCAGGATCAGCAGGAGAACATGTGTTTGCGATGCGGCAAAACTTATGGCATTGGAATGGTTTAACAAAAATGTTCCTTGGTCCCTTTTTTTCGAGAAGGAAACCCGCGAATTAATGGGATGCAAGGAATCTCGCTTTGATTACCTTGTTCGCCTAAATCATTCTACGTCCATTTAATCTTTGCTTTTGCTTCCTTCGCTAGCTGTTGTCCGCATATTTTGGTGTGTCCTCTCGGTCCGCTTAACGATGAAGGACATCTCGTGCAGTTTTGCATGGCTGACCAGTAAATTGTTCTGGACATGCACACCGAGCTTCCTGCAATCATTTCTTCCTGCCCAGCCAGATTCATCAAACCCACGTTCAACCACCAGACCGCCAGCCAGGTCAGCGCGCACGGCCTACCTCGATGGGCTCCGCGGAACCGCAGCTCTTTTCGTCTTCTTCGGCCATCTTCTGTGGACTTATCATGGATGGATTGATTATGGATGGGGAGATGGGCCTTCGAACCGCCGCATCATCCAGTTGCCGCCACTCCGGCTCATCTACTCCGGCCACGTCATGGTCTCGATATTTTTCGTCGTTGGCGGCTATGTGTCCTCGGCAAAAGCCATCAAACTTGCGCGACAGCGACCGCACCAGCACGAACAGGTCTACTTGACCTTGACGTCGTCGCTGTTCCGCCGGGGCATCCGGCTCTACTTGCCTGCCTTGGTCTCCACCTTCATCACCCTGTGCGCCATCCGCCTCGGTCTCTGGGAACCGGCGAGGCAGTACACAACCATGCCTTATATCTTCCAAGCCGACAACCATCACCAGCGATTGCCGAGTTTCGGCGAACAGCTCGCGGACTGGTGGAGCGAGTTCATGGGCCTGACGAACATCTGGTCTTACTACAACTACTCGCACTGGCAGCCATATTACAACAAGTACGACCCGCACCTATGGACTGTGCCAATGGAGATGAGGGGCAGCCTCGTTGTCAGTCTCGCACTCTTGGGGCTTCTCCGATGTCGAGCCTGGTGGCGTTTCGTTCTCATGTCCGCAACCGTTGTTTTCTGCGTCTACTGGGACCGTTGGGAGTGTATGGACTTTGTGCTGGGCGCCATGCTTGCGGAAGGGCACATGGCCATTTCGGAGAGGTTAAAGAGCGGTGATGGAGCTGCGACTGCTGACGCTCAAGATCCAAATCGAGAATGCAGCCAGGTGGCCGATGAAGAGGAGATGGAAGTGATGGAAATGCTACTAGAAAAGCCGAGATGGGCAACTTCGCTAACTGCATCTCCCATTCAGACGTTGGAACGATGGGCGAGAAATTCCGCAGTGCGACTAGGCATCCGCATTGCCCTTTTCATCCTTTCCATGTGGTTCCTTTCCGCACCAAGCCACCGCTACGAGATGTCTACTGGTTATTCAATCATACCTTATCTTGTCCCAAAAAGCATATCTGATCCTAAGCGCTTCATCCACGGAATCGGCTCGGCACTTCTGGTGGTTTCAGTCTCCTGTACGCCCCTGCTGCAGAAGTTTTTCAACCATGCCATACCACAATATCTCGGAAAGATCAGCTATGCTCTTTACATCTGCCACGGCCCGGTGATCCATATGTTAGGCATGTGGATAACTCCAACCATTTGGCGGGTTACTGGGTATGAGACAATGAGTGGATGGCTGGTTGGATTTTGCCTTGGTAGCTGTATGGTGATCGTGGTTGTGCTTTGGGCTGCTGATTTGTTCTGGAGGATGGTCGACACGAGGTGTGTGACCGTAGCTCGCTGGTTTGAGGGAATTTGCTTTGAGAAAGAAGACTGAAGCGCCTTTTCAAGATCCTGAAATAAGCTGTCCGGATTTGTTCCTACTGCACTGCTGTATTTCGTACTCCCACTTGCATCAGCTGAAGCTGACAGACAATGGCCATTGTCGAGTGACATTCCCACGTGCATGAAAGTGGGATAGGATTTTCGCACGCGATTGTCGAGCTAGTCGTCGCACAGATGCATCACTAACTATTTTTACGTAAGGGGTAATGCAGGCAGGCATGTAGGGGCTCAAGCAAGTGTTACCCGATAAATTGGATTAAATGAATGTTGTGACAGAGGTCGAACAAACCTGCGTCCATCTTGAGCGCCATTTCGAGCTTCAAATAGCATAGAACATCTCTGTAGAAGGAGCTTTGATTGAAGAAAATTGGTCTTGTCCTGGAAGAGTAAAGTCGTCCTCTGAAAGCCGAGCATGCCCGGAATGCCGAACACGCGGGCGGACAAGGATTCCTAAGCAATTCTTTATCCCTTCGAAGTGAGCAGGAAATGCTTTGCCATGCGGAAAATTTGAGGTGGCCAATTACGCCCCTCGGGTGTTGCCAGCTTCCCTCCCTTCCCTCGTCTTAATGCGTCTCATGGATCATCCCCCTTTCTCTACTTTCCCGATACTTCCGAAGCCGCAAGTACCTTGCTTCTGCAAAACGGGGCCCTTTTCAGAATATCCGACTGGCTGAAAAGAAATAGACATCAGTAATGCTGACTAAGAGCCAAGTTCTATAGGATACGCAAGCGCCCATTTAGTCATGGCTGTTCTTCGAATACATCCTTTGGTGATTTGATTAATCTTGGTGACTTTATGCCAGTAGTCTCCAGGTGTACCCATAGTTCACACGCGAACCCTGGCCCGCGTCGCGGATACATTCTTGGAGAAATAATATTTGCAGTAATTTTGCAATTGTGTCACCGCTGGACTCTGACCTCGTACTTTACTGTTACAACTCTTCGCTGAATTGTGAAATAGATTTCTGGAGTCAGTAAAGGGTCTATCGAGTAGAACTCCAGGCGGCGAAGGCTTAAAGCAGACGATTCGCCACAATAGCTACCAACGAGGAATAAGAAAGCTGAAAGATGATTAGAAATTACTGTACCATACTCAATCATTTTAACATAGACTACACGATGAGATGTACGGCAAAATGTTAATCACGAATATGAAAGAGATCAGATAATTTCATCAGGCGTACACTGTGTGCGGATATCGTTAGTTTAGAGGCGCAGCGCTCAGATGACGGTGGGGAAATGAGGCTTACTGCCAAAATTAACATTTGACGGCCTGCCACGTGGCTGGTCCAGGCAGCAGCAGAAATTAGAGGGCCGTGCTTCATTACGCCGCACTTCATGCTGTTTAAGTCTGTAAGGTCCACTGCAACCAGTACTTGCCTCGAGAAAACTCGCAATTCACCTAGCTTTTGCAAAATACCGCCCGCAGATCCACCAAATCATGGCCCACGTCAGCCAGACTGCTCAAGACTTGCCCTCGGATCGAGAAGGCTCTCTTTTGCTCAACTTGCCCGCTGAGCTTCGCTTAAATATCTGGGAGTACGTGTTCCCGGGCGGTGAATACATCCCTCTTGTTATTCATTCATCTCGTGGGACAATGTCAATCTTGCGGCAGTTGGATACGCATGGTAAGCCGCCTACGACTTTCGGAACGACGGACACGGATCGATTCGCACACCAAATCGCTTGGGGGCGTCACAGAAGGGCGCTACTGAGGCACGGATACCAATTGAAAAGCTTGGTGCCCGCCGGAGGAATTTTCCAGCACGGCAACCCCACAATGTTGCTGTCTTTGGCGTTGACGTGTCACTCAGTGTATGGACACTTTGCCCCATGATGACCGGTTTCAATGACTTATAATTTACAGGTATGCGGAAGTGATACCCATGCTTTACGGGAGCTCAACCTTTGGCTTTTACGAGGAACATCAACTTTTCCATTTTCTCCAGCATGTCCCCTTTAGCAATCTTCGCCATATTCGACATATTGTCGTCTGTCTTAGGCGGCACACATGCAAGACCTCGCCGGAATGGATCGTGGCATGCGACACGCTCCTCAGCCTGCCGAAATTGGGAACGCTGGACTTCGTTCTTTTTAATCAGTCGCCAGTCAGCTCGTGGCACGAGCAACCCCCAGACTCGGAGCTGATGGAGCCGATTCTGGAACAGATGGCCCCGTTTAAGGGCAAGTCGGCACGTGGCCAGTTCAACTTCTGGGATACTTCTTCCTATTCTCACAAGTGGCAGCCTATCTTTGATAAAGAGGAAATCCCATTCATTGTAAAGAATGTTGAAATTATACTGGATTAACCGTCTAAAGGGCACACGACTGGCAGAGACAATGTACACTTAGAGGTGGGATTAAGCCCAAGTACGCCTTCTATTCGGGATAAATACTAATGCCATACTTGAACAAGGGAGAGAGGTCTGGAATGACCGTGAGTTTTTATGTTCTCGGCTTACGTTCTACTATTTCTTAAAAGCCATCATCGAAGCTTCTGTGAAGACTGTGTTGATCTATGTGGGCCGTGACGAGCGGACGTAGATACAGATGGGTATTTACACGATTGGATTTGCTTGTATCTCGCATGTAGGTATCTCCGGTACATTGATAGTTGGACAGCCCACTTCATTTCCCTTCTTTCCAAAAAGAAACCAGTCATGCCTGACTTTCTCCAGCATTAATCGTGACGTCTCTAAGCAAAATACAGTCTAAACGACAAAGAAAAAAAAACAAAGCCTCACCCCAACGCTTCCAGACCCAGCCCCCTGTTCAATTCACCCCATCCTCACCCCCCCAAACAAATCCCCCTCATACCTCCTCCCCCACCTCAGCGGCGCCTCTGCCCCCACCACCACCCTCCCCATCTCCCCCTCCGGCACCGCATCCCCGACGAAACCCGGCGCCGCATCCAGACCCCGCGTCTTCGACCCCCTCAAATGCCACCCGTTATTCTTCAAGCTCGCCAACCCCCCCGGACCCTCGTTCGATGGCACCATCGCCGCCAACGCAGCACCCACCCGCATCGCCGCCGTCGCATCCAGCCGCTCCGTCCACCGCGGCACGAGCGCCGCGAACAGCGTCAGCGCGAGCAAGAGCACGACGAAGACGCCAAGCACCACGCTGCCGACGACGAGGCCCGTAAACGGCACGACAGGCGCACCGACGACGCCGTCGACGCCCGGGTCGGGCGCGATGCGCAGCCGCTTCGAGGCGTCCTCCGCGTGCGTGACGCGGATCTCGTTGGCAAAAAACGCGGCCATGCGGAGGGCGCCGCGCATGGCGCTCGCCCCGCCACGGCTACGAGCGGTGTCGATGACGAAGGTGCTCAGCCACACGCCGACCGGGTGCGGGCGGTCGCCGTCGCTGCCGCCGGTCGTGGTGTTGAAGTGCCTCCGCGGCCGCACGCAGTCGAGGACGTTGTAGCTGGACGAGCTGCTGGCGAAGCACAGGCCCGAGAAGGAGGTGCAGACGCCGCGGGATCCCAAGAGGTGGCCGAGCGGCGCGTAGGCGGCGCAGGTGGCCGGGAAGGACGGCCCGTCGGCGGCGCGGGCCATGGCGGTGGTGTAGGCGCGGTCGGACCATTGGGCCGGGAAGGAGGCGTTGCCGAAGAGGGAGGCGTAGATGAGGGCGAGGGGCCCTTTGTTGTTGACGTATTCGAGGACGGTGGGGAAGCCGTCTTGTTCGCCGTAGCTGTCGCGGTTGTTGGTGTAGAAGGTGGGGTCACTGAGGGGTGATCAGCGGTTGTTTGTGGGGGGGAAAGGGGAGGGAGGGGGAGACGAACTTGTAAGAGGCATCGATGGTGCTATCGTCGTCGTCGTCTGGTATTGAGGGGAATTTGTCCAGCAGCGGGCCGTGGGTGCCGTCGTTGTAGTTGTTCGGAAGCTCGAAGTAGCCGATGGTCGTCCGGGCTCTGACCCTGAAAATGTTCGAAGCGTGGTACTCCTTCCAACTTATGGCTGTGCTGATGTTGAGGTAGAAGACCTCTTCAAAGTCCTGGCGGTCCCGAGTGCCGTTCATTATCGGCGTTTTCAAGGCACTGCTGGACATGCAAGTCCGGACATGCCAGTCGAGATGAGAATCCTCTTCGTCCACGTAATCGTAGCCGAACTTGATGAAATTGGAGTCGTCCTCGTCCGTGAAGCAGCCGTCGGGTGCAGTGTCGCTCATGGTTATGTTGTCGTAGTCAATGCTCGTGTTGAATCGAGGTATGTACGCCCGCTTGAATCCCGTGTTGTATCCGAAGGGAATTTCAGCCATGAAGACCTGTGATGGGTCCCAAAAGTGCTCTTGAACCGGTTCGTCATTACGATCCTCGAACCAACTGTTAAACCCAGCAGAGTTGCCAGTACATTTCTGCTGCCAATTGGCATGATCCTCTGCCGTGCCGTTCCACCAAAGTCGGGGATTGCACGTCTGAGACGAGCCTGTTTCCATGGCTTGACGTAGGCTGACGACATCTAAGTTACTGTCATAGCCCTCCGAAGCGAACAGGTGCGGGATGTCGACCAAATAACGATTTGACTCAAAATTCGAAGAGTATTCGGAAGCAACTCTCGTGGTAGTTACCGGCTCTAGTAATCCTTGCTGAACGGGCCAAACTACAAGGCCTTTGTAGTCCATGTTAGCGTTGCCATTTGTAAGCAAAAGTGAGCAGTTGCCATACCTAGCAAAGTGAAGAAGCATGCGAACCAGAGGAACCCACTGCCGTGTTGGCGGCGGAGCGTTGGTGCCAACAGAATAACGGGCATGAGAGGGCTCATCCATTCCTGGTTTGCAAGTGCCAATGTCTGCCTCAGCGACAGTTTCGGTCCCTTTGCGTGGTACTGAGTAAATGCCACAGAAGCGTAAGTGCAAACAGACGCAACCGTCGGTATTGTCAGCGCAGAAGCGATGGCGGCCAGTATTGAAGCAGTCCTGACTATATCCGAGACCCACGAAGCGTCGCGCATTGGCCGGACCTCGTTGTAATTACTAGCGAAATCTTTCTTACCCACGTAGATGGGTCCACGGCCAACGAGGCAGAGGAGGACCCAGGGGGTAATTGCAAAAGCGAGATAGCCACCGACGAGGCTAAACAGATAGAGCTTTCCCCTTAGTGTTCTCAGTCTGATGCTGTCTAGTTTGGCCTGCCGCGGGCTGGTCAGTTCATGATATTCGGGTAGGCGCTCTGCGCCCGGGTCAACGTTTGGTGAGGCCATGATAGAACGAAGCGGTACCACATGCAGCTCCTCCTGCATTGGCGCTTCCTTCACTTTTATAAAAAAATTAACCAATATCGCAGAAAAGCACGTGGACAATCTAAGTGGTACGACAGACGGTGTGCCCGTCACCAGGCACCAGGCACCAAGGCTGGAGGAATCGCTATGCACCTTGGCACTTCAGTTTCTGGAATCCCCGGCCGCTTTACAGCCCCCAATCCTCGTGTTGCGGCTAAAGCGGGCCGCATCCTGGACCCTGCCGAGCCGCTAAGTAGCTTTAGGTAAAAGTGTGCATCTATGAGGACTGAATCTAGACTTATCTTCTTGATTGTTCACTCCGAAGGCGAGTTAGTATCTCAGCTATACATATACCTATGCCAGGCTGGCAGCTGCCTGGAAAAAAGTTCCTTGTCATCACTCCATGGAATCCTTCCCATCACACACTTGGCTCTCAGTAGCCTCGCTATCTCCGTGTCCCCCAGCCTGCTCTCTCACCTGTCCCGCTCGGACCTCCAGCCCTTGCTGACCACCATCACCTCGACGAAGTCACGTGACTAATCACCTCAATGGATGTCTCACACGGCTTTGCTTCGCAACCCGAACAACCTCTTGTAAGCAATCTGGCCTTTTGCTCTGCCAAACCCCGGACCTTGACACACGCATGGTTTGAAACAATGAGCGGCGTGTCCCGCGTTAGCGCCGCGACGCTGCTCAAGAAATCTGGTACTTCGGTCCGCGCACGTAGCAGAACTGTCACGCAGACGCACGCGGCTTGGATGACAAAGCAGGTGGTCATGCAGAACCTAGACATCGTGTAGATAGGCGCGGAGGCGCTCATGTCTGGGTCCATGTAGACTGGACGACTGCTTGTTGACTGAGGGTCATAAATGCTGCTGACAACTTGTCCTGTCACGTACGACCATAGGTCGCAGAATGCAGGGCTTCCCGTCCGCTCAGCCGTACTTAAGCTGCGAACCGGCCGATTAGTACTCAAGTGGGTGACCATTGGGGAATCCCGGCTGTTGTACGTTTTGTAATTTTTTTTGGCCCGTGTGTGGGTCTGTGCTAAGCGAGATCCCAACGACTGTTGCAAGCTCACTCACATACGCACATCGTTATTCAAGGAGTCTACTCTTCTCGCGAGGCAACTGCTGGACGTAGGCTGAGGAAGAATTGATTTTTGTAAGTGCGCAACCATCTCTTGCATTGTGCTCGATCCACTTTTTGGGCAATGATCATTACGTGCAGCCGTTAATGCCTTTGTACAGCCTCGTCGCCATCCCTCTCCTTCCTTTCCAACGAAAACACCAACTCTTTCAAGGCCGCCCGACTACGACTCGGCAGTAGCGTCTCCACACGCTTTCTCATCTTATCTGTGAAAACAATATCCTTCCCGCACTCCCGCATCAATTCCACCCACTCCTCAGTCAGCCGCATCCATGGGAATACCTCCTCGGTAACTACTAGCTGCGGCTGAGACTTCAGCAACACGGCCCAAACACTCAAATCCACCCTCACATTCTTTAGCAGTCTAGCCATTGTGGCATTTTCCAGCCTCAGGTCCGGGCAAAACTCCAGCAGCACTCGAAACCTGTCGGCGTGGCAGCAGCCCTTCCACGTCACAATTTCGAAGATGGCGTCCTGATCGATGACGAGTTCTTGTAGTAGTAGGTCGTTGTTCTCCCTGGCTTTGGCGAGCAGAAAAGCCAACTCATCCGCATTCCTCGCGCCTCCTCGCAGCATGCTTTGGGAGACGGACAGGCGCGGGTTCCGCTCCCACAGGAGGCGCAGGAGCCGGACGCGCGAGATCTCGGGCCGCAGCGGCGGCGGCAGCAACCGGCGCTGCTGCTGCTCAGCAACAGTGCCGGCGGCGGCGGGGCTGTAGATGCCGCTGAACAGGTTGCAGACGGCGCGCTGCGTCGGCACGAGGCGCTCGTCGTGCTGGAGGAGGTAGTAGATGGTGGCCGTGTCGGTGCAGCCTTCCAGGACGGCCGGGGTGATGGCGCAGACGGGGCGATGCTGGCCGCATTGCGTGAGCAGGAAGTCCAGCGTGTCGGCGTCGTGTGTGCTCTGGACCATGGCCGCGGTGATGCCGATGCCGTTTGCGTGGTCCAGCAGGTCGCGGAGGAGAGAACGGTCTTCTTCGCTGAGGTTGCCCCTGACGTTTCTTTTTAGGACGGTGACAATGACGGCCTCGGAGACGGGGATGTCCTTGACAAAGTGGTCCAGTAGGAGCCTGAGGTTAGCACGGTAGTAGAGGGTCTCTGCGGCAGCGAGAAGGTCGGCCTCGGTGACACGCACTCCTGGCGCCTCTTTGAGGAAAACATCAAGGAATGTATCCTTTCTCGAGGGGTTAGGAGGTTTGAAGCGTACGGCTTTGATGGCCAGCGTCAGCGGTGTGGCATGGTCGGCACCTCTTGCATTGGGATCTGCTCCATGGCGGAGGAGGAGGCGTATGCAATGGTTGGAGCCTTTTCTGCAAGCCAGGTGCAGCGGCGTGTCCTGCTTTTCGGAGACCTGTCTGCAATCTGCCCCCTTTTCCAGCAGAAGCTGAACGATCACAGAATGGTCTTTCTCAACGGCGACCAACAGGGGCGCTTCGAGCGATCCGCACTTTCTGTTCACGTCAGCCCCATTGTCTAGAAGCAAAGCGACAGTCTTTTCACTTCCAAGGTGTGCGGCTAGCTGGAGCGCAGATCCTGTCTTTCGAATTCCACTTCGATGGGGCGCCAACTTCTTCCGACCATTCGCTTCTTCTCGCGGCCCCTCGTCCTCGACGTCAGCACCGCTCTCGACTAAAAGACGGATGACTTCCTCGAAGGACGACAGGTCTCTGGAGAACGGCTCATCCCACACAGCCCGACGGAACGCTTCCGTCACTGGGCTGCTGCCCAACCGCGTCTTCATCCTCACGCTAGCGCCACGCTCCAACAACATCCTAACCACCGCCGGATTCCCGGCGTACGCGGCAGCAAGCAAAGCAGTGCGGCCACTCTTGTCCCGGGCATCCACATGCACGCCGGCCTCGAGCACCATCCTCACCAACGACGGCAGCCCCGCCATAACCACCGACAGCAGCGTCTCTTGGTCGGCAGGCATGAATTCAAGCAATAGCTCGATGGCCTTGTGCTGCTTCATCTCGACCGCCCTGCGCATGCCGTCGGCGCAGGCCGCCCGCTCGATGTCGGTCCCACAGATCTTCTCCATGAGATACTCGACGACGTCCAGGCGCCCGTAAGCACACGCCTTGCCCAACGGATTGTCCCTCGCACCGCCTACGTAAAGCGCAGCGCCGGCCTCGACCAGCACCTCGACGACATCGACATCGCCCGCCGCGGCCGCCTCGCACAGCGGCGTGCGCCCCGGCCGCCCAGACGGCTTATTGACGTCCGCCCCGGCGCCGACCAGCTCGCGCACGACAGAAGCAGCAGCAGCGCCTTTCTTGCGCGCGTTGCACCACCACACGGCCGTTGCCAGCGGCGACTTCGTTTCCCAGCGTTGGACGACGGCAGGCTGACCCACTACCCTGCACCCCTGCGGCGGCCGCTTCTCGCACTGCACGACGGCATCCACGTCGGCGCCGAGCCGCAGCAGCGCGCGCACCATGTCGACGTGGCCCTGCGCGCACGCCGCGTGCAGCGCGCTCACCTCGTTGTCGGGCAGCGAGCCGCCGTCCCGCGTCTGCTTGCCGCGCAAGTTGACGTCCGAGGCGCCGGCCGCGACGAGCAGCTCGACCATGCGCACGTCGTTGCGCGCGGCGGCGACGATGAGCAGCGGCTGGGGCTGCTCGTGCGGGCTCTTACGCTGCTGGTCTGCTGTTGTTGCATTGTTATCGTCTGTAGCAGCAGCATCGAGAAGGAGTTTGGCGGCGGCGAAGTGCCCGCGCTCGACGGCGAGACGCAAGGTGCTGGCGGCCGGTAATGCGAAGGTGCGGAGGTTGTCGGTGTCTTCGGCGAAGGAGAGGGCGACGTCGGCGCCGTGCGAGAGCAGCGTGCGGACGATGTCGGTGTGGCCCCCGGCGACGGCGGCGCGCAGAGGCGTGTGGTAGCGGCCTTGGAGGACGTTGACGTCGGCGCCGGCGGCGAGGAGGAGCGACACCATGACGGCGTGGTCGTGGCGGGCGGCGGCCTGCAGCGCGGTGCCGTAGTAGAAGCCTGCGGCGTTGACGTCGACGACGCCGCGTGCGAGGAGGAGCTCGGCGAGGGAGGTGTCGTTGTCCGCTGCCGCCATCTGGAGCAAGAGGCCGTACCGGGCATCCGCTGCCTTTTCCGCTGGGAGCAGTTGGAGGGTCCTTCGGATCATGGCTCCGGGCCCTTGCTCGAGCACGTACCGGATCGACTCTGCAAGTTCGAAGCGACCGTCCGGATCTTTCAAGGTGCCGCGATAGCGATATGGTTCTATGTTTCCGTCGAAGAATTCGAGGGCTTTGGCCAGGACCGGGTGGATGCTCTCGCCGCTCGGCTCAAGCTGTCCACCTGCTCGGAGAAGCAGCTCCATGACGGCCAAAGAATCCAATTCCCTGCCTGCTACAGCGACAAAGACCGAGTTCGGGCCTGTGGCCGCTGCCTTGACATCGGCGCCATGCTCAATCAGCCACTCGACCACCTCTACCGGGCAGTTTTGGGCTGCTGTATGAAGAACAGATTCGGCATTCGCGTCGGCGCCATGCTCAAGTAATGTGCGCACTGTCGCTCTCGTACCAACCTCGCTGCCTTTCTTCCATCCGTCCCCTGACGGAACCCGAGAGCACGGGAACCGAGGGGAGTGCAGCGTGAAACGATTGATACATTCCTTCATGGCATGCGTCATGGACTCCCTTTCCGGGTCGGCTCCTCGTTCGAGAAGTAAGCGAGCCATATCCGCGTGGCCATTCTGTGCAGCAGTGGCGAAGGCGCAGCGTGCGGCCCGTATACAATCTTCCCCTGTCAAGGCAGCCATGAGCACCTGCGTGCATGCAAGGTGGTTGTTCCCGGCAGCGACTTCAATGCAGCGCGTGAGGACTTCAGTAACCTTCTCAAGGTTTAAATGTGGAAGCAAGCATTGCGCCAGCTCCGCATGTCCCTCGCGAGCCGCCACTAGAGGGCAATCTTCTATGTCGTCTGATTCGAGAAGTTTCCTAGCTTCACTGTTGATGAGAGCCAGAGCTGCAGCCGTATGCCCCGGACGGCACGCGGCATACATGGCTTTTGCGAAGCTCCCGTTCTCCAGCGCTACACCGGAGCTGAGTATGCTGTCCAGGACCAAGACATTCCCGTGTTCCGCGGCAACGCACAGTGCCTTCTGGCGGAGCTCATTGAGCTTTGCTTCCGAGTCTCGTTCCTGGGCCAGCTGAAGAAGCTTCAGCACGAAGGTTGCGCTATCTTCAGACGAAATATTCTCCAGCACAATCCGAACATCTTGCTCAGCCCTCCCGTGCGCCGCGCCGTATTCCAACAGGAACTCGACAGTCTCCGCATGGCCATTGCGCACTGCACCCTCCAGAGCATCCGACGCCGCCGCCGCCGCCGCCGCCGTCTCCGCACCTTCTAGAAGCGGCAGCAGCTGCTGCAAAATCCGCACGTGGCCATTCGCCGCCGCCGCCGCGAATGCGCGTCCGACATGCTCGGCCCGGATGTCGAGCTCCTCGCGCCGCCGCAGGAACAAGCCGACCACGGCCTCCCTCCCGGCCGCGGCTGCCACTTCGAGCGCGTGCAGCTGCCGGCGCTGGAGCGGCCACCAGTTCCCGCGCCCTGGTGGTAGCTGCCGTCCCCTTGTTGTTGTCCTCGACCACCTCTGCGTGTACAACAACGGCCCCGCCACTGCTGCCACTACTGCTGCCACGTCGCCGCCGCCGTCTCCCCGCGCCAGCTGCTTCTCGACGCTCGACAAGTCGTCGCCGCCGAGCATGGCGGCGAGTGTGCGCTCCGTCTGCGTGGTGGCGGCAGCAGCTGCCCCCTTCTTCTTCTCTTCGTCATCTTCATCTTCGCTCCCTTCATTGACGACACACCGCCGCCCCCTCATCCCGGCCCTCCTCTCCAGCCACCCCGGCGACGTGCACCGCAGCAGCGAGTCCCACTTCGACTCGTGCGCCATTCTGAGCGGCGGTGGCAGCGGCGCCATCATCGAAGACAGAGCAGCGCCGTCGATGTTCATGAACGACTTCAACAGCGCCGGCCGGACGCCGCCGCCGCGGTCCAGCAGCAGAAGCTCGACGACGTCGGCGTGGCCGCCTGCCGCGGCGAGCTGGACGGCGGCGCTGATCGTGCCGTTGGTATTGCGCGCAGCCGCCGCAACGTCGAGGAGCGCGCGCACGGCGCCGGTGTGCCCGTGTTGGGCGGCGAGGGGGAGGACTGTTGCTGCTGCTGCTATTGCCGCCGCTGCGTTCTCGGCGTAGTAGTACGCGAGGAGCTGTTTGATCATAAGGGCATGGCCGCGCGTGGCGGCTGCGCGGAGTGCGGTGTCCGTTGCTGTGCGGTTGATGCCGTGGTGGGAGAGCAGGGTGCGGGCGCAGCGGGTGTGGTTGGTCAGCGCGGCGATGAGGAGCGCGAAGGCGAGTGCGTCGTTGGATGAGGTGGAGGGTAGGGCGTTCAGGAGGTAGGTGAGTATGTCTGTGTGGTTGTGGAGGACGGCGGTTGAGAGGGCGTCTTTTGGGTCCGTTTGTGCAGCCACGCGGGGTGTGTGGTGGATGAGAGACACGACGGAGGCGATGTCGTCTGATTTGATGGCGTCATGGAGCGTGGCTTGCTGCTCTGTCTCGGAGAGATGGACGCTGGGAGGAGTTGTGGCCTCCAGATCCTTCCACGATGGTTGGGCCTTCGCGTTGCGGGTGTGGAAGAAGTTTGCAGCAGCAGGGCCACTCCTCTCGCAGCCCAAAAGTGGTATGTCGTGCTCTGTCACTAACAGGACCTTGACCACGTTTTCAGACTTGTCCACCACCTCGATGAGAGAGTCGGACAGCTTTTCGTCATCAGTGTCCAGAACGCCATCCAGAAGGATAGTCATGGGATTTGCAGCTGCGATGTCCAGAGTGATCCGCAAACAGTCTTGCAGGTTCAAAGGGCCGACTGTACTCCCATCTTGCTGAGATACAGCTTGCTTGATTTTCCATTCCGTGATGAGGACATCGCAGCATTTCTCGTCATTGACCAACGTGAAACTGGCGACGACATGCTGCAGGATTTCGAGCGCCGAAGAGAGCTTGCTGCAGTCGATGTAAGCTACAAGGGCAGACGTCGAACTACCAGCCAGCAACTTCCTGGCGGTCTGACAGACACCTGCCGCCCCGCACAAAGACAGGATCGATGACGTGCTTGATTCCCACCAGGACCGGAAGCTTTCTGACTCGAGCAGTTCACATCGAGTACCAGGTGTAGATTGGTCTTCATCAGCTTCCAGGAGCGCAGGAACCCCCCATTGACGCAGGCTGGATCCCAATTCGTCCGGGATGCGAACTTCATGAACAGTCTCTGGTGCGGCACTCCTCAAGTACAAGGATTCCATGGGGCTGTTGGTGTGTCCAATGGCGGCTTTCGCGTTTGAATCTGCCTGAAACAGCTTCTCTCTCAATTGATGTGTGTCCACTTCAGCTCCCGTTCCTTTGTTGTCAAGTCGGATGTAATGGGCGAGTATGTCGTAAACCGCATGATAGACGGATAGAATTGCGCCATCAGAGTTTGATGTATCCTCAATGGCTTGCGATGGGCGTTCTGCTTCCAAAATCAGGTATCTCACCAATAAATGGAAGGCAAACGCCAAGTCGTTGACCATTTCTCCAAAAGCCTGGGCATCTTCAGCAGTCTTTCGCAAGAGGAACCGAAATGGAGACCATATGAGTCGCCATGCTGCCTGCAAGTCCTCTGAGAAGCCTTGGGGATCCAGCCCGGCGTTCGATTGAATGAGGTCCAACCAACATAGAATCTTCTCGAGGAGGTCACGGACGATGATGATGTCCTTCTCGGCCGTATCGTAAGTCCAGCGTTTCCAGAGAGATTGGCATCGTTTCTCCTGGACCACTTTGCGGACGGCCTTGAGAACGTCGCGCCTGTTCGTTTTTGTAGCAAGCAGAGTTTTCCTCAAATCATCATCAGCTTGGCCCAGTGCGCGCTGCCATAGGAATTTGGGTGTGTCGGTGCGGGATTCGGAGTCGTCGACGGTTGTGGTTTCCATTTTGGTGTTGTCTACTCTGACGAGCGTAGAATAGCCTTGTATTTGGTTGCCTTGAACTTGGCCCCCGCTAGGCACTCTACGGGCGGTGATCGATTCGATAACGTTGCGTAATGGCTTTGGAGTCTTTCGCCTCTACCGTCTTCTGTAAGTTTATGAGTGAGGTTGAGCCCTGCAGCCAATCAGAATTTCCACACGCCGCAGTCACCCACCGACGAGTAAATCTTGGCCAGCTCACCTATCTGAGAAATTGTAGTGAATTTCACCTAGCAGACAACTTGGGGCATCATCGATACTAAGCAGAGAGAGCAATGTGTCTTTGCGAGGGAAAGGACATGCAGCGATAAGGCTGTGGTGCGGGGGAACACTTTTTGTAATCAGAATTACAGCTTGCATGGGGCTAACTCTTCTGCCTAGATTATGTGGGGTTTTAGTTGACTTGTAATATGCGGGGCTTTGGTTTATCCTGGAAATGGAAATCACAGGTCCGTGATCCTGTTTTCAGTGGAGCAAAAAAGTGCACTATGCAGAAAAAAAATGCACTGTGCAAAACGTACAACAGCCGGGGTCCCCCTGTTGAAACCATAATTGATTGGCCCTCTAAGGGGCACACGACTAGCAGAGACTGTGTACAGTTCAGAGGTGGGACTAAGCCTAAACAGGCTATCTATTTTGGTTAAATACTACGTGCGGCTCTTGGTACTTCAACACCCCCGGTTTATACGCACGCTGATGCCAAAATACAAGGAGGAGATCTTGCGACATGCAACAAAGCAGATCAGGAAGACTTATTTCCCCCATCCGGAGGCTTTAAATCGGAAGCGCGATCTCTTTGCTCTTCCCGGAGGATATTGTAAGGTGTAAGTTGCCATAACGAAGAGAAGCGGACCCCAGACTCACTGATCAGAGGCATGCTTCAAAAACCTCACCAGGAATTCCCAAGCTACACTGATTCCGCACCTATACGGGACATGGAGCCCAAAGCGAACCGCTTTCAGCCTCACAGGCCATGATATGGAAAGTTGCACGTGCAACGTTAGCCCGGCCGTTGCTCTTCCCTTAGTTCACAATTTACGACAAAATATTCATTGATAGAGGGGTGACTTGCAACAATCTATCAAGTGAGGGCCTTTGGAAGGTACGATGGATTAAAGAAGGAGATTCTGACAACGCCCTATTGATCAGCATCAGAACGAGAGCTCCTGATTTCACCAAGCCAGTTCAAAAAACTAGACAAGAACGCAAGCGGCTCGAAAATCTAATCAGTATCCTTTCTATGCTGACGATAGAGACTGAGCAGACGCGTTGATTTGTGGTAGAAGTCTGCATATCATCTAGTGGACTTTATCATCGATTCAATCCTTCTGAAAGTAAGTTAGTATATCAGCGCAAAGGGAAAGGAAGTTCGAACCCCTTGAGTACATTGAGAATGTCACGAGAGCTTCATTATCTGGTCGACCGATCTTAGATTCTATCGAGGCTTGTGCAAAGGGTGTGGTCGTGCGATCGAGAAAGACGCCGGTATGGAAGAGTAGCTCAGAAACACCAACGGTACCTAAACAGGAACAGATTCAACCAAAGGGGCACTGACGAGTCACTGAATATGGTCGATTGTTCGAGGTATCTCTACTTCTATGAGTTTCTCTTTTGAGGTAGACGGATACGAGTATTCGGTTATAGAAGGCGGTTACTGTCGGCTCCTTGTTTTACGCGTTCAATTCCGAGAAAGGTCTAAATTTCTCTTCCCGCGTTATCTCCATTTCTTGCATGGGGACTCTACTGTCTCACGGCCTAGGCCATAAAGACTTCTATTGGTGACTAATTTGATGAAGTTTCTGATAGGGCATTGAAAATAAACAAATCACCGACTATTGGCACAGAATCAATTCATTCATGGCAGGCCTTGCCAAAAAGATATAGCTGTGCTCAAACTCATCTATTAGCGCTCTAATTATTTTCTTTTGACAAGGTGGGTGTCAAAAAAGGTGTCAGAAGTGAAATGTGCGGTAAGACCCGTCTTCGCGCGCGACTGGGGCGCACAGCGTGACCGATAAAGGCGAGAGACTGTTACTAAACCCAAAAAGTTGGGTTTGGTAATTACCCCTAAATGCAGCACTACACGTCCATGGTCCCATTTTCGGGGGAGCATCCGAGCTTCTCTAAGTGACATCCTCGAAAAGTTTGTAGGCAAATGAGTAAAGTGGGATGAGCCCGATGGCCTGATTACTGTTTCTACCAGGAGTTAAAAGTGTAGAAGTTTGGATTGGTCGCGAGATCTTTTGGCGTTCCTTGCGTGTCGGCAAAACAAAAAACAAAACGTACAACAGCCGGGATTCCCCAATGGTCACCCACTTGAGTACTAATCGGCCGGTTCGCAGCTTAAGTACGGCTGAGCGGACGGGAAGCCCTGCATTCTGCGACCTATGGTCGTACGTGACAGGACAAGTTGCCAGCAACATTTATGACCTTCAGTCAACAAGCAGTCGCCCGGCTATCCCCTACTATCCATCGGCAACTCGCAATCGGGGTGGATGGAGGAAGTCCTTCTCCTGTGTAGTCAATAGTTAGCAGCTGCCAGTCAGTGCCTAGCCGCCCATGGGTCTTTTTCGGAAATGATACTGAATTTGTGTGTGGGCAGGAGAATGGCGAGAGACAGGTTCTCAACATCTCCGGCATTTCATGTGCACCCAAGGTCTCCCTCACTCGGAGAACTGTGTCCAACGTCACGAGTTTGATACCTGCCAGCAAGATCCAAGTATCCAAAGCCACCAAGGAACAATTCGCAGCTCCTATTAATCATACCGAAATCACCAATGTCTTCCGATACGCTGATGGTTGAGGCTATAATGTTTATGGGCGGAACTGCAGATACTTCGGAGATGTTCCCATTTTGAGGTGCTTCAAGCGAGCGGCGACACGCTTTTAATAGCAACTATCAGGTTGACCGACGACGTCATTGCTGCAGATCTCATAGCGCACCAACAGCAGTTGAGCAGTCCAGTTTTAGGCGTGGAGGAGCAAGCCTCCTATGCTGTTTTGGTCAGCGTGCAGCCAGCGAAAAGCCGCTGCAGCAGGCAGACGCACCACGGGTTCCGCTGACACCTCGGCTCGTACCACCCCGGCAACGGTCTAGCAAATATGACTGAAATATGATATAGCACTTGTAGCTAGGTAAACAAGGCAGACTCACCCGCTCATTCCCATATAACCTAAAGTAGTCCTGCTCATGGCTATAGTCATAATGCTCGTAAGAGCTAAGTATGGGCTATCCAGAGCCGTCATAGATGCAGGACGATATTCATTAGGCAGCCATTTTTGTTACACCAGTGACAGGCATTTAGAGGCTCTCCGCCGTTGGCGCTTTCCATTTGATCGGCGACCAGTGATTATCAGAATTTCTGGCCCCCAGGTAGTCAACCCCGCCCCACGCTTTAGATCTGGCATTGTGGCGTCCTGTAGCAGGAAGCCTCGCATTCAGCCGACCGAAGGATTAAATCGCAATGTGCCACTCACAAAGGCATGGGCTGGTCTCTGACAAGTCTTTGCATGAGCGTTGCTTTCAAATAGCGCCGCTAGCTCCAAAGTCATTCCTTCCATTTTTACTACAAGCTCACTTGCGTTTCAACCATGGTCGTTCCTCAACGGCGCTCAGATGACTCCGACCGGATCCCTCTCCAAGCTCTGACCGATGACAGTCGGCAATCTGTGGATAATCGCAATGTCGCGTCTGAAGAAAGCGATCCTTTGGATGAACCCTTGAAACAATCGGCGCTTACCACATTTCGAAGCGCGACCGATCGGCTCTGGGCTTGGGAAATTTTGAGCTGCTGCCTATCGGCTGGCTCCTTGATCGCCATCATAGCTACTCTCTCCGTTCACGATGGCCGGCCGTTGCCCCAGTGGCCACATCTTATTACCATCAACTCTCTGATCGCCACTTTCACCACCATATTCAAGGCCTCCATGATGATGCCTATCGCAGAAGGTGACTATGGGCACAAGTATTGGAAGGAACTAGTTCTGATAGGAAACCAGGCATCAGCGAGTTGAAATGGTCGTGGTTTCAGAAGTCGCGATACTTGAAGGACTTGGATACAATGGACACCGCCAGTAGAGGACCCTGGGGTTCATTGTTGTTGCTGCTGGGCATGAAACCATAGTGAGCCAATTCAAGGGGTATCTGCACGTTCAAATAACTGACAAAAGTTTCTGCACGATAGCTTTCTTGCTGGACTCGGTGCTGTCATTACGATTGTTGCTCTAGCGGTTGATCCCTTCTCACAACAGATTATTCAATACTACAATTGCCTGCAACCCGCTCCAGGCCTTTCAGCTACAGTTCCGATGACAAACAACTACACTGGATACAACGCTCATGTTGGAGGTGGAGTATTCGAGCTTGATCCTGTGATGGCACTTGCGGTATATACCGGCCTCATGGACCCTCCTGCAAACAACTCTGTAAGCATTCCTGTAGACTGCCCTACAGGAAATTGCACATTCCCACACGACAATGGAGCTACGTTTTCGTCACTTGGAGTCTGCCACGCTTGTCGTGACGTATCCGATCAAATTACCAACATCACGTTCTTAGACCAAGGCAGAACGCAGCACAACGTGACCTTGCCGTCTGGAGCCACACTTCGGGATGGAGATTATATCGACGCTGTGAATAGTGTTAGATCCTGCCATGAGGGTGATCCGTTGGTGCTATATTCTTTCGACGCCTTGATTGCCAGTAGGAAGGGTTATCTGGGTGCTCGCTGTTCGGTGTATCCCTGTGTGACCACATACGGATCAAACGTCACTGAGTCCGTGTACACCGAGACGCGAATTCACTCCATTAAACACGATCTTCTGACGAAATGGTGGGATGGCCTCCAGTCGTGGTCTCTGGTTACGAATCGAACATTGAGAAACGGCACCTGGCACGACTGCAAGCCATCCCCAAACCGAACGGACATGAACATCTTGCAAATCACGCAAAACGGAACAATCGTCTTCTCCGGCGATAATTATACAGATATAATGTGGTACCCTTCGGACTGTGTCTATTATATGAATACGAACGCTGTGAGCGCGCTCAAGAGGTTCCTCGCAGGAATATGGGCACACGAGAGACTTAGTCGCGTCTACCAAAGTGCCTGGAACGTTACGACTGGACCGTTATGGCTGCAAGGTCTTTACCGCGATGGAGAAGCGAACATGACCACAGTCAATGAGTACATGGAGGGCCTAACGACATCTCTAAGTGCAGCGATACGAACGAATGGCGATACTCCCTCCAGTGACTATATAAAGGGCACTGTTATGGCATCGCAAACCTGCATACGAGTTCGATGGGTTTGGATCAGCTTGCCAGCCTCTCTGTATGCACTGACTGTTGTATTTTTGATTTTGACTGTGCTGCAAACAAAGCACCAAAAGTGGAATGGACACTGGAAGTCGTCCGCTGTTGCTCTACTACTTCACGGAGTTGACATCGAAACTAGACGAGAACTGGGGGCTACATATGATAAGAGTAGGATGTGTGAGACGGCGGAAAATGTTACAGTGCACTTGCAATACGAAGATGGAGGTTGGTCGTTTGTAAGGAATAGGTAGCTTTATTCTCAGAGTTTGGCTAAGTTCTTTACCTGCATTTATAAGAGCTCTTTCAAAGGGGAAAAAAAAAGAAAGAAAATAATACGAACTACAAGCATAGCTACACGAAAGCGGTCAGAGTCAACTAAATTTCATTCCGTTCGGAAGAACCGCAAATGCCCATCCTCCCCCACCCCCTCTCGAGCCGGGCCTTCATCCCTTTAGCCACGGTGTTCAGAGACTCTGGCGTCTCTGTTCGTCAAAACCAGTTTCGACGAGCTCTGCATGATTGACAGGACGAGAAGCAAGACTGAAAGTGTCGTGATGAGCAGAGGGACGGCAAGCCAAACCCACTCGACATGGATGTATGTCTCAGTGATGTAGGTGTTGCCCAACATCTGCGTGGTATTGTGGTTGTCGTCGCTGCGCATAAGGTGCGTCACAGTGCGTGCGACGTTGTCGACGACTTCGGAGATGTTGCTGGTGTACAGGGAGGCTGCTGCTGTATTGGATATGTCGTCCACTTCCTCCATCTTCACGTGTACCTCTGAACTACCATCGTCTCCGACAAGCAAGGTAAAGAACTTTGAAAAGTAATTCTGCCAGTTGTACGCCGTTTCGGCAGAAATACGGTAGGTGCGCGACGAGTTACTCGCTGCGTCGTGGAGAGTATATACTCCCGTTTTGGGATTCGGGTGCCATCTCATGGAAGTTGCATTTTCGAAGCGGTCAGGCATGGGTGGTAGCTTTGTCGTGTAGTTTTTCGATTCGAGGCGCGCGTTACGAACTGCAACGTTGCGATGCGTGTGAACACAAAACTCCATGGAACACGTCGTCACCTCCGCGTCACTTGGTACTTTAGTCCCATTACTAGTGTGTGCAAGATCTCCAAGAGTTTTGACTGCTGTGAATCTCATGAGCGATGAGAGGTCATGCTCAGCAAAGGTCTGAGTCATCGTTCGGAAAAAGGTCATGGTGTCAAGCGTCTTGAGGTCGACTATGAACGCCGTTACCGACGGGAACCGATTATCCTGAGGAGTATAGGTGCAATTGAGGTAAGGGTGTGTCTGCGAGCCTGGCCAGGAGCAGTTGTAGAGGTTAGTGTCGTGCATTGTGACGATCCTTTGGTTACAGCTGCCGCAAACTCCGAGAGAAGAATAGTCCGGCCAGCGGCAATCTGATGCGGAGCACTGGAAAGGAACCGATAAGATGGATCCCCCGCTGAAACCGCTGATGATGGAGCTCTGCACCTCGAGAGACGTGCGCGGCCAGAAGAAGACTCGGCTGGACTGGGAGGGATCAAAAACATCTTGAATTTCAGCCGCACCACGTTATACTTAGTGATACCGTTCGGCATAATCAATATGGAATGACTTACAGATAGCTGTAGTCTGAAACATGGTGGAATTCCAGCTGTAAGCGTTGAGCAATGTGGCACCACCCTCTTCAAGCACAACAGTGCGTGTAGGAAACTCTAACAACTGCTGGGCAGAAGGCTCAAGTGCCATTGTGGTAATGGTAATCATGGCTCCGATCGTTGCAACAAGCGCCCGTGCACGAATACGCCATAGAAAAGTTAGGGATCCCCATGGACCTCTACTCGCATCATCGAAGAGCTGTAGATGGCTTAAAGAATGGCCAGCCGCACTTGTGAAGTGGAGCCATTTCATCTGACTGATGCATCCGGCTACAGGGACGAGAAGCGCCGACTTGGCGACTGTGGCGCATATGGAAACCAAGGTATTGGGCTGGATCCGGGAGGGGCCAATCGTTCAGCCTCCGGTCTTCGATGGACAATAGGACAGCAATGATGACTGCCATACTTATGGCGCTGGCTGCTATGCCTGCTGTTTCCCACCACCAAGGCCAGACATATCTGTTTTTGGTGGAAGCGTGGTTTTCCATCTGTGGATGGTCGTCGGTCTTGGAGTTGTTTTCGCTTTCAGAAACAACTGGTGTACGGCTTCCAGGATCGACTAGTGAGCCGCGGCTTTCGTCAAGTCGATCGTCAGACATTCTTGGAGTCACTGAAAGTGGAAATGTGGCAAGAGGCTCATGGCGATCATCGAAGAAAGGTCTCAGCTCAAGGGTCGGCTCAATGGTGGGGGAAAACGATGAATCGCTGCCTGCTAAAGACGTGATGCCTTCTCCTTCAGGAACTGGCCGGGGAAGAGCTTGGTACTCCATCGAATTAGTTGATACGAGGCTTGTTGTTGTCAAATGTAAAAGTGAAACATAGCTTTATACCTACCCCGCAAGGCTACCATCTAGCAGGCTGAAAGTAAAATTGGAAATCATGTACGACCGGAAAGCCCGATTTTAGCACACCTGCGGTCCTGCGCAAAGGTAACACAACATGTAAGTTCGGGACAATTTAGTCCGCAGTGACCCCCACATTCCCTCAGTATTCAATGTATTTGACGGTACATCCCACATTCATCACGTGTAACACCGTTTCCCTTGACCATAGCCATAAAACTAACAAGGTTTGTTTGCTGTCAACTTCATTCCTGTGAGGCAGATGAATAGTTTATCGATATGGAACATAGAGTGGCCACAGTGATCAAAAAATGCACGCAGAGCTTAGTCCAAGTCAGCATAGCGATCCTAGGCTGTCTCTTAGCTGTAGTAATTCCTTACAGAAGGACTGCAAGTCTTGTACTAATTCTCCTGTCTAGTCCTATCGGTTTCTTTTGTAATTCGGATCTAGTCCGAGCAGTCAACAAGTAGCACAAGAGCCGCATCCGAGCAGAGCGATTCCTCGTCGGATAATGCCTCCGGGGTTCTTTCGCCGCGCGGCTACGCAGTAAAGCACTTTTACAAACGCGGAAAATGCACTGTCATCTAACAGTTATTAGATAAAGTTTAAGCGGCTAGTAACAGTAGTAATGTATACATAGAGTTCCCAAAAAGAAACTGTCAATCAGTGCACATCCCCAGACAGAGCCTTAATAGAAATGAATTCGTAATTGAGTACATAAAAGGTTATGTTACCAAATATATATATTGAAGTGATTTGGTTGGAGCTCGAACTCCTACGCCGACTCCCGCCAGAAAGGGTTGTGTTTTTGAAGAAAAAGCTATCTACTACAAAATATTACAGTCTCCAATATCGTCAGCCTCCAAGCACTATCGTATAGAGTATTTCATAGCCTCATATTTCCCATACATCTCCAGACAAGGCCTTTTAAACAAACACACGCTCGCTAAATTACCACGCAAAACCACCAATTAAAACCGTAAGCAGCGCGCAAGAGAAAAGAGAAGAAAACAAACCCTTATTGCTCACTATTGCCGCCCTCGAGGCAGCGCCCGTGTTCTCCGAAGCGGCACCGGTCCGCGTCGCCGTGGCAGCTGCCCCATTGCCCGCCGTCGCCTTCGACCCAGCCGACGCGCCCGTCGTCGCAGTCGCACTCGCTGCCGCGAGCGTCTGCGTGTGGCCGTTGACGACGAGCACCGTTGCGGACGGGCTGAGCGAGATGGTCGTCCCGTCGACAACGATGACACCGCCGGGCGTCAGCGTCTGGCCGTCGATGACGTACGTTCCGCCTGCACTGCCGGAATTAGGTAGCGCGGTGTACGTCTGGCCGTCGATAGTCAGGACTGGGAAGCGCGTTGTTGCTGCAGCGGCGGCTGTTGTTGCTGGGAAGAGCGTCTGCGTTACGCCGTTCACGACGAGTGCGGTGGCTGATGGGCTGAGTGAGATGGTTGTGCCATCGACGACGATGACGCCGCCGGGAGTGAGCGTTTGGCCGTCGATGACGTACGTGGTCCCGGGGCCGGGGAGGTCGGTGTACACGGTGCCATCGATTGTGAGTTTGGGGGCGTTGGTCGTATAGGCGGGGGCGATGAGGGTTTGAGTGATGCCGTTGATGACGACGGCCGTGGCTGATGGGAAGGATATCGTGGTGCCGTCGACTGTGATGGTCCCGCCGATGGTAAGAGTTTGGCCAGCAATCACGTATGTGCTGCCTGCTCCGAAGAGACCAGAGAGCGTTGTTCCGCCGACCACTATGTCTGAAATAGCGGTAATTCCAGTACCCAAAACTTGAGTGACACCGTTCACGACCAGTGCAGTTCCCTCTGGAACCAATGAAAAGACTGTGCCGTCTACTGTGATCAAACCGCCTGGGGAAAGGGTCTGTCCGCCAATAATGTATGTGTCACCTGATTTGTCAATGCCAGAAATCGTAGTTCCACCAATCACCACATCTGGCAGACTAGTGGCAACCACGGGATTCAAGGCTTGTGTAACACCGTTGATAACGAGTGCGGTGGCTCCAGGTGCCAGCGAAATGACTGTTCCATCGGCCGAGATCGAGCCGCCGGGTGTAAGGGTCTGTCCTCCAATCTTGTATCCGATACTGCCACCGACTACTTCCGGGGCAACGGTACTACCACCAATTGTAAGAATGGGCGGAGAGGTGCTGAATGGATATGAGGTATCCAATGAAGAAGCAACTCCGTTGAAGTAAACTGTGTTGTCGGCAGCATTGAGTGAGACAGTAGTGCCATCTACGAGAATGACACCTCCAGGAGTTAGAACTTGACCACCGACAATGAACGACGTTCCATCCACAGCAGGGTATGGGGTGCCGGCGACAGTTATTAAAGGTTGGCCAACGATGCCGACACCAGCTCCGACTGCTCTTGTGACGCCATCCACGACAAGGTTGTTGGCGCCGCTGTCCAACGAAATTGTCGTACCGCTGACCACAACGGATCCCCCCGGCGTAAGTGTTTGTCCAGCAATCAGGAAGGTCGGTGTGGCACCAGCTGCGAAAGCTGGATTGGGTGCTGGAGTAATCAGGGCCGAAGGGAATGTTTGCGTTGCACCACCGACAACAACGTAGCTTGCCGACGGTCCGAGGCTCACAACAGTACCATCCACTGTTACAAGACCACCGGCAGTCAGCGTCTGACCAGGTGCGAGGTAATATTGCGTTGCAGCATTGGCCGTATATGCGACGGAACCAACAGTAATGATCGGAGGTCTTCCTATCTCGGCCGGCCCTTGGCCCTCTACGATCGAGCTTCCTGAAAGACTGGACTCTTGTCCATTGATGACAACTGCTGTTGCAGACGGTGCCAGGGAAAGGACCGTACCGTCCACGGTGATGGCCGGGCCTCCAGGAGATAGAGTTTGCCCGCCAATAACAAACTCCGAAGAGGAATCCATGGTAGCAGTTTGGGACCCTGCAACAATGATTGGTGGGGAATTTTGCGAGTTGCCACTGGAGCTTCCCGCCCCAGAGCCGTCGCTAGAGGAGCCTGAAGTCGAACCGGAACCGGCACCGGAATCGGAGCCGGAACCAGAGTCTGAGTCAGACGAGCCCGGGCCGGAACTGCCAGAAGAAGATCCAGACCCACCATTTGAAGACTCAGTAGCTCCGTTTGAAGATTCAGAGCCTCCATTCTCCGATCCTGAACTTTCGTTTGAGGAACCTCCGTTTGAGGACCCAGACCCAGAACTAGAGCCGCCAGTATCCGAGTTGCTTGGTTCAGAACCACCAGATCCACTTCCAGAGCCCGAGCCCCCGGATTCTGAGCCGCTCGATCCCGAGCCTTCCGATCCTGATCCTCCCGACCCCGAGCCGCTGTTCTGAGAACTTCCACCGGATGACGAACCTCCATTCTCATTGGCTTGGGAGACAATGGCAGAAATGATCTGACCAAGACCAGGAACACCGCCTCCATTGCTTGTACTATCGCCGCTATTCTGGTTCAAACGAGTTGCGGGGGCCGTTGTAGCACTGTTACCGCCAGGGGCAGCCTGAGTTGTTCGACCTGCTGCTGTAAAAGACGATTTAGTATTAAATAACACAACAGTAGGGAGGCCAAATTCTGATACAGCCGACTCTATGTGGGCAATGTAATCGTTATAAGTTCTAGTATGAAACTTCACTATACCTTTGCTTGTGGAAGGTGGTAGGTCTTCTTCCACAGACGATTCGACATGTGCTTTGGGCCTGTATGTCGAGGAGGAGGCAACAGTGATAGTCGGAAGTTCGAGTTGTTCAACCGAGGACTCGACGTGGCCAACGAAAGGCGTCCATGGCGTACCGTACATGAGATGGACGATGTAGATAATCGTGACGGGGCCCTGGTAAGTCCCTGCAACGCAGCTTGATTGGGGAATCGACTGCAAGAAGTCATCCGGAATCGGCCCGGAAGCCTCAACGGTGTCGCCCAATTTATCTCCAGTGTACTCATACGCATACGGCGCTGACAAGTCGTACGACGTGACGGATGTCTTGCACGATACTTTCCCAAAGGCATCGATAACTGGCTCGGCCTTCTCTACTTCGTAGCTCGAATAAGCGACAAACGGCGTCCCAGAAGCAGCCACGAAGACGGTGCTCGACGGACCAGTGAAGGCAATGCTAGCAGGAGGAAGGTCGCTCCAGAGCGAGTCAATGATATTCTGCTGTGTAAGCGGCGTTGATGGGATGGGCGAGTACTCAGTCATGGACATGACGGTGGTGGTAGCTGCGGCCGGCATGGGCAGAGTGATGGCAAACAAATCCCATGTGGTCTGATTGGTTGCGGGATCCCATGCTGAAGTGAGGTCGTAGGACATGAGGCCATCTTGCACGGACTTAACCAGGTCGAATGTTGTGGTTGCTGTCTGGTATTCCCAAGTGACGCCTGTTCCAGAAGCTATGGAGAAGAAAGTGACAATATCGAAATACTGGTCTAAGGAGTACCAGTACCCGATTTCAGCACCGCGAACGTTGACAGTACAGCCACAGGTGCCATTGCTGGAATCATTGCTAGGCTTCACATAGGTTGGCGTGGCTGGAGTGGCGGTGGCGACTGGTAGATTGCCTGTGCCGGTGACGTAGAGAGGCGTCGAAAGAGTGAAGACAGTGAGCGTTGGATATGTTTGGCTGGAATTTGAGGTTGCCAAGCTCGACTGGTTACTGGGGGGCGCACTTGGCGAAGCAATCGGCAATCTGGTGGTTGAGTTGAATGCATCATCTGCAGCCACGTTGGTGGGGGCCGAAACAGGCGTGTTTGAAGTGTGTACAGGCGTTTGAATGCTGGCAGAGGAGTTGTCTACGAGCACGCTAACTGGAGAAGAAAGGGGCGTGACTGGACTGTACACAGGCGTATCAAAATGTTCATTGGCCGGGCTTGTCACGGAGGAATTTGCTGCCACTTGGGTGCTTGGCAGCTCCACCGAAGAGGAAGGCGGCGTCGCTGAAGGAGTCTGGACAGCAACGGCGGGCGAAGCTATGGATGTCTCCGGCAATAACGAGGTGGAACCGACAACGATGGATGAGTTCCAGGCTGAGGAGTGGGTTAGCTAGGCCTGACGGACAGAAGAGTGTGGAGGAGAGGACTACCGCTAGAAAGCTGGCCGGGATTCCTGACTCGGTTCCGGCTTGCGCACGCAGCGCCGCAGAACTGCAAGGCAACGAGGGCCTGCCAGGCACGAAGCAGCAGCATGTCGCACCGGCGATCAACGAGAGACGGGGAAGAAGAGCAACATGGACACAACGGCAGGTCAGATTGTGTAAGTAGGCACGGCGGGCTCAGCTGGCTGCATGAAAGAGGCAGCAGCGTAGATTGCCATGACTTGTGCTGCTGCGGCTTGCGCACTGAAACGGTGGAGGGAAGCCGCGAGCGGGATCTTCATGCTCTATTGCGCAGCCAGTGAGAGGGCGACGGCGTAGCATCAAAGCGCGGGTCCCCTGTCAATCGGCGCGCATCCTCGCAGCCTAGAACAGCGTGTCGGGTCAGCGTGCGGTGTTTCACCCGGAGAGGCCGCCGCCGGCACGCTGGATGACGACCTCTCCCAAGGGACGTTTTGCTCGTATCTGCAGCTCGCCATGCGCCGCTGGACTGTGGAGTGGCGTGGCCGAACAAGCTCCCGTCTGAACTCGCAGGACACCGGGCTAGCGCCACCCCGGCCGCCCGCCCTGCGCTATCCCGGCCGTCGGTCTCGCAATCTCAACGTGGTCTAGCCACGCAGATGCGCCTGTAACCCAGCGCGGCCTGTAAAGGGTCCAGCTGCCGCGCCCAGCTACCACCCTGCGAAGTCCGTCGCACGAGTCGTCGAACGCCAGCGGGGATGAGGCGGCGTTCCGAGCCCGAAGGAGCGCGATGGCGCCCGCCCGACGGTGCGATTGGGCCTCATATAGCACCGCACCGGCCGGCGCTGATGATGGCGCTGGCCAAGTGAGGAGAGCGTCGGCACTGGTGAGCCGCGTCAAGAACCTCGGGGCCCCCCGCGCCGACAGTAATCTCTCTGAAGCTCGTCGCAAAAAGTCTGTCAGCCTCCGTCCCACGACGTGCATGAAGCCATTGGAGCATACGCAACCACACAGCCGCCTCCGCGACCAAAGCCCGAACTAAGCCACACCACGCCTATCCGCCCGCCGCCCTCTCCCGTTCGCCTCCACCTCGACTTGCCAGTGCGACCCGCCTTTCGTTCCTGACTTTTGCGCGAACCTGTACCACAATGCGCGCTTGTCCGTCCCTCTAGCAGCGCAAGAGACCCACAGGATACCATGACAGCAAACTGCCGATTTCCTCTCTGCTGCCTCCATCGAAGCATCGATCCTGCACCGACATGATGACCCTTCGACGCGCCTGCAGATGGGCGCTGCCCTTTTCGCCACTCGCTCTTCTCGCATTCCTTCCTTCCGTGTGTGACTCTTCCGCCGTTGAGACTCGTGCCACCGACCTGGCACCCATCGTCTTCACTCCGGATCAGAACTGGGACGGCATTGATGGACAGTGGTCCTCTTTCACTTTGCGCGTCGGCACTCCCCAACAGTACGTGCGCGTCTTTCCGGCGACATCCAGCCAGCAGATATGGGTCGTCAAACCCGAAGGCTGTGCCTACACCGACGACACCAGTTGCGCATCCGATCGCGGATGGGTTTTCAACATCTCGGATTCCTCCACTTGGGAAAGTATAGGGAACTACTCGACTTGGATAGAGCGGAATTTGGGATACGATGCCGCTGCCATGTATGGTTATGAGGTTGTGGGTTTAATGGGGCAGGGTGAGAACGGGCCCACGCTGGACAATGCTACCGTTGGTGCCATGATGGACCTGGATTTTTTCCTTGGTGTATTTGGTCTACACCCCAAGCCGACGAATTTCAGCTCCTTCAACAATCCGTCGCCAAGCTACATGACACTGCTCAAGGAACAAGAGCTCATTCCCTCGCTGTCGTACGGGTACACTGCAGGGAATCCATACAGTACGGATGCCAACGCCCAGTTTCGCTTCGTAATTTACTAATCTGATTTCAGGGTTGAACAAGGTCCTGGGAAGCCTTACCCTGGGAGGCTACGACGCATCCCGGTTCACTCCGAACAACATGAGCTTTACTTTCGCACCGGACAATGAGCGGGATGTTGTGGTTGGCCTGCAAGCAATCAGCATGACCTCTGCAACCCAGTCCAATGTCGATCTCCTGCCAACTTCTGTCACCATGTACATTGACTCGACAGTGCCGCAGATTTGGTTGCCTGTTGATGCTTGTAAACGTTTTGAGGAGGCTTTCGGATTGACGTATGACAACGATACCGAGCTCTACCTTGTGAACGACACTTTGCACGACACCTTAGTAGCCGAGAACGCCAACGTGACATTCACACTTGGGCAGACGACAAACGGTGGCGAAACGATTGACATTGTCCTTCCGTATGCCGCTTTCGACCTCACGGCCCAGCCGCCCTACCGCGGCTTATCTGAAAGCACCTCGTATTTTCCTATCCGGCGGGGTTACAACGATAGTCAGTATGTCTTTGGCCGCACCTTTCTCCAGGAGGCATATATCGTTGTGGACCACGAGCGCTCCAACTTTTCCGTCTCTCAATGCGTCTTCGGACTTGATATTCCTCAAAACATTACCACAATCTACTCCCCGAACGGCACGTCCATTTACGAGGAGGAAGACACGCAAGGCGCGCTTTCGACGGGGGCAATCGCAGGTATCGCGGTGGGTGGGGTGGTCGCAATCCTTGCAGTGCTGTCTCTGATCGGCCTGTTCTACTGGAGAAGACGCTACCGAGCGTTGAAGGCTAAGCTCGGATCGGACAAATCAGGGCCAGTGAGCAGCGGCGATGGCTCGAGCGAGGCCCAGGCAGCAGCGAGCCGAGGCGAGGAATCCACATTGGTGATACCAAAGGCGGAGCTAGACGCCACCCCCAGCGCCAGGGCAGAAAAAGACCAGAAGCAGGAGCAGCTGTATCCGTCCGAGGTCGAGGCGCACGAGCAGCAGATTTTCGAAATGCCGGGCGACTATCCCAAGGCCTCAGAGGCAGACTCGCGGCAGCTGTCCGAGAAGCAGGCGATGATGTACAGAGAGCAGAAGTATAACGGGACGGATCCAGAGCCGTCGCCGACAACACCCACAGCGCCCGATCGGCCACGGCCGTCGCCGGTCAGGCCCGAGGAGGTAAAGCGGGTCATTCACACAGGAGACCTTCCGGTGTCGCCTCTCACGGCGGAGGGTGAGCACGGCAGAACATTTTCCCCGCTCTCGCCACTGGGTGGTGGATCGTCGAGCGGCGGGCCAAGCCCGTCTCGACGGCGATTCTCGTTCGAAGAGTAGCGAATTTTTTGTTTATGATTTTAGCGATGGCGTTCTGGACCACGATCTGGGAAGTTGCGGGTTTCAGGTAGGGCTAATACCAAGAGAACAATCGGCACGGGGTCGGAGCAGTAGGACAAATAATGGATAATGGGGCGGATGTATTGACGCTTTTGTTCCGGTTGGCGAGAGTGGGGGCCAGAGCTGCCTCAGACTTTGGCAGGGCCTTGGCTGCGTGCTGACGGCTGACAGCCACGCTGGCCTTTTTTTAATCCAGGCGAGGGGCCTTACCCGCATGCAGTAGGCGGATCGCTGCGAGCTTGGGCACCGGGCAGGCGGGCAGGATGGTTTGGCTCAGCTGCTGCTGCGGTGGGCGGTGCAGGCGAGGCCGCGGCGTTAGGGCTGCGGCAGACATGGGTTGCTACGCGCCGACCCACACTGAGCAGAGACCCCTCAGCCTGCTCTCCGCTCGCCGTCGACAAAGACACAGCCCTGTGTGCCTCGCTGCGCATTCCCGAAGACCCCTTTGTGCTTCCTCCCGCGTGCCTGCCTTTTCTCCACGCTCGGCCGCGCCTGTTGACCGGGTTCCCGCGCCCTCGCTCGCAGCTGCCCGCCTATCTCGCGACAGCCCACCTCCAGACGAGACGCGCAACCGCAAGCGCCCCGACGCCATCCCGCCGCCGTCCAACTCGCTCGCCCCAGCGTAAATTGACCCGCTCTGTTCATTGCGCGTCTTCTGCTTCTTACCCTCGCTCCAGCCCCACGGCGTCGACTGCTCCTACCGAACCCATTACCCCGCCATCCGCCACGCCGCGACCATGACCGACCTCCAGGGCCGCAAGATCTTCAAGGTCTTCAACCAGGAGTTCATCGTCGATGAGAGATACACCGTGACGAAGGAGCTGGGCCAGGGTGCCTACGGTATCGTCTGGTACGCGCGCCGCCGCGCCCCGCCAGCACTGTAAACATTGTGTTAACCGCTCGCAGCGCGGCGCAGAACAACCAGACCCAGGAGGGCGTCGCCATCAAGAAGGTCACCAATGTCTTCAGCAAGAAGATCCTGGCCAAGCGTGCCCTCAGAGAAATCAAGCTGCTGCAGCACTTCAGAGGTAAGTCGGCGCGCGCCTCGCTTGAGAGACATCAGCCGCTGACACAACTGCAGGCCACAGGAACGTACGTGCGGTCCACAGCCGGTCGAACTGAGCAATACTGATGGGTTGGCGTGCTAGATCACCTGTCTTTACGACATGGACATTCCCAGGCCCGAGAACTTCAACGAGTGCTATCTCTACGAAGGTACGAGCCCTGCCACTGGCCTGCCGCGATCCGAGCTGATGGAGAAACAGAGCTGATGGAGTGCGATCTGGCCGCCATCATCAGGTCCGGCCAGCCTCTCACCGATGCCCACTTCCAGTCCTTCATCTACCAGATCCTGTGCGGACTGAAGTACATCCACTCGGCCAATGTCCTCCACCGTGATCTGAAGCCCGGCAATTTGCTGGTGAACGCCGACTGCGAGCTGAAGATCTGTGACTTCGGTCTTGCCCGTGGCTTTTCAATGGACCCGGAGGAGAATGCGGGATACATGACCGAGTACGTCGCTACTCGCTGGTACCGTGCGCCTGAGATCATGTTGAGCTTCCAGAGCTACACGAAAGCCAGTAAGTTTCAGCCGCTCCCGCTTGTGCAACATGTGGATTCTAACTGCTCCAAGTCGACGTTTGGTCGGTTGGCTGTATCTTGGCGGAGCTGCTTGGCGGCAAGCCCTTCTTCAAGGGCAGGGATTATGTCGACCAGCTGAACCAGATCCTGCACTATCTCGGTACGCCGAACGAGGAGACCCTGTCCAGGATTGGCTCTCCTCGTGCCCAGGACTACGTCCGCAACCTTCCCTACATGCCGAAGGTCCAGTTTGCTCAGCTTTTCCGCAACGCCAACCCCGATGCCCTCGACCTTCTCGACCGCATGCTGGCCTTTGACCCATCGCAGCGCATCTCGGTCGAGGAGGCGCTTGAGCACCGCTACCTCCACATCTGGCACGATGCGTCGGACGAGCCTTCGTGCCCCACCACGTTCGATTTCCACTTTGAGGTTGTCGAGGACATTGGCGAGATGAAGAAGATGATCTTGGCCGAGGTGCAGAGGTTCAGGCAGATGGTTCGTGTGCAGCCGCAGGCTGGTGTGCACCCCCAAAACCAGCAGCCCGCGGTACCGATTCCGGAGCACTACGACCCCAGGGCCTACGAGAACCCCAGGCCTCAGGAGGCGCACGCTCCCCTACACGACATGGGACTTGAGCAGGAGCTGCAGGCCGGCATGGATAGGAGAGCATAGATGGAATCAGCCGGACATCTGTTTTGGAAATAGCGAGAAGGGACTTGCTTGGCTTTTTATCTCAACCAATTGTGTTTCTTCTTCATTATTCCTTTAGCGAGCTGCTGCTTTGCAATCAGAGCCAGTCGCCTTGGTGTGCATTGGTCGCGAGGCCGGTTTTTGCGGTCCGAAAGACGAGAGTAAATGTCAATTCTACGATGCGAGCGTTCATCCAGTCCCCCACATCTGGCCATCTGCGACTCCACAATCACCCCGCCGCGGAAAGTATGCTGACGTCGTTGTGCCACGCCATCCGCGATTGCTATCGAAATCGTCGGTTCGATCATTGGGACTCTGATTATGCGGTTCAGTGGGGCTCCTTCGAGCGGGCTCATGCTTCTGACATCATCATCACTATTACATCATCCAGGCGTAGAGAGAAGGGAATAAGTACCTCTACTCCAGCTAACAGCTGCCATATTCTCCTCATCACTTCACTCAAACAACCTCTGCGATACCCAATTGCGCAAAACCTCCATCTTCCTTTTTCCAAACCCGTCGAAACACTATCAACAACCTCGACTTCGAATCTGTCATCATGTCTGCTGAGTACAAGGGTCAGGACATCAACAAGCTTGCTGAGCAGGCTGAGAAGGACCTCAACAGTCACGCCATGAAGACTGGACACGACAACAACCCCTCTGCTAGACACGGCAAGGGTGCCTCCGTTAGCAGTATGTTCCCCCGAACGATATGCATCTCCATTGACAAACAGCGATGAGCGTAAGCTGACGGCGCCATCACAGCCGAGGAGTCCGGTGTCGACCTCAACCGTGCCGAGCGGTTCCCCGGTGCTGAGGTGATGTATGGTTCGGCGGCCACTGGCCGTGAGATCCCCGTCGAGCATGGTGGTGACTTCCAGAAGGGCACCGGCCGGTAAGTGGTATTCAAGCTCTGTACCCAACCTAAAATGGAGAATGCTAGTGCTAACATGCCATCAGCCCGACCAAGGACTACGACTTCGAGGGTCCGGGTGGTCCCGAGGACAAGAGGCGCATCTACAGCGAGCAGAATCCTGGTAACGCCGACGTCTTTGAGAACGTCCGCCAGGCTCCTGGCCACGAGCCTAAGGCATAAATGGAGGCTTCGACCCGATACCGCGTTTGCATTGAGGCATTGAGTGCTGAAAAGATACGGAATACGACATGAATGGATGATATGGCCATTGTATTATTAGTGGGATCAGTTAATAAGAACGACATTCGACTTCTGAGCACATTTCAACGAAGGTCTCGCCGGAGCAAGTCGGGATCGCCGCAGGTTTCAGGTCTCGAAGTTATAGGGGATTGCGGCGGCACATGTGAATGGTGTCTGATTCAGTGGCTCGCGCTCAAAATATTGATCGCCGGGATGCACCCCCGCAGTAGCGCACAGGCCCCTCCACACCTTTTTACTCACATCTCGCACCATCCGCTTCCAGACGCATGCGTCGAAATCTGATGAAGAGGGCTGTGGCAATGGCACCGTCATGTCAATGATCGAATTGTTGCATATCGCAATGCTCTCCTGACCAGGTTGATTCAGCAACACGTTACGAGATGTTCGGTTTAGAGACAGGTAACGCACCGAGTGGGACCAGCTGCTGATCCTCGCAAGGCGAGCCACTACTTTGCGGTCTAAAGCAGCCTCACCGGCTGTAGGCAACGTTCCCGCTCCCGCTTGCGACCGTTCAGGGCAACGCTATCGACGTCGTCCCGACTTGCAACGAACGTCTGCCCACGCCAGCCTTTCCGTCGCGCCGCCCCTTTCATCCGGAATGGTGCCATGTGTTTTCTCTGCCGTCAGCTTTCCATTACTCCAGCCGCGGGTAACGGCAGGCTAGGCACGTGCATCTTACGAGGCCTCGCGGCCCCCAACCGATTCTCACAGTTGAACAACTCGCGCGATTCACAGGTGCATTGCCGAATCGAGGCAAAGAAGCTGTGGACCCTCGTGCCAAGAGGTCTTACTTCCGGACAGACCCCCTAGATGCCGCCTAGGCGCTGCGGCAACTACGCCGAACGCATGCTGGATACCACCTCAGTCAGGGCTTAGTGAGCGAACCTGCAGCGGAGCTTATTCCCCACGCCGTAAGCGCGCGACCCCGCCATGGGAGCTCGTCTTTTTTTTCACGTTGCTTCTGACCTGGTTTGCGGAAGGTGTAAGTGCGAAGCGGGTCAATTAGTCCCTCTTATCTCAGCACTCGATCATGGGACGCCCAAATGCTCAACAACACTAGCATTCTATAACGGGAAAAGAGATGACCAAGAACGACGCATGAATTACCCATCAGGTGGTGGCGACGACTGGGTCGAGAAGAACGCCCACGTCCTTTGATGGTCCCTGATGTGGTGAGCGATTCAGTGCCGCTGCAAGGTGACCCGCGCTACGTTTCGACGGCGCGTCCTTGGGCCATCCTGCGGGAACGCCAACCCACCGCGTGTTCTGGCAGATAACGCTGCAATTGGCGCCTGTTCAGGACAATGTGGTAAGGACAGGGTTCATCTTTCTTTGCTTCTCCTATTGCTTGGCCGTACCCACCCATGCGATACATCATGCAGGGAGGGGCAACGCCGCATGCATGGCGGGGTGCTAGCTAGCTCTCCCTCCTCCCCTGGGAATGGACTGCCTATTTATTCGGCCAGTCCTGCTCACTGACTTATGGTCTCTAGCTTCGGTTCCTTCCTTACGAGCTGCTGGTGATCACTTTAATCCTCCTCGATAATTCATTCCAACACTCTCCGCCACCATGGGCTCTGGAATTGAGAAGTACGATTTTATTATCGTCGGCAGTAAGGATCCCCCGCCATTGGCCTCTCCACCTCTCAATTGCCTTGCTAACAATTGATTCCTTCCCACAGGCGGGCCTGCCGGCGCGACGCTGGCCTCGCGACTGTCGCGGACGGCGGCGGCACCGCGCGTGCTGCTGCTCGAGGCGGGCGGGCCGAACGCGGTGCCATCCAAGCTGTACCTGGCGGACCGGTTCACGACGCTGATGACGGACGGGATGAACTGGGGGTACAAGACGGTGCCGCAGGAGCACCTGAACGGGCGTGAGGTCGACTACTCGCGCGGCAAAGGGCTGGGCGGGTCGTCGGGCATCAACTTTGCGTGCTACACGGTGGGTCCCCGCGACGACTACGAGGAGTGGGCGGCGCAGGTGGGCGACGAGGCCTACGGCTGGGAGGCCGCGCGCCGCCGCTACGACGCGCTCGAGGCCTACGACATCAACGTGCCCGAGAAGTTCAGGAGGTTCATCGACCCGAAGAAGAGCGCGCACGGCGACAAGGGCCCGCTGCAGATTGAGTTCGCAAAGGGCTGGGAGTGGAGCATCGAGGAGAACTTCCAGGCCGCCGACCAGGCCATCGGCCTCAAGCCCAACCTCGATATCAACTCGGGAAACCCCATCGGTATCGGTGTTGTGCCGGCAACGTCCAAGAACAGCATCAGGAGCACGTCCAAGACGGCCATGCTGGAGAATGCGCCGAGCAACTTGACCATCCTGACGGACAAGCCGGTGGAGAAGGTCGTGTTTGAGGGCAAGAAGGCCGTGGGTGTGGTGGCCAATGGAGAGACTTGTGAGTTTGGATCACTCAATTGGCAGCATGCCCTTTCTGACACTTCAATACAGACCTCGCCTCGAAGGAAGTCGTCCTTTCCGCCGGTGCTCTCGACACGCCCAAGATCCTCCTCCTCTCCGGCGTCGGTCCTTCGGCCGAGCTGTCCAAGCACTCGATCCCGCAGGTGCACGAGCTGCCCGGCGTGGGACAGAACCTGCAGGACCACGCGTTCGTGGCGCTGGTCAAGGAGTTCCAGTCGGGCCTGAACGGGCGGCCGCAGCTGTTCAACGACGCGGAGAAGCTGGAGGCGGCGCGCAAGCAGTTCGCGGCGGACCAGACGGGCCCGCTGTCGGTCTACTACAACACGCTGCTGATGGGCTGGCAGCAGGCGCCCGAGGTGCACGCGAGCGCCGAGTTCGAGGCACTGCCGGACAGCGTCAAGTCGCACCTGCGCAAGCCGACGGTGCCGACGTTCGAGCACATCTGCCTGTGCCCGGCCATCCACCCGCTGGCCGACCCCAACGGCGAGTTCCTGAGCATCCTGTCGATGCAGATGGCGCCGCAGAGCACGGGCACCGTCACCCTCGCCAGTGCCGACCCGCGCGCGCCGCCCCGCTGCGACCCCAAGCTCTTCTCGCACCCCTTCGACCGCCGCAACATGATCGAGGCCGTACGCCGCAGCTGGCGCGTCATGGAGGCCGAGCCGCTCGCCCGCCACGTCGTCGCCGACACGGCGTTGCCCAAGGACAAGAGCGACGACGAGATCTGGAAGTACATCCAGGCCTACTGCGGCACCACCTGGCACATGACCGGCACCGTCAAGATGGGCAAGCCCGAGGACCCCGCGTCGTGCGTCGACTCGGCCTTCAAGGTCAAGGGCCTCGAGGGCCTGCGTGTTGTGGATAACTCGGTGCCGCCGTTCGTGCTGAACTGCCACGTCGTGAGCGTGGCCTACTTGGTCGGCGAGACCGCGGCCGAGAAGATGATTGCCGAGTATGGGTTCTGAAGGGCGTGATGATTGTGGGGTAATTTTAGTACATGATATACCAGAATGCGCAATGAAATATTGAAATTTGTCCTCTCAATTGGCGGTCTGATGGCATTTGTGAAGAAAAGAGGAAAAAGAAAAACAGGCTGGGTTATGGAGGCCTGTTCGACGTTGCAGTTTCCTTGTCTGGATTCTTGGCCATTCTTGTCCCACTTTTCAGCGTTCCCCACTCAGGGGCAGCCCCATCCTTACCTTTGCCTTCGGCCTATTCGTGGTCTAATAGATATAAGCTTTGAGAATGGGGTTGGTTCTTTTCCTCCTTAGCTTCTCTTGCTGTTCGGCATTTATTTTGTGCGCCAGGTGGTCGAGGAGAAGATCCGAGATTGGGCTTGGTGGGAGGCTGTCTCGGTTGCTGTCGGCATAGGCATATTCTTTTTGTTGCTTTTATCAAGTTGGCCTGGAATAATATAGAAAGCTGAGCTTAACATTGTGAAGTGTTGAAGATGTCGTTGATTGGCGGTTAGTTCTGCAGCTAGTTCGACCAGGCAAACGTTTCGATTATGGTTGTTCAAATACCTCCTACTGCATGCTTGGTCATAGCTGAAAATAGGATATGACGTCGGAGCCTTTGTACATACAGAACGCATGCACACGGAGGGCAGATGCCGATCGGATTTCCTATCTGGGTAGGTGATGTGCAGATGTCATGTGCTTACTTTGGTTTAAATATGCTCAACATTCTTGCTTCGCACTTGCGAGGTACATGTGCTCCTTCAGGATCAATAAAGCTTGTCATTCCGCGCTGCATTCCGAGCAAAAGGAACGTAAGTGTAAAAAGCATTGATAATAGGCGTCGGCTAGAGAGCTTTCGTTTAAACGTGCATGGGTGTAATCCTCGGTAGCGAGAGCCGTACACCACTATTCGCGCACTAAACAGCTTGCTGGCGAATCTTTGCGCGGAGATGCACACTATCGGCTTGGGTTGCGATGACTGTTGTTTGGTTGGCTGCTTAGTCACAGCTTTCGCGGGCCTCCACTCATCGATAATCCTCTCGTCGCCGAACACCGAGACCGCGCTCCACCTATCAGCGCGACCTTGAATGCCGCGATAAAATTGCTAACCCTCCCCCGCATACGGATCATGCCCGCACCTGATGGCCGGTTGAGCACAAGAATCGCGAGCTAGTGCTCCTCCAGATCCTCTGCCACCATGGCCGGACACATTGTGCGCGCCCGCGCCCAGGCACTGCGCACTCGCAGCATCGCCGCCAGACGACCGCACATCCTCGGTGGCAAGCTCGTCCCGCCAACCCCAACCTACCGATCTATTGCCACGCGCAGGATCACGACCGCTGCTGTGGCACCTGAGCCCGGCCTCGAGGTTCCGGGTGCCCAGGTCGAGTTTCCGCCGCCGCCGCAGAGCCGCAGAGATGCGATCAAGCAGGCAAAGCCCTTCTCGGAATTTTTGACCGACACCTTCAATCGCCAGCATGACTACCTGCGTATCAGTATCACTGAGCGCTGCAATCTGCGCTGCCTGTACTGCATGCCAGAAGGTACGTTGCTTTCACCCGCCTGCAGAAGTCAGAAAAAAAAAGTGCCACGGCTAACAACTACGTCACACAGAGGGCGTCCCACTCTCCCCGCCGGACCACCTGCTGACGACCCCCGAAATCTTCTACATCTCGTCGCTCTTCGTGTCCCAAGGCGTCAACAAGATTCGGCTGACCGGCGGCGAGCCCACGGTGCGCCGCGACATCCTCCCTCTGATGCAGTCCATCGGGTCGCTCCGCTCCAAGGGCCTGCGCGAGCTGGCCATCACAACGAACGGCATATCGCTGCACCGCAAGCTGGACAGCATGGTGGAGTCGGGCTTGACAGGCATCAACCTGAGCCTGGACACGCTGGACCCGTTCCAGTTCACTATTATGACGCGGCGCAAGGGCTTCGACGCGGTCATGAAGAGCATAGACCGGGTGCTGGAGATGAAGCGGCTGGGCGCGCCGGTGAAGCTCAAGATCAACTGCGTCGTCATGCGCGGCATGAACGACCGCGAGATCGTGCCCTTCGTCGAGCTGGGCCGCGAGAAGGACATCGAGGTGCGCTTCATCGAGTACATGCCGTTCGATGGGAACAAGTGGAACCAGAAGAAGATGATGTCCTACCAGGAGATGCTGGACGTCATCCGCGCCAAGTACCCGGACGTGCGCCCCGTCAAGGGCCACAAGAACGACACGAGCAAGACGTGGGAGATTCCCGGCTTCGTCGGCAAGATTGGGTTCATCACGAGCATGACGCATAATTTTTGCGGTACTTGCAACAGGCTGCGCATCACGAGTGACGGTAACCTGAAAGTCTGCTTGTTTGGCAATACCGAGGTCTCGCTGCGCGATATCATGAGGAAAGATAACGACGGCAAGCCGATTGACCAAGAGGCTTTCGAAGCTATCAAGGAGGTTGAGATGAACAGGCAACAAGGTCTTCTGAGTGAGAGTTCAACCCCCGGCTGGAGTGAGCGGGAGCGCGAGCTCCTTGAAGTCATTGGCGCTGCTGTTAAGCGTAAGAAGGCAAAACACGCCGGAATGGGGGAGCTCGAAAACATGAAGAACAGGCCTATGATTCTAATCGGTGGGTAACGGTTTCTCTCGTCTGCAAAGTGATTTTTCTTTTGACAATGTTGGATTGCACATGAGCCACGAGTTTTCTGGTCTTAGGATACTACCAGGGAGCGGCATCTGGCGGCGTTCATATCATGTTCACGTATCCAGAGGGGGCACCCTCATCCAATGCACTACTGTCGCTGTTGAATCGAAGCTGTTCCCATATCCCAACTGCTTACCCAATCGTGCGAAGTGAGAAACGCTCGCTAATCCATTTCGCAGACGAACAACATTCCAGACGCTCAATTTTGGGTGCTCAGTATAAGGCCAAAGCGCCAGCACGTCCAGGTGTATCAAACACATCACAACCATGGAAATCAATCCCAACTCATCTCCTCGGTGCGGCATCATCAAGAATGGGAATCAGATATTTCTCATCCTCCAGCCGCAAGGTTTCCCCTAAGGGATGGCCCAACGAAGAAGAGTTCGACGATGAAGATCCTTTCAACCAACAGAAGGAAGAAGAAAATGAGCAGCGGCCCATCAAACTCACGCACGTCAACCAAAACGGCACGGCACACATGGTGGCGGTAGGCAACAAGAGACCGACGCACCGCACCGCCTTCGCCGTCTCGACGGTGCGCTTCTCCAAGCCCGAGCCGCTCCGGCTCATCAAGCAAAACGCCATCAAAAAGGGCGACGTGCTCAGCGTGGCGCGCATCGCCGGCATCATGGCGGCCAAGCAGACGCCGACCATCATCCCGCTGTGCCACAACATCGACATCACCCACGCCGAGGTCGAGGCCGGCTTGATCGAGCCACCGGCTGAGAACTCCAGCACCGCCCCACGAGACGACGCCAACGAAGAAGAAGACCTCGACGAAGAACCCTCCCCCCTCACCCACCACCGCCCCGACTCCCGCGCCCGCCTCTACTCGACCTCGCACCTTTCCCCGGGCGACCCGCGCGCCGTGGCCGACAGCGCCGCGTACCCCTTCGGCGGCGTGCTGCTGACGGCGCGCGTCGAGACGACGGGCCGCACGGGCGTCGAGATGGACGCTCTGCACGCGGCATCCGCCGCCGCGCTGACCGTCTACGACATGTGCAAGGCCGTCGACAAGGCCATGTCGCTGCAGAACGCCCGCGTCGTGCTCAAGACGGGCGGCAAGTCGGGCGACTGGGTCGACGTGGGGTGGTTGTTCGCGCGGGCGGGCGTGGTGAGGAGTGGGCGGTTGGAGGGGTTGATGACGACGACGGCCGGGGCGGTGGATGAGGGGGTGAGGAGGGCGGTTGTGGAGGCGGCGGAGGAGGGTGAGGGGGGTGGGTTGGCGAGGCGGGAGTGGAAGAAGTGCTATCGCGTGCTGACCCGCTCCGGGTGGGAGCCCGAGAAGGCGATGCAGTTGCTCAGTTGGATCCCGCGTAAGGCGTATTCGCCGGCGGCGATCGAGAATGGTGGCGCGGAGGGGGTTGAGGGGGAGGAGGGCGTCGCTGCTGCTGCTGCTGCTGAAGCTGAGGCTTTGGAGGAGGAGATGGTGGTGGAGGAAGATGATGCTGAGGCTTTGGAGGAGGAGGAGGGGGAGGAGCTGGTGGTTGATGAAGAAGATGTCGAAGATTTGGAGGAGCTGGCGCGAGAGGATTATGCCACGATTCTCGAGCAACAGCTGATGAAAGAACTTGAAGAACTGGAAAGAGAGGAACTCCTCGACGAAGAAGTTGAGGCCGACGACGTGGAGGAGGAGGTGCTCGAGGACGACGATCAGCCGCCGGTCCCAGCGGGCGCCAAAAACGAGGGGGTGCAGAACGGCAGCGTCGTGCGTCAGGAGGAGCAGCAGCAGCAGCAGCAGAGCGCGAGGGTGAAGGAGGAAAAAGAAGACACAGAGCCTACTCCTCCTTCTACTGCCACTGCTACCTCCTCCGAGACGTCTCCTCCTTCTTCTTCGGCTCCTACCACTGCTACTTCTTCTGCTGGGGTGAATCTCAAGAAGCCGGTAGAAACCACAATGGCGCCGCTCAACGATGCACACATGGCTGACGTCGATTCCAACCAGAACTCACTACTCACGGCGTCGATGATCAGACAACTGTCCCCTCGAGACCTCTTCGCCGACAACGCCAGGTCGAGCGGGAAGCGCCGCGAGTTCCAGACCAAGGCCCAGAAGATCCAGGAGGACGAGGCCGAGGAAGAGGTCGAGGAGGTCAACCAGGAGGTCGATGAGGAGTCCGATCGGGAGTTTGAGAGGGAGGTCAGGCAGCAGAAGAAGGATTACTTCGAGGAGAAGGCGCGAAAGTATAGGGAGCAAAGAAAGTTGAGGCGGAGAGAGAGGAAGGTAGCGATAAAGCAGGAGAAAAGAGACTTGAAAAGAGAGAAGGAACAGGAAAAGAAGAAGCGACTGGCCCAGCTTCTGGCACTGGAAGCAGAAGAGATGCGAAAAAATCAGCTTGAAGCAGAAGAGATGCGAAAAAATCAGCTTGAAGCACAAGCTATCGCAAGGAACCCCTCGGCAAACGTGCTGCAAAATTCGGAGGGAGAAGAAAACGAAGAAGAAGAAGCTGCCATAAGATATCCCTTCTATACAACCACGCCGCGACGTCCGACGCCATCCTTCCACCACGACCCTGATGGCTTCATCGCCGCCGCCGAGAGGCGCTCGAAGGGCGACAGGCCCGACGGCATCGGCTTCGCCCTCCCGCAGGTCCAACCCACACCAGAAGACATCAAAGGGGCACAGAAGTCGCCCGCCTCGACCCAGCCCATGCCCGAACACCTGAAGGACCCGGCGGAGCGCCTGGAGCGGCAGCGCTGGCTGCGCAACGGCATGTGGGACAAGCGCATGGAGAAGCTGGCGGCGCTGGGCCGCGCGGCGGCGGTGGCGCGGCGCTCGCCCAAGTACAGCCCGCACTGGCCGCGGGCGCGCTCGCAGGGCGGCAGGGCCATGGTCACGATCGCGCTCGCGGCCAAGATCGGCGTCCACACGTCGCGGTACGACATCCTGCAGTGGACGCCGCCGGGCTTGGATGATGATGATGTCGAGGCGCTGCAGAAGGTCGGCGAGGAGGAGCTGAGGAAGAGTTGGGAGAGGTTCGTTAAGACTCGGCCGCCGAAGATGACGTGGAAGTACATGCAGCTGCAGAAGGAGGGCGTTGATAAAAAGTACGTACTCAGGCATCGGGTGGTGGATGAAAAGGAGCGGTTGAAGAGGGCGATGAGCCGCGTCGATTACAACGAGTGGTGCCTGTTGACCAACGTCATGGCGAAGAGGCAGAGGAGGTGGGATAGGGAAGCAGGATTCGCTGAAGTAGAAGAACGCGCGCAGGAGGAGACGAGGAAGGTGTTGAGCACTCCTGCTCCTGGGGAGGCCTGGTACGATCATTTGTTGGAGGACATGGAGGATTACGTGAAGGATGACACGAAGGACGAGGGGAAGACGGAAAGCGTGAGCGACGAGAGTAGCAACGCGAGGGAGGATGAGAGTGATGAGTTCGATGAGCTGCAAAACTTGATTGACAAGAAGAGCAAGATGACGACGGAGGGAAAGGAGGGGAAGAAGGGGAAAAAGGGAAAGAAAGGGAAGAAAGGGAAGAGGGGATAAAGGGAGACGAATATGAGGGTTCATGGTAGAGATTCTGTGAGTTGTGTTCATTTGCTTACTGTACGATAGTGTGTTCTGTTGAAAAAAGTGAAAGGTGTTCAATGCGGTGTAAAGAGTAGATTCAGAAGTAGAAAAATATCAGCTCCCTGTATTTGTAGTATAGCCAAGAAGAGGCTTCCTCTCTACAATTTTTTGAGTAAATGAACATGACCCAGGTGTCCTCGGCAGCATTTGCTTCCTTATATACCGGCAATTCCTAATCCAATGACCAGCCCATTTATTTCATCAGGTGAGAGAAGTGTATGTTCCATATGTTCCTTAACCAACCCCCTAGATGCCGAAACATGATGTCATCAAACGAATAAAAGTACACATTACACCGTCAATCCCCAACATATCGCACTGCAAAGCCGCATTTTCCCCCTCACTTCTGCGTCTCGTTGCCCTCAGCGGCCGCAATAATGACGTCGGCGGCCTTCTCGCTGAACATGTACACGGAGGTCGCAATGAAGAAGCCCTGAATGCGCGGCATGGCGCTGGCGTCGACAACGCGCAGGCCGGATACACCCCTGACCCTGAAATCGCCATCCAGCACGGCCATGGGGTCGTCGTCGGCGCCGATGGGGGCGGAGCAGCTGGCGTGGTGGCCCCAGGCCTCGTCCTTGATGAACTGCTTGGTAGCCTCCTCGCCGGCCGGGGGGCGGACGGCCTCCCACTCGCCGATGGTGGGGCTCATGCTATCGTAGATGCGGCGCGAGAACTCGACGCCCTCGTAGACGGCCTGCAGGTCGAGCTCGTCGGCTTGGCCGTCGGTGGTGCCCTCGTCGAAGTAGTGGAAGCTGATGAGCGGCGTGTCAAGCGGGTCGGCGGAGCGCAGGCGCACGGTGCCGGCGCGGTTGCGCGTGTGGGCTTTGAGAGCGAGCCACGACCAGTGGTGGGCGTCGGCGACGGAGACGTTGGAGTAGTTGCGGAAGTAGCCCTTGAAGTTGACGGGCACGCCGAGGAGGATGAGGTCGGTCGGGTCGTCGGTCGCGGCGGTGCTGGACTTCAGGACGGCGGAGAGGGCGAGGCCCGAGGAGCCGTAGAGGCCTTTGAAGGCGGCGTTGTTCTGCCAGCGCTCCAGGCACGGGTCGCCCGGCTTGCCCCAGGTGCAGTCCTCGAGCACGGTGAAGTTGCCGTCGAAGTTGGCCGTCGTGGGGATCTCGTAGCGGTCCTGCAGGTTGGTGCCGACGCCCGGCAGGTCCTTGACGAGCGGGATCGAGTGCGATGCCAGCTCGTCGGCCGGGCCGATGCCGCTGAGCTTGAGCAGCTGTGGCGTGTTGTAGACGCCGCCGGCTACGATGACTTCGCGGGTGGCGTTGACGCTGCCGGGCACGGCGTTGGCGGGCTGCTCGCCGGACGGAGCGGCGCGAGGGTCGGCGCGGTACAGAGACTTGCCATCGAGGAAGTCGACGCCGACGGCACGGGGCTCGCCGGTGGTGGTGTCGTTGTCGAAGCGGATTTTGGTGACGAAGCAGTTGGTGCGGACATCCAGCGGGTACTTGCCCGAGTTGGCCACTTCCAGCACAAACTCGCGCGGTCCGTTGCGGGCATAGTTCTCGATGGCCAGCGGCACCTGGTACAGGTTGACGCTCTGATCGCGCGCCTTGCCGGGGAAGTTGACGTCTTGGAGCAGTAAGCTGGCCAGGCCGGTCACGGTGGTGAGCAGACCCTCGATGACGTTGCGCCCCAGCGCCGTGGCCGTCGCAATGACCATTTGCAGCAGCTTAGCATCCTCCAGCACCAGCGTCAGGTCCGTCGTGCCCGTGGTCAGCCACCCGTCAACTCCGTGCCCGATCAAGTTGTTGCCCAGCAGGTACTCGGCCTTCTCCAGCCGCTGGAAGTACTTGCGCATGTTGGCTGCGTTCCACGATTCGTCGCCCGTCAGCTCCACCATATACTCCCAGTCCTGCTCATGCGGGTAAATGGTGACCATGGCATTGTGCGACCCGCAGCCGCCCAGCGTGCCCGCGCGCGGATACAGAATGCCCTTCATCTGCGCTCCTTCTGGCGGATCCAGCCCAGTGTACAAACTGCCGTCTGGCATGTCGTACGTACACTTGCTGTCGCGTGCCTGCCGCTCGTCGTCGTCGTAGTGCCGCACCCAGAAGTCCCACCGCATTGGTTCGTACTCGCTCGACTGCGCGTGGAAGGCCGGCACCCGCTCCTTCAAATCCTCTCCATGGTCCTCACCAGCCTCGATCAGCAGCGTCTTGTAGCCCGCTATTGCCAGACGCGCTGCCAATGGGCCGCCGCCTGGTCCGGAGCCGACGATGACATATTCGTAGTCTTCAAGGACCGTGGCGCTGGAGTCTTGGCGCGAAGTGTGTTGATGTTGAGGCTCGCTGAAGAGAACATCAGAAAGTGGGTCTTGAAACATGGAAGATCCTTGATCATAAGATAGACTTACACAGCAGCCGCTAGCAATGCGGTTCCGAGTAGAAAGAAACTCTTCACGCCTGTTGTGCGCACCATCTTGAAACGATCGTCGCACTCAGCCCTATGCGCGCAAATACTAAAGGAGAAGCGAATGACTGGGGATGGACGACAGTCACACTTGGCGCTTGGTCAGGAGCAGCGGCAGTCAATCCAGTTATAAGTCGGTGAAAGCAAGCCATCCCCGTCACGGTCCCTTTCTTTTGATCGACATCCCCGCCTCGTCTCGGATGAGACAAATGCTCGCCGCCTTTTATCGGACTGCACGACTTCGGAGAAGCAGTCTTGATGTGGACGTGTGAGTCCATTGGCCCCTTGACGAGAGCGGTAAGGCCCGTGGAATGAAATTGCGCCGTGGCATGCGCCATGCAGGGACAAAAACCTTTTTGCAGGGATTGTTTCTGCCTGGACTCGTCCACTCTTCTCCAGTTGAGGCGAGTATCTGCACAACGGCTTTGGGGGCTGAACCTTGGCCACTTGCCGGCTCCTGCTGCCCGACTCTCATTTCCACATTCGCTCAAGTGTCCCAGATGGTGCCCGAAAACGGCACCCTGCTTGGCAACCGCGTACCCCGGCCCGCACCGATGTCATTCACTTAGGGTTAACGGCGCGCTATTTCCTATAAGCTGTTACCCAAAGCGCATGCAGAATCGTTAAGTAGATTGATCAATCGCGTCATCCGTACGAGCTGATTGGCGGAAACACCGACAAGACCTGCACCATGCAGCCGTTATCACACGCGTCTCTATGATTCGCTCCCATGACTCGCCCAAAATGGCAGCTTCACCTTTTCCAATCCCCGTTCTATCGGCCCTACAGTGCCTGCTTAGCTCGCACTTGGTAGGTACAACGTCTACCCCCATTTATTATCTTGCCACCGCTATTGCAGCCTGATGCGCACGCAACAGGGCCTTCTTTTGGTTCCCTTTCCGCAGTTCTGCAACTCCGGACTTACTCATCTACACCATGTCTCAGCTCCTTCACCATCGCGCACCTGCACGTACGTCACGCTCCTCTTTAAATCCCCCAGTCCTTTGCAGTTGTCTTGATTTTCATTGCTATTGATTGCTTACGTTCTTGGATAAAAGACACGCGTATTTATTGCCCTGCTACCGGCATATGCCAGCTCAGATGCTATCAGGCTCCACACTCCGCAATTGCGGGCTTCTGACCGGCGGTGGCATCTGTCATGCAATCAGGAGAGACATATTCAAATGGTAAAGGCTTCCAGTAACCCTGTAGCCTTGGCTGCTGAAGCGAAAGGCATACGAGATCCCGACATTTTGGTTCCAGAAGCACACCAGGGGATTAGGTGTCAGGCGCCTATTTTATATCGGCATCCACACACCTCTCCGGATTTTAGAGTCCACCTCTCGACCGTTCGGCCATACTTCGCTAGCTCTTTGGATTTTCTGCACTGTTGCCGCATTTGTCTTCGCTCTCAAAGACCATGCGGATCCCAAGCACATTTCGTCCAGAATTTTTTTTTTTAAAAAGCCAAGGTAAAAAAAATTAAGGATCGTCTTTGCATTCCTCTCAGGACTATGGTCGAATCTAGACTCAGGCATTGAACCACATTTTCGCAATGCGAAGAGCTTTATCAAAGCCGTTGACATCTAAGTAGTGTCTGTACGGGCTGACTGGGACATGGACCGCCCGGCATTCCATGTCATAGGCTATAGCTGTCTCACCATTTAAATCTCGCCAAATGCTTGCCGTGAAAAAGAAACCCCAGATCCCAATTCCAACATTCGATATTATCATGCCCAACAAGATCCAAATTGCATATCGCGAAGCATCAATGAGTGGGCCTTTGACGGATATCCAGGCAATACCTTTTGATTCGCGCCAGGCCCTGTATCCCAGATATAGAAATGCCCCGAGAAGAATAGCATTCAGAAAAATGAATATCATCGTGATATAAGTTTGATGGAGACCCAGGAGAAAATCGTATCCCTCGATGTGATCAAACCTTTTGTCGTCAAAAAGCCAGTTCTTGGCGCAAAGCTGCTCGGGAGAACACGGTGAAAATCCGGGTGCATCGGGAATCTGGCTCGCCAAACAGTCGTAACTCGGATGAGGGTTGAGCTTGTCCCGACTCCATAGGATTTCCCATCGGACGTATTCCATGTAGTACGTGACGACTAACTGTGCAGCTGTTGTGAGGAGAAGCGTCCATACTATCCGGTGCTCCCACCTTGGGTTCTTCACGAGCCAACATTTCAGTGGATGGTCTCGGACGCTTAGAGCGTAACGGAACACGGTAACCCAGGCCAGGATCGATACGGGACCGGTACGGTACGGATTGAAAGCAGCGGTAAAGAAAGAGGACCACCAGAAGATGAAGCACCCCAGGTCCAATGCCATGATAGACCAGGTCCCAAATCCGAAGCCCTTGCAGTGTTCTGGATCGTGGCTTTCGTATTTGATCCTGTCCTTTAAAGCCCAGACAATTGAAATCCCCATGGTGAGGAGCGATAGTAGTGGTACGAGACCTGAGTACGAGAACGCTCGGTCTAGAGGAGTTGACGGTATGACCTTGAAGTCACTGAGACAGCTTGCAAGCGAACACCAGCTGTATTTGGGCGCCGATTGGTCCGCCTGATACGAGAATACGGCGAGGTAGTTCTGTCCATGTTCGGTGACTGGTCCGTACCATCCAAGTTTGTGGAGTAGGTGCCCTTCCAGGAGAGTGCAGTTTGTCTGGGCTGGACTACTGGCTGCACATTCTTTAAAGCGGGTGTTCTTATATAGAGGAAACTCAGGGCTGTCAGGCTCGAATCCGACGCGACGCGAATTCATGAAGATGATCGTCAGGACCAAAAAGCCCGCAATAAGGACGCCTGTCAAGACCAGTGTTGTCCATATCAGGCATTTGATTGCTCTTCCCAGGAATTTGTACCCATATGGGTTGCGCTTTTTGAGGGAATTTGAATATTCCCGGATGATGGCCGACCAAGTTCCATTGTGCCTCTCGTGCTCGTAAAATTCTTCTCGCTCTTCCCTTGTCAACCACCACAGTTCGGTGGCCATCGCCGGGGCGCTTTCGTGGACGTAACTTGTAAAATTTAATGTACAATGTATCACAGTTGTAGAAGTAAACTGTTTGGAATTGTGATTAAACTTTATCCCTTCGGGTAGTCTGGAGTCGCTTTTATGCTTTTCATTTCACCATACTATGATTAGAACTCAAGTCAGAGTCAGCATAGGTTTCCGAAGATTGCGATTGAGGGTAAAGACATGTGTTATGGCTGCTGATGGTGCTGCCACAAATTACCAACAACATGGGGCGTCCAACACTGCCGTCGGACATAGGGGATATGATTCGTAGACACAGAAAAATCTGTACGCGTCCATCGATGCAGGTAATCAGGAATAACCAAAATAGTTTCATCTTATAGAAAGGCTTACTGTAGTGTCATGGCGGTTGCACCTTACGTTATACTCCAACAAGCACACCTTACTGATTTTCATCCCAACTTGGGCACGATCTAAAACAGAACATTTCCGTGTACAACACTTTTACTCTTGACTTATACGAACCCACGTATCTTTGCATGAGACATGCCAATAGCAAATAACATGTGCGGGTACACCGCGGGCGGGGTGGGTGCCACTCCGGTAACCAAACATATCGAGCAACATTAGGCAGGCTGAGAAACGTTTACGTCACGACTGCATGCAAATTCATAGCCGCATTCTCGATGAAACTTTGTGACTGACTGATATGCATAACTATGAGCTTCCTAAAGCAATCAAATCGAGTTACCGTGAATTTCACCAAGATTTTTAGACGCAAGCATTTGATGAAGTATATATTGTGGAATTTCTATTGACGCCAATATTGCTGCTTAGCATTGCACTTTTTGCCGAGTGTGAACTGCGCGGATTTCTAAATGCATGCGTTCAGCTTACATATTGCCCCCATCAGGGAAAGATCATCGCTTACTCTGACACACACCTATCCTTTCAGCCTCTTTAAGCACTCGCATCAAGTCCAAACAAGAGCCAGTACTGTCCTAAAAATTATCAGTGAAATTTTAAGTTGAAATCAGGTGCACTGTGACCACATCGCTTCAGAACAATCGTCCTCGACAATCCGAGATGAATCAAAACATGACCCGATACTAATTTGAATAAAGGCACTATTGCCGTTCCCAAGGGCACATAGTATTCGAAGGCAATGGTGTTTCTCCAGATGACATGGCCAGTTGTGAGCAGTCGGGGGCGTCTTTCGGCAGGCTCCGCGTCTTCCCTTAACGCTCACTTGCATGATACGGGCTCATGGGTGGCTGAGACACATCTTTTTCCAGCCTTGCATCAAATCTTTTGGAACACGCAAGCTTTTCCTGCGTGTCATACGCCATGTCTCTTTATATGGAGCTCTGCGATGTTGGGGGCTGGAAAGGGAATTTGGACGATCCGCTGGTGGCTGATGGCTAGATATCCGAGAGATATGACGCAATCGTTTAGGCTTTGATATGATACGATAATTAAATCTAGAATCCTGAAACGACTTATCGTAACCCTCATGGGTTTGGCATTCAAGGCTACGGGGAAAGGCTGGACTTGCCCGAGTGTGGTTTGCTGAAGTAAATATACTACTCCAGTAATATCGACAGCCACAGACAGCAATAGCCTACAGGTCGCAGCATGCAGGGTTTCCTGTCCGCTTCGAAGTTGATTGCCTGGAAACCGAACACCTCTGCTTAGTGCCCACATTCCCTGAGCCACACACGCCCTGGCCTGGGCTTTGGTCGCACAATATAATGTCAGAGGCTACTGGGTGGTGAGAGTGGAGTAGTAATATCGGCAGAGATGGTACTACTGGGGCGCGATCGGTGCCAACCGGGAGGAGGGGGGAGAGCACACCTAATCGGGCACTACGTAGGTAGCTTCTTAGGATAACGTGGGTTGGCGCGTATCTGTGCCTCGTGTTAGCAT